CAGATGAACAAGAAGTAAGTTCTACTTCGAAAACTGATGAGATTATTGATCAGGATCTTTCACTTGAAGCTAGAACACGAGTCAAATGTGTTGTTAGTCCTGTGAAACGAATGGAAACGACTGTGGAGCTTGAAACACTTGAAACATTCAAACCGGATCTTCAAATACTGAAAACAAATGATTCCGATGATATTGCATCGAATAAAATTGAATCACAAGTGTCTGTTGGTACACTAGATGAAGATTTGGATGAGGATATGTGTAAGGATGAAGATAGCAAGCTGGATGATCTGCTTCTAGATGATGATGACGATGATCCGGTGGAGGATGGCGATGGAGGATTGACGCTGAAGGCCGAAGATGATATCTTGAATGATAGTGACGAATGATGTGATTGCATGAATTGATAATAAGTTTTGCCTTATTTAGTATGTAAGCAGAAAGTTACGATTTTTATAATGTGTAAATAGTAGTGATACTTTAAGAATGATTAATTATGTAATATTGGACATGATTTGCATTAAAATATACAAATCACATGGAATTTTATGTGTTTTTCTTTTGTTTTGGGTTGTTTTATTATTATTATTGTATTTTCATCATAAAAAGCGTAAAATATGTTTAATTTTGTGTTAAATTGCTTTAAAATAAAGTTTTTTTGTTGTTTTTGATGATTTTTAATTGAAAAATGTGAGTTTTTATACTTTTGTTAATTTAAATGTTGATATAGTTCAATATTTTACGACTAGGTGACACTAGAATGCACTTATTTGCAATAAATATTTGTTTATGTGTTGATTTTATTGTTTGTTTGTGGATGTAAGTTAACATGGCTTAAATCATGGCTGTCGATGTGAATATGTGTTCTAATAAATGCAGGAGCTTGAATGCATTTTGCAAAATTAAAGTTGGAACTTTTGTATGTGTATAATATTTTATGTATGAATGGCCATAGTCTGTGGCCGGTGCCACCGCAATCTAAGATTTAGGAACATCATTGAGCCTTGGGCTTAAATGGAAGACGCATGTCGATGTGAGTTGAATGTAGTTCTAATAATTGACCACAGAGGGCGCTAAAATGCACATTTTGCATTAAATTATTCCTTGCGATAAGTTTGAGACAAGTTGAGACTTGTTCGTTTAAATCTGTGTGAGATCACGTTATACCTGCGAGTATTTCTTATCAGTATCGCGCTAGAACGCGTTTATTTACATTTTTTATGCGGAACATCTTCGAATAATATTCCCAACTAGAATTTTACATTTCTATTCATTTATGCGTTTATTCTTCTATTTTATGTTAAATAGACATATGTAATTTATTTCAGAAACAGTAATACAATTAAATTGAATATAATTTCAACTAAATAAAATTGCTTTTATTAAAATTAAGAATCGCCAGAATTGTAAACTTATCTTGCTGGGCGCCTGCAACCTACGTGCCAATATTTGCTGAAGAAGCATTCTTTGAATTAATTCTTGCATTTCATTTGGTAATAAGTGGTAATATGCTCAGTTTAATCTCAGACTTCATGGTTGACACGTAATTTTAATTACAAATCATAATTGTTTCCTTCCTTATTAAATCTAATATAAGTAAATTAATATTAATAAAAAACAATTAGTTTTTCATAACGGTGCAGTGTCAGTGTTTGTGTTTAACAGAAAATTTGCTGTTTGTTGCGATAGTGAAAGTGAAAGTGAAAGTGAAAGAGAAAGAGTGAACTGGTAAGTGTTGTATCCTTGTGCGCTGAAACATTTGCGCGCTTCGTACTTACATATAACTCTAAAATAAAACCACAGATGGCGCAACGATACACTTATTTGCATTAAATTTCTTTCGCGTGCATACTCAAAAATGCACCAATCGTGTCCGTGGAAGAGTACCTGCGAGTATTTCTTATCAACATCGCGCTAGAACGCGTGTGTTACATTTTTTTATGCAGAATGTATGAAACTACAACACAAAACATGAATTCAACGTTTCTTTTACCAATTTATGCATTTATTACGTTAAATAAGCGTCGTTTAATGCATAAATAAGAATAAAATCTTATTATTTTCATTTATGAATACGTAATCCATTGTATAGTTTAAAAAATATTTATTTATTAAAGTTCAACGTGATTTTTATTGGATTTACAATTTTATATTCATAAACTCAGTTTATGAAGATGGCCTCAGGGCGAAACATGTCAAACTCATTATATAAAATTGTAAATCCAGTAAAAATCACGTTGAACTTTAATAAATACATATTTTTTAAAAATAATAAAATCATTGTAGAACGTAATTAAAATTTAATTAATTTCTATATTAATATTAACAACGGTAAATTTTTTTATATCATTTAACATATCGTATAAATTAATTAATTCGTATCCATTAAGCGTTGTTTCTTGTATTTTGTTATTGAACGCACATTCAGTATTCAGTAAATTGTGTGCTGAATCTAACGTGCACATTATACTTAAACATAACTCTAAAATAAGCCCACAGATGGCTCTAGCATACACTTATTCGCATTAAATATTTGTTGGTGTTAGTGAGTGCACATTCGTGTCCATGTGAGATTCCACTCTGCGCGCAAATCACTATCACAACTTGTCCAGATTTATCAGTATCAATTCCTCATGTTATTTTCAAACATTCATACCACTTTCACTTTCATTAGATTTAATATATTAAATTCGAAACTAGTTTGCATCTAGCATCTAGCGATTCATATTTCTCATCAAAGTCAAGAAAGAAATCGTACTTTTACCAACCTACAACAAAAACAATCACATATTACATAATTCCAATACATTAACTACACAATAACAATATTTTTACATCAACAAATGCCATTTTATTAATAGTAATCAATCCGACGGCTTTGAAATCAACAACGCGTTGAGTGGCGTGCAAGGCAAACGGCAGCCATGTTTGCAACGCACGCGAACCATCTTCCCAATTCATCAGGTACAAAGATTCAGACAGTAAAAAAATCTACAACAATCAAACCACAGACCATTCAGCAATGATTGACATCTGAATTAAAAATCAAAAAAATAAAATTAAAAATCATCAAATTCTTTACTTCGCTTGTTAACTCTCCGGCTGGGAAACAAAACATTGACAGCTGTACAAGTAAACTCGTCACATAAATAAAACTCCTCGCTTTGTCTGTCAGTGTAGTCGGACTAAAACACAATATGAATAATTATTATTAAAATATTGATTAATTGATTATGATTATATTCACGTTTCGGTAATGGCGTACAACTCCATGCAGCATGATGCAATCGTCAGGCAATACAAAGCCAACAATTGAATCATGAATACTTTTTCTATGTCTCTGACATAACTAGAAAACCAAAAACATAAAAAAAAAAACTTAAATCACACAAAAGATATAAAAATATAAAACCTGAGTAAGAATCGATGATGATTTACAAAACCAATCAACGCTTTCATATCATTCGGTGATCCAGATGAACAAGAAGTAAGTTCTACTTCGAAAACTGATGAGATTATTGATCAGGATCTTTCACTTGAAGCTAGAACACGAGTCAAATGTGTTGTTAGTCCTGTGAAACGAATGGAAACGCCTGTGGAGCTTGAAACACTTGAAACTTTTAAACCGGATCTTCAAACACTGAAAACAAATGATTCTGATGATATTCGATCGAATAAAATTGAATCAGAAGTGTCTGTTGATACGCTTGATGAAGATTTAGATGAGGATATGTGTAAGGATGAAGACAGCAAACTGGATGATCTGCTTCTGGATGATGATGATGATGATCCGGTGGAGGATGGCGCGTTGACGCTGAAGGCCGAAGATGATATCTTAAATGATAGCGACGAATGATGTGATTGCATGATTGAATTGATAATAAGTTTTGCCTTATTTAGTGTGTAAGCAGAAAGTTACGATTTTTATAATGTGTAAATAGTAGTGATACTTTAAGAATGATTAATTATGTAATATTGGACATGATTTGCATTAAAATTTACAAATCACATGGAATTTTGGTGTTTTTCTTTTGTTTTGGGTTGTTTTTAACATTATTTTTGTATTTTCATCATAAACAGCGTAAAATATGATTAATTTTGTATTAAATTGCTTTAAAATGAAGTTTTTTATTGGTTTTTGATGATTTTTGGTTGAAAAATGTGAATTTTAATACTTGTGTTTATTTAAATGTTGATATAGTTCAATGGTTGACGCCTAGGTAACACTACAATGCAGTTATTTGCAATAAATATTTGTTTATATGTTGATTAAATTGTTTGTTGGTGTATGTAAGTTTGCAATGACTTAAATGGAGAGACGCATGTCGATGTGAGTTGAATGTAGTTCTAATAATTGACCACAGAGGACGCTAGGATGCGCATTTTGCATTAAATTATTGCTTGGGATGAGTTTGAGACAAGTTGTGACTTGTTTGTTTAGATCTGTGTGCGATCACGCTATACCTGCGAGTATTTCTTATCAATATCGCGCTAGAACGCGTTTATTTACATTTTTTGTGCAAGGCATCTTCGGATAACGTCAACAACTAGATTTTAACATTTCTATTCATTTCATTTTTATTCATTTATGCGTTTATTCTTCTATTTTATAATAAATAGACATAATTTATTTCAGAAACAGTAATAAAATTAAATTGTAATATAAATAAAACTAAAAATTCAACAAAATAAAATTGCTTTTATTAAAATTAAGAATCGCAGAAAGTGCAAGCTTATCTTGCTGGGCGCCTGCAACCTACGTGACAATATTTGCTGAAAAAGCACTCTTGGAATTAGTTTTTTCGTTTCAATTCGTATTAAACTCAGTACAATCTCAGACTTTGTGTTGTCGGGACATACTTTTAATTACAAATTATAATTGTTCTCTTCTTTCTTAAATCTATTAAAACAATTAAAATAATTTTTTAAAAAATTAGTTGTTTGTATCGGTGCAGTGTTTGTGTCTAACAGAAAATTTGCTGTTTGTTGCGATAGTGAAAGTGAAAGTGTAAGAGTGAAATGGTAAGTGTTATGTCCTTGTGCGCTGAAACATTCGCGCGCATCGTACTTACATATAACTAAAATAAAACCACAGAGGGCGCTGCGATGCACTTATTTGCATTAAATTTCTTTCATGTGAATCTTTGCGTGCACCAATCGTGTCCGCGGAAGATCACGCCATACCTGCGAGTATTTCTTATCAACATCACGCTAGAACCCGTGTGTTTACATTTTTTTATGCAGAATATATGAAACAACAACACAAAACATGAATTCAATGTTTCTTTTACCAATTCCTGCATTTATTCTTTTAATTTACGTTAAATAAACGTTGTTTAATGCATAAATATGAATAAAATCATTATGAAACGTAGTATCCATTCAATTAATTGGTATAGTAATATTAACAACCGTAAAATTTGTATATCATTTAAAATTAGTTCATTTATATCGATGAAGCGTTTATAAAAATACTAGTATGTTGATTGTTTCTTCCTGTTATAAGCGCTTTTTCGTTATTTAGTAAATTGCGTGCTGAAGCAAATGTTAACATTGTACTTAAACATAATTCCAAAATAAGTCCACAGATGTCGCTAGCATTCACGTATTCGCATTAAATATTTGTTGGTGTCAGTGAGTGCACATTCGTGTCCATGTAAAATCACACTCTGCGCGCACATCACTATCGCAACTTGTCCAGCTGTATCAATATCAATTCCTCATGTTATTTCCAAACATTCATACCACTTTCACTTTCATTAGATTTAATATATTAAATTCGAAACTAGTTTGCATCTAGCATCTAGCGATTCATATTCCTCATCAAAGTCAAGAAAGAAATCGTACTTTTACCAACCTACAACAAAAACAATCACATATTACATAATTCCAATACATTAACTACATAATAACAATAATATTACATCAACAAATGCCATTTTATTAATAGTAATCAATCCGACGGCTTTGAAATCGACAACGCGTTGAGTGGCGTGCAAGGCAAACGGCAGCCATGTTTGCAACGCACGCGAGCCATCTTCCCAATTCATCAAATACAAAGATTCAGACAGCAAAAAAATCTACAACAATCAAACCACAAAGTATTCAGCAATGATTGACATATGAATTAAAAATCAAAAAAATTAAATTAAAAATAAGCATCATCAAATTCTTTACTTCGCTTGTTAACTCTCCGGCAGGAAAACAAAACATTGACAGCTGTACAAGTAAACTCGTCACATAAATAAAACTCCTTGCTTTGTCTGTCAGTGTAGTCGGTCTAAAACACCATATAAATAATTATTAATATTAAAATATTGATTAATTGATTATGATTATATTCACGTTTCGGTAATGGCGTACAACTCCATACAGCATGATGCAATCGTCAGGCAATACAAAGCCAACAATTGAATCATGAATACTTTTTCTATGTCTCTGACATAACTAGAAAACATTACAAACAATAAAAACTAAAATACAACAAAAGATATAAAAATATAAAACCTGAGTAAGAATCGATGATGATTCACAAAACCAATCAACGCTTTCATATCATTCGGTGATCCGTTATTCTTGTGGTTCTGTATGTTCCAATTCAAGATGATAAACTGCGCGCGCATATTGGTAATAGTTAGTAGAAACAACCCATTGAATCCCATTACTAATGCAACCAGAAACAGCGCGAAAACAGTCTGATAACTCAACGCATAATAATAATATTCTTCTGCAAACCACTGGAGAGTCAGAACTGTTCCTTTGTCGTGAAATGGCCGCGACATGAACATTGCCAGTGTCAAAAGCACAAGAAAATCGAATAAATTGCCGTAGTAATTGGCTGAAGCGTAGATTTTATACACTTGGAGTTTTAATACTGGATCTTTAGCTATCCAGAATTGATCACGACTTTTTAACAGTCGTGAAATTATGTTGTTGTAGTAAACCACAGGGATTACTTTTAATAATGACTGCAAAATAAAAAAAAAATTTTATGAATAAAGTTGGATATTTCATTTAAACTACATGAAAAACTTTGTTTTCATTGTTTTCCATGATTAATCCCTATCCCTACTATTATAAATGCGAAAGTCTTGATGTTTGTTACACTTTCACGCAAATACTACTTGACCGATCAAATTTGTGCACATATTCTTAGAGGTCCCCGAATGGTTATAGGCTACTTTTTATTTAATAAAAAAAATATTTTTTTAAATAAAATAAAGAAAAATAAAATAAAAACACCCTGTATATCTTGACAGGTGAGTGTTTTTCTTCATGTTTAGTTGTTCTTTCGATAGTGTCACCGCAGATATGTTTGTGAAAGCACATAAAACATAAACCAACACACCATAACGCCATTACCACCATCCTCGTCTGTTTTTTTATGTTTTCACCCTTTCACGCGAGAGTTTCAGTGAGTGGCTGCGTTTCTTCAGGGCTTCTATTGTTTTATTTCATTTGCCACTCTTTTATTACGTTTTGCCGTCTCGGGAAGAAAAATCCCGCAGTTCAAACACGAAATGCAATACAACGATGATAAATCACGCAATGCAAGCGCTAAATTATATCCCTACTAATATTATAAATGTGCAAGTCCTGATGTTTGTTACAGTTTCACGCAAAAACTACTTAACCGATCATCTTGAAAATTTGTACACATATTCTTAGTGGTCCCCGAATGGTTATAGGCTACTTTATATTTAATAAAAAAAATTATTTTTAAATAAAATAAAGAAATTGTTTAGCCAATAATACCTCTGCATCTGTCTATTTGACTACTTTAACGCCATCTAGCATTCCAGCAATGAAGCTCAAACCTAAGTACTATAGTACCATCACACTGTATTATCACACTGTATTACCGACAGCTACGTCAACATCAAATCCAATTGACTACACTATGGAGACTGTACACTATACTTCCATAGACTATACTTTCAGCCATTTTAAACTTCCCGCCATTCTACTTCATTGTTACTTCTTCTGTGACTACAGACGCGTACGGAAGCAACTTCATTAATTTAGATATTCGCGAGCGGAGCCAAGGGTTAAAGCTAGTATGTAATATATCCTTACCAATGTGTACAATCCAAAAGATGAAATCAACTGAGTCAAGACAACGATGTCAATTGAACATAAAAAATGTATTTCACAGTCCAATAGTACAAAGCCAGCACCCAACAAGTGAACCAAGTACCAATGAGTTGCTGCGTCAATAATTTAGTCTTCAACGGATGTAGATAAATAAGTTTCAGTGGATAAACACCAAGCCTAACGAGTTTTTCTTGTTCTTTTTCCATTTCCACATCAGATATCCCGCCATTTTGATTTATTTCATTAGATTCACCATTATTTTCATTATTAAACAACTCTTTCTCCATGTACTTTGTTTTCCTGCCGAAAAATGCCTTCATCTTGATAAAAATATCAAATTTTCACCAAATTCAACCACTTTTATAAGAGTAATAACTCATGCGCTGATGGCAAAGCAATAATTATCCTAATTGCCATCTGATGTGCTGGAATGCAAACAGAAGGCGTATAATTAAGATAATCACCATGTGTAGGTGGAAATATAATTGGGACTAGGGATAATTCCAGGGTTGAGTTTTATAAATTATAAAATATAGGAAAATAGGCATAAATATAGGTTAATCATGGTTTTAACGTCCTCCCATCGAAGTAATTTGTAATCCGTAGTTTCTTCCATCAATACTTGTAACTTCACCGTCTTCGTTGTCCGCCATTATCTCAAAACACAATGATTTCTTCTCATATCTTGTTTTTTCTTTGCGCAATGCTTCTATATCCATATCATGAACTTTTAACAGGAAATTATACTAAAAACATCAATTTTACAACATTTAATGAATAAAATCAATGATTTTGTTGAATACTTTGTTGTAATCACGTTCAACCAGATCTAAAATCTGTGTGTAATAATATCTATCTGTTATTTTCAGTTCTTTTCCAAAAGTTTCTGAATTGGGTAAACAATTGTGTTTGCACACAACACCGATATGTCGATATTTAATATCGCGTTGTGGAATGAATAATTTCCTTAAATTCAACTCATCAACTTCTGTTGATCCCCATGTAGGCATTGGACGATCCACAAAGGTATAACGACTCTAAAAATGTCACAAAACAATAAATTATCCAAGTTTTAAGTGTTTTAGGTGGGAATTTACCTTAAGACCAGATGAAATGTATCTAAACATCATGAAAAACAACGGTGTGATGCACAGGATTGTAAATATAATCACACTTGATTTGTTACTGTAAGATTCATCAACTGTTCCAAAAATCAACGAACAGATAACAGCAGCTAATGAAAACTACAAATAAAAATACACTTCATACACTATTTTACTAAACAAAATTAATAAAACACATACCCAGATAATAATTGATGATAAATTCATATGTGTCATCAAAACATTCGTCGGAAACATCTCAAACTTAAAAAAGTAATCATTTGCAATCACATTACTTGAATAAATGAAGTTAAACGTGATTATGGTGAGAACCAAAGTGAATGTCGATAGAAATGCACACTCATAATGATGCCAGATGAAATACATGCCACTTTTGAACGGTGTGAAGAGCACAATACTAATTAGAAACATAATCAAGCTGAAAGCAGTTGCAACACTCGCAGGCCAATACCCCATCCATTTGTATTCATTGACAAAGGCAATCATGATCAGTGAAGCAGTTGCTGCATTGTCCACCCATGTGGTGAGCACCTTCGAGATGACATAAAAGATTAACCATAGATGTGGCTGTTGAAACCTTCCAAGCACATCGAACATGATTGTGTAGTCTATATCTTGTCCATGTAAAACAATCCAGCATTGCGAGCCATCAATTTCATGGTAATTTACAAAATCATTCAAGAGACACTTGTTGTAGATGATATTCATGGCTATTTTGCAGAGTTTCACACCGTATGTGAAGAGAATGGTTGAATGTGGATTTGCGCCTGCTGGCATCACTGTTCCAAGCCACATTATTCTTGTTGCATTGATTATGTTGGATGCATGAGATGTAATTGCAGCCCAGAACTAAAAGATGTAAGTTTCATGTAAATATTAAATGATTTTATGTTTTGCTTACCATAATATGACCTAAATCATGTATAAATCCAACGAATTTCAGATTACTCGCTTGAAAGTTTGGATTACTTGTGGAAAACATCATCACAGCAATCATAATACTCATGGAAATAAGAAAACCAATTGCTTCTAGGATTAGCAAGAATTGCAGCCAGCCACGGCGCAGTTTTACCCATAAACTGAACAGAATCAGAGTGAATTGAAGAAATTGCAGACCCAGCATTGCGGTGTGGATTTCATTCTGCGAATTTGACTTGAAATTATCTTGTAGAGCTTCATGACTGTTAAAAAACAATTTTTCTGTTTTTGCATGTTTAAAACTTGTTTAATTTAAGTTTACTTGATGAACTGTGACATTGATAACGTATATTCTTTTCCTGGGACACATTTGAATGTTTCTTCATCTCTTACTAGTGGAAAACAACCGTCTGTGCTTCTTGGAAAGTCACAAGTGTACCAAATCGGCGTTTTTGTCTTGTGTACATTACCAAAAGCATGTGTAAAGTTGTCTGTATCAATGTATTGATAAGAGAGAAATATGTGAAAGCAACCGTGTGGTAGGCACTTAATTGAAAGTTGATTATTTGGATTATAAGCATAATATAACCAATTCCTTAAAAATTTAAATTTTTAAGTGTTTTTATGAGTTTTTGAAGTTTTTTTACCTTTTAAAAACGGTACAAAGTCAAACAAGCCCAGGATTTGCCTTTTTGCATAGTGACCAAAGAACATTATCGTTATCATCAGTGGATAAGTCAACACAAGATTCAATACAATGTAAATTAAGTATATTATTCCAGGGATATCAAGTAAAAGTATTCTTTGTACAAGATGGCTTCCTCGATGTTCATTTGCAATACAAAGGAGAAACATATGAATTCCAAATAGTCATAGACCAAAGGAGTGTCTAACTGTAATGGGAAATTTATATAAAAGTACAGGAATCGATGAAAAACGTACGGATGTGTCGTGTTTTTAAACTTTTTTATAACTGCGTTTCTTTGCTTCAACATTTTTGTTTATTTTCGTTTAAAATGGTTAAAAATTAATAGAAAATGACACTGTGACAGATATTATAGTGTCAAATGATATTCTACATTAATAATAATGTGTTTTATTATATTTAAAGTTCATCTTTATTGTTAGTGATATAATTATTGTTGTTTTTGTTTTCTAATTCATTCCAGAATTGATTTGCTTCGTAAAACAAATCTTTTCCCATTTTAAACGTGAAATCTTTATCAATTATTAAATATTCATTGTGTGTGCTGTGTACTGGCTTCCAGTCCAGTTTGATTCCATCGTTGTTGATGAAATCATCAAAGTTCCTATACAATAAAAAAAAAACATAAAAATTGTTTGTTTTGTTGTTGTTTTACTTTAGAACGACAGATGGCGCTAGCAGTACTATAACAGAGAATATAATAGAATAAACTTACTTGTGTCGAGCGAAGTGTGTCCACAACTTAGTCATAAACAAACTCATCTTTTTATCGGTGTCCGTGAATGCTTTATCAGCATTCGGAAAGTTATACAGCACATATTCCAATGGAAACAGGTAGAATAATTCATCCATGTGACATATTCCTAAATCAACGTTTTCATCACCAGCGAAATATTTCGAAAATGTTAGAGCTCCTTTATAATTAAAGAAGAAAGAGTAAATGGATGATTTTGAATGTTTATGATGCAGAGATACAGTGTCATCTGTACAACGGAAATATTCATCTGACCAATACTGCGGAGAGAAAATAAAAATTAATTATTAAAATCAACAAAATTATTTTTTGGTATATTTACAGCTGTTAATGACTTCAAATCCATTCCATTACCAAAGTAATGATTTTTTACAGCTGTTATTTGTTCCATAGTGTAATGATGTTTATTGTTTGTCGGTCTGTATAATTCATGGAAATATTTATCGCATTTTTCAATAGTTTCCGGGTGTTTTGCAAAAACTAAAATAAAAATTATATAAACAATAATTAAATTTTATATTAATAGTTTACGTGAAGTTCTAATGGCGCCTTCATCAGTAGTAGTGCCCTGCATTATCGGCACATCATAAAAATCGCCATTTTTTAGTAAATTTTCAGGAAAATCAATCAAAAACGCATCTTTATGCGCTGGTTCAACAGCTGGAGTAAACAAAACCATTGGATCTACATCAAAAACTATAAATTTTGCTGTCAAAACAATATTTCATCCAAAGATTTATCTTTTAAACATTTAATCATGTCTTCTGTGGGAAAAACAGGACAATTTGCAAGTCTAGATAATTGTGTGGATAAATTAACCATGTTTTTGAATGTGTGCACTGCCCAGTGACAGACTGCAGCGCCACTCTCCAAGATAGCAGCGTGGAATAACCCTGAAACATTACGGAAACCAAAATAACCTCAAAATTTAGCAAAAATTAAGTTTTTAATGTTTACCTTTAGTTTTAGGTGAAAATAAATGCAAATGTGTGCTTGCAGCACCAGCACTGTTACCAAACAGTGTTATCTTTGTGTTATCACCTCCAAAATGCTGAATATTATCATAAACCCATTGAATCGCCATTGCTTGATCTTTCATACCATTATTAGCGTATATTTCATGTCCTTCACTTCCAGCCGCAAGGAAACCAAGTGGTCCAAGTCGATAATTCAACGTTACAAGAATAACATTATCATTTCTCAAGAGATAATCCGGTTTGAACATGATACCAGTTCCCCAGGCAAAACCTCCGCCATGAATGTATATCATCACTGGTAACTTGGTCAAATCATCATTTTTTACCGTTTTAGGTACATAGACATTTAAATAAAGACAATCTTCATCTCCGGAGATTTCAGGAGGACCATTGAAGACACTGACTTGCGCACACATAACATTTTCCTTTGATTTATCATTGATAACATCATTATACTGCGGTTTTTGTGGCGGTTCAAAGCGCAAATTGTTAATCGGTGCTTGTGCATACGGAATGCCCGTGTATGCGATTATATTATCACTGTGTTTATAACCGATGACAATGGAATTGTCTATTTTTACATTTTGCGTTGATGCGGTTGTTGAATTCACTCCGTAAGTGAATAAAAATGTAAATATTAGTAATGTACGCATTGTAAAGTACGAGTTTAAAAATAGGTGCTTTCAAGTTGAGAGATAGATGAATACTGTGGTGATTTGAAGCGAAAAACCGTGCGAGGGCAAAGTTGCAAGTCACATTTGTGTATTATATAATTAAATTGCCTCGGTAGACAAACAATTATTTGTTATTTGATACTTATTGATTGATACAGTTGAATGCATGCGCGTAAATTCATTAATTTGGTTTGGTTTCATAGATTAAACATAATTATATTATTAAAAATGATGTGTAAAGATATAATTAGATGATAAAATTTATATAACCTCAAAATAATTAAGTTTTTAGTGTTTACTTGTAGTTTTAAGGCGAAAATAAACGAAATTTCATTGGGAAAATAATATTAGAATGATTTATTTGGGAGATTATGTCTTATTAATATAATTTGTTTTTATTTTTTACCTAAAATTAAAGGTAAACATTAAAAAAATAATTATTTTGAGGTTATATATGTTTCCGCAGTGTTTTAGTGTTATTCCACGCCGTTATCTTGGCGAGTGGCGCTGCAGTCTGTCACTGGATAGTGCACACATTCAAAAATGTGGTTAACTTATCCACACAATTATCTAGACTTGCAAATTGTCCTGTTTTTCCCACAGAAGACATGATTAAATGTTTAAAAGATAAATCTTTGGATGAAATATTGTTTTCAACAGCGAAATTTATAGTTTTTGATGTTGATCCAATGGTTTTGTTTACTCCAGCTGTTAAACCAACGCATAAAGATGCGTTTTCATTGATTTTCAGAAAATCTTCTTAAAATGGCGATTTTTATGATGTGTCGATAATGCAGGGCACTACTACTGACGAAGGAGCCATTAAGACTTCTCGTAATCCATTAAGAACAAATTTAATTATTGATTACATAATTTTTATTTTAGTTTATGCAAAATACATGATAAAATGTTTAAAAGATAAATCTTTGGATGAAATATTGTTTTCAACAGCGAAATTTATAGTTTTTGATGTTGATCCAATGGTTTTGTTTACTCCAGCTGTTAAACCAACGCATAAAGATGCGTTTTTCATTGATTTTCCAGAAAATCTTCTTAAAAATGGCGATTTTTATGATGTGTCGATAATGCAGGGCACTACTACTGACGAAGGAGCCATTAAGACTTCTCGTAATCCATTAAGAACAAATTTAATTATTGATTACATAATTTTTATTTTAGTTTATGCAAAATACATGATAAAATGTTTAAAAGATAAATCTTTGGATGAAATATTGTTTTCAACAGCGAAATTTATAGTTTTTGATGTTGATCCAATGGTTTTGTTTACTCCAGCTGTTAAACCAACGCATAAAGATGCGTTTTTCATTGATTTTCCAGAAAATCTTCTTAAAAATGGCGATTTTTATGATGTGTCGATAATGCAGGGCACTACTACTGACGAAGGAGCCATTAAGACTTCTCGTAATCCATTAAGAACAAATTTAATTATTGATTACATAATTTTTATTTTAGTTTATGCAAAATACATGATAAAATGTTTAAAAGATAAATCTTTGGATGAAATATTGTTTTCTACAGCGAAATTTATAGTTTTTGATGTAGATCCAATGGTTTTGTTTACTCCAGCTGTTGAACCAGCGTATAAAGATGCGTTTTTAATAAATTTTCCTGAAAATCTTCTTAAAAATGGCGATTTTTATGTTGTGTCGATAATGCAGGGCACTACTCCTGATGAAGGCGGTATTAGGACTTCACTTCACTTATAATCAATAAAAATAAAATAAAAACATTGTAAAAGTTTATTTAAAAATTCTAAAACAAATTTATTTATAGGTAAAACATAGATTTATGTCATTTAATGTTTTGTTTCCTGGTCAAACTCCCAAAGTTCCATTAATTTATCTGAATATGTGTTCTCTCCATAATATGGCTGCACCAATTTACTCAGATAAGATTTCATGCATTCCTCATCACAAGCCTCGTAGGATTTAGGCCCACCTCGGTTTCTGAAACTAAAATTAACAAAAAAAAAATAATTTTTGTCCAATTTTTACCACTTGTCTAAAACACTTACAAGATATATTGCTTCAGTAATTCTTTACTGGGTTCCTTTGCCATTTGCTCCATAAGTCCCGAAATATCTTCTCCAAAAAGACTGTCTACACCATAAGCATCCTTAAAAGAGTAGTGTTTCATCCAATTCGGAGATTGCGAAGCATTTTTATTAGCCTCATCAACATCAAAGTAATATTGATCATAATCCAAAAGATCCTGTTGATAATTAGGTTATAATAAAACAACTAACAATAAAAAATTGAGGTTATGTATAATAATACTTACTGCATTTGTTGTATCAACTTTAAAGATTCTATAATTAGGATTCCTGTTGGAAAACGCCGTGAGACTACCGCCATTAAAAGCGACAACCTTCATAGCAGCGCCATCTTCGTTATGATAGACAACCATCTCATCATTGTGTGTATGTCCATTAAAAATACCAGTAACTGTATTCTGATACCTCGCTAGAATCTTATAGAATTGTTGCATCCAATACGCATAAGCAGAATAATCCCCAGAAGGAACATGTGATAAGATATGCACAGATTCGCCATTTTGTTCCGCATCATACAACACATTCTCCAACCAAGCCAACTGCCCGAAGTTGTCCACATCATTATAGAGTAACCACCAGTTGTTAATGTAAGCCACATTTGAGTTGAGACCAACTACACGTAACCCTGGTCTCACCAATTTGGAATAGTAACCTCCAGCACGGATGGTTTCCTTACATTCGTCACCTAACCAATGTCCCCATTCCTCTGCTACCAAATCAAACACCCATTTTGTTGAAACATCTTGTTCCACATCATTAGGTGCCCAGACATTCAATGGGTGAGGTTCATGGTTACCCATCACGGGAAAGACAGGGATGTCTCCGAAATACTTCCGGAATTGTCCGTAGACATAGCGAAGGTCTTCGGAGTTGTTGAAGATGTTCGTGGCCCACACCCGGTGACTGATGATATCACCTGTGTAGTAGACATATTCAAGGTTGTGTTGTTCTGTGATTTGTTGCAGGGTGTCTTCTAGGAGGTAATGAGGGACATCGCAGTTGTTCCATTCTGTCCAGTAACCAGCAGCGTCTTCATTTTTTTCTACGTCTCCACTGTCATATTGACAACAGAGTGGGTGATCACAGTTTACCAGAGAACCAGGTTGGTAAATAGGGTCGTAATGGATGTCGGTAAGGTGCAGGATGTTGTAAGATTCTCCACTTCCCTGTTAAATAAGAAAATAAAAAGTTTTTTAGCGTTTTTTGAGGAAAATTTGAGGTTAGGAACTTACAGGTCGACTTTCAAGGGATTTTCCTTCATGGATGTCAATTTCCCAAGTCGGGGCATCCCTGGATTTACAATCAGAGCTTTGAAGAACTAGGGAACACACACGAGCGCCATCTACGTTCAGATTATTATCGACAATATACAAGAAAATGTCCTATAGAAAAAAGTAAGGTTATAAAACTTGTTTATGATAATTTGAGGTTATTTTACGTACAATATTGAGTTCTATAACACCCAGGCACACTTTCTCTGTCTGGATATGAAGCTTAATGCAGATATTATTAGCGAAATTCAACATGTCTTCCCTGGTAGCGCCATCTTCACGTCGCGCATTGATCAAACCATTAGCAGCAACCACACATGCAGCACAGACTAAATCATTATCAGGCGTGGCTTCCAATTCTTCGAAAAAGATGTTTCTCAGGTTGAGAACACCAAGAGTCTCTTCCAAATCTTTACCAACGATGTTTTTCTTGGTTAGGAGATCCAAACCTCTTTGTAATTTGTTTGTAAAAGCTTTAAAACACAAAAAACAACAAAAAAATAATTTTCAAACAAAAATGTAAAAAAATATTGATATTACCAGTGATATTTTGTTGTCTAAAATGATTTTCTTTGGTTTTTAAGGTAAAACCATTGGCACAGCTGACCAACACCAAGATGGCGGCCACACTCAACACGACTTTCAACGACATTTTGTTTGTTTAGTGCTCTCTAATCAAGTTCATTACCTTTTATACATTTCCATCGTCTGATGATATTTCCGATAAAAGCTGATCAATTAATTGATAAGCACTGATTGTTATCTAAAGTTGTTGTTTGGCACGTTCTCAATTCTTATCAGTCGGAAACGATCAAGTATCAAGTATCCTACATCCTCACGACGTAGAAAAAATACACGCAATGTCAAATCATTGTGTTTTGAGTGTTTTAATTACTAGGGAACGAATGTGATATCAAGAATGATAACGCAAAATGAACGATTCAATATTAAATTTATTGTATCATGATAGACTTCTCATATAAGTAATATATTCTTATAATTAATCATGTAATATACTCATAGTCATACATATTTTCCGTGTGCAACAGGTGCAACAAGCCGCGCATCTCCTCACTATCAATAAATATATATCCGACGTGTGATAACACGACAATCATATCGTATGTCTTTGATCTTTCGATACTTATATACAATACATGAGTATTTTTGGTCGCGAGACTAGAAATGAAAAAATATTCATGTTTTAGGTTAGCTTTTCATATATAGTCACAATGAATATCATCAATATTTAAGGTTATGTCATGTTGTAGGTTAGATGTGCATTATATTGTACAATTACTACTCCTGGACTAGAAAGACGCTTAAAATCTTAGCCTAGAGAAACGTTTACGCTAACTTTCGACTAGGTACTAGTGATTATAACCTAAAAACGTTTCGTAACGTTTTTTTTTTTAGGTTAAATTTTAATTTTTCTATGTGAGTTTCGGGCAGTCGTGGCGGATATCTTTCTATACTTATACTTAAAATAGATATAATTATCTTGCAACTTGTTCTAAGTACTACTTGATCAATTAGAATTAATTTACGCTATGTTTTCATCCAATTTTTCATAGAATTTGCGTTTATAATGATTTAAAACTCTTACAGTTTAATAGGCAATATGCAAATGGTATTCATTCAACGATAGAAAGCAAATCTACGCATCTATTGATAAAAAACAACGTAAAAAACACTAAAAAATTAATTATTTCACTAATTAATCAGCTACTTTATATTAATTAAATATTTTTTGGTTAAAAATGATTTCGTTTCGTTAAGGCCTCGTTCGTTTTGTTTAGTAAGTAATATCTCGCGTAGTTTTTACATGTAATAGTCATAATTTGAGGTTATGCATACTTAACCTATCACTACATGTGTTTATAAGTATTAGAAGAACATTCGACTGGTCCAATGTTACATTTTTAAATGTTTTAAGTGTTTTATCATGAAAACATCACGCATACTCTATCTAATTAAACATAATGGACGTATTCGCTTGTTGTTTTACGGTAAACGTTAGAATTAATCATAGGCCAAGCAGTACTTGACCTTGAAACAATAAAATCGCATGGAACTTGTTTTAACTTTGTGTTGTATTCGTGCGTCGACTTTGGGTGCCATATTTTTATTTATAGGTTATAGGTTATGTGATTATAACCAACCAGTGGGACCATATGGTCCTCCCAAGGGTATCACCCCTGGTAAACGTGGTAGGGAGCTGGATGTGGTTGTTGTTGTGGTTGTCATTGTCGATTGCCCATTACTATGTCGATACTCCTCCTCAGGGGTTTGGGAGGACCCAGTGGTGGGGTTACTGCTGGATGAATACAACAATGGTTCCCTGGAAGATGCCGATGGTCCAACACTGCATACCAACATCGCTTGCATGGGATTACTCATGGATTCCTCCGTGGTTGATGGGGTTAGGGTTATAGGTGGCGCTGATGATGGTAATTCAACACTATCTTGCTGGGACTGGGTCAGTTCGTGTTTGTGCATGATCTGGACCACTTCGGGGACCCGGGTTGGGACACTGGAGGCACGTTTCAATACCTGGGACACTTTCTTATTGCTTTTACCTACACAAACAGCAATTGCATGCTCAATAGGGTTCGGGGGTTGTTGGACCACTGGTGAGGTGTTTCTAGACGCAGAAAATTTCTTTCTTTTTTTACGTAGGAGAGCCAAACCACTTGAAATACCATGGAAATGATCACTGATACTCATACTGTGACCATGCCCATGCCCACTATCCCTGTGACTGTGGCTATGCCCATGACCATTCCCAGGTACCACATCCAGACTGGGATTTGAATCTGTTGCTGATTCCGTGCAGTTGTCATCCGATCCAGGGCTATTGCTGTGTGAATGATTGTGGTTATGACTGTCTCTACACACGGTGGAGTTACAGACGGAGTCTTCAGATCTGGAACGCCCGATGAGGTGGGACACTTTACCAGCTTTGGCTGCTTCTATCAAGGTACCCCAACGACGTTTATGTGATGAAGATCTTTTCATATGACACCTTAAACACCCCACAATCACATAGACAACTTAAAATTTACTATAACCTCAAAAACTAACCTCCCACGATGATGACCCTCATTGATACTACCCTGGGATGATGATACAGTACTACTATGTTGAATTCTCCTCGGTTGATTGTTGAAAATGTTTGATAAAGTAGACCCGAAGAGATCATTGCTTTCCTGTTGTTGTTGTTGTAACGAAGCAATGAATTCTGCAACTGGAGGTAGGCCGGTACCTCCAGTGGAGGGTTGTGGAGCTATGTTGAACCCTTTCATCAACCGACGTTCTTTTTGACGGTTCTTTTTACCTCCGGTACCTTAAAATAAATTTTTAGTGTTTTTTGATATTTTTTAAAGATTTTTGAAGTGGTACCCATTCCAGAATGTGCTGTGGGACGTAGTCATCCCAGAATTCTTCAGGATTTCAATCAATTCGAACCGGAACGCTGAAATATCTTGTTTTATTTCATTAACGTCATCTTCAGTGACTCCTTGATTCTCTGCTTTGCGTTGTTCGACAGTTACATAGCGTCTAACCAAATTTCTCATAATAGCCTTAAAATATACACAACATAACCTATATTGATCATAAATTGTTTACCTGATGTTTACCTGGTATCTAAAGTCTCTTTCGCTTGCTTGTTTGACTTTCCTGCGAATTGTTTTCATGTGTTCTTTCTTTGCAGCTTTAGAATGTCCACAAAACTTCCTCTGGGCCCATTGGACAACATACCAGATACTTTTCGGAGTGGGGATGATGTTGAAAGGAGGTGGGGCTGTTCCACCCTCTTCGAAATAGCTTATCCATAGTTTACTACGTGCGAATTTCCATTCTACATCAGCACGTTCCTAAAATCAATTTTAATTCAGACGTTTTTCATCTTAAACCAAAATAGAAGAAAAAAAATAAAGAGGAAATTTGTTTTTATTTTTATTGTTTGGGTTCGGGTTTATTTGAATTTCGTCGGGGTCAGCGCAATAGTAGCAACCCTTGCAAATCTTTGACTGGATGATAAATCGATCTTGACTTGAATTTAAATTACGCCAAATATACAATGAGTTAAATAAAAACACAACAAAAAATTATGAAATATCGATTTTTATTTTTATTTTTATTTTATTCGTGCGTAGTGAATCGTAAACGAAAAAAAGTTGTTTTCCGCCATTTCGTATCGTGAATGGAAATATTGCGTTAGCTGAATCATAAACGCGCTCGCTTGGCAAACTGCCAATAACGTCCGTTTCGAATTTCCCCTTGTTGCACGCCATCGGTTTTCTTTACCATTGTAATCCCGATTCCATTTCCTTCTTGTTAGAATTCATGTTGCGTTTCGCTGCGTGCGTTTACACATGCGTCATGTAACACAAGTTGCCTACCATACATATACACAGAACACTATACATCAACTATGTATATCTACACTAAAATCCCTTACTAATATTATAAATACGAATGTCCTGATGTTTGCTGGCTAATTCATCACGCGCAAAAACTACTTAACCGATCATCATGAAAAATTTGTACACATATTCTTAGTGGTCCCCGAATGGTTATAGCTACTTTTATTTACGCAAAAAAATATTCTTTTAAAATAAAATAAAGAAATAGTTTGAAATTTCCGCACTCATTATTTGATCATTTTAAATGCCATCTAGTTAATTCCAGCACCAGAAACTCAAAACTCTGGTACTATAGTACCATCACACTGTATTATCACACTGTATTACCGACAGCCACGTCAACATCAAATCCACTGACTACACCTTGCTATGGGAGACTGCGTACACTACCTATACAGACTATACTTTCAGCCATTTTTAAACTTCCCGCCATTTTAGATATTCGCGAGCGAAGCCGCGGGTTAAAGCTAGTATACACATAACCCTATACATCAACTATGTATATCTACACTAAAATAACCCTAAAAAAACATTTTTTTAATATTTCACTCACCGATATCAATTGATAGGAGTGATTCATCATGGCGATGAGTAGATTCAGCAACACAACGATGTTGATGACAGAATACGTGCCGAACATAAGCATGCCCCAGAATCTCGTAAAGATTTTGATCCCATTCAAGTCGAAGCTCTCCAAATCGATGAGACCGAACACGGCCCAGAAGAGTGTCTGCGATGTTTCAAACAAGCTGGAAATTCGTATATTTTGCATGAGTACACAAACTACACACATTGCAATAAAACTTTCGTTGTATATTCCAACTAAACCTCTAATATTCATCCTACTAGAGATCTAGTCATCTAATGCGTTTGTAGGTTAGGTTATGTTAGGTTAGGTTAACTTAGGTTGGTATTAACTAGCGTGTAGGGTGTATGTGGAGGTATAAAAGGATAAACAGGGATTATGTGCTAGTGATGCGTTGATGGTTGCTGTTTGTTAGCTTTACTTTGTCACCATTTGGATTTAGACATGCAAAACAATCCAGGTGAACTCAAACGGAAAGTCTCCGACGTAGAGCGAATTCGTGATGAAATCAATGACGTTCCACATATCGCGCACGTACTCCTCCAGACCGACGTCCCATAATTGCTTTATCTCGCTCCAGATCAACCCTGTCAGCACCAAAGAACATGCAATAACTTTGCAAAAACAATCGCGCAAATATTTTCCGAACAAATTGAAAAGATCACCGCGGTTAAATGCGGTTAATCGATGTTATTAGATGAACATTCTTTACCCGGAGGGAATTCCGGGGATGAAAAGATAAGAAGTCGTATAAAAAGATGAAAAGAACACATTTCCGCGCGAAGTTTAGGAGTTTCAGTGGAAAACCGAGGAGATTGTTATTATTCCACGCACGAATTCGAATCGTAGCATCAATTCGTCCTGATAAAAGTCCTAAATCGATGGATTCCAATTGAGGCGAGTTATTCTATTATTCTAACATTCTAACCTCAAACATAAATGAGGTTATGTAACTGATTGATTTATTGTGATCGAATTTATCTTTTTTTGTTAAAATGAATTTTTGTGCTTACCGCTGACCCAGGCAAGGATAATCCATTCGACAAGCGATGGTGTTGATCCACGCTTCGTTGGGATGGGATCCGCGGGTTGCTCACCCAGGAAAAGCGTCTCGATACGTTGCGATGCTAATATCAGCATGACTACAAAAAGAAATAATAATTTTATCATTAATCATCAAGCAGGAGAGAAAAAATACAAAAAATAGATTAATTATTATCTATTGTTTATATTATTAATATTTTTTAACTTTTTTGTGTGAATATATTACTAATGGATTGGAAAATCTGATCAGATATGTTTTCGCGTGGAAAATCCGGCCGAGCGGATGTTGGAAAATGACGGAAGTGCAAAATATTCCCGCGAAATCCGATTGTAATGAATACAGTCAATAAAGTTTTAAATTGTTTGTAAATCGCATGATTGCACACTAATTATGCATTTATTCATTCATTTGTATTGATTTTGAATGCGTCAAAGCATGAAAATGGGTTATAAACTGTTTACTTGGTTGCCTATACTATAAAATCAAATAAATTATGGTTTTATCTGTTTTATTTGCGTAAAATAAATAAAATTATTGATGATGATATGTAAATATTATTATCGTTGAAATATGCAAACATTTCACGAGAAATTTATTCAGCTGTCGATTAATACGAATTATTTACGGATAACTAACTCGATTAATTGTTTTCTGTGGAATTTTGGACAAATATTTGCAATAAATGTAATTTTTATTGTTTTGTAATATTAGTTAAAGCAAAAAATAAATTTTTATTGACTAAAACGTCAAAAATGGGTGAAAATATGTTAACTTGGTTGCATATATAAAATTTTTGTGTAAAATTGCGTTTTCACTCATATAAAAGTAAATAATATTAATTATAATGACATTTAAGCAGTGTTATTGTCTTAATATTCAAATATTTATCCAGCTGGAGATTAATACGTATTATTTACATATAACTAACTCGAGTAATTGTTTTGTGTTGAATAAATGTAAATATTTATCAAATTAAAGCGTCAAAACAATAAAAACAGCCGCAAAACACCATCATTAAAACCTGGTCATTATTAAACTGCATTGCATCATAGTATTACTCGTTTTCAAGCATAATAGGTCAAGTATTCAAGCGTTGATTTGCTGAAAATTGATTTTTCATAAACTACCTACAACCACTGTGAATATATGCAACTTGTCATACACTTATGTAACATATACTGCGTAAAACTCACAAAATTAAAACTTAATCCCTACTAATAATATTATAAATGCGAAAGTTCTGATGTTTGTTACACTTTCACGCAAAAACTACTTAACCGATCATCATGAAAATTTGTACACATATTCATAGTGGTCCCCGAATGGTTATAGGCTACTTTTTATTTAATAAAAAAATTATTTTTTAAATAAAAATAAAGAAATAGTTTAGCCAATAATACCTCTGCATCTGGCTCTTTGACTACTTTTACGCCATCTAGCATTCCAGCAATGAAGCTCAAACCTAAGTACTATAGTACCATCACACTGTATTATCACACTGTATTACCGACAGCTACGTCAACATCAAATCCAATTGACTACACTATGGAGACTGTACACTATACTTCCATAGACTATACTTTCAGCCATTTTAAACTTCCCGCCATTCTACTTCATTGTTACTTCTTCTGTGACTACAGACGCGTACGGAAGCAACTTTATTATTTTAGATATTCGCGAGCGAAGCTAAAGCTAGTTCTTTATAATTCATATTAATACTTACATAAAAATGTAAAATACGATGCGGAATGACAGATGAATTTGATAAACGGCTTGCGCATTGTTCGACCAATCAACGAATGCGGCGCGGTGGTAATGTATCGCGCGCACGATTTTAAGCTTGCAGAACCATGTTTTTCCGCCGGAAACCCGGAAGTCCCTCATACCATATCGACGCAAGTAGTTGTTGAACATTCGAATGTGCCACAAACTGCAAAAAAGCAAAAAAGAGAGAAATGATTACGTAATTTGTGTTGTATACACGAAATAAAATCGAAAGTGTATCACTAGGTCGCGCCGCCGGCGTGTGTCTGAAAGTTGATTGCCCTCCGAATGCCGTGCAACATTCGTGCACATTTCCGTGCGCGTGCCGCCCCCGATATATTCAAATTGCCACCCCTAAACACTAAGCGCTTGTGCACCGTTGACCCAAAAAACGACGCCGACTTTAATACATCAAAACAGCGCCACCCAAACTGTACAACTGGTTGCCTATGGTATTCCCTAAAGTAAAATGAAATAAATTTGTTATTTCCATGAATTTTTCATGTGGAAATAGTCGAGAATTGATTATATCGGGATGATATGTTGACGGAGTGGAAATGTGATGAAAAATTGAGCTTCCACATACAAAACAAGCAGTGGCGTGCCCTAAAATATGATTATAACCTAAAAATTTGAGGTTAAGTTGAATAATTGTGATTGTGATTGAATTCTTTGTGTTTTCAATTCATTATTCTAGAGTAGAGTGTGTTGCGAACCTTTTTTTCATTTTACGAGTGTGCTACAGCTTTTATCGCCTGCCGCTCCCCAATAATCCCGGAAGTCTAACCTATCACCAGCACTATCTGCTGGCATTATACAATGTCCGTTCGTCGGCGGCAGTCGATTATTTTCTATCCGACAGTGTCCTCCTTAAACAGACCTTTCCGGGCGATCTTCACGCGCCTGTTCCGTGAAATGATCGCTTAGACCTTTCAGTCTCCTTTTTACACCTTGCGAGAAGGTCTTTAGGGCGCAAAGCCATCAGAAACTCATGAAGCGCACGAGAACCCATCAATAGTCGATAACTCTGCCTTCGATTCTCTTCTCTAAGCGTCATTTAGTAAAAATCGTGTTTTTCATTACAAATTAAACCGGAAAATACAAAAACTTTACAAAAATAACCTAAAAACTTTGTTTTCAACTTGCAAAGTTACAATTAATGGCAATTATAAAGTAATTAGTGTAATATGCATTCAAGTAGCGCATAAATATTGATTTTCTCATAATGAAGCAGAATTTATTATGGATTTATACATGAAACATAAATAAATTTATGATTGTCCATCATATTGCCAAATTTCCATCAATTTATCACTTTCTTTAGTATTTCCATGGAAAGGTATAACTAATTGTTCCAAATTGTTTTTCAAACACTTCTCATCACAGTATTCATGCGATTTTGGACCGTCACGGTATTTAAAACTGAAAAACAAATTTTTAAAAGGAAATATTGATTGATTAACCTAAAAACCTACTTAATATACTGCCTCAATAGTGTTTTACTAGGTTCAGTGGCCATGCGACGCAGCAATTCAGAAATATCTTCTCCTAAAAGATTGTTAACACCGTAAGCTTCTTTGCAAGCTAGTGAAATTTCTCTACTCACAGTTTTTCCTGCTCGAATGCTTCCTTCGGTTTCTCTCGACAGCTTCACTGTTGGCGATGGACGTTGTCGTAGGCTTCAGCGGGATCAATGATGGTTAGAGCAAAGAGGGTGAACTCAAAATGTTTAAGTATTTATCGGCTACTCAGTTCACCGTACTTAAATCTTTTAAGTTCTACGGCTTGATCAAGTTTCTTGAACGAATCTTCTTCTTGATCGAGTTCGAACACTTCTGACACCAGTATGTTGTGGCCTAGTCGACGTTGCGACTTTGGTTACACAGACTAGCTGCTCAGTAAATGATGCACACAAGAAATTTGGAAAGATACTAGTTTATTAATTCTCTTTACTCCTATTTAATATGTGTTTCTCTAATACGTCATGTACAAGAGTCCGATTTATGACGTACGTCTGCTAATGATTTAAGTCTAAGTTCAACAGATTAGCGGAAGCAAATACGGTATAGGAAAAATACATTATTTGGAAACTTAACTTGTACGTAAATATGATATATAAATGTCTAATCGCTAATTACTCTATTGCTATGGGACAACGGTCGTAACACACTGTTAGAATTACGAAATGTTGTTTCGGTTTTACTAGTTTTATTCAATAATACAGAGCGATCGGATCTTGATTGTGAGCAGTTTACAACGAATGCCGGAGCACGAGTCTGTGTTATTTCTTAGGAGACGCATGCCCCGCGACGCAAGTCGCTGACATAAACAGAAAAACCCCCCATCGGTGATGTGACTCCATGTCCACAGGGTGTTCTGCATGTTGTTGGTGCATGGTCATATACGCAACCTTACATCACAAAGTATAGAAACACAGGAACGTCATGTGGACACGAACCAACGTACATCGGTTCACTCTCAAACCATGCGCAGCCAGTGGCAGAAAAGAGAAGCCTCTACCGTTCGGACTCCATGTATCTATACTTCGTGCCGCTTAGTTTGCACTGCTTAATTTATCTGATTACAAATCATACGATTTGCCCTGAATCGCAAATCTCAACTTATAGTTTCGTCCGGACTCGTGCGCGCGCGGTGTAGCACGAACGTGCTCCGAGCATCCCACGCGCGCCTGCGCATACCGTAGCGGGTTGAAATGGTGTACATTTGAAATAGGACCTCTTAAACTATATATTATATAATGATATATGAAAGAAAAAACAATTTGAAGTATGCGTGAATCATCTGTATATTTTTAATAATTAACAAGTATTTATACTTTGATATAAACATAACATTTAAAATCACACTGTCTGATATTAGTCATGTTTCATTAATTTCCCAACAGCATTTAGCAGTAACTGTTAGCTAAAATTTATGCATCATAGTCATATCCAATTCATAGGCTTGGTTCTAATGCGTTCTTCGTAAGTCGTACTTTCATTTGATTTAATAAGGCATATTTCACATATTTTCTCTTTAATTTTTATGGTGATCACGACAACAATTGACTTCATTTATTACCACATTATTAACATATATTTTGGGTCTGTGCTTTCTTCTCAAACATAATCGCATTTAAAAATAAATGAGCCATCATTTGGCTGATTGCAACAGTAACTTTATTTCTGTTTGGCAAGTTATTAACTAATTGTATCTGACATTACTTGTAATAATATAATAAATTAAAGGAACATACTAGTCTTGCTGATTTGCACATATTCATTTTACATCCTATGATATTTACAAATTGTCTACTATCCAAATGTAATTATATGTTGTGCTCACTTACACTTGCTTCTTACTAACAATTATCACTTCGTCATTTTCTTAGCTTATTTGCAATCTGTGCTCAATTCACAGTTACTGTTGTATAAAATTATAAATTAACTTATGCTGATACAATTTAATCTAACCAATTTAATGAACATAAAGAAACAACTGAAGAAAAATAACTATGACTACGATTCTGTACATCAATAGAGCTTCTACTTTTTATTTAATTAACAATAGCGATATCTTGGACAAAAATTCATGCGCCAAGAATAACTTAGCATAGAATCATTGTGGTAACTATAATATTTTTATTGCATTATATCGAATTGTCACTCAATAAGTAAGTATATTCTTAAGTACATCACCATGTTTCATGAATCATTTGTTATAAAAATAGAATTATGCACAAATAAATGTTTCATTTGACGTCATTTATATTTCCTTTTAAATTTCCTTCAGAATAATTAACATTTCACATTATTTAACTATTAAACTATTCGTTTATTCTCGTATTGTCGGATTTCGTCGCTATCATGGACACAAGTAATCAATGCTCCAATTGTTGTTGTTCCAAGACATTCTAATGACTATAAAATAATTTACGTCTAATGAACTTAGTGCGTTTGCTTCAGTTCAATTTTTTCTTAAAAAATTCATGGCACATATGCTCCAGCTTTGTCTTGTTTTAGTATGCTCCAAATTTGTCACTATGAATTGTCCCTCATTCGTGCTCTAATTAATCGTACACTCAAGTCGTAATTGAGCACATTCTACGTTGTCCTATACTAATGTTTACCGAATCCAAAATACCCACGTGTTACGCAAAACAAATGATACAAAAGTACTTCGAAACAGGACGACAACATTGAGAAGAGGAGGTAATGCACTTCTATTAAAAGTGAAATAGGCGAGGACGAGAGATTCTTCATAAGGTTGGTCCCACTATACTAGTTCACACCCACGCGGTATTTCCATTATATGTGAATGTGTCCAAAATCATCAGTAAAAAGCGGTGTTCGACAATAGAACCAAATGGCTTTCGTTAAAATACATAGAAATACCACAAGTTAAAACGATAAAAGCAAATTTCGAACAAATTTGCATCACAGCCTTTGAAAAATGCAGCTTTACCATAAGGAAGCCTGCCTCAAGCAATCTAGAGGTGTACAGAGTATGTCCCCCATCATCAAATTGCCACACTTGTATCACCCAACCGCCGTTAAAGTGTTATTCTTATGCCTGTTATCGGTGGTTCTAAAAAAGATAAACACAACATAAATCAAGATTAAGATCGGTTTGACGTGTTTCAATCACATGACCATGCAATTAATAGATACTCAAACAGTAAATCTGCCCACCACCATCATAAAGCAAGGATTAGTACTTGAAAAGAGGAAAACAAGCACAATTTTTATGCGAAAATACTTACTGTGGGTGGTGAATACGCGCCTGGGTTGCCAATTGCTATAATTTTGATTCATTCCCAGAAAATAATATCATGCATCGTTTACTTACCCATTAGTTCCATAGCAATACGACTTTGAAGTATAATAATCTCGAACAATATCGCAAATTTGGCCCAATTTCAAAGATAACGTTTAAATGCTAATTTAAGTGTATCACACTAAGCAAGCACAATTACAACGATAAAACGTACATAAAACTTGAGAAGTAATTTTAGAGAAAACAAAGAAATAAACTCAGAGGCTAAAATAAAGGCAGTGAAACACGAGTCATTAAATGGTCCTACTCGACAGCAGCAAGAACTGCTCAACAAACTTTTGACACATGAAAAATCGACTCCGAACATAAATTAACCTATGCGATAAAACTCACCGATAGATTGATGACGCCGAAGTTGATCTAGACCAAGATACGAGAAATCCCTCACCTCTCCGCAGCGCTCGTCGGTGCATCATCAGCGTCCGTGTCACATCATCGGGGAAAACCACCGTGTGGAGAATTCGCAACAAAAATCTGAAATAGGACAAAATTGAATGCATTTGATGCAAACGGATGAATTGTCGTCTGACAATTGACTAAGTAAATTACCTGGGCAGCAGCGCGAGAACACAACTTAAAGGTATTACTAGCCAATAATTTAAGGTGCTCATCGCATGCTGAATGATCCAATAATTACTCGGCAGGCCGAAGCAACTCACGCACAATGAATTGTACAATACGGAGTAAACGTAAAAGGCACCTATCGACAATATCAAACTCGCCACCTGAATGATTGTCTGTAAAAAATTCAATTATGTTTCACGCCAGCAATCTATTGAGAACAATTTCTTACCCATGAGCGCGTTTCAATCGCTGCATGTAACAACATCACAAACATGCAGGCCGTTGTCACGACCGTTCCATATTCCAAAATATCTATTTCACTATCCGCATAGACTCCTTGGCAAATAAAAAACACGGTTAGTGACTGATAGATGGCGTCAATCATGGTCAGAAGAAATGAATTCGTTCGGTAGACTTTTCCCAATCGTCCGCGCCCGTACAAATGTGGGTTTTCACGCAATATATGCTCCGGGGCATCTTGATCGTAGACACCTACAAAAAAAACAACCACGTCAACAACATTCTACAGCTATTAAGCCTATTCTTACCGATCGCTAATGGCGGCAAAGAGGTAAAAAGTAAATTATATAACATGAGGTACATTTGGTCGATCATCACAGATCCAGAAAACCCGCAATAAAGTTGATACCAGAAGATTAAGAATACAAATGCCTGCAAATGCGCATAATTACTATCTGGTTCTCTCCCAAACTATTGATGTACTCACAGCGTTTTTATAAAAAAAATACAATATCATGTTGGACAAGCGGTCGTAACTCCAATGACCATGCACGAGCAGGAAACGCTCCAAATATTTAAAACGCGACAATGAAAAGTCGGCGGCCATCACAGCCTGCATGCCCTCTTGGCCAGAGATGCCAATACCAATATCGGCTGTCTGTATCATGCTGACATCGTTAGCCCCATCACCAATGGCCAAAGTTCGCATTTTCAACTCTTCCTTCACTACTTTCACGATGTAGGCCTTCTGCAGCGGGGTTGTTCGACAACACAGCACAGAATTACAGTAAGTCGTTAATTTTAGGAAAGGCTTCGTCAAATTCGACCTCCTGTCAAGTATAAATGTCAACGTTTTACCGTCAACAATAAGTGCTCTCGATTTGTTCTTGTTCTGGCTTCCGCTGCTGTGGTTAGAGTCTTTCCCTTCGGGATTCTGTCTTTCAATTTCATTCAAATAGAAATAAATGGTTGTCTCCGCTGCTTCCTTGCTGCGAGCCATAATTTTTAGCTGCTCCATGTGCGGGGAGAAGAGTTTCGCCGAGTAAGCGATGTTAATGGCAGTTTCGGGTTTGTCCCCGGTGACGACCCACACCACGATGCCGGCCGCCATTAGAGAGGCCAACGTCTCCGGCACACCTTCCTGCAGGCGGTCCTCAATGCCAGTTGCGCCAAGCAGGGTCAGCTGGCACTCGATGGCCGCAAAGCTTTCCATTAAACGTTTTTCTAAATTTTCCTGCGCCACCTCCGCTTCGTTGTGCTTCCGCAGCCATTCGTTATATTCCACCGTCGATAACGTACGTTTGGCCATTACCAGAACGCGCAGACCTTTCTTGGCATAGGCGTTCAGTTGCTGCTGCGTCAAATAAATCAATTTCTGTGCCTCAGAGTCGTCCTCGACTGATGCCAGATTGGGCAGAATTGTTGTGTCGGCGCCCTTGCAGTAAAGAATGATCTTCTTCGTAATCGGATGCTTAATGATGACGGACATGCATTTTCTAGTCGAATCGAAGGGTAAAACATTTAATATTTCATAATCTAATTTTCCGGTGCGCGCAGTTTCGACAGCAACCGAGGTCGGAGTGCGCTTGAGCAATTTACAGTGGTAGGTATATGCGGCATCGACCAACGCTAACTCGTCGGGGCTTTCAGCTTCGAATATGGGCTTCAAGTCCTGCGGCGACGGCGTGGACGATTGCGACGCTTTCGATTTCTGTTCATCGGTGAGATTGTTGCGCTTCGCACCGAGGAAGCTCAGCGACGGGATGGTGAGTATTTTAGGCCGGATTGTCTTCGTTGTTGGCAGCTCGCTAGTGGGCGATGAGTCAACTGAGGTGATCGGACTCAGCGACGGCACGTGCTTACGATCGGGATGCAGATGTGCGTTAAGGGGCGGCGAGGGTGTCACTGAGCGCGATTCCTCCAGCCGGCTGTACTCGTTGGCCGAAAGCGCACTTGGAGTAGTGGGCATCTCGACGATGTTGACGCTGGACTGCGACGCCTCGTACACCCCTTGCGGCTGTTCGACGATGCCGCTGGCATTCATGAGATCGTGGTGCGGATGATGCGCACACACAACCGTATTGCACACTGCAAGCAACACGAGAAACTCTTGCACCCGGGCGGCATGAATCTGCTTGTTAATGGACGCGTCCGCCTGTACCAGCTGATAATTGAGATCCATCGCTAATTTCGGATTGGCAAGCACTGTCAAGGTATTCTTGCTTTTGCTATCGTCCTGCATGTGCGGATGGTTGTAATCAATACCAGCGATAGTGCAATGGCGGAATATCATGCGGTTCTCGGTGAGCGTGCCCGTCTTATCCGAGAAAATGTACTGTATCTGTCCCAATTCTTCAGTGATATTCAATGCTCGACATTCGAGGCGTTTATCGACGAGAGGATCGTACAAATCCACGTTATTGTGTATGTGATAGACCTGGATGATCTTACACATTTCCAGTGTGACGTACAAAGACAAAGGAATCATAATCTGAAACGAATATGGCGCTAATCATACTGCATTAATAGTCACACTGCGCGATGCACATACTTGCAAAATAATAATGTATGTCCAAAATGCCAAAAACGCTTCACTAGTATCATTGGTGTCCTCGGACCGGAATGGCAGTTCGAGCTTCGGATGCGCGCTCAACCACACTTTGCATCCAATGGCGCCCAGAAGACACAAGACGAACAGGATGATGACACACCAGATGACGTCCTGATTCATAAGGCGCTCGAGCGTTGACCGCTTGTACCGCGGACCGCCGTTATTGAGCATCGCTTTCGTTTCATGCCCAGCATACACCACGATACCTTCCACAAAGTCGGTATTTTTCAAAAGGCATTCGCGCAGCAACAGATTCTCCGTTCCGACAGGCACCCGTTCGCCCGACGAATGGATCATGGCACCATGAAATCGGTAGATCTTGGTCGTTGGCGCGTCCACTTCGATAATGCTTTTGAACTTGGACGGTTCAAACACATCTTGCTGAAATAGCATACACGCATAGTACCATGTCAGTGTTATTAAATTTGAAATCATTTACCATTTCGGTAAAGCCTCTAGCAACTTTGCGCTGCTTGAGATTTGTCTCCCCATCCAAATGACCCGTATCGATGTAACACAAACCGTTCGGATCACTCGAGCGCAGTAGGAGGATGTCGGCGGGCACAACTTCGTTGTTGGACAGATGAATGAGATCCCCCACGCGCACTTCCTTCCACAGGACTTTTTTGTACCGATCATGTTCACTGCAAAGAGGAACACAAATCAAATATGAACAAAATTATGTAAATGATAAATGCAGAATTACAAGTGTTGACCCATAATTAGCGCATTAATAAACATGTCGAAACATTGCTAATTGCGTAAATTGTGTGTGTGTGTGTGTGTGTGGCCTAGTTCTCAACATTTTGAGACAAATTCATAAGATATATGCAACCTTGGCAAAGACACACCTCACAAATGAGTGCTCTGTTGTGCAATTGTAACAGAATGAAATAAAAGTGAGCATAATGTTATCACGCGTAGTATCAATTAATTATTTATTTCTTATTCGCGGTCGCCGCTGTCGGACAATATGTACTTGAACGCGTGTAATATTTATGGGATGCGCCGGCTGTCGACTGGTTACATCGAGAGGCCGTTGTAACGAATTAGTTCAAATTAGACGCCACGTTCGACTTTGCATTAACACACTCCGCAATTTATAAATATATACTAGATGGAGCAGAGCAGCACGTGTACCGCTTAAGCATAAACGAAAAAAGAATAATGCGAATCGTTTATTGGCGTGTTTTTTCTCAGTTTATTTTCGACTTGAAGTGAGCGATTACACATGAAGTACGAGTACGCTCCTAAATTATAGCTAATGTAAAATCAAATATCCCAATGTGGCATGCATTCATATGACATGCAATCATCAGTCATCTGCGTGTTTTTCTTTTCTATTTTCATGAAATTTCCTCGCGTGAAGCCCCACAAAAATCGAACATGTTATGTTTCTGTCGTACGTATCTTCTTCCACATTAATAATTTTCTATTTCGTGCTAACAGTGCTCAAGCATGTGCACAATAAAGGCAGGCGCACAATGTCATGGACAAATGTCGACATTGATTAATTCTCCCTTCTAGTACCTTATTACGTACAAGTGCAAGTAAGATATAATATTCAATCAAATGTTAGCAATTCACAAGTCGGATGATGCTCCATATCAGTGGAGGAGACGGTTGCTATACGATGTGAATGTTCTGTCGATGGCCGAATCAGCGAAAATTTCTGCAAAAGTTTCTGGCCTGTTGATCCGTTAAACGTTAAAAATGTAACGAAAGAGCCGCCCCAACTCAAAAATTCATTTACATTTACATTTTGCCGTAACAATCGGTAAACGTAATCACAATGCTCCTTTCATTTGTAAGAGGTTTACAGATATTTATAACGAGCAAAGCGCAATTGAATATTACGCATTGTTTATTATGCCTGACGTGTAGATTTCTGTGTTTGAAAGTAAGTAATTACAGCTTCATTTTCAATAGCGCGACTGTGAATTTCTCCAAGCTATTTATTTGTTAATTGGCAGCATTTACATTTCGAAACAAAAAAGCGAAAAGAGGTCAAGTTGAACGTGTCACATGCGTACACAATGTTCAACTTTAATAAAACTTCACATTGCGCATTCTGCGCCATTACGCAATTCAAGTGTCGTCATGCTAGCAAATGGCGCGAATAAAGATTGATCATAAATGACTAATTAAAATACATTTCAAATATCAGATAATGAAGCTGATAAATACAGTCGGAACAAAGATAAGTTCTCAATTTAAATACAAAGAGCATGCAAAAATTATTGTCGAAGCAGAAGCAGAGAACCGTACATAGCATGTACATTACATTACTGTTATAACGACATGGGTCAAGAAACTGTATCGAATATGCAGCACACATTCAATACAATTAATTCAGTGCGTTCAAGTGAGCGCTAATAAGTCATGGCCGTCGATCAAGCGCCAAACGCGCAGCGACAGTGTTCGAAAATAAAATGAAATGTGATTCATGACCAGATATGTGATAAAAGATAACTCAATGTTAACAAAAACAACTTTTTATTCCACTGCAGTGCCGTTTAAAGTTCACTCGCCCATTGTTTTCAAGGCAATATCATCACAGGCTATCAAACACACAATGCCCCCAAGTGTGTGATAATAACAACATGCGCACACGAAATAAACCCATACGAATTGTAAACGCTATCAGTAACTGCCAGGCCACGGAAGGTATGTGTGCAACCATCGATTTAAAGTCGCATTCTAGTCACTTTCGATCTTGTCATAAAATATTAGCAAACTTACGCGATGATAAGATAACTGTAGGCACATTTTTGTCCAGATTATAAAGACTATTCAATCATACTGCTCCCTTTTTTGAATACCTGTCACTTTTTCCTTGCTCTTCAACCGCAGGAAAAAGATTTGTACAAGTCGCAGACGTCTGGAGCTTTTTATCATGCAAATCAAACAGAAAGAAATTAATTCAATAATTGCTTCACTGACAAATTAAAATTATTCACTCAGCAAACACAAGTATTTTGTATCAACGGAAGTGACGTTTGCAATATTTCCCATTATCAAATAATAGCTCAGGTCGTGTAAATCACATGCACGATAACGCTATTGAAGGTCTCGCCATAAAACCAAACTCTAGTTAACTCGCCAAAACCTACACGAAGTAAAATAATAATTACCAAATACCAAAATATTTGTGAAAAAATCAATGCCGTTCATTTACACGTTGCATTCGTTAAGCGTAAAATCGTAACGACAAATGAAATCGAAGCACATTGATGAAACTTCGATTAGGCTAATCACCATTTGAACCCGGCTGCCTACATGTAACCGCATGCTCATTCATGTCAATCGATGAAAGAAAAAGTGTCCCCTAAACGACATGAAGTACAGATCGAACGCGATAAAACCCGAGCGAGAAATTAATCAACACAGCACGATGTTTGTAGGAGAAATCGTTATCTGGAACAGTTTGCGGTTCGTGAGTGTCGATATAATAAGAACAATTATTAATTTATCGATTTCTCGTTCGCTCTCAATAAATTTAGATTAATTTCTTGCGTCTCGGAGTGAAAACGAATGAGAAGGTTTAATAAATCCGCTCATCGTGAAATCAAAGCACAATGTTGCGGATAAATGAAAGTTCCGCGGTTTCGTAACATGCATGCGTATCTCAGTATTCATAACTAAATTAATATGCAACGTAGGTATGTGTGGGATTAACATGGTCGAGCTGTTTCGCAAAGATACTAAATGTCATTGTTGGTGTTCATAACAACCTCGAGTTCTTTTATTTTCAACTTGAAACTTACGATATATAATTCTGGACGAAACAACTCAGCAAAAACTCAATTTTTAGAATGTGAATTATATAATGCATCCAGTAGCGAAATGTGAAGCAAAAGAACAGGAAGCTCTCGTCTCAAGTAACGAGCAACGACCGCTGGATCTCTCCACGCTCAATTAATACCTCATAACAGTTTTCCATACAATTTTTACAATAGCGCGTCTAAATTTACATCGCACAACATTTCAAATATCGTTATGCAAATAATTAATTCTTAACTGTAACTTGACAGATTTGGAGCCGATACCTTGACATTTATTTTTGTTTCGTCGTTTAATTGTCTTCCACGGAATGAATTTACCAATAATAGCCAGTCAATATAAATATGCAAAGATAAATTGATGCAAGTCGTGCGAATCTGTAACCTTGCCACCTTTCCGAGGGGGCAGCATACAGATCAAGGCTGCGCGATTGAGAGTCGTTCGAAAAGCAAGCTTCAATAAAGTTGCCAGACTGTTTACTATTCACTGAATTAACTCTTTTAAAAAAACCACACTCTACCAAAACAACTAAATCAAAAGTATAATTGTCTAGGAAGACAATCGAATGCCCTTGACATGCAATGTCCTTCATCCTGCTGCCATTGGCCCAGCGGCCTGCGACACGAACTGCGTAATGAGGGTCGCATTGCCGGTGGTGAAAGTCGGACGAAAATTCAATTGGAATTCCAACATTACCGTTACGAGCCTATAAACATGTGTCCTGTATCTTTGTTTGCGTACATGACTCACCCACGCAAAGGACTGCCGCTTATTGTTTTACTTTAATCGGTCAATGTCGCAGGACAATAAATCACATGTTCTCCTTAGAGAGGTTTTTGGTTTCGAAGTAAATTTCTCCCGATTATTTTTCATGCCATCAGAAAAACAATATCCAGGTCAATTCATTACTCATATGTTATTCATAAGTTAATATCGCGTACGTGCGGAACATTGCAATGACGGGCAGTTCAGCCGGTTGTTGTCCCACACCGCCCAGCAATGCGCGATCGCATGTACCGTTCATTTCATTTCATCGCACAAACTCAAATTACTTTTGAATACATGCCTGCACCACCGGGTTTCCCACGAGCAAGGATTGATGTGTTATCAAATAATATTGTCAAAGATTGCGAAGGTAGAAAAGAACAAAGGTAGGTAACTGGAAAACAAATCAATCGAATCGACGAGAAAATTGTTCAACAACCCTGCTTGCGTGTCACAGTGGTACACAGTGATAATGCACACATGTTCCACCTATCTATTATTTCGTAATTATGGATTTTTTTAAATGACACACTGACTTTGAACCTCGATTATATCGGGAAGAAAAAAGAATACCATGCATTGGTTTATTTCGCGCACCCGGCATTCGGGAAAAATACCGTAAATGAAATCGATGTGATTCATTGTACAAACATTCATTCCAATACGCCCAGCGAGATATTTATTGACTGCCGTCGCAGACCACAGTCAAACTGTACCCATCAACATCTACATCCGTGTTCACGTCACACGAATACAGTTATTTATTAATACATTTAGGATGAATTTAAAAACAAAACAGCGCGGAAAACAATAGTCACTATCAATTGTACGTTTAATTGAATATTATGTGTCAAAGAACATTGTTGTTCGTGACTCACCAATCTCGATTTATACGACGATAAATAGTAATTGTAGTTATTGGAAAATGGGAGAGAAAACATAAGCCGAACGATGAGAAAATACTCACGCCCGCCTGGCGAGCTCAATACGAAGCATATTAATTATTTATGACATAATTAATCCTCCACAGACCGCACACAAAAAGTGTAAACAGAAACACACGGTAATCGGTAATTGAGTGGGGATTTGAAAACTGATTTTATCAATGACATAGAAGAGTTAAATAAGTTTATTTAGAGGCAAGAAAATTATTTTCTCAATACGATTATGCCAAAATAAACAAATAGAGAGAGAAAAGAGGCTGGACACTGTGCCCTGCGATTTTGTTTGCGTCGTGCGAAAGAGTGCTCTTCTCTATGTCCTCAGCGCTAATTAACATAAGCACGTGTCAGGGGGGGTTCCACGTTTTTGTATTTGTTATATTATTTATTAAACTCGGCCAACAATAACACCTGTGTTAATGCAGCATGTGCGATATTTTCCTCGGCACAAATGTTTCGCATTTGCACACAATCGCAGGCAGTGAGCACTCGCGCAAACACGCCAGTTTCTAATCAACACGCATGGGCCTCCTAATTATAACATATTTCGTTATTGGCCGTTATATTTATCCGAATAATAGTCAATCGGCAATCAAATTTACGCTAATTCAAAGTTACCAAACAAATGAAACAAACCTTGAACAACCAGAAATGTACTAGTGTGGCCCGCAGGTACATTTGTTAGATTTGCATCGGAATAACGTAATTATCTTTAAATGCATGTGCTGCTTTTTGTTTTCAAGTGTAGAATTAAAAACTGTACAGTAAAAATAATGCATTGTACGCCTACTAGAGATTAACTTTTAACGCTTGATGATGCAGACTCAAAGCAAACGAAATAGTTTAATAAAACGTCATGAACGTTTAAAGCTGTTGTTGTGCACATGCTATCAATATCTAAGAATATATCATTTGCGATTTTCGAGTTTACTTTAAGCTATCCGAATATAATACTCGTAAAATCCAGAGAATATTTCAATTTACGCCATTGCACATTGCGTTCGTAAGCAAGAATACAGAGTGTTTCGCCACACACGAAAAATACAAAAGCAACACAGAAACGAGATCAAATTTACGGAATAAAAGTTTAAACAAGTTGTAATAATGCAAGGTATTGAGATAACAAGTGTGAGAGGCACTTGGATTCGATAATATTTCAAAGAGAAAGCCTCAGTATGCGCATTGTGAACCATGACTAATCCCACTAATAGATACCGCATATATCGGTGACTAAAATATCTTGAGGACATTAGAACACGTTTTAAAATGCCAGCAAAATTAATTTCATAGCTGTGATCTAATAATAGTCGCAAAGTTTTGAAAGTCCTTCGTGATTTTTTTCCACTTACCTTTGATATATTCGACACGTGGAGTTGTTTATCCGTTTGTCGCTGGCATGACGTCGTCGATCCTCGAAGAGATCCTTGACCGCGGTGACTCCCAGCACAAACATCACCGGTATCATTGCTATCTCCTTGCCAAAGGCGTTTATCGCCGGAAACCAATTGAGCAAGACGATAAAGATAAAGTACAGATTCGCGACACGATGGAATTGTTCCAGCAGGTTGCGGGGCAGAAACGAGAGCAGTGTGTATTTAGTGGTGCGCACCTTGTTGTCTGGTCGCTTGCCGTTGGGGTGTTCTTTCCGAGGTGTCTTCGGTGGCACAGTGTGATTGGGCACTACGATCCGATAGCGTTCCTCTTGCTCATAACGCGGTGTGCGTCTCATGAGGAAGCTGACCAGACGACGCCAGAGTGGAGGCGGTGCTGAACGTCGTAATGTGTAGATGGACTCACTGCGACTTGCCTGCCGTGAGTGCCCCTTACCAGAGGCCTTCGAGACACTGCCAGTGGCATTCTCAGCGACTTCCTTGTGTCCAGGCGGTAAGATAAAATCCGTCTTAGATCCGACACGACTGTGTCCAGGTCGTGTTGCCCCACTCCCCCCTGCTGCCTCCGAGCCAGAGATCTGCCCCTGAGAGAAAGCACGTTGGTGGCCACGGGCCGATTTGAGTGCACTGGGGCGGGCAATGCCGCCGCTTCCAGCCGTCCTCGCACCATCGCCATGACTCGCACTTCTCGCGTGTCCGCGTACCTCTACTGCCCGTCCGACCACATCCGGAAACGTGTATGTCGCACCGGCATTGAACCCAACGCTGGAGCTTGCACCAGCCGACGAGGTGGATGCTTCAACGTTCAAGTCGCTAATCACGTTCTCTCCTATGCGAGTGTGTGACATTATTCCACCTCTGAAATGAATCAATGTTGTTGGTCAAATCTGTGCACCTCGGCCACACCATACGGTCACTTGTATGCTTACGTACCTCTTTTCTCATCACTCGTTCGTTTTTCCCGTGCTTCGCGCGCACAGTCGACGAATACGAAAAACAGGCGCTGTGCTGATGATTAATCCAAGCGGATGATTGAAGACGTTCATTCACGCACAAAATATCCACCACCGTACGAAATTTGTTTTCCCGAAACGCGCCGCGAACTTGGTCACAAATCACTAAACATAGCTTTATTCACATACAAAATCCGAGAAAAGTCATACAACCGAACGCAACAAATCAACCATGAAGCTCTTGATACACGTTGGATGCTTTCGGTGGTGTGTATATTATTATACTACACCTTACAAATACGAAAACGGAATAACGGTCGACACACGCAACCAGCACCAAACTAGCACACGTCCGGAGAACGACTCCGCCGACTCGACACGAACCTGAAGCGAACGGCCGATCAACGGCCCGAGCGAGCCCCACGCAGTCCACGCACGCACCATGGGCACACCGGGCGCACGAAAGTCACTCAACCAAGTCAACGTCATCGCAAAACGTCAACATTATCTTCTCCATTTCGTGTACTTATTTTATTGACAGTAAATACGTTACGTTTTTACCACGACCATTTATTGCAAGCCCTTAAATTAAAAACAATGGAACTATCAATTTTAAATTTAAATTCTTGGTGTTATTTGGGGAATTTCGTTGCGTGTGGGTGTATTGTTGGTGGTATACGTCATTTCGCCACGCGTTGTCTCGCCCCTACAAAAATTCAAATTTATGGCTAACCGACAGAAATACATAAAGGATATTAAATTGATATTAAATTTTAAAATTCTGACTAGTTTATGTCATATTATATTAGGTCCATGGCGAATTAATTGTTTTTTTGCCTCGCTGTCAATTTGATGCGAGGTAATTCGCCCTGAACCGATTTGCGCGTTCATTCTTGTGTATTTTGCAAGGACTGTTTTCGTAATTGCAACGCTTTAAATAAACTATAGACTGTACAGTCTCTATATGATACTTAATTAATTGATTGGACGCATGTAAATCAGTTTAACATTTGCCTATATTTATTTTGATCCGATTAATTAGAAGCTTCAATTTTTGCGCGCATTTTTGCCATATGACGTCGCCTGTTTCCATTTGCGCAGCCATGTTGCCAGTCACTACAAAGTTAATGGAAAATTTAAACTTAAATTCCAAGATGCATTACAATATCTTTAAAATATTTAATTTTGCCTGTATTATCCATTGTTAATTGTTAATTTAAGACTACAAATTAATGTATAATTAAGATTTGTGCAGCATTTTTTGTTTTGCCACGGTATTAAATTTACAGTTAGACAACACCGCATGCGCAGTGTTTTATTAACTGTCAGTGGGTCGGTGTCCTTTGGTGCCTTTTATTCTGCACTGTCAACGTCGCTCGCCGAAGGGACGAACCCGATTGAATAGTTAACAGTTTTTCTCCATTTCGTACATCAGTTGAATCATTCCCTCTTGCCATGGATGAGGAATACGATGCAATTGTGCTGGGCACCGGCTTGAAGGAGTGCATCCTCAGCGGCATGCTCTCGGTCTCTGGCAAGAAGGTGCTACACATTGACCGCAACAAATACTACGGAGCGGACTCGGCTTCCATCTGCCCACTGGAGGATCTCTTCACCAAATTCAACACCCCGGGGCCCGATGAATCCTACGGGCGTGGACGCGACTGGAATGTCGACCTCATTCCCAAGTTTCTAATGGCCAATGGCCAGCTGGTCAAGCTGTTAATCCACACAGGGGTTACCAGATATTTAGAGTTTAAGTCTGTGGAGGGTAGCTATGTGTACAAAGGAGGAAAAATCTCCAAGGTTTGAATGCTTTCATCTAGGCAGGAACCCATCCATTAATTGTTTTCTTGAATGTCTCTTTGTGCAGGTTCCTGTTGACCAAAAGGAAGCTCTAGCCTCTGACCTGATGGGCATGTTTGAGAAGAGACGCTTCCGGAATTTCCTAATATACGTGCAGGACTTCCAGGAGGCAGATCCGCGGACATGGAAGGACTTTGACCCAGCCAAATCTAACATGAGGGCACTTTATGAAAAGTTTGGCCTGGATCAGAACACTCAGGACTTTACTGGGCATGCACTTGCCTTGTACAGGGATGATGAGTACCTCAATCAATCTGCTCTGCAAACTATCAATAGAATTAAGTTGTACTCTGACTCCCTAGCGCGATACGGCAAGTCGCCGTATTTATATCCAATGTATGGTCTTGGTGAATTGCCCCAAGGTACTTTAAATCTTAATTACATGTTGATCAATAGCAAATTGTATTAATTTCATAATTATCACAGGCTTTGCTCGTTTGTCTGCCATCTACGGCGGTACTTACATGCTGGACAAGCCCATTGATGAAATAGTGCTCGGCGAGGGCGGACGCGTGGTGGGCGTGCGTTCCGGAACCGAAGTAGCCAAGTGCAAGCAAGTCTACTGCGATCCCAGCTACGTGCCCGACCGCGTTCGCAAGAAGGGCCAAGTGGTGCGCTGCATCTGCCTTGTGGATCATCCGATTCCGAACACGAAGGATGCGCTCAGTACGCAGATCATCATTCCGCAAAAGCAGGTCGGACGCAGTTCGGACATCTACGTCTCGCTCGTCAGCTACACTCACCAAGTAGCCGCTAAGGGTTGGTTTGTTGCGATGATATCTACCACAGTGGAGACCAACAACCCGGAGGCTGAGATAAAACCAGGCCTCGATTTGCTCGGCGCGACGCGTCAGAAGTTTGTCAGCGTGTCGGATTACTACGAGCCGACCGACAACGGCCTCGACTCGCAAATCTTCATCTCTGAATCTTACGATGCCACGTCGCATTTTGAGACTACCTGCTTGGATGTGCTGGATATCTTCAAGCGCGGCACCGGCGAGGAGTTTGACTTCTCGAAGATCAAGCACGAGCTCGGCGATGAGGAACAATAATCGTTCGAAGAATGACAGACCGATCCCCTGCATCTATAAACATACATATACATACATAGCAAACTGATTTGAACACTCACGAAACGTGCAATTAATTGTTTTTACCGAGAATCGAATACGTCTAGCACAAAATTCACATGGGAGCATGGAAGCATGAAAATCAAGTGCGTTGTTTAATTTGACCTGCTTAGTAGTAGAATTATTATTAGTGGTATTAAATGCTTGCATGTTAGATCGAGATTAAGCCAAAACCGAAAGTTTCAGGATTCAATGAGCACGTTTAACATACTTATACGATACCCATTTATATTGTGATGGTTAGGGATGAAAAGTACTATTATATAAGTAATTTTATTATAGGTATTTCCAATGTAAGCGAAAAGAAAAGAATCATGAAAATAGTACTATATGAAAACGCATACGAAAACAAAACCAAAAATATTTGTCTGTACTGTACTCTTGTTAGTGTAAAGGTATAAAACACACACACATTCACATTGAAACAAACGCATTGAAAACAACCTCAAGTTAGCAGCTTGATGCAAAGCATTCCAAATGTAACAAAACAAACACACGTTTTGCGTTCATTTTATATCGAAACAAAATCAGATTTGTGTAATTGTGAACAGAAAGAACTAAGCCACTGACAACTCCACTGTACTTGTAACTTGGTGTGGTGCAAACATAAATCAACGCGAATAATTATTGCTTACACAGAACATGAAATATAAATTAAGCTTCTTAACGGTAAGCAGGACACGTTTAGGTGTGTAATAATTTGTTGTCAAATAATACAATTACGAAATCAAATAAAAGCAGCTTCATATATAACTTAGCTGCCTCACACCTCAATTTCCTGCTGCTGCTGTGAACTGCAAGTAAGTAAGTATTAGAAAATAAATTCAACACCATCTGCAAGTATTTCAATATGCATTTTTTTCAATATTTCTCAGTATGAAAAATATTAAATAATCAATGTGTACATTAAATTTACACATATATCCACCTGGTAGTAATATAAAAGTGCGCACTATAATTGTGTCCATTGTATTGCATCGAAATAAATCAGCTCAAGTCAAGCACTGAATCTGAATTAAGCTCATTCATTATTTACACAATGATAAAAATGCCTTAATTAAACAAACATTCGCTCAGTTATTGTAATTGAATTGACGTGTGGACAGCAATTAGTTTGATTCTTAAAGTTGGCGATTGTTATCACAATACAAGCTGCAATCGAAGGTTTCACTTAGAAATAACCGATAAATAACACACATTAATGGCCCTTTTGTGTTGCGCACGCTTCATTCTAGAATATCTCTAAAGTTCAGTGAGAAAATATATTACCCTGCATTCATTACAGACATTTTTGGTATACCAAAACGACGATTTTTCAAATCAATCAGTAACAACATTGTTATAACAAAGCAATGATAAAACAGAGCGCGGTAACTACTTGGCAATTGGTATTTGTACAAGCAGCTCATGCACACAGCGCTAAATTCGTATCAAAAATGAATTTTTTAAATATTTATAACACAACCAGAGTCGTCTTCTTCCACTGACAACGAACAATTGTCTAGAAAACTACCTCATTTTCACGCCTTGCATTCAACCACACCACTTATTATCACCTATTGTATTACAATTGTAAAGATCTACCTAAACATATCCGCTATTATTGGTTATTATTTGTTATAGTTCTGTTTTTGGTCAATTATTACAAAATCTAAACTCGTGGCAAGTATTTTCGTCTCGTGCCACTCGCCGCCGCCATTCTCGTGATGAATAAGTGTGGAATACGTATGAAAACGCACGCACAAGGTTATCGAGTATTAGTATTAAACCATTAGAGTTAACATAATCTCACAAAACTAATAAAAAATTGACTAGTTGGATGTAAAATCTAGCTGACCATCGTTATCAAGTTGCAAACCATTTCAGTGTGATGCGCATGCGCCGTGGCAGTGTGTGCGCAAGGTACAAAAATCACAAAAGTCCATAATACTCTTTTCCGTACCCAAAACACACACCACCTTAAATAAAGTACATCTCCAAAATATAGACCAACGATGGCACAGCCGTTTGTTAATTTATCAGATAGTTGTAATAGTCGTACACGGCCATGAACATTTGCACATGGATATAAGTGGATGTGAAAAAAAATATATGCAAGATAAGGAAACGTAGACAATCCTGCGCAACGACGCTCGGCTGAATTGGCTGTTTACAATAATCGGCGGCGGGGATATCGTCCGTGCGATAGAACGTTTCCAACATGCGCTCTTTCTCTTCGAAACGATCAAAGAGCCACTTGGAGAGGCCCTCGGTGTCGTGCGGTATGTCCTGGCACGAGTACAGCCTGTAAAAGAGCACCGTTTTGCATGGCGCCCGAATTCCGAAAATAATATCCTTTAAATCTAAAGGTACTCCCTTGGGATATGCTACTGTTATATCTAGTACGAAGGCTAATTTCGCTTTCACCGCTACTGGCCGGTCTGAAATATAAAACCAAAGATTAAAAATGTTTAAAGCCTGGAGGATTTGACGGGTTACACACCTTCAATCACAGCATTGTTGTTGGCTGCTTGCCCTGGACCCACAGTACTCATGATGGCATGCAGTGCGCCAACTCGTGGCAACGACACATTGTTCAGGACGGGCAGATTGTTTTTTTGAGCGTATTTCTGCGAAACGGCGCGTCTTTTACGAAGAAAACCACCTTCAGGAAAGAGCACCATCCAGTTCCGATGCCGCGGAATATACGACTCTAATATGTGCGTTACTAATTCATGAATTGATTGCTCCCTACTACTTTTACCCTTTAAACACAATAGAAATAGATTTAATAAGTCGAAATGAATTAATATAAAGCCATTTACCGATTTAATAAAGAAGTCCTGATGCAGTACGCTTACAATACCAAAGTTTGTATACTTGAAGAGACTGTCCATAATCCACATTAGATTTGAGGTGACACCCTTCTTGGGGTTGAAGCAAGCCATCAGCAGAGGCACATCTGCAGTGCTCTGATGATTAGCAATCACAAGTGTGCGCTCTTCTAAACAATCATGTATATCATCGCCCATTTCAACCACTAAAAACACACGTAAACATAAATACCCTCTGCCAACAACCGAATTTACTCAAATTTACCATCGTATCCAGCGCTCCAACTCCACATCGACACCATCGCCAACAACCAATGAAAGAAATAGCCCTCAATACGCCAAAACGTATCCGGATTGATTTTCTTCAGCGGCGAGAGCAGAATCATCCAGACAACATAGGTGGGAATGCAGTAGGCATTGTTCAGCAATATGAAGAGCAGTCGCAATACTGCTCTGGGTACAATGTACCAATGCCTGCAACAATTAATTATCATTTAGCAATAGAAATGCACTTTGAATTACATTCATTGACATTTGCCTGCTGCGCCGATATGATTGACCTTTCCGCTGGATGTCTGTCTATGCGGATACAAAATGACTCACAGCGATATTTAAATAAATCAAATTTCAAAAATAAGTTTTAACACGTCATATACAAATTCCACGTAGAAGTACGTGACGAATCTTTAAATATTACGTAAGCAAACACACTCAACTGTGTTTGCAAGGTGCATTTGTCACTAAAACGTATCAACGTATCAGCTTGAACATGAAAAAATACACGTTCAACTGTCGATTGAGTAATATATACTTAAAATTTGAACCGCACCGATAAGAAATTCATTAGCAATGACAGCACCACTTATTTATTTAATATTTAAAACCATTTCGTGCCACTCAAGGCGGGCACATTAAATTTTCAAACACACAGCACGACCGCTAAACGAATCATACGTGAACAAATTTTTTTATTATTATAAACCATAGTAAATCGGAGTGATTAAAAATCATTGAACAAGTGTTAAGCAATAGATAACAACTGGAAAACGGTGAAAAAAAAAGAAAATTAAAGGCCATTACGATATTTATGGAATCGTATATCAATCAAATAATACTTTTCGTGGAATACTCGTTAAAGTTAAAGTTATGTAAGAATAGAGCTCTCTGCAATTTGTACCGGTTCATTTTTAATACATGCCTAAAGACAGGGTGTTTGAAGTGTAAGAATCTCAATTAATTCATGAGATTTGAATGAAACCAACTCCGGATATTACGTTTTACTATTAAATAGACCTACATATTTCAACATACGACTTAATGTTATCTCATTGAATGAATGGAATACTTTCAAAGTATAGATAAGAATTATTTGCTTCAATTCTTAATTACAAAGAGTGACGTTTTGTGCTGTGTGATTTTGGTGGAAATCACGCCATAGTCCAAACACGATTGGGGTCAGCAACAACAACAAAGCCCTTATCTTTTATCACTGCGTCTAATAATATTAATTGCCTACGACTATTACGACAGAAACGATGGCTTTAAATTTGGCTCAAGATCAATGACGACAGTTCCAATTAAATGATATGACGTGAAAAGCGTGCACGTCGCTAGTGCCAAAAGAATGGTAATTAAATATTACAACAAGATGGTTCTAGAGGAGCCATTTTAGTTAGATTTCTTCCTGGAAGACCTTGAATCAAATGGTTAACATTGAAACCGTTTTTTATTCCTACATGCAAACATGACGCAAGCTAAACCTTCATTTCGACATATACGAAAAAATATGCATACTACAACTTACTCTAGATACGGACGTAAATATTCCATGTTATGGGTTGATCAGTCACATTCAGCAGGGCTGATTTATGATTAACAGATTTGTGAGGTTAACTCTTTAAAAGTGTTTATGTTATCTTGATATTGTTCGCAGAATATCCACCTCCGCGTGGGCCTTGTACCGCACCAACCATTTAATATTTCCAAATCACAATCAGTTACATTAAATAATGTCCAATAAAGCAGCTGAATTTATAAGATACTGCTGTACAATTCAGAGATTCTTGTGCGATGCGTTAAAAATGCGTCCGGAAACGAGAACCGCGCGTGTCTGATGCGCGCCGTTAAATGAGTTATTCGTTCACTTGATTCGGTAGCATCAAAAACGAGGATATGTTACATTTTTTGCTATTTGCTAGGTTTCCAGCGGTGCAAGACCTCACTCAATATCACATACTCAATGACTTGCACGCAAACTACACATCGCTCGTTTTCTGGGCAATTCAATGGTAACATGCGCCGGTTCTACCCACACGCGCGTACTTTAGGCGCGTGTTAGAACTATACGGATGCGTCGATTTCGCGTAATAGCCTTTACATCACTTCGTCTACTGTGACAACGCTATACTACGCATAGATCACAACTCGGCTACTCTCCGCAACCACACTAGTTTAGAATGAAATACTGTGTGTAATTACCAAATACAATCGTCGTTTGACAGCAGGCAGGTATCAGTGTTGCCATGATAACCGCGCAAAGTCGTGTCTTCGAGGGCCGACATCTAGCGTAAACTTCAATAAGTAATACCAACACTGTCAACCGGAAAACACTCGTTCATTTTCGTCAAAATTCGGACACAACACTGTTGGGGGTGTTAAGCTCGTAAAAGTCGACATGAACAAAGCTCTTTTTTGTTCGTAATCCTTCTACAGTCAACACGTTTTGTTACATATTGCTTCATTTGCTTTAATAAATTAAGTCGAAACTAGCATTCTGCAGTGTGAGTGGGATTAACTTCAAATATTAGTTCTCTCACTCTGTATTTCACTTTGCCCGCTTGCCGCTAGGATCGCAGCAGTCGCACACTGAAAAACCCAAAACACATTAGGCGCACTAACAACAGTGTTGCCCCTGTTTGGCGTGTTGGTATCACTTTAGTTGCGATACTCTTCCAAGATGGCTGGCGGTCTTGAAGTTGAAAAACCTTCGGTAAGTTTTGAAATTAAACCGGCAAATTTTAAACCAATATTATATTTTACTGCACTGCAGAAGAAAGTCAAGCATTTGAAAGCCATTTTACGCTTTGCATTACATTGTGGCCTATGGTTTTCCCCGAATGCCCGAAAGGGCGTTGTCAAGTTATTGTTTATGTTTATGTATTGTTTATTTAATTTTAGGTTGAAGAACAAGTGAGAAAACTAAAGTTATCTGGACATGTTGGGTTTGATAGCCTGCCGGATCAACTAGTCTCAAAGAGTGTGCAAAATGGCTTTGTGTTCAACATTATGTGCATTGGTAAGCACAGATATCACAATTATGGAATTTAATTTATTTTATCATTATGAATCACATTCTAGGTGAAACTGGTTTGGGCAAATCCACATTAATGGATTCTTTATTCAACACAAACTTTGAATCCAGTCCCAGTCCACATTCACTACCAAATGTAAAACTGAAGGCCCACACCTATGAGTTGCAGGAGAGCCATGTTAGGCTTAAGCTCACTATTGTTGACACAGTTGGTTATGGAGATCAAATCAACAAGGAGGACAGTTTCAAGTCTGTGGTGGACTACATTGACAACCAGTTTGAGAATTTCCTGCAGGAGGAACTGAAGATAAAGAGGGCCCTCACATCTTACAATGACAACAGAATCCATGTCTGTTTGTACTTCATCTGCCCCACTGGTCATGGACTCAAGTCAATTGACTTGGTCTGCATGAAGAAACTAGACCAGAAAGTCAACATAATACCTATTATTGCAAAGGCAGACACAATCTCAAAGGCTGAGCTTCAAAAATTCAAGGTGAAAATTGTTGAAGAACTGAAGAACAACGACGTCAACATTTACGAGTTTCCCATTGACGACGAGTCCGTGTCTGAGGTAAATTCAACGATGAACACGCATATTCCGTTTGCTGTCGTCGGCAGCACGGATTTCATGCGTGTCGGGAATAAAATGGTTCGCGCGCGACAATATCCCTGGGGTACGGTGCAGGTGGAGAACGAATCTCACTGTGACTTTGTCAAATTGCGTGAGATGCTCATTCGCACCAACATGGAGGACATGCGCGAGAAGACTCATTGCCTGCACTACGAATTATACCGCAAAAGGCGCCTGGAACAGATGGGTTTCAGTGATGTGGATGCTGACAATAAACCAGTCAGCTTCCAGCAAACATTCGAAGCAAAGCGTACGAATCACTTGCAAGAACTGCAGCAGAAGGAGGACGAAATGCGGCAGATGTTTGTTGTGCGCGTCAAAGAGAAGGAAGCTGAATTAAAGGATGCTGAGAAGGAGGTAAGTAGAAAATGTATGGGCAATACATAGTACTTTGTACTAAAAGCAATAATTTCAGTTGCATTTAAAATTCGATAAGCTGAAAAAAGATCACCAGGATGAAAAGAAGAAAATCGACGAGCAACGGAAGAAAATGGAGGACGACATCATCGAATTCAATCGGCGCAAGTCACAACATTCGCAAATGACGAGCAACAGCCACCATACCCTCACATTAGGTAAAAAGAAAAAGTAAAGCCCATGAATCGCTTTTACACCATAACATATATAATACATGTCTCGCTGATCATGATTAAATTAACGTTTTGCATTTTTATACAATTTGCCCTTGTGTATCGGAAGGCATTGGTAAGTACTTACATTTTTCCAAGGAGTAGTGTGCGTGTATTTATTTATTTGTCGCCATTTTTGCAAAATGCCAATAATGCGACACGCTAAAAACGCTAAATAAATTACAATGTTAAAATTAGAGCTATTTTATGTCGTATATGCACCGAATGTAAAATCTGGATGATACGTTTCTGCGTCTTCCCAAGGGCTAATTATTTGTATAACATCTTTATATAATTTAATGAGAAATGTATATGCTACCAAAAAATATATTTTAATTTTTTAATGAAAATTATGAAACGCAAATTCAAATTGCAATAATGTGTGCACAATTGAAATAGAAATAAAAGATATTGCTGCTACAGAAATACGAATTCTTACAATGCACTTTCGCCAGGACGCAATAATTTGGCGAAAGATGTGTAGTATGTGTATTTTCTTGAAAAATTCTGCACTTTTACAATTTTCCTTGGCTTCACTCGCGGTTTTCGCTTTATAACGGTTTCGTGCTCCTGGAATCATCAAGTAAATGAGTAATATCGATTAACTTCGTTAAAATATCAAACTAATTACGGTGATTATTGCTTGGTTTGCGTTTTGTGCACTCTGAAACGGTGTAATAAATAAATAAATAATTTTTATCAGAATCGATTATAATATTAAGATACTTGTATAAAAATATATATACAAAGAGTAGTGTATCTAATGACTACAAGTTACTAATTGATTCAATTTTTAGATAGTCAATGTTGCCGTGTAGATACTACACAAATCGAAATAATAATAATTAAAGTAAATAAATTGGTTCTTCTTAAGCTTTGAACTGTTTGGTAAATATTTATAAATATGTTAAGAAAGTACGATTAAATATAAAAATGAAAGAAAATAAACTTAGCGCGTGATTGGCTCACGCAGCGGTGGAGGACTACGATATTTGGCACGAATGTGCAAGTACTTGGAAGCAGTTGCCGGCGTGCGTTCGTTTTCTAACAGGTCTTTGCTAACCCTAGATACGACTTTCACCTGGCATGGATCATGTCGAAGAAGGAAGTGGTCGAGCGTGTCCCAGCCGCCACCTACGCGCACCATCATGTGACGTCCTTTCAACAACTGCAACCACAAATTAACATGAAACAAGAACTAATTTTGCGCTAATTAGATTACTCACGCGCACAAAAACATTTCGACCAGCAATATTATACTTCCCCTCGCCGACCTTCTTCACCGCCAACTTGGAACACTTTCCAGAGGAACAATTGCAGTTCTTCTGCATGAGTCTAGTAGCCTGTTGGACCTTTCGGTCTAATTCTGTAACCGGTTCCCCACGGCGCACTTCCGGCGCTGAAGTTGCGTCAATATCCAGATCGGGATCTTCGCCGCTGCCTCGTGACCATTCATCTTCAGTGTTATCACTGGGTACTCCGTCACTGGCGCCGCTTTGTAAGATATGCTTGAGATTGTCTCCACTCGCGCTGGGATCTTCCGGTAGGAGCACCATTTGGGGCCCGTCCCAATGCGCGTACGACGAAATGGCGGATGCGGAATTACTTATGCGCATTTTGGACTCACAAGGTGGACTAGACGCTTGGAATTGCCAAGATAATAGAGAACTCAAACCGGAATCAGCAGACTGTTCTCGTTCTTCCTCGGCAATTTCTTTTTCCAACTGAACTAGACCTGGTGGTTCAACGCCAAATCGTGTCGCGATGCGGGCCACTTCCAATAAACAAAGGATCACATTCCGCGGCTGATTATGCAGCACCAGATCATCACTTTCAAATAATAAATTATCATGAACGCCAAGGGAACGACAGAATTTTATAAAGTTCTCCATGTTGTCGCGGGAAAAGAAACTTCGTCGCATTGCTTTCTCGAAACACTTGCCACGAATGGTAGGTACCCGCTGAAATTTAATCATGAATTGTATTTAATCGTGAAATGTATTTAAATTTAAAATATACCCCTTTGTAGGTGCCCATTTCGATTGCAAACTGTGCTCGCTCGGCGATAATTTGTGCGAGATGGCATAGAATGACTCCATTGTCAAGTTCCTGAAGAAAGTTGTCCCTACTAACGTAATCGATTCCTAGAACAAATATTTTTGTTTGTTTACAAAGTCGTTAAACTAACATTTTGTAATGGGGGAAGCTGTAGGTCTGGTTTTTGTTGCAGTTACCATCTGTTCAATATCACTAAACCTTGAGTGTTACCACAAACTCACAGGTAATGAAGATAAACTTCGTTTGGTAAGAAAGAAACCAACGAAAGGGCAACTCTTTATGTACGTAATTTATTGTCGTGTGTTTATATTTACTAGTTCAGATTCGATTTCCAGTCCGTTACCAGCGCACAAGTCACGATCATTCATGACGTGACACAGATAACCATAAGCTCCGATCAAAACTTAAATATAACAAACGAAACGTTACGAAAAATCGCTCCTATCTATTACTGTGGACTACCGAACCAGCAACTTTTGCCTTTTTTAAGCGTCTGCGTCTGTAGAGAGAGTATGTATAGCAATTTTTCGATTATAACTTTGCTGCGAGTGTGAGGCACGACGCAAATCGAAAGGTGTGGTCTGCGCATTAAGGGATCAGGTTTTCTTCGATTGCATTTTCTATGTACAAGCTGCTTTGATGTTTATGTAAGGAGCACGATTCACAGGAGCAGCGATGAAAAATTTAAAACGACACCAATGCGAACGCAAACAAATCCAACCGATCAGCCGAGTTTATGATCTTTTGTTTTCACTAAAGATTCCGGAGAAAGAAATATCACGAGCATATATGGTGCACGATGGCTGTGTTCTTGCATTGAGGTGAGGTAGAAAACAAAAATGGCGCCACAAACATCGTCAGTCACAAACAATAATTACCTGAGCGATTGATTGATTTATATAGAAATGATTTGGTAAACTAGAGAAAATTCCTTGTAGAAAATTGATGTCATTTGAGACACGAGTTACGTGCACGTTGATTTGGCATGTAAGCATAGTTTAACTATTCCTACATCCCATGATATTGCATTATCGCGTGTCTCCAAACGATATTTTCCGATGTTTAGCGCTCGATTTTTCGCAAACAATTTATTGATCAAACAATATTTATATATCTTGATTTACATATAGTGGTGCTTGGTGAGAAATATTCTTAAGTAATAAATGTCGCTTGTTGTGATACGGCCGACAGAAGGCAATACTACCTAAGATATATTGTGTTTATGTGACGCGCATGATTATGAAAGTTACTGTTGGGAGTGGTTATTACTTTATGACGGTTGTCTTTGTAGCAATATTTGTGCAATGCAAAGATTTGAGAAAAAAATTACCTTTCGCAACTTATCTGCACTGAAAACACTTACAGAGGACATAAAATACAACTAAGTGTAACATATTTGCTTGTAAACTAACAACAAAGTTGCAGCAGCGCAACTGCAGCCGCCGGCGTAGTGATTGAATTTAATTAGGTTTGACTTTAAGCCCTGCGCAAGCAAAGGCATTGACATGATGTGAACTGAATTAAATTAAGTAACGACTAACTAGAAATGAACACCAAGAAAATTAAATTAAATGAAACTTTGTCACGTGAAAACGTACACCGACTTCCGTGCAATAATACTAATAGAAATGACATGGTTAATTCAATCTCTTAGAGCCGCATCATCTACATCCGTATTTAGACATTCTTAAACCATTTCCTTTTGATAGTCAATGAGGCAAACCAGAACCAGGCGCGTCACTATCTCGTTTCTAGACAATCCAACCATCTGCGATAAATACGAATAGTAGAAATTGATGTCGACTTAATACGACAATCAAAAAAACATTTTATTATGCATGACGTAATACGCTGTGTATAAATAAAAACAACGCATTAATTTCATGTACCAGGCAGTGCAGTGTCGTGAGAATCGCAGAGAAATGACCTACATTGCTAGAATCGTAACATGTGCGAAACTTTTCATTGATTACAAATAAATAGAAAAAGAATTTCATTGCTTACATTGGCATCCGAATCAAAATCTGATTCATACCTAATATATTATGCGATAGACATAATCACGACGCTCATTTCCGCTATTATCGCCGTCAAAACAATGCTGCTCCATCGGACACGACGAATTATGAACAAGAACGAACAAGAATGAGGGGTGTGCACTCAATTGTTTCGGTTGCTTGTGATATACGCGTATAATGTGTACGTCCACATGGTGTGACGACCATATTAATATCCCACACCACACAGATTGAAGACGTTTTTAAAAAATTGGTACCGTTTTAGACCTCCTTCCGACCTAGCATAACTTCAAACTGGATTGTAGACATAACTGCGCCTAGGAAAAGTGATTTAAAGAATATTTTTTGAATATCTTCATGAATACGTGGCGAATAATGTGTACAACGCGTTTAAAACATGTACAAGACGATTTTTTCGACAATGGTCGTGCTTGTTTCTTGTTTGACGTACCGGATGTAGACATTATACATCTGAACATGCGAGCAACATATGAATGGCTTCGAACGCACAAGAAGAAAAGTGCGTGCGTAACAATCAAGTAGCTTACTTCTGGACAACAAATACAAAATGTTTCCTTTTCTCTCTAAGTCTTTCTTACAACATATACGTAGATATTATCAAATTGTTTTACTGGCAAATACAGATTCAAACGTGTTAATCTAGAGTGACAATCTTTTTAAAACTTTACGTAAGTTTCAAAAGATTTAACTTATTAAAAAAGAAAGTAAAGTACAATAAACTCACCTAATGTTTTATTAATCCACTCGGCTAAATCCTCTTTAAGTGGATCCAATTGTCGCATTTGCGCAGACATCATACGCTCGGTGTATTCTTCAGCGTACTCCTCGTCGGGCGGTTCCATTCGGTGGAATGTCGTCGGCGATGTGGTCACCGGGCCCCAACTATTTCGATTGCGCGCGACCATTGTCGCTCCGCGATATGCGCAAGACATCCTTATCAATTGCTAGAGATACCTGCAAGTTAAACAAACTTGTTTACTGCGCTGCCTTTCATTTTGAACATGATAATGACATAATTCCAGTCATTTCCAGTCATACAAAACACAATTTTACTGCCAACTTGATTTTAACAGGAAGCAATACCTACATGTTTTTTACACAAAAAATTTGGTGGTCGAGGTTGGCTAATAGAAATGAAGATCAGCGTTAATTCATTTTCCATACAACACTCGTATGAAAACCACACGCTACTTTACACTCTACTTATTTATTATACATATCAGCGGTTCTTTCTCTCTGGTCGGTGCGTCGTGTAATTCACGAAACCGCCCAATACGCGCGTTTCTTTCATTAACTATGTGAAGAGCAATAATGCTAAATGAGGAAAGCTATACTGGTATAGCACATAAATGAATTTTCTAAACGCATGCGTACCATGAGTAAATACTATGTTCGTGCCAAGAAGGAAAAAAAAAACACAACGGTTAAAATGAGAGTAATTAATTTCATATGCAGCTCGCAGTGCAATAAATTGCAATCGTAAAAAAGTGTAATTATATTATTGTTCATTAGATAAAAGAAACCTGTTAGGTCCAACGCACTAATGATTAATAAAGTGCAATCGGGAAAAGTTGTAATAAAAGTTTTCATTTCATGCGTGTGGAATAAAATCGGTGTGACATTGTCGCGCTGCGAACATAAATACAGCGAAAAACCGGAAGCAAGAGTCAGTTTCATGCCAAAAGAATAACACACTTCGTCGGAGAGTGTCTAGCAGTGAAGATCTCGCTATAAATAAACAAGTGGACTAATGTCCTCACGCACTCGTGCCCTCGCATTCATCACCTAAGTGCGTTCAGAGAATTATACAGAAGAAACGAAAGCAACCAGTGCCACTGGTGCATGCATTGCATTTGTGAGGAGCAATCACACTCCATAGCATCGCACTAATTACATTAATGAAGATTAATATACTGTCTGCAATGAACAAACTTCGAGTTTAACTAGATTTCGTTTTGTTGGTAAACAAATGAAGCGGTGAAGGAATTAAAATTGGTTTTTATTCGCGCGGACGTTATTCAACACTAGTTTACGTCATTTTTGAGACAAAAGCAAGCGAAAATCAATTATTGCATGCTGGGTACTTTTTTGTCTAAATCGGATTCTAATCGGATAAATTCATAATCTGCTTATACCTACCATTTATAGATCGCACATACTGATTTAGTTAATTTCGTATCATTCCTCTGCGGTATAATATTTTAATATGATATTAGGTAATATGCATAGAGTTGTTTATCCAACAAAGAGTTTCGCTGATCCTTCATCTTGTCTTACCATATGCAGCACACAAAGAGAACCGAGGCGTATAATAGAAATAAATGATTGTCTAATACTGTTGAGATTGTTTGCAAACAAAACAGTTATGGATATTTCACTCCAAACTGCGCACATCATAATTATTTTCAATAATTTACTATGTGTCGCTACAAATGTTAATTAATTAATTAAACAAATTGTTAGAAAGCAATAACTCAAAATAACTCTGTGATATAACAATATAATAGTTATGTTAATTAATAGCGCATTAAATGTTGCATGAAACATTCGATTAGCTGATTAAACAGCTGTAATCATATACTGGATTGTAAAAGTTGATTTATTTAACCGCTGGTTAGCTTGGTATACAATCAATCAATTGATACTGGACGCACTCTTCCATAAAACGTGTAGTTTTAGTAAAATTGTATATAATATTAGTTAATAACGGGCTTTCATCGTGAAATCTCATTGCACCATTAAATCCGCCATTAAACTAAGGCAGTGCCTTGTACGGACCAAGAAATTTCGATTCATTAAATTTAGAAACTGTTAACCATTCCAAACTTTAATTTATTTCATGAAAATACAAAATTTACAACTTTCAGGGTGCTTTTTACGTGTATACTTTGTAAAATTCGTAAAAATTTCAATATCCTTGAAAGTGTTTTATGCTAGAGGTTAAATACAAAGTGTTTCTGATAAAATGCACTTAACTATCAAAAACCCCATCGCCGAAATACTTGTTTGCACATTCTGTAGTAAATGTAGTTGTAGTGCATAAATTGGATAAGTTTTAATTGAGAGTAGTGCAGCTTTTCGTTCAAATCAAGGTGTTCAACATCATATGCCTTCGCGTGAACCTTGCCGTCGAGCATTTTACATCAATCACTTCGCTTAAAATTGACATGCAGCTTACCTAAGCGATATTTACACATTACTGTTGCAAAAACAATAAACATTCCGCGTAATTAGTGTTGATATACACAATTGAACAATAAAATTACGCCGCAGACAATAAAATATGTCGTTAATTAATTTATGCTTTGTCAAAACATTTGTGGAGCAAGTTTAAGCTTAGAAAGTCATATTATTGTTTCAGAAATAAATAATATGGACAAATAATTAATTAAACAGAAGAAAAAACAATAAGCGACTAAGCATATATTGAAAATGATCTCAGTGCGTGCTTAAAAGTTTGTTTTTCTTCCCGTATCATAATACGAAAACGTATAGAGTTACAGCCACTTTGAAATGATCGTCGTGCGACAAAGTTTAATGTGTGAGTGCACGCGGAGAAAACAAATTTAAAAGCCGGAATATGACCTAATTTCACGCATTAATAAAGCAAGCACGCACAAATTGACCGCGCCGAAGAAGCTCCACTTGGGCCAAATTGAATTACACACTTTATCGAATTAGATGAATTAGAATTACGCCCACATATTTGCCGTCTGTTCGATTACCACCAAACAATTATATATTCCTAACTGCATTGTGCTCCTCCACTCGTACGCTCGTAATAATTGCATATAAGCAATGCATGCGCGCACATAAATAATATTTAGTTGCTATTTAGAACGCAAGAAGGCTAAACTTTCATGCTTCGAGGGGCATTTTTCGCCGTTACAATCAGATCACATTCAGTCATTTACGTTTATGACATGATTCAATATATTGGTAGCATGTAATGTCATGGAAATCTCTTTGCCACACACCTGCTAGACGTGTATTGTTGTTGATTTTCCTGTACGGTTACATAAATGAAACGTTGGCGATAACCGTTTTTGTATACAACTCGAGGAGGCAACACAAGTGTAAACAAAATGCATCACAGCGGGGAAATAAACTGCATCAACATCTACATTACTATTACTATTCGCCGTTACGGAACTTCGGCCATTGTTCGGCTGACAAACGGCACAGACTTGTGTTCACGCTGTCAACGCAATCTGAGCAATGGATAAATTAAAATTTCAAAAACTTTTAAACCATACGAATGCATCAATGTCACAAACGGAGCATTCTAGATACACTAGATTTGTTTACTTCTTATCAGCGCATTTTTCAACTTACAAATTACGCAATTCGCAGTGATGCTGATAAAAAACTGACGCATTCGCAAAATCCAGTCGCTAAAATATGCAATGATTGTAGCATTGTAGGTGTTCAAATTATGATAATTATACATTCGCCATTCTTATCAGTGTATGAGTAAAGAATGAATTCGGCTGTGAGCATATTTGTGCGAGTATTGGAATTAGCGTGCTGAAATCACCTATCTGACTAAATAGCAGCACATATAAATATCGCGTTGATGAGTTTATAACGTTCGTTATTCGCATGCTCTGAAAACTTTCAAGTTTAATGGCGATCTGTAGTGATACACGCAGTAGTGATTGCCAACCATGTTGGTTAGCCGATGCATATGTAAATTACAATTATTACAATCTTAATAATCTCGAAATTTCCTACCAATTAGTGTGAAAAAAAATTGAAAAACGAATTTACATTTAACACAAATCAACTATCAGCGAAACACGAGCGAAAAAAGTGCGAAAACGATTTCTCATGTGATAAAAAGAGCACCACACCCTTCCAACCCATTTCTCAAAGGGTCTTTACTTCAAATCTAGTTTATCAGATTAAAATTACACGAGTCGAAATAAAATTAAATTCATACTCATCATTTTCAGTCAAAATAAATGCGTAAATATTTAACTCACCCTGTGATAGCACTGAATCGAATCTAATTGGATGCTGCGGAGATCTCTTGCGCACAACAGCTGACTGTGGATCGAAGCCACCCAAGAATTAATCTCTCAGCATCACTATGAAGTACCCTTGTGTATTGATTACATCGCACTGGCACACGCGGCAAATTTTTTAGCATGGAATCATAAAGAACAGCCAACTACCAACTAAGCCGGCACGCGTGCTCACGACCGGTGTCAGAGCGCTACTGAGCGTGTATTACCCGACCATCGGTTGCCTCTTTGACTCGCGACTTGAGGGAGGACGGAGTGTACGAGAAGAGAAGAGCTTCAATGGGCGCCCACAGAACTTCGGCTGCAGCTCTCGCTGAAAATGCTTTCACTATCGTTTACGCTATAGAAGCTGCGCATGCGTAGATGCGTATCAACGTTTATTAAACTTTTACGTTATTTATTTCCATTCATGTCAAATTAAAAATTAAATGGAAAAATAAGTTATAAATAAAAATAAGTAATTATAACTTAATGAAAACCAAATAAACTTTTATGATTCCATTTTCCTTTTCGTCAATTTACTAAATTACCCAAAGATTAAAAATGTGATATGTCGGTAGAAGTGACTTTAAAAGGTATTTAAAAGTTGTACAATGAGACAGGAAGTGACCACAATAGGCAGGTATTAAAATTGTCTGGTATGCACCCAAACACCCCCCGAAAAATACACTTACTGGCACACAATAAGATAAAATTGGCTTTTTCTAAAGAATATGACACAAAAATAAATGTTTTGTGCGGGTTTCCATTAATAGAAAGTAAGTATTTGTTTTGTGGCATCCAATACGTCTGCAATGTTGTAATAAATTAATTTACAACGCCTTAATTGCAATTTTAAAGCAGTTAGAAGTTTTATTGTGTGCATTTGATGTAATGCGCATAACTCGCGTTATTGGTTTAAGTAGGTTGCCGTTAAATATTCATAATATTTGCTCATCGATTTTAATTTATAATCTTTATTTTGCGAAATTAATTCTTTTTGCAACTGCCAATTATTACGTAGTTTGAATATATATTAAATACAATTACAATTGAAAAATAAGTCCGGTTGTCGTAAAAAACATTACGTAATATTCAAATGTTTTTCTGGATAATAGCGTGTGGGTGTTATTAAGGTTGTGGCATAAATAACATCCAACACCGTACTATGCAGCAGTAAATAATAAATAATCATCAAAATTGTCTTTGTTGATTTTGTTTTTAAAATTATTTGCATGTTGTGCTAGCATAGGCAACTCAGTTTACGTGTGGAACAATATTTTTGTTGAGGTTAATATTATTTTGAATGCGTTTTAGAAGTAAAATACTAAAGTTTGCAAAGTAATTACTGCAAAAGTAAGAATAATGTCTATGAACTTAGGGAAATTAGTCTGTTTATTAATCAAAGAACGTTTTGGTGATATCGTTAAACAAATCGCACATTATTTACATACACATGGTTCCAGCCCTCTGTTGTACATTAAAAAGGGCACAGATTTACCATTATCGAAAGTAAGTTGATAATAATACCGCCCACTTATATAAAACTATTTATATTTATATTTTAGGTCAAAGAGTCACTCTGTGTGTTGATAAAATATGGTCTGGTTTCCTTCAAGCCTAACAAAAACCACAATATTGCAAATTACACATTACTATATGATAAAATTTTATTGATTGTCAGATATCCAGCCTATATAAGTCTAATTAAACAAAAATTTGGAGAAGAAACTGAAATTATGCTTGAAGAAATCATCCAGAATGGATATGCTTGTATGTCTGAAGTGCTCTACAAAACCCAAGACAGACTAATCAAAGAACAAGAGAAAAATGTGCCTTTTACAGAACTAAGAGATAAATTCTATTCACTTATTATAGCTAAATACATTGAAAGAGTACCATTTGATGCCGATGAAAAACCAGTGCCTGAACCAACAATCTCAGACTGTCAAAAATACATTCAACCTGAGATAAATATCAAAATATTGTCTGAGCAAATTGCTGGCACTAATACAAACCCAACTTATCCAGACAAAAATATCTACTGGAACATTAATCATGATAGATTTCATCAAGATATGAGAGATGCACAGATTGTGAGTGCAATTAGGAATAAATTTGATCCTGAAGCTGGGGAAGTGATAAGGATATTACTACAACAGATGTACATTCGAAATGAGCCATGGACACATGCATCCAATCCAATTCCAATCCTTGAAGTCAAGGATATCATTAGAAAAATGAATAAATTCCCAAACCTAGTTGCGTTTTTTGATAATTACGTATCCGTGGTTGAGCAGGATTGTTGCAATGTTATTCTAAAAGTCGGAGAAGCTAGTGGTGGCTCGTATCAGATAAACATGAAGCAAATATTTACAGTGTTAGCGTGGGAGACAATCGATCAAATCGTCCTGGAGCGTTTTGGATCAAAAGCTGCGAGAATATTTCGTTTGATTAAAGCGAAAGGATACATAGAACCGGATAATATTCAGAAATTTGCTATGATTCCAGCAAAAGAAGCCAAACGCATTAGTTATCAATTGCTAGAGGAAAACTTTGTTGATATTCATGAGTTGCGCAAACCTATGGCCGTCGGAGCGGCGAAATCATTTACACTTTTTCATATTAATTTAGCGAGGGTTGTGCGCATGGTGCTGGATTTGTGCTACAAGACTATGTACAATATGTTGACCAGAAAGTTTCACGAACATGAGTTTAATAAGCGTATTATCGATAAGAAACAAAAGGTTGACACGCTGCTTCTGACCGTAAAGAGTCAGGGAGCACCTAATGAACAACTGGCTGATGTAATTATATAATAGTTTTGTGTTTTGTTTTGATTAAACTTGTTTTTTGCTTGTTTTAGATTGAAGGAATGATTTCTCCGCCTGAACGTGAAATATTAGCACGGATTGAATTAAATTTAGAAAAAATTAATGCTGTTGAGTTTGAGATTGACGATACCATTTTTATATTACAAATGTTTCTTGCTTATGAAAAGGAATAAAAGAATATACAAGGTATTTTTCATCATTTCTTGGCTGACTTTTTATATTCTACAAATTCAAACCGGTACCAATCAGCTTTGATTTAAGGTGCTGATCAAAAATGTCTTCCACGTCTTTACTCATATCGCTTTTATGACCACCGGTTTTACCTTGGCGAATAAAATTACCTTCTGCATTTGAACACACGCCTATCGCCTTACAATACTCTAAAACGCGATGTTTATCAACATACGGATTATTTTTCATTACGTCGAAGGATAAATACTCCAACAACTTTTCTATATCTTTTTCCAAAAAAGATTTGTTGAAGAATTCGCAAACACTAGCAATTACAGATCGAATATTTGCTTTCATATCTTCAAATCGAATGAAAAGAATGTTATCACGGTTGCGATGTTTCCAATAGCTTAGAATGTTATCCGTCATTGGTGTATAATTCACTGAAATTTAAATGTGTACAGGAAAACATGCGTTGGTTTGAAAGAGTAGGATAAATATACATTTGCCTGTGATGAAAAGTTTCCAGAACAGGTCAAAATCGCCCCGGAATCCTTCTAGTAATCTTTGATGATGAAAATACGAAACACAAGTGTCTTTCATATTTCGGTAAACATGGACAATCTGTAAAGCATGTTGAAATATATTATGGAATTTATTTTAAGAATTACCTTTGGTTTTCTCTCAAAAGTTTGTATTTGCTTAGGCAGTAACTCAAACGGTAAATGAGTTTTCAAAATTCGGGGACGTTTTGCATCACGTGCGAGTTCAACAGATTTTTCTAAGTAACCTGGATCATATCTTGACCCGGAATGTTTAAAGGTTTGTGGACAAAGAATACAACAAAACCTGTAATAATAACAATACTTCAATAATTATAAACCTAAATGCTTTAAAATAGCTTATTACTCGATGAAAGGCATGCGTAAATCAGTTTCTTCTTTAGTGGTTTCCAAATTTAGATCGTGCAAAACACACCAGACCAATTCTTGTGACCAAGTCGTCCCGCACTTTGGGAATGATGTTATCCAAACATCATCGTCATATACTTTAAAGTCTTCTATTGCTTGCTGGATTTCCTGGAAGCTTTCCGGCATCGTGTAGCCTTTAAATAAACCAAATCCTCTACGAAAATCTCCAGTTGCTAGGCGTTGACGCTCATCTTCCAACTTCTCCGCGTTAAACATTTTCGTACACAATATTTCACAAAGTGATAACTGTAAGCTTATATATTTTAGTGGTATATGATTAAATACCTGAGTTAAGCAACAATAAAGATTAAACATGTCTTAATGAACGGTAAATATTGACATCACAAGTGGGTTTTGCTAAAAACAGGCGCAACAGACTCAAGTAAATATTGACAATGTCATATGAAAATTTGGCAACATGCTGTGGAAAACACCTTGTATCTCGCAAACTAATACACTTTTTTTGAGTTTTTCACCGCCATTTTATAGTTTAAGAGACGCTCTACACAATACATGCCATTTTAATGCGCTAAACGTTCTGGAAGTGCCCTAAAATGCCCTTCAAACATCGGCCTTTTTTGGAAATTTTGAAAACATGCTGTGGAAAACACCCAGTATCTTGCAAACTAATACATTTTTTAAAAGTTTTTCACCGCCATTTTATAGTTTAAGAGACGCTCTACACAATACATGCCATTTTAATGCGTTAAACGTCCTGGAAGTGCCCTAAAATGCCCTTCAAACATCGGCCTTTTTTGGAAATTTTGATAACATGCTGTGGAAAACACCCTGTATCTCGCAAACTAATACACTTTTTTTGAGTTTTTCACCGCCATTTTATAGTTTAAGAGACGCTCTACACAATACATGCCATTTTAATGCGCTAAACGTTCTGGAAGTGCCCTAAAATGCCCTTCAAACATCGGCCTTTTTGGAAATTTTGAAAACATGCTGTGGAAAACACCCTGTATCTCGCAAACTATTACACTTTTTTTGAGTTTTTCACCGCCATTTTATAGTTTAAGAGACGCTCTACACAATACATGCCATTTTAATGCGCTAAACATTCTGGAAGTGCCCTAAAATGCCCTTCAAACATCGGCCTTTTTTGGAAATTTTGAAAACATGCTGTGGAAAACACCCTGTATCTCGCAAACTATTACACTTTTTTTGAGTTTTTCACCGCCATTTTATAGTTTAAGAGACGCTCTACACAATACATGCCATTTTAATGCGCTAAACGTTCTGGAAGTGCCCTAAAATGCCCTTCAAACATCGGCCTTTTTTGCAAATTTTGAAAACATGCTGTGGAAAACACCCTGTATCTCGCAAACTAATACACTTTTTTTGACTTTTTCAACGCCATTTTATAGTTCAAGAGACGCCCTACACAATTCATGCCATTTTAATGCGCTAAACTATCTGGAAGTGCCCTAAAATGCCCTTCAAAAATTGTTATTTTTTACGCTTTTTTTAAATTTTTGGGTCGTGAAACGAACAAATTTTTATTTCAACATTCTTTATTCTGCAAAACTTGAAATAATTTATAACATTTTTTGTCTGAAGAACAGGGTCGAACTTTTTAAGTTAAAATATTTTTGGCCGAAGAACAGGGCCGAACTTTTTGTGTTAAAATTTTTTGGGTCGAAGAACAGGGCCGAACTTTTCAGTCAAAAATTTTTTGGCCGAAGAACTTTTTCCTGCGAAATCAAATTAAACTTTGAACGCTAATAACTCCTGAACTAAAAGAGCTAGAAGGGAAAGGACGGCAGATTCTTGACCCTTGAAGGATTCTCTACAAGATAGGCTATTAAAAACAGCCCTTTTTTTCTGCTCAAAACTGAAAAAAGTGCAAAGAGGTACCTCTTATAGGTTTTTTGATTTTTGAAAATTCAAACTAAGCACGCTATCCTGTTGAGAGCCCTTTATGGATTAAGGGCCTGAAGTCCGTTCAGTTCTAGCCCTTTTAGTTTAAGAGATAATCGCAATTAAAAACTTTAAAGGCTAATAACTCGATAACTCTTTGCACTTTTTTCAGTTTTGAGCAGAAAAAAAAGGGCTGTTTTTAATAGCCTATCTTGTAGAGAATCCTTCAAGGGTCAAGAATCTGCCGTCCTTTCCCTTCTAGCCCTTTTAGTTCAGGAGTTATTAGCGTTCAAAGTTTAATTTGATTTCGCAGGAAAAAAAGTTCTTCGGCCAAAAAATTTTAACTTAAAAAGTTCGGCCCTGTTCTTCGGCCGAAAAATTTTTGACTGAAAAGTTCGGCCCTGTTCTTCGACCCAAAAAATTTTAACACAAAAAGTTCGGCCCTGTTCTTCGGCCAAAAATATTTTAACTTAAAAAGTTCGACCCTGTTCTTCAGACAAAAAATGTTATAAATTATTTCAAGTTTTGCAGAATAAAGAATGTTGAAATAAAAATTTGTCCGTTTCACGACCCAAAATTAAAAAAAACGTAAAAAAATAACAATTTTTGAAGGGCATTTTAGGGCACTTCCAGGACATTAAGCGCATTAAAATGGCATGTATTGAGTAGAGCGTCTCTTAAGCTATAAAATGGCGGTGAAAAACTCGGAAAAAGTGTATTAGTTTGCCAGATACAGGGTGTTTTCCACAGCATGTTTTCAAAATTTCCAAAAAAGGGCGATGTTTAAAGGCCATTTTAGGGCACTTCCAGAACGTTTAGCGCATTAATATAGTATGCATTGTGTAGAGCGTCTCTTAAACTATAAAATGGCGGTGAAAAACTCGGAAAAAGTGTAATAGTTTACGAGATACAGGGTGTTTTCCACAGCATGTTTTCAAAATTTCCAAAAAAGGGCGATGTTTAAAGGGCATTTTAGGGCACTTCCAGAACGTTTAGCGCATTAATATAGTATGCATTGTGTAGAGCGTCTCTTAAACTATAAAATGGCGGTGAAAAACTCGGGAAAAGTGTAATAGTTTACGAGATACAGGGTGTTTTCCACAGCATGTTTTCAAAATTTCCAAAAAGGGCGATGTTTAAAGGGCATTTTAGGGCACTTCCAGGACGTTTAGCGCATTAAAAAGGCTTGTATATTGTAGAACGTCTCTTTAACTATAAAATGGCGGTGAAAAACTCAAAAAAGTGTATTAGTTTGCGAGATACAGGGTGTTTTCCACACCATGTTTTCAAAATTTCCAAAAAGGCCGATGTTTGAAGGGCATTTTTGGGCACTTCGAGAATGTTTAGCGCATTAAAATGGCATGTATTGTGTAGAGCGTCTTTTAAACTATAAAATGGCGGTGAAAAACTCAAAAAAAGTGTATTAGTTTGCGAGATACAGGGTGTTTTCCACAGCATGTTTTCAAAATTTCCAAAAAAGGCCGATGTTTGAAGGTCATTTTAGGGCACTTCCAGAACGTTTAGCGCATTAAAATGGCATGTATTGTGTAGAGCGTCTCTTAAACTATAAAATGGCGGTGAAAAACTCGAAAAAAGTGTATTAGTTTGCGAGATACAGGGTATTTTCCACAGCATGTTTTCAAAATTTCCAAAAAGGCCGATGTTTGAAGGGCATTTTGGGCACTTCGAGAATATTTAGCGGATTAAAATTGCATGTATTGTGTAGAGCGTCTCTTAAACTATAAAATGGCGGAGAAAAACTCGGAAAAAGTGTATTAGTTTGCCAGATACAGGGAGTTTTCCACAGCATGTTTTCAAAATTTCCAAAAAAGGCCAATGTTTGAAGGGCATTTTAAGGCACTTCCAGAATGTTTAGCGGATTAAAATAGCATGTATTGTGTAGTGTGTCTCTTAAACTATAAAATGGCGGTGAAAAACTCAAATAAAATGAAATAGTTAAGGAGATATAGGGTGTTTTCCACACCATGTTTTCTAATAAGGCATATTTCACATATTTTCTTTTTAATTTTTATAGTGATCAGGACAACAATCACAAACAGACTCAAATAAATATTGACAATGTCATAAAACAGATAATACTTCTAAATTTTTGTGTGAATCTTAACAAATTAAAATGGATGCCATGTGTCGATCTTTTCAAGTGCAACATCGATATGTGTTTCAACCAAATATCCCACGATGTAATACAACATTAGGAGATGTATACGAGGAGCCATTAAACACGTCAACGTACGATTTCTGTTGTAATTACCGATCCAGACTGGATACCTCCTGGGTTCCAACCAGGACTTCTCGACCAGACCCACCTTTACTACAACAATCATCAGAAAAGTACCACCGGAGTGTAGGACAGTTGCCAGGATATTCCGGTCATGTCCCTGGAGACATACAAAGATTCGGGAGGAGTTATGGCTATGATACAAAAGATCCCAAACGTTATATACGTGGTGATTAGATAAACTCAACTATTGATGCTGTAAATCAAGTTTATTTGATTCAATTGATAACAATCACATTTATTTTCATTAGATACTCATAATCGCAATAATAAACAGCTCGCTTTTAAGCAACAGGTTTGTTGGTGGCAATAATACCATAATCCCAAAGCTGCATTAACAAATCAAGCATTTTTTCTTTCTCCTCAATCGGGAACAGATGTACTGGTACAAAGTCAGGATAATGCAGTTGTAGGATCTCAATTACAATTCCGAATTCCATATCCACAGATATGAATTGCTCTTCTTCCCCGTGATAGACTCTTGCATTCTGAGTTGAGAAATATAAAACGCCGTGATTGTTTTCATTCACAAAACGACATGCATAGTATCGTGTGAGGCGAATTTGCGTGTCTAAAGATATTTTCATTCTATTAATAACTTTCCCATCTATCATCTTATCTCCATCCAATCGGGACGAACAATGTTTCTCTGCTAAATCCAGCACTGGTGGCATAGCGTCGTGCATGAATTTACGTCCCAGCACATCTGCTGCTTCATCAACATTTAAATTATTCGCTATTTTAAGGAACAAATGTTGAACAGTTTTTAGAATTGCAATACGCTCAGGTGTTTGCTTTGAAGAAGACGTCACACCTACATGTTTTAGGTATTGTAAAGGTAAACCTCTACGAAATTCAATGTCTGTTTCACAAGCTGATTGCAAGGCACTTGGAAGCAAGACTTCCATTAAATCAGCGTAACAGGTACGCTGATAAGAAGAAATCGTCATGTGTAGTGAATGTTCGTCAGGTAAAGTCTTTGCCTCGTGTACCATTCCACGTGGAAAATAAATAATATCTCCGGCGTTTAACACAGCGTCAAAAACAAGAGGACCCAGCTGATCACGGGAGAAATCTTTGCTTGAAACACGTGCCAAGTTATCAGCATCAAGTCTGAAATAAACACATTATAAAATAAATATTACATTAACAGGAATTTTAATAAACTCACAAGGGTTTGTACAGTTTCCAATGTTTTCTACCTTCAAGTTGAATGATGAATGCTTCAATATCATCATAATGTGGAGCAAATCCTTGTGAGCCAGCTGGTGTCAAATATACATTAGCTCCTACCATTGTACCAAAATACTCCTGTAAAGTAGCTAGCACAAAATGAACAATGTCATTATAAGTTTGAGGATTGAGAATCCTAACAGAACAACCCTGTGCATAAGCATCCCAAACAATTGAGGGTGTAGCCCTCCCTTCAGGATTCATTGTGTGTCTAACTCCATCTCTATATTCAACAACATCAACATTTCTACCAAAAAACAGTGGATGTTCTCTCAGCATCAAATCAATGTCTTTGGATGTAAGCAGTGAGTTGAAATAGTTTGCCTGATTTCTTATAATGTGTACAGGTTGTGATTCCCAATGAGTCTCAAAGAAAGTATTCATTTGCAAAGGGTAAAGCATCCATGTTAACAACTTTTTTGCTTTTTCTCCAGTAGAACTGGCTGTGTTCAGTAAACTAACAACATTTGTAGACTCTTCAACATCACCTGATTCTGAATTTACCATTTCTTCATGATGTAATTTAATTCTCTTGGAGTTTGGAGTACTGGCATCACTAATTGGGGATTTTATAGAGTTGTCAGTATTAGCTAATGTTGATATAAGTTTTCGTTGCTTTTTCTTTTTGGGTAACTTTTGTTTCGGAGATGAAAGTTTGAATTCATCTTCCAAGACTTCTGCAATTCCAGAAAGGAGTTTTTTCTCGTCGGATGTTCCATTCAAAAGCACAGATGACTTCTTAGACTTTTTGTGCTTCTTCGATTTCTTCGTATATTTCGCGAAGGCTGATTCAGACATTATTCTCCAACAATATTTAATAACAACAGAAGAACTTAACTTTTTAAAAACACGTTTGTGAATTAGGTTATATACAGCCTGGCGGGTTGATGTGCACATGACGTAGGCAACCACATATACACCATTTTTAAAAGTTATGAAACTTAACATTTAATGACTTTTTAATGTGTTTCATTTGCTGCTTGCTTTAAAGATTAACTGTCTGTGATATGAATAAGGAAATAGTTAGTAAAGTGCTAGATAATGATGCTAGATTTGGGGGAACCATGAGTCAACACGTATTATGGTAGCAATTAAAGATCGACCTACGCACAATTAACGTCCATACTCATAACTTTAAATTGCACAACTGCATTCGTCAATTATTACTAGCAGTCGGGATTGCGGTCATGAACCGCATACACCTCAAAGATAACAACTCTGCCGTAATATTATAGTTTTAAACAAACGAGTGAAGCTAAATAGTAAAATAATAGACAAATAGTGTTTAACGTGTTGCCTGTGAATAGCTTCTATTTGAATCTTTTCGCGCTCCCACCTGTTCCACCTGTACGAGCATACGTGTGCGTCGGAGCGCATAGTCGCAGGTAAAAAGTAAAACGTGCGAGCGCGCTTGGTGGGGCGTTTGTTACCTGGTTGTACCTGGTCGAGCAGGCGGTCACGTGACGCGCGCGTTTTTTACGTTGTAAAAGCGCCATCCGCGCCACGGCGAGAACCGCGCCTTGCGATCAAGCTCTTCTCGGACGCTAGTCTTGAAGCACGGCGCGCAAGAAACGCGCACGAAGACGACGCCGCGCTTTTGTTCGCGACCGTTAAGAAAACCGCGGCAGAACGCGTCCCTCGACATCGATTCGCCGTGGAAAACTATTGATTTTTCGCGTGTAGAGGAGTGAATTCATGCGAGGTGCGCCTGCTGCATTGAATTCGAAAATCTAGCGAAGAAAAGATGCGTGGTGCGTGTTGTTGTATTGACATAACTTAGTGCGTTTGTTTTGGGCATGCAAGCAAGAGCAGAAGAAGGAAAAAAAAGTTCAAGCGTGCGTGATTTCGACGATCGCATAGGAAAGTGAGTGTGCACAGCATCGCCAACAAGTTTCGGATTTGATTGCACAACACACAAACCTAAATATCGAAAACAATCGCAACACAATAAGAAAAGGCAATACAATCATTCGCAGATTGTAGTAAAACTACAAAATAAATTGATTAATACCTAAATGATGATTCATTATCTCATTTTATCTTATCAGAACATTATCACTTTATTGATTTAGTCAATGTTACACAAAACGAGTGTTTAGTGATTAAATAAAGTTTGCAAAGTTAACAGGTGCTAAAATGTAAAGATTGTTGGTATATTTGTGAAAAATAAACACGTCTACGTGAAAATGGTGCGAATAAATAAGAAATTTTCAATATTTGGACCCTTAAATTTGCAAAGAACGTTATTTTTACTAGTGTGGACTTTTATACTGGTGGTGAGTGCACAGGTGGACTATAATCCAAATTATCGATACAACTATGACGATAACAGAGATCCCAACCGACCAAGTGGGAATAATCCCGGAAATAATTATGATTATAACCGAAATATAAACAATTATAATACAAATGATGGTAGAGATGACTACAATCGAAATATAAATGATTACAATCGGAATACGCACGATTATGGCAGAAATCAGAATGGTAACAATGATTACGGACAAAATCAGCACAATTTTAATCGAAATCAAGACGATTACAACCGTAACAACTATAACCAATACGATTATAACCAAAATCCTTTAACTCCTGTTATTGCCAATCATCCTGCGGCTACAGAAGTACCTGTACAAGTTGAAAACCGTGAAAATACAAATATAGACGTGACTCCGAATCCAGTACAATCTGAAATCAATCCAGATCAAAATTATGATAATCTTCACGCAGGAGGACGTTCCGAAAGCGTCAGCGAAACTTCAAACTCCAATTCTGATTTCATGGAGCATCGCGAGTTAGATCAGGATAAGGATATATCCAGAGGTGTAACTGAACATGCAGGTGGGACGATTGTTAACGACCGAATTGTGTTCGAACGCAGCAAGAGCCCTTATCTACTGAAAAATGACTTAATTGTCGAAGAGAAAGCGGAAGTAATTATTGAACCCGGGGTGGAGGTGCGAGTGGTGCCGCAAATTGGTGTTACCGTTCGAGGAGTGCTTACAGCTGTGGTAAGTACAACCAAATCAATTTTTATTGAATCATTTAATTGCACAATTGTGATGAATAAGTGAAACACTGAGTATATGTTGTGAGTCACTTTTAAAGCGCGTATTTGATTGCAGAATGTGCAATTTTGTTTTTAGTCACGTTTTAATTCATTCGTACAATCGTTGCAATAACTGTTTATGGTTTAAATAGACAAAATTTGACCTTGTTAGGCGTTTTAACCACTAAATGTTATTAGAAACAAATCTCATCATTATATAATTATAAAACGCTTTGAAAATTACCTGGAATTAGTGTTGAATCATCAAATCAACAAATCACCGGAAGAAAGTTCGAGTAAAAGAATTATAATCGTTTCCTAAACCAATATTTTTGGAATTTATATTATGTACCTGGAATTTCAATGATTCATTGATTATGAACACAGTTTTTTGTAGTCTGTAGTATTGTCACGTATATTTTCTGTTTAAATTTCTATACTACTGTGAAACAGGTTAAACTAGGTTATTTGATTTGAGTCATTTGAGCGTGCGCATTTTTACGGCGTGACCCGAGATTTTTAATAAAGTATTTAATCTTTATCAAATAAAATAAAAAGTAAACATTTGAACAAAACTCGTAATTAAACTGTGAGAGGGCAAAGTTGTTAGTTTTCATTTCATATAACACGTTCACCTAGTTCTAGAAAAATCAATAAATGCATCTAAAATTCACAATACAAACTTGGAATAAATTAACTGAGAAAGAAACAAATTTTCTTTGTTATTTGGCGTCCACAAAAGAAAGTTTCACACTTTCACATTGATGTCTGAAATTTGTCGCGTTAATATTTGTTTAATTGTCGTTGTTTTTTTCATCTGGTAGATGTACAGTTCAAAAATTCAATTAAAATGGAACAATGTGATACTAATGACACTTTTGTTTCTGTCACGAATCACGAACACCGTGTTGAACAATCGAATCGTCAAGTGTAACAAGCTTAGTTTTAATTTAGGTTTCTTTAAAGAATGAGTTGCTTTAAATCGAAACAATTTATGTTTTCACACCCTCATACATTTAGTTTTTATCAAGTGTATGTTCGCTATGTTGGTAATGTTTATAATTGATAAGATTGTGTGTGTGTGCTAACTAAATGTCTTATCAGTAGACAAAACGAGCGGAATGTAATCGAGTTAAACAAAAAAGAACCTGTATTACATTACGAGCATTTAATACAATAACCAAATTATTGTGTAGGAACTGTTTTCCGTGTTGTGTTTTATCGCGCAACCCGTAAAAAATGGTGCGAGTATTCCGTTGCTATCATCGTAAAGTCATAGCATACGATGTAGCAAGTAGCAAGGGGTCCCTAGACCACATAAAATATTAACCAAGTTGTGTGGTTAGTATTCACCTCACAAATTTCTCATAATAACGCCTGGCTGTGGCACGATGCGCAAGAATGTGCGTTCACATTCACAGAACGATGATCCGAGAGCCCATCATTGGAACGTCTACCAGCGACCAGCGATCATCCGACCATACGGCACACGGAAGGCATTATCTTTTTTTATGTTGCACGTATATACCATGTGCAACCATCTAAAACCAAGGCAGTAAAATAACAAAGAAGCACTAGAAATAACAATTCTAACTGTAAAGGAATTCGAAATTCGAAAACAATTTGCGAAATATACAAGTAAATAATGTTGAGTGATATACGAGCAAATTGAAATTTATAAAATGCAATCAATTACGAGTAAATATAACAGTATTACGAATTCATGCTCATGCTAAAAAATATTAAAGAGGAAAAATTGCAACAAACGCTTGTCGGTAATCGACAAACCAGAGCAACGCACACAATGATTACGATTACAGGAGTTACACACTTCTTAACCTGGATAATCGGTGTTACCTGTTGTGTGAAGAGGCACGAATCACGAATACCGCGGACGTGATGTATGAATATATTTTTATACAGGGCAATACCGGTAGAAAATATTAAAATTCATACAAGTTATTGAACTTTATTAAATATATTGATGTAATTACAAGAGAAGCATTACAAGTACTTAAATTATTACAATGCAAAGATATAATTACAATTCACAGTATTTTAGTAATTATTTCATTGTTTTCTTCATTATTCATACGAATTAAACATATAAAATATACTGGGTGATTAGTTTTTATTTAAATAATAAGTGTATTACTCCGTCAACTTGTTTCTAAATGATTTGTATCACTTGGTGGGTAAATTATTGCACGATTTATATTATTTCGTTACGTATTCCAACAATTTCTTAATCTGAATGTACTCAATGTACTCGAGGTGCTTTTGTTTCTCTTCTATTTTATTGTTAAGTTTATTAGCGTCATCCGCCATTTACGATTGTGTCTATTCTTCTTGTTATTATGATTATTTGTTTCTTGTTGTAATCATCATTGCAACACCTGAATTTCACCTCATCCTGACAGGCTTTCATTTGCAACTTGCGATTTAATTTGGAATCAAATTTGCTCACTTTTTGATTATTAAAGGTTTAATAATTAGATTTTTCTGAAATATTCAAGGTGATTGGAAGTGATAAACGCTTAAAGTTATAATTTAAGCATTTGTTTTCCTAGCCGTTAACTACGTAGATAGTATTTACTGTTTAGCAGTAGAATGCACTGTTCCTGTTTCTTCTGTATACGACACTGTGCTAGTTCCCATCAAACTTTGAATTGAAAAAGAAAGAGAAGCTCTGAGAATTAGTTATAAAGGTATTCGTTCTTTTCACCACTTTTAATCACGATTTTGGAACGTTTACCTCACGAAATTTAATTATTTTATTATTTTATCTTATAAAGAATTTTCAAAACTTTCATAATCTTCAATCCGCTCATTACTATCCTTTTTAATTTACGAGGTACTTACTATCGCTTTTAGTTTACGAGATACTCGCGAATACAAATACTGCAGTAACTAATTTCATTCACTGCGCTTACCTTTGAAAGCTATTCAATTGTGATGCAACACTCCACCCAATGAACTGCAACACCACAAGTGAAACATGAACACAATACATTTGATTAAAAAACGAACAAAAAGACAACGATGTTGGCATCATTCAATGCAACCGGAAAAGGAAACCATATTCCGTTCCCTGCTTAACCATTTGAAAGTATAATGAAATACTTGTCTCCACAAAATACCATAGAAATGTGTCACAAAACTACTCAGTCTTTTTGCCTATTTAAATTTAAACGATGTTTATTAATTAATTACATAATGAGTAAACTAATGAAAAGTACCCATTAAGAAATATAATTCAATCAAGTTTAATCTTTAGATTATTGCACTCTTGATGCAATTTATTAGGTTTATTAAGTCACATCACTTAAGTGCTTAAAGCTAATGGAAACATATTTCTTTCTGCAATCATTTGTAAGGAGAAATTATGAACTTTTTCAGCTTATTTCCAGAAATAATTCACCGTATGTGATGAAAGCATGAGTTGTCAGATTAATTACAATTTGACTTAACCTTGAGTGCAAAGGGCAGACGGCAATTTTCTTTCACTACGCGTTTATTAACTGAATTACGTCATAATCATTCCTCATCATCATGAATTAAAACAAACGTGCGCGTGTATTTTTGTGCAAACAGCCAGCCTCCGGCGGCGCTCCTGTAAAATCTGTACAGTATTAGTTCCCCATTATATCTATTTCTTTGTTGCACATACTTCCACTCTTGTTGGTATTTAAGCCAAGGCCGGCATCTGTTTTGCGCTCAACACTCGCTATACGTTATGCACAATCAATGCATTTATATTTCATCAACGCTGCAATTCTCTGCAATACTCATTGTTAGAATTGAAATTAAATAAGAATTACTATCAGGATTTTTACATTCACTGATTCTGATTCATTCATAACTTGTTTGCTGTTATTGCCGTTGTTTTTCGTGTTATTCCACGGCCTGAAGTTCTTCATGCGTCGGTTAACTAATTATACGACTCAGTTCAACAATTTGCTAATTAATACAATTTACAACCGATCACCGCACACCGACGTGATGCTCTGATAAATTCCGCATTCTATAGAAATAAATATACAAAAATAGTGCCAAATTATGTAAAAGATTTCTATTGTTTAAGTTTAAAACTAGAAAATCGTAATTATTTATGCTTTTACTGTTTGTTTTTTGGGTTGGCACGCTTAAAAATGCATTGACAATTAAATTGTACTTCGGTGTAAGAGTTTAAAAATGCATCATCACGCAAGACCACAAGGACGCACGCACGTCAACTTTTTACGAAAATGTTGAAGAAATGCTGGAAAAAATCGTCATAATTATGAGTCATTTTGTAGTAGCGTTTACTGCGCGTGTGTTGTTTATGTAGACCAAGAGAGTCACTTAAGTTTCTTACTCAAGGTATCAACTCATTTAAGATACATTAAGATGAATCACTTTTACTCCTTCTTTTCTTACTTCATGCTACTTTCAGCCGCGAGGAATTAATTAATGCTGCCATAAAATGACATTTTGAAATTGAAACATTTTAAGAGGAAATTTTAACGGTAAAATGTGATTTATTACTTGTTAAGATACAATGTAAAATTATTCTTAAATAGACTGTTATTGTTTCTGTGTGCATGCATTTTTTCTGTACTGATGGTACCGATGTGTAGCACCATAGCGTACCCACTTCCTTTCTTCTGTTTTCCAGCAATGCGGAGGTCAATGCCTTTTGCGGTCATCGTGATTGTGATTTTTATCATCTTCATTACATCAAACGGTGATTTGGATCAATTTGTAAATAATCAACGACAATTTACCCAAAATAGATGGATATTTAAGTGGGACAAGACAATATTGCTTTTAAAGTGCCCCAAAAGGGTATAATAAATTCTACTCGGTGTAATACTATTTTGATTCTTTCTCTCGCAACCACAGGGACCACCAAGACGACGGTGAAAAGTCACGCTCCGTTTAAAACCGTTTAGAAATGCGCGCCTTTCATTTTAGGCATGATGTGTTGAGTTACAAACCAAAACACAATATGAGTTTAACTGTTTGTTTTTTGTTTTTGAAGGGAAATGAACGTGAACGTATTACCTTTACCGCTGCGAAGGAACCCAAGGAGACCGACATTCTTCCACCGGATGTCAGACTCGTTGATGGGCCCTCCATCCTCGCCGGTCGCCTACAAATCAAGCACAACGGCGAATGGCGAAGCGTATGCACAAATTCACGCAAGTGAGTCCCCGTAATTTAGATTTGAATAAAACACTTATAATGATTGTTATCAATTGATTTTAATAGTTGGACAATGGCTGACATGAGTATTGCTTGTCGCCAATTGGGTTTCCAAGGGGGTACCTTCTTTATGTGGCACGACCGCCAAATGCCACTGCGTCCCCGCCTTCTTTTCGAGGAACCCAAATGTCGGGGAAGTGAAGCCACACTCTACGAATGCGAATGGGGTAATCGCCAGATGGGTTCAGGTGTATGCGACTACCATCCAGACCTCGGGATTCAATGTCTACCACGTCACGAAAACCCTTCTGCTTACTGGCGAGGCATCCGCTTTGAAAACGCAGTCAGTGATAAAATCCTAACACTTCAAAACACCCTCTACGTACCAACGTCTGTGTCCAAGTTGGAATATGTAACAATTAAATATGCGGGTAACGGTAGAGATCATAATACCACCAGTGCAGTTGAAGTTCTTGGAGTTCCACCAATGATGAAACACTTTGAAGTAACAAATTCAGCTTATAATGGTATCAATATTACACGTCCAGAAGCCCCAATTACAATTCAGGATTGTCGCGTGCGGGAAAATCGCGGTCATGGTATTTTTGTAAACTCCAGTTTTGGTTTAGCCCACATTAGTCATTGTAACATATCAGAAAATGGTGCTGATGGTATCCACTACGTACACAATGAAGAACGCCCTGATGAAAACCTCGACAAGTCAGATATCTCTGATTTTTGCACTCTTGCCACATCATCCATGCAAACTTTTCCTATCCAAGGGTTTATGGATCAAACCATCTTCACTAACAAGCAAAAACATTGCAGCAAAGTCTTCACTACCAGATACGGCCATAAAATAACACTGCACTTTCTTCGAGCGCAGACAGATCGTAACAACACTGCCAGAATCGAAGTCTACGATGGAAGCTCAACCAGTCATAGACTTATCACCTCATTCAACATCAGGAACAACACACGACCTCAGTCTGTCACCACTATTTCTAACCAGATCTACCTAAAATTTACCGCGGAAGCTTATTTAAATATGTTCCTGTATATGAGATTAACTTCCGGCTTGGATAAAGGTTACGACCTCAATGTTACTCATTCTGATATCTTTGAGAACGAAGGACGAGGTATAGCTTTTGATAACCTACGATCCCAGTTACACATTCACGATTCAAGCATCTCTAAGAACAAATACGCTGCGGGTGTGCATGTTACCAGTGGTGTAGGTGACGTGAATGTAACAAGCTCAAGAATCTCCTTTAATGAAGGAGATGGGATCAACGTGACCTACACAGGTGGTGCCCGCAATATCTCCCGAAGTAGTATCAGCAGTAACAAGGGATATGGTATTGCTATCTGGCTTAATCAGACAAAGGAAACTGAGTACATTGTTGTGAACCAAACAACGATTGTACAATATTCTACATTTGTGAAAAACTTAGATATTGGGATATTACACGGAAACTATTGCGGGTTATCTTATGTGAATATAACAGGGAACACCTTTGAAGAAAATCTAAATGACGCCTTGGAGGTATTAAGTTGTTGGTTGTCCAGTAACGTATCCACGAGTTTACAGATTGGTCACAACATGTTTCTAAGAAACCAAAAGATTTCCATCAAAATTAAACCGGCTTTGAATTTGGATGGATACATTGAGTTTAACAACTTCCTCGAAGGAACTTTTGGACAACTACTTATCAAAAACAAACCGTTAGAGGAGTTTAACTTCTTGAAAACCAACCTGCACGTGCAAAATAATTACTTCCGGAAGAATTCTGGACTGTTTGTGTGTAATATGGCTTTATCTCCATATTCCGAAACCCAACATCTGTTGTTTACTAAAAATTTCGTGCAGGATAATTATATATCCGAACCGTTCGTTCCGGAAGACGGTTCTGTTTCTAAATTAATACCCAGGAGTAGAGTTGCTGCACCATTAGTTGTTGGATCTTACAATGTGAAGATATTTAGAAATATAATTGAAAATCCACGCTCAAAATACGAAATAGGCAGCCATCTTGAAGATCAAAGCAAAGTCATCAACTGCAGTTTTAACTGGTTGGGATTCAGTGATGACGAGAAGATATTCCACAGATTGTTCCATCGATATGATAGATACAACCTAGCAAGACTTACATTTGTTCCTTATTTGCTACACAATACAAACTACATGACAAAGAGGATAAGCTCCCATGAATTGTATATTCCTCGCTTTGTAAATCAAAATTCTAACGTTATTGGAGGAGAGATAGAAGGAGAGGAAGTTCTTCATCCAGGGGATTATGTCGTCGAAAGAGATATATCTGTCCGACCAGGTGGGAAACTTACTTTGGAACCAGGGGTGACTATAAAATTCCCACCAGGGATTGGTATGATGATTGGGGGATCCCTGGAAGCTAGAGGAAGATATCCTGATAGTATACGCTTTACTCTCAAGGAAGAAATCATGCATCCTCCAGAAACCAATACTTCACTTGATGGTGATGTCGAGTTTAATCCAGAGACGGAAATAATTGAGGTGGAAAGTAAAATACCAATTAGACTTCTTGGCGGTAAGGAAGCCATTGAAGGACGTCTGCAAGTCAAAATAAACAACGAATGGGGGACGGTGTGTAACTACGGCTGGAATATCATCGATGCTGCACTTGTATGTCATCAATTAGGCTTGGTCCTAAACCCGGATGATTGGTTTTTGGAACCTAATGAAATTCCAGATGCTGGGACGTCTGAGAAACCCATCTTGACCAATGTGCAGTGTGACGAATTCGATACAGACATTACAAAGTGTAAAGCAGAAAGGTTAGGCGACTTTGAAAACTCCTGCACTCACGAAAACGACGTAGGTGTGAGATGCTATGATACTTCATGGGCTGGAGTGAGGTTTAGTGTTCTTTCAAAACGTGCAGATCTTCAATTTATCACCATAGAAAAAGCGGGTTTATTAGATTTTGCCACAAACAGTTTTAAACCAGCTTTGCAGATTGATTTTGCTCGACATAACTTCGATAGCATTAAAGTGAAAGATAATTATCACGATGGTCTCGGTGTAATGTACAGTGACATCTACGGTGAAGAAAATGTGAATGTAGTGAAGAACTCGGAATTCTCAAACAACAAAGGTGCGGGGATAAGTTTCAAGCAGCTGGGTTTAAAAGTGCAAGCCAGTTTAATCGAGGGCAATTATTTCGGAATTCAACACAATCCAGCGTTGACTGGTTTACAACAAAGGGAACTTGCAGGATGGTTTAATACCATTGATGAAGAACTGGATGCCAAGTACACGCAATCGTTCTGGATTCCACATGAATTAGACACAAACGTTGTGGAGATGACTCATGGTAAAACCTGGTATTTGATCACTTCACCTGTAGCTGGTGATGCCATTAGAAGGTCTTACAAATTCTACTGCCAGCCGGGATATGTTCTAGGCATTCAACTACTTAATACCATACAGAATAGAAGCACTGAGACTATTTGGATTCATGACGCGCTGAGTTATAATAACATGTCTGCAATTTGGAGCGCAAATCGGGACCTTACAGTATTCCCCACAACTTCTAGCAGTCACGGGATTATCATTGATTATGATAGTGGTTCCAACAGCTTGGGAGGTGCAGTTATTGTCCTGAGTTATATCAATGCGCCAGTACAAGATGTTTATAATCGAATTGTAAAAGGTCCCATTCCGACGTTGACGGTTCACAGCACAAAAATTCGAGGAAACAACTACGGTGTCCACACATCATACTACAACAGATACCTTAATGAACTTGGAGATCACTTCTTGAGAAAAGCTAATGAAACTATGAAGTTTTTAAATTGTGAGATATCTCATAACAAAGAAGAAGCTTTCTTCACTCACTCACCACATTGGGACCTGCATAAAAGCAATATTTCCGAGATTACTTTCATGATCAACAACTCTTTGATAACAGATAACGGGAAGGGTATCTATCAGTTTTCAAGAGATATGAGGGCTTCCAACAATTTATTCCATTATATTTTACAAGATGATACGATTGAAAGAAACCGTGGGGATGGTTTAGATGTGTCTCTACCTTACGTCTGGCAATATAATGAAAACTTTACCCATTCTATCTACATGGATAACAATACCTGGAGAAATAACAACAAGTTTGGTATTACCATTGATGGTCACTTTGCAATTGTAAACATTACAAACTCGCAGTTCTTGGAAAACAAATGCAAAACCAGTTTGATAGCCATTAAAGGTATGGAGAAGAAATTGAAGATAAGAAATAATCAAATTAAGGGTAACAATGGTCGTCACATGGTTGAATTTAGCAGTGACAGTCAATCAGAGATTTTGGGAGAAGTCCCAGCTAGGTTTGTTTACAATGAACTGAAGAACAACAAATTTTTATCACTAACCCGAGGATTTGGCACATTACAACTATCAAATACACCTACCAGTGTGATTATCTTTAAAGGCATACAAAAAGTACGGATAAATCGAAACTTATTCGCGAATAATGGTCAAGATTACCAACTTATAGCGGGTATCAAAACTGCTAAACTTAGAAACGATTTAGACATCAGAGAAAACTGGTGGGGTACCACGAATGAAAAAGATATCCAAAACAAATATTTGACTTTGATGATTGGAACAATCACGCCGTTGCTTTGTTTAGACCTTATTTGACTGAAGATGACGTAATGGGTTCACATTCCGTTGGTTTCAGTACCACCGAAGAAGAAATACCTGAAAATTTAGGAGGAAGATTGGATAAGGATCTGATTTTGTTGCCCAGGGCTAAACCTTATACTATTACAGCTGATATCACTGTCATGCCAAAGACAACATTGAGTATAGCCCCAGGAGTAGTGATGGAGTTTGCTCCCAATGTGGGCATTCTAGTATTGGGCACACTAAAAGCCCAAGGGTATAGAGGAGGTGAGATTACAATGAGACCTCTTGGACATGACCCAAACCAAAAATCAGAATACAAAAGCATTGAAAGAAGGGATATCAATCAAGTAAGATTCAAACAACTGGAACAGTATCATTTGATATCAGATTCCATCAGGTTATGTAAAGGGCGTGATTGTCGGTCTGACAAAGAAGATGTCAGCGAAGGCTTCTTGGAATATTTTAATAAAACCACTTTACAATGGATCCCAATGTGTGATCCAAGGTTTACCGAGAGGAATGCTCAAGTTGTTTGTCGTGAATTAGGTTTTGATTCACTAAGTGCCTTTTTCGATCACGACATCAGAATTGAATTCCATTCAAATTCTTTATCACGAATTTGGTCCTGGCCTGAACCCTTGCAATGCAAAGGCACAGAAAATCGGTACGACGACTGCCCAATCAGACTAAACGGTCAACAATATGGTCACAGACATAGGTGTAAATGGAATTCCAAGTTTGTTTTCGTCCACTGCGGTGACAAACCAATTCAGGAGAAGGACTATTGGGGTGGTATACGATTTGCACACCCTGATTTTGAGAGTCATATGTTTGAGCACCGCTATCACGACGTTCACAGTCACCATGAAGTTCAATCAGAAGAAAGTAGTCTGGAATTCGTTAATATTATCGGGGCTGGTATCCTTCACAACGAAAAAAGTCCAGCGATCCAGACAATTGTAAAGAGTCCAAAGATCAACTATGTTCATATCAATGATAGTGCCTCACATGGCATCAACATAATTTCACCATCAAACACCATGAATCTAGCGAATAATATTGTGAATAATTCATTGGGAATTGGTATAAATGTTTTGTCACTAACCGGAGAAGGTCGGGAAGCTGATGAATCTTCATTCACTCCCCTGAAAGGCATCAACGTACCTTATAATTTATTCTCGCTGATTGATATCTGCGACACCAGTAAAGAAATCCGCATTGAAGAAAGGGTTTTGCTCTATTACAAATACGATAACCATCCTGTGAACTGCGTTAAGATCTTCAAGAGTGCCTATAGTGTGAAACCAATTGGATTCAGATTACTACAGTTCAATCTGTTTAATTCTACAAATAAATATGGAATTCCTGACTTTATTACACTATACGATGGTGATATTTATAATGTTACCTCCAAGGTTATAACGAAAATCACAATGGAGTCAAAAGACGATAAGAAAATGTTTAAAACAAAAGAATCCAGCATGAGTATTAAACTGTTTGCGAATGGTGCTAGCAGTTTGCATGGATTTATTGCTGAAGTAGTAACACTGCCAATAAGCGCAATTGGGTTCAGTAAGTTTTATTTTTAATGCACTTTTAAAATTTTAACTAAATTTAAAATGTTTCCCTTTCAGACCGTGATGTTCAACATAATATAACGTATTCAGTAATACAGAATAACCGTGAAGGGGGTTTAGTCTACGTCTCTGCCGGAGAAGTAAACCCCATCGTAACCATAGACAAGAATCAATTCCGAAGCAATTGCGAGAAATTATACGGAAACTTTACTACCTGCAAAGCAGCAATTGATGTAGATGTCCAAAACACCCAAACCCTTTTCTTCAGGGTAATAATTTATTATTTATTAACCTCTTTACCATTGCTTTATATGTATTTTTTTAATTTTTTTATAGAACAACTTAATACAGTCAAATCAAGGTGGTTTGGCAATCAAGGCAGATTCCCGCGGTTCAGCAACATCCCTCAAGGGTTATATTCATAACAACTTGTTTGTAAACAACACTAATCTGCCTGCTTTATACGTCGAAGGACGACAATCATCTCCGTATCAAGAAGTTATCATATATCGCAATTATTTCACGCGTAATTTTGCACGATACGAAAACAACATTGTCCTGAAACAAGTTGTCAGTAATTTCACGCTCAACTATGTACAACGAAACATTGGGTTGCAGAATCTTGAAGTGTCAGGTTTTGATAAAGTTCGATTGCCTATTTATCAAACCACATCACATAATTCTTTCTATAAGTAAGTGGTTTTAAAAATTAAACTAAAAGTAGATTTTAAATAATGTTTTGTATTTTTCTTAGTAATTATGCTATCAATCGAGACAGTCGTTCAACAATCGTGGCTGGAACCGCTGGACAACACTACGTGGATAATATTTTCTTTAATCCGGATAACGATTATGAAATGATAACGGTTAATCGTTCATTGTAAGTAGAATTTATTACTTTGGTAATGATTTAAAGTACTTAATTGACAAGGAATGATTAGTTAAGTAGGAAATTTTGCAACGTATGAAGAATGCCGTCGAATTGTTGTATTTTACTAATATAGCTCGTTTGTTTCTCTTTTTTGCATGATACTTGCATTTGGCATGACTCAGATTTAACTTCAACAGGTAAGCAATTACCTCGTACTAATTAAATAATTTAAAACCTTATTCTAATTTATTTATTTCCCAATTAGTACTTTGGAAGTATGGAAAACCAAAATCGACGCAACTTACAACTACTGGGGAGTGAACACAACCATAGCAGTAGCGGGTCGAATCAGAGATCAATACGACGACCCGCGTTTATTGGAAGTCAACTATCAACATTACTACATGAACAATGAGACCATCCTCACTGGTTTGAAGTGCCCACCAGGTTGGGACCTCGTTGGGGACACATGTTACATTTATATCGGGGCTCCGATGACCTTCCATGAAGCAAGGGCTTTCTGTCAAGCAGACAATGCTTCCATGCCCTATATTATAGGAAATCTAAACTATGTGACGTTGTATGACTTCCTGAGGAAGCAACAACAATGGTACCTGTATTCCGACAAGGTCTGGGTGCAGCATATTGATCGGATTAACTCCTGTACAACCTTTGCTTATCAAACAACGGAAGTGGACAATTGCGAGATACGAAATCCTTTCATATGTGAAATCGGTAAGATAATTTGATCTGTTTGTTGCTTTGATTAAATTTTATTCTTTGGTATTGCAGATCCCAAGGTGTTTATTGATCCATTGGTCTGGCGAGGTGACATTGTAACAATTGCTGTGATCGCCGCTGTAGTTCTGGCATTCTTGCTGTTGGCGCTTGTTATCATTTGCTGGTGGAGTAAATCAAAGTATCGACACGCCCAACGCTTGGAGAGACGAAATAGCATTCGTCAGAGTCTGCGTTCGCTGAGATCGGTGGGATCAACAACTGGTTTCTCCGAGTTTGGATACGGCAGGAAAACAACCGGCCAATTGGTAAGCAACTGATATCCAATTTTATTCAGCCATATTTAAGATGTGGTTTTTGATTCGTTAGTCGCAGTCACAATTTGAATCGGATTCGGAATGATTACCGGTAGATGTCGGTGGCAACACCTCAAAACGAAATAATTTCGTCAAGTGTTAAACTTATGTCAGTAATTTCAGGTATTTTGTGTGTTGTAACGTGAAGAGCTTCAAGATTATATGTTGTTTATGTTATGAACTATATTATGCAACTGTTTATTGATTTTATTTATGTTTTTTTTTCTTTCGCAGAGTACTCGTTCAACTGATACTTTAACAAAAGCATCTGATTACAAAAAGATGCTCAGCAATGGTTCCATTGACAGCATGGAGAAATCCGCGTACAATTCTTCAATAGAAGATAATCAATCCTATGATATCTACGAAACGAATAATCCCAATCCGTCCAGTTTCAGCTACAACACCACCATCGAATACCACAAACCCAATTTCACCTCCCAACAACACCCACAATACGCACAACCAAATTTTAGTCTTGCGTTTAAGAATGAAGGCTTTAAAGATAATTCAACTTTTGCCAGTAACTCCCGCGCTGCTTCCATTCAGGATGAATCACCTCCTGTTACATCCCACAAGAATACCCCACCTTCATACCCTCCCAGCGAGTACTACAACACGGATACGCTCCCTTTGAACAGAGATTCCACCAACACCTTGGACAACTACTACCAGCAGGAGATACCAGCTCCATCAACAGCTGGAAGTAGTTCCTCTAGAAGTGGTCGTCCCACTGGTACTTTCCTAGCGGAACTAAAGAGTCGTATACCATCAAACGAACAGAAATATCTGCAGCATAGTCCGGTACCACCCCCAACGGTGCCACCTCCACAGGAATACTACTATGACAGAAGTCATGATCATGACCGACCTAAGAGTACTGAATATGTTGATCCCATGGTCCTCAACAGTGGTAGCATGAACACCAATGGGTTACCAACCAGCAAGACACGCAGTAAGAGTGAAGCTCTACTCGAGACCAACTTCGATTACTTCGAACCTGAAGATCAGACCATGTTACAACCAATGGGCGAACACTCCAGGAGTAAATCTCAGCCGTTGGAAACTGCAATGTAGAGGGCCAGTACTGCCAGTACCAAGAATCCACGAATCCAAGAATAGCACTTAAGTAATTTTATTCCGAGTACTTTTAAGTTGATAATTCGACAGAAATGTGATATAGTTATCAATCTTACTAACACAAGTGAACATTACACCGAGTGATACAGAAAAATAAAACGTTTAGGTTTTAAGATCAACGACAATAATATAGCAAGCAATGTTGCGTCCATGACTATCTAGTGTATCTAATATGATTATATTTATCATTTTGTGTTCGTCGATCGTCTCCCAGTGAAGTAATTTGTATCAGGAACGATCGCAAATACGCGGGAACAAATTGTTAGAAATATTAAGACTGCCCGCTAGTTACAAATGTTCAGTAAGTCTATTTTTACTTTAATAAGATTCATTCATTACGTGTGCAATTATTTTTGAAATGAGAGTTTTATACGCGAATGTTGAGTATGTATAGGATTAAGATTAGCAGATGTTTAACATAATTATTTTACTCTAAGTAATCTACAGATGAAAGAAGGAGACGCAAACGATCTCTGAATTTCTAATTTAAATAAATACATTTCAAGTTTTTAACCATGTTTCTAAATCATCCTGAATGTATGCAACCCAAATGTCAAATTCCATATATATGCAACCCATTCATCATTTTTGTGTGCGTTGAGAATATTTCAACACTCTAATGGCTCAATCTAATTCTGTGTGTCACGGACAAGCGGAAAATACGCCATCTAAATTTACCAAATGTTTGCGCCATTATTAATTCACCGCATCTGGTGCATGCGTTCGTAGTTTCGCCTTGTGGCTATTCTAATGTATAAGAAAATAGATTTTCCTTTCATTCACGATTGCGCAACGCCGCAGCCACACAACAACAAAGATGCCGCGGGGGGAATTTTACGTGTGAGTGAATATCAGGGAAAACTTAGCTGAAGGTCCCTAGGAATTACTACGAATCCCACAGACTACGACAATACGGAATTCGATGACTCGCTGTGCGTGTGCGCTGCAGGAAAACACCGATAGCGTTCGTGTTACGACATACGCTACGGTTATGCAACGCGGCACGGACAGAGACAACAAGTCTTGTCGTAGGGCCACGGAGTGAATGGTGCTCGGTGCGCTCGTCTCTTTGTTTGCGTGCGCCGTGGTGCGTGGGCGACGTCGGTTGGTCTGCACCAATCACACGCCGTCTAGGGACACGATCCTACCTTTGTCATCAATGGGTTGCGGTTGAGTCCATTATCGGCAACGCGGGGGTGTACACCCGCCGGCCACACTAATAATTGATGAGTTTGAAGACTTAAACCGTTCGTATCCAAACTGATTCGATACTCTAACGAGATAATAAGAGTGTAACATGTTGGTATTTTGTTGTGGATGGCTGAATCCCTTCCAGAGCGTCGTGGAGTTTGGTGGGCGGCCGCACCTCGTGCGCGTAGCTTGGACTCGGCGCGTCACGTCGCGCAGCTGACTCCGCGTACGCTCCTCGGCCGCGCGTAGTACGTTCGCGGTGTCGGCGTCAGCAGGAGGCACAGAGTGTATTCCCCCAGCCAGTCGGGTGCATAAAAACCTCTCGTAGTACTATTAGAACCGCGGCGGCACGACGAGGAAATGATAAACTAGCGTACACACAACTGAGGCCCCTAGTCTTATCTCTTATCGCACTCTTATATCCTGCAAACCATCGAGGGTCGGGGATTTTGTATCGCGGAAGTGTTCGAGCCGATTGTGAATGTGAAGATCCTCCATGGGATTATAAAAGTTGGGATTTTCTACGACAAAGGAGAGGTTGTGCACAATCGTGGCTTCCCGTTCGCCACCCACGGACCGACCATCAACCAAAATTATGCTGAAATTTTTGACCAACAAGCTGCGCACTCAGTCGATCAACGAGAACAATTGCAAGGTGCGTTCGCACAACGCCAATTACACAAATTATACAATCCATTACCTCTTTTGTTCCTCGATTCCAATTGGATTCGAACTCTGCCCACCATCTCCGGATCCCAATAAGGAGCTAACCGTTTTTACTCAAATTGCTTGCATTGCACAAGCTGTAATATGAGAATTGGACGTTAAAAATCGGCTCCAAGCAGCAGAAGCTGCGTCCTAACACAAAGCGCATACTGCACGACACATTCACGCACACACACACATGAATGCACATAACCTATTACACATGAATTACACTCGTACATCATCGGATTGCGTGCATTCCGCCATGTTGGTGTGTGCGTGAATGTAGGCCTCCACATGTGCGCGCCTGCAGGATGCCTGCAGGACGGGCTGTGTGCGTGTGCGTTGGTCGGCGGCTGGTATCTGGTTGCTGCGACCCACACGCGTGCGTACGCTTACGGAGTACTACACGTACCCCTCAAAGCTGCACGAAGGTCAAACAGCGACGAAAATGGCCGACTGCACTTGACGGAACAAAGGAGTGCGCGACCATTTCTTAACTGTCATTTTTTCCCGTGTCAAAAATGCTCATCTTTGTTTTGCAGGATAATGAAGATCACGACAGCGGCACGGAATCGGACGACGAGATAGAAACCAGCGTCGAAATGCCACCGGGCTCGGGATCCACAACTTCTGGTGAGTACTCTCGGCAGTTGCACGTCCACGCTACTTATTATAAAATAATATCGCCGTCATTAGTGAAGGTGTCGTCGTGAGACTGCAACTTCAACTTCAACTTCAAGTTTGCATAATTAATTTTTCCTCCGTCAAAAAAAAAACACGAAAAATATAAATATTCTCGATTAAAGTTTAAAATGATTACTTTCACTTGACCTGTAATTATGGGTTATTTAAATAATAGTTTCGACATTTTCTAACGAATGCTTAATTAAAGAGAATTTGTATCGACGTGAAATATTCATTTTAATGGCAGCGCGGAAAATAATAGCCTGAGAATAAAATAAATGGCTATGCAACGGAAAATTCTCGGAAAGCGAATTGTTAGTGTAATTCCTTAGATATATCATAGAAAACTTGTACAAATTATAACTTATTTCTTTGAGTGCACACCGCGTCCTAGTTATGAAATTGCAATTGCAAGAAGTAACAAGAAATTACTGCGGCGGAGCCAACGAGCGGCCATTTTTCTTCAATTATCTATTGTTGTGCACGAAAATACCTCCCGGGCAGCAAACTTGAATCACAATTTGTTTTTATTTAGCATCCAGACATTTTCTCTGATTGTTTATTTACTTAATACTGTATTGATGTAGCATCTAATATAAACTAGCTGCTTGTTAGAAGAACCCTCGAGATTTAGAGATGTAGATGTAGATTTTATTGGTTCAGTGCTGGTTGTGCACGCTCGGGCAAGAAGAAGAAAAAGAAGAAAAAATAAATGCATAGGTGAAGCCGCTGAAGTTTAGCTTTAACTTGGCCATTACAACTTGTTACGTCGTGCAGAGTACCGTAAAAGAAGAGAAGGCAAAGGCGCATTCTAAATACATAATGCATTTAGTATACTACCATACAGGGTGTTGGCCTAAACTGCACAACTTGCAATTTCCACGATTCCAAGTCGAGTTATTCTGCATTCTGCTTCGGTATGCGCACTTAATCAATCAGTTAGTCATTTTTATCATGCGCAAAGTTACTATTACTATAAGTGCAGTATGTAGCATGCGGCGTTCGGCGTAGTAAATACCATAATGGCCGTCGTAGTGAGTGGAGAACGCGAAGCAAGACGAAGGAGGAGGTAAAATGGCTGTGTATGTGCGGGAAACGTCTATTTCGCTCGCTAGTAAATCGCATAATAGACATAATGGTTCTTTGAGCTGTACGAGAATTTAAACCAGGTATTATGAGCGTATTTTCGTGTGTTTAGAATTTATAATTTTAAAAAGCACATGTTTTATTGATAAACCTGGGCATATTTATGCGGCCAACGATCGTGATTAATTGTTTTGACAGTTTCATCATTGCGCGCGCGTATTCATGCGTTCATAATTGCAATAATCGCAATAATACAATGCGAACATTCGACGTGCATTGCAAACAATGCGAGTGCCAATTTGAATATGATAGCATTGTCGGCGGCGCGGTGAAATGCCCGCAAAACGACAGGTTTTACTTCTTGAAATTATTCCGACTGGCTTATATTCGTACGAGTCGACGCTGATTGCCGATCCAAGATATAATTACTTCATTTGCGCTCCGTTTTATGAACGTTAATTTATCTTAATGGCTGTGGTCTTTATCTTAATTTCGCTTTTCGCGTATACAACTTGCAATATGCTACGTTGCACAAACATTCAATGCATCCGAAGCGAATATTGCAAATGCGAATGGATGTACGAGTATGTTTGTGACGCTTTCACGCGAAAATCACTTAAACAATTTTAATAAATTATTGCACAGACATATTTTAGACTTGGGAGAATATTATAGAGTAATTTTTATTGCTAAAATATTACTTGAAGGGGGTGTAGAATAGTTTTGAAGTTTTTGCAGCAAAAAAGCTATAAAAAAACTAAATTTAAACGTCTGCATTTCTTTTATTTGTCACTTCATTACAGTTCTGCTTTGTTACAGCTCAGCGTATAGAATTTTACACGTTCCCAACGTGTTTACGGTCCTAAACAAATGGAAAACTAATTTTAATTTATGCCCAACGCAAATTTAATTAAAATTTAAGTTTCAACGCTAAATTAAGATAAAATTACACGACTTGCAAAGGTTTAACCCACTGACCTTGATATTAAAGAATGCTAAGAGTGTTAAAACTTCAAATACCTACTTAAAACGTGTAGGTATATAACTTTTGTGTAACGTATGTTATTACACTTTTGTTTCGACATAAATTGACGCACGATATGATAAGTATTTTATTTTAGATGAGTATCTAAACTTTCAAGTGTCGTAAACAGGAATTAGAATTTAAGTTATTCAAGGGATTTATTGATTATTATCGTAGTTTTAGATAAAACTAATAATATATAACTACTTAACCTTTGCGTTTCCTATTTACAGTTTGATTTAATTGAAATTCCCACACTTGTACCATAGAAGTGTCTAAAACCTAAGCGGGGGCGTATTTTTTACAATACACAATTATTATAATGAGTTGTAATTAATTTCGTGGTGATTTCTGTTTCAATTTAAAACAAATCTAGGTGTAGTACTTGAAATGTCGTGGTGATTAATGTTATTTTTGTGTATTAATTATGTTTAATTGCTAATTTGCGAGGTTGTGTATAATTAATCTCCGAAAATATCGAAAACTTCACAAACTCTCGCTTTATGGTTGAAAATATCGAATATTTTAACATTTAATAACTAATACATGGTAAATAATTAGTGTAGTGAATAAATCATGTGTTTTTACAAGCGGCAAGTAAGTAAAAGTCGTTTGTATTGTTCGTTAGAATGTCGTACACTTCAAATTTGATAGATATTTCTGCATTTACTGCTGCCTGCTGGGCCAGCTCGTTATTTATAAACTCGCTGCGAGCCACGAAACGTCCGCGCACGAATTGTGAATAAAAAGTGATCATGATTCGTAATCGAACGCGACGGCGATTGGCATACGCTGGCCTTGACGCTGAACTTGAGGCGGTTTTCACTCACTTGTGCCTGGCATTTTTAAATGTTACAATATATTTATTTCGCAGGTCATCCGGTCCTGGTAAAGCGATTTTGTAATCATGTAATATGTGAGACCGAGTGAGTTGAGTTTGGCACGGCTCTCCGTACGTCCGACCTTGACGTGAACTTGTTGAACATTTGTCCGCCATTGCCAGTTGTGTTGAATTTTTTATTTTGGCTTCGTATACATTCGCAAATCATTTAATTTTCTCGCAAAATATAAATTTGATTTCATTCAGTAAGCTAAAAATGAAAATTTCTTAACCGTAGAATATTTGCACAACATTTTATCCTGTCAAACAAAGTAATCGCTGATAAAACATCAACCCGTGAGACCTTTTCGCTCTTTTCAATAACACACAACATCATACACATTATCGCTTATCACTCGCGCGCGTTTATCTCGAGTAATTGTGTGTAAATTGCTCGCGTGTTATCGTTGTAATCGTTATCCGAAGCCGTGTAACATCAATTCTCTTGTCACTGTTTGTATTTTTTATCTTGTCGCCTGTTGGTGCTATTTATTCGCGCATTTATATATAGACTGATAACTCATTGTGCGAATAATTAATACACATTATTCTATTAGATTTTTATGTCAATATTTGCGTCTAGCTCCACAACTGACGAAATCAATACAATATAAATCATGTTACATAATTTATTAACACACATAATGTTTTTTCTCTGACGTCACATTGCGTTGTTTGTAAACTTTCAGTGAGTACACATTGTAAATGTTGATGGGAGTAATTCCAATCCGCGCGTGTGTGTGTGTGTGTTATATTTGCGTACCGCCGACCCTGAACTTGTGCAAATTCTATTTATGCAAATTTATTATTATTACCATTACTTGACTTTTATTTCACATTCACATACGCGGCCACTGAAGGCGTTCGGATTATTTTCTATGAAAAAAGTGCATAAAATCAATGAAAACCATAATAATTGCTTATATACGCGCGTAATTCGTAATTAAAATGATTGTATGCGTTAGGTTTCCTATCCAGGATTCTCATAGCTGGGTATTTTTGGCGGGCACGTTCGCAGACTGCCGGTCGGCGATGGCGTGATGGCGGTCATGGATATAAATATGTCGTCGGTGCGCACGCCACGCACACACTGCCAAACAGTTTACTCACTTTCATTACGCGGTGCTAAATAAATAAATATTTTAGTTTGCACTATATCTGCGGTGACGTCACGTGTCACACTGCTCAGTGTTTAAAATGTTGCAATGAATTGGCATTGACACAATATTCGCCACGTGTTTATGCACTTGCAAGAAAGTAGAATAATTTCGGGTGTTTGTTGCCATTTAATCATTCCGTATGACTTGAACGATGTTTGTGTTGCATATCTAGGGATAACGTGTAGAAAATCAGCTGATAAACCAAAATGGCCGTGTGAATCATGCGATGACTCAGATATTACGAAATGTTTTACAAACTTTATGATGCATTGTGAAATTTTAATGGATTCGTTATTGTTAGTTGTTACTAATGTAAGGAATCTTGTAGGTAATTTCATAAATTATTCATTCATTCACTCGGTTGTTCAACAGCCACAACAAACACCGACTTCCACACTTGTTTCTTCTTTCTCAGAAGCGTCCGCGTTGAACGACTGACGATAATTTTATACGATACGAAAAAAACGCGTTAGAAACTCGTCTATAGCGCGCGGCGCAATTTCGCGAATATTTCTTTCTCTCGCAGGAAAATGCAACAAGTGACCAGAGAGGAATTGAAGTGTATATCACATCTAATTGATCTTTCAGCCGCGGCAGGATCGCGAAGGGGATATCCTAAAGCAGCGAGCCGTTTTAATCGTTTTCCTATACATGGCGTGCACAAGATGGCGTCCACGCATAGTTTGGCTTTAATTTAAAACGAGGCATACTGAACAACTGAATTGACGTTTATTTCGACCTCTTGGGTAACATTTCTTTCCATTTAATCATAATTCGCCTTGTTTGGACATTTTTATTAGGGTTAGCGCCATCTGGTTCACGTTAATTTGCCTCATGACATTAAACTAACGAGCTGAGGCATTAAAATTTATGATTTTTCTTCTAACCGGCTCAGAAAATGAAAACTGATGACGTTAAATTGAGAGGATACTAGTTATAAAACATAACGTGAAGTGAATGGCACTTTCAGACAAGAGAACGTTGCACGCTAATGAACAAAACGACACAAAACGCTAAGCTAGGCGCGAATAATGATAATTATTCGTTGAAGTAAGACTAATCAGACCGAAACTAATGCGTTGTTGCACACATTTTGCTATATTTAATTAAATACAGACTAGTATTTTTTATATTATTCACTCAATGCTTGTTTTTGTTGTTTATATTGCTCGGCATTTGCATAACGCATGAAATATGCAATGAGAGGACAGAACAAACGAAAACAGAGCGAAATCCGGAATAGGATTTCAGGCGAGAGTCCAACGGGGTCATGACCCTTTTCGTGAAACATGCCGCGCGCGTTCATTAAAGCAAATAACAGCCGGCAATAACCGCCAGACTCTCGCCGGTCTAGAATAAAACAAAACAGCGCTTTATATCGTTTTTTAAATTGTTTTAGTCATGATGGATCAAAGAGTATGCAGCATATCACCGGCGGATACGGGTTGTTCAATGGAGAGCCCCGCCCCCGACCAGCAGGACGCCCATAGTTCCGAGGAGGAATTAGAGGTGATTAACAACTCGACGGTGGAGCGTGTGTCACGCCCCTACGCTCCGCCTCCAGCCTGCCGGAAAAACGGAAATGGTCACAACGTGGTGACTCATACTCAAGGCGGTGCTCACCGGAAAACGAAGAGAATATGTCGCATTATGGTAACTTGTCGCCATGTTCACGATTTGCCGGAATGGGAGGCGGGGCGCATTCTGATGATGCTGTACATCCTGAACACTCATCTGATGAAGAGGTGCATGCGCTCACGTACATGGCTGCGCCATTACAATTTCGTACATCGCCGCCTCTGGAGGCGGTCAAGCCTGGTCGCCGATTGGCTGCGAGCAAGATACGCAGTCTTAGCCCGCCCTCAAAGCTGATGCACTATGAGGAGTCACCGCGCAAGCGCACTAGACATGCTAAACACGCCCTGCAGCGGCCATATTTGGATTTTGAAAAAATGCAACAGGTACAGTGGAAAATTTTACTCCCAGTTTATTATTTTATAACATCAGCTGATTCTCAGTTGCCGGCTTTGTTTACTAGAGATGACATAAAGATTTATTGGTTTATCTAATTAATAACATGTGCCAGACGAAATTAGCCGCGCCGCAATGATGTAAACTTCTTATACAAATAATGTGCATTTTTACGATGAAGGTCAAGAGGAGCGTTCGTTTATAATTTTCGAGTGTATATTACGCCAGCGTGTGGGATATTGAGGCAGGTTTTTCGAAAGTTTAAATTTAGACGCCATTTTGACTTGGTTTACATTGGATTTCCGCTAAATATTGTTTCTTGTATACTTCCAGTTGAAAGCAAGGAATGTGACGACATCGTGGCGACACAGAGGTGACCAGGGCGGCGAATTGGCCCTGTTTTGTTGGTGAGATGGACTTGGAGGGTGTTCCAAAACACCCTGCGAGTGTCGGACGCCATCGACGTCCCGCGATCAACGCACAGACGACATCGAGGACCTAGATGACGTCGATTTTTCGGCACGTCCTTCGTGCTCCTCTTCAGCGCTTGTCCTTGAGGACACGTAACAACACGTCGCCATCTTGTGCGCGTTTCGTGCGCTCTGTGTACATAGTAAACAGTTTAACATTTAAGAATTACAAAGGCATGAAACAAAAAGACTTACATTTGCAATTTTATAAATATAGCACACTATCTTATCTACTTATACATTGGTTTTTAGAGCGTGTCGAACACGCCGAGCGTAAAAACGAAACACGATGCTTTGTAGCGATTAGTTAGGTAGGGATTTTATTAATTAACAAATTCGTTCTTCGTTCTAATCGAGTGGCAGGTGGTAATTATGTAATGATTACGGACGGGTCATTTTTTTAAATGTGAATCTCTTAGAGATACGGGTTTCGCCTGGATTGCAATATTGGAAGATGCTAAACCACAAAATTGTTGATTGTATCTTGGAAGTGGTGACTTAAATTTGCCATATTTTGTCGAATATTTCGTTTTTGGCAAACATATACACACATCACGCTGTTTGACGAACGAAAATACTGCTTGTAACTGTACAGTGGCGTTTCTTGCAATGGCTGACCTCTCAATAGAAGCTCATTGCTGTCCTTAAATACGAATAAGAAACAGCCATAAATTTTGCCATAATAGACAACGTGTATTTTTCTTACGGAAAGCATGAATGAACGGGGAGGAGAGCAGAAGACAACACAAATAAACAGACTGCCACACCGGAGGACGTCTCAGATGATTTATTATGTTTTATCAAAACGTACTTAATGCGATTACTCTTATGTAAAACAAGGGGCACTGTTCGCTTTCCACACGCGTTCGACTCGTAGACAAACAAACTCATAAAAGATATACACACGGCTAAAACTGAAAACACTCATAACGAAATAAATTAAATACAAGATGCAAAACAAAAACAAAAAGATATATTTTGGTACATATTTTTCTATATACAAATATACTACTTATATAAATACAAGCGAAACATAGTGCGCGGACCGAGCAAGACAGAAATATTGATCAATTAGAAGAGTCGACTGGGAAAAATAATCTGTACATGCAAAGCGGAATCTGATCGTGTTTATGGATAGATTTGTGGCCGGCGTGGAGTAGTTTTTATTGTCTGTAACTCACTTGCTCGAAAACAGCACGTTTCTATTGGATTGGCACTGTTATTGTTTGATAATGTCTGTATAATCGTAATTCCATTGTACACGATGTAAATGAAAAGAAAAATTAATGGAATGCCACGGAAAGCAGCAGGACGATTGTGATGTTGGGTTTCAAAGTGCTGGTGGGAGAGCAAGAGGAACTCTTTTGTACATACACAAAGTGTAAAATTTTCAAATTGTAATTCTAATTGTAAAACTCAACAAATAATCGTAGATGAAACAAAAAAAACTTAAAGAAACACACACACAGATTGTGTTTTGTTGATGGCAGTTCTGTTAGTTTTGTTGAGTTGTTATGCTTTTAAATGTAGGTCGATTAATTGCCACTGATTTTAATTAATTTTACAGGATGGATACAATGACACTGGATCTCGTATATTTAATGTTTATTTTTTTGTTCTTATTAGTTGTTATGGTAATCATGCTGGCACTAACTGGGACGAGATTGATTTGCCTCTTGATTTATGTGTGATAAGTTTTGAACAGTGGCGTAATGTGCAAAAATAGTATTGATTTATTGATGATAATGTAAATGATAACTGATAATTTTGACTCTTTTTGTGATATACTTATTATCAAATATTTTAAATTACCAAGTGTGTAAAATGCGGAATGCGTGGCTCTGATATTGGTAGCAAGAAGCGGTTTGTGGAACGTGATTATTCACAAGTTTTTATTTTTTATTAAACAAGCACATTAACAATTACTACAAACCTTATAGTGTAATTATAATATTATTCACTAATTAATTTGCGAACACACACAACTTGTACATTATTACGGATAAGCTAACGTTGTCGATTCAAGGGAATGCTGAATATCTGTAAAATTATTTTAGTTTCCATAAGATTTGTAGTACATGTATGAAGAAAACTGACTAACAATTAATTATTACAAAGAAAAAATGATACAAGATGCAAACAAAAAAATCCAATAAAATATTTTTTATCATTTTAAAAGCAAACTTGTAGAAACGTTTTATTTCTTGTATCTTTGACAATGTCAGTCAAATTTAAACAAATTCAATTGTCATAATCACATATAGGAATAAATCATAATTTTTTCCAGGGATGTTTAAGGGTGGGTCAAAATTGGCTTCATAAGAAAACTTTGGGTTTAAAAATGTATCAGACTTCTAAAAATGCCTATTACCCTAAATCAGCTGTAGCAGGTACTAACACGGTCCCTGCAGAGCTTTTCTCCGAAGAACTCAAAAGCTACTTCAACGAACGTGAACGATCAGCAAATAAAAAACCAAAGGGGCAAAACAACGCCTCGACAAATTGCCCTCTAAACTTGAAAAAGGACCTTAACAAATTGGAGGAGTGTTATTGGGCAAAGTGGAAGCCTAGCAAAACTGGCGGAATGTGTAAACCCACCACCACGCCCACAAAATTCATGGACTTTCTAACGACAGCCCCGGTTACCCGATTTCCATACGTCCCCAGCGGGTCGAGTTCAAACCCCTGTCCGAATTGCCAGAGATTGATACAAGCCCAACTTATGCAGAAACCGAAATGCCAGTGTTGCAAAGCAATGATGCGTCGGTTCTCTTCAACCACGGAATCAAGTGAAGTAAGGGGTCCTCGTGACAGGTATAAACTCCCGATAAGAAACGACGAAACCACTGACTGTGAGTGTACCTGTGATTATATGACCACCGCTCGAGAAGGCGAGACCACAGAATTTGGATATACGGAAGTGGGGATGGCGAAAGATGATTACAATGCCTGTGGAAAGAAAAGAACCGCTGACAAGGGCGTAGGTGTTGGTGTTACCTGTGATTGCGGAAATAAAATCGATCATGATACAAGACCCCTTTATGTAAATAAAAGTTGCTTTACTGGGTCCTCTGGTATGTTGATAAATGGACAAGAGGACGAAGAACCTGTTAGAGGTCCTTCAAGGGCTTCTTCGAAGATACATCCCAATTCCATGTGGGTGAGTTCTGATCCCGATTCATATGATGATAATACTGGAGTAGTGGAACCAATTCAATATAATCCTATTCAATTTGATATGGAGGATGAGGGCACTGGACCCACCCCGGATCACAATAAGAATGATACAATAGATCCAAAAGATTCCCCACATGATAAGGGTTTGACTCATCACATAACTCCTCATGATTCACCTCATCGTTCCAATGACCTAAGATTATCTCTGGAGAAGGAAATACTCTCTTCTAATGACGAGAATTTACAGGATAACCATTTGCTTCCCGGAACTATTTCAAATGAGAACAGGATATCCCTGGATAGTGAACAATTCCATGACGCAAAAGAGTATCTTACTGAGCAACACGCTGGGATGGAGTCTCAACACACTAAAAAGACAATGTCGAGTTCTCATTTGCAACAAATTCATCCGAAACTACAATCATCTTTAAAAAATCCACCTCAAGTCGTAAAACCAACGAGACTTGGTGACAACCCAAGCGGGATTGCAGCTGCTCTCCCAGCAATGATCCATCTCTGTCAGCGTGCATTCATCACACCAAAGAAATGGTCAAGCATATGAAACTCCTCAGCGAATACATTCCATCGCAAGCCAAGAGTTTCGTTAAGGAAATGGCGGAGATAGTTTCATGCGAGCCGGTACAAGACCTCAAACGACAAGCGGAACGTTGTTTGGAGTGTGCCCTTGAGGCGGAAGCCGAAGCACAGCGAAAATACAGAATGGCACAAGGAAAATCAAGGAGTAGAGAGGAGAAACAAGCAAATCCATCAAATACGTGTGGACCTATAAAAGAAATGAAAGGTAGCACCAGTACTAAATGTTGTGATGACAGTCCTAGGGTCCCAAATCCTGCAGATATCAATGAGAGCTTTCTGCAACAGGAACAACGCCTTAAACGTGAAAAGGAACAATTAGCCGTACAAGAACAATTGCGGAAAGTCCAGCAGGAACAAACAAAACATCAGTTAGAGGAACAACGAAAACTATTAGAAGAACAAGCAAGAGAAATTCAACGACAGAGAGATCTTCAGAAGAAACAAGCATTGTTGCAACAACAGGAGCAACAATTAAAGGTACAAGCACAAGCACAAAGTGCTAGAATACAACAATTGGACGCTGCTTCTGTGAGATTAAAACAACAACAAGAATTATCAAAGGATACTGTTTCTGTGTTGACACCAAGAGTTCAGGAGAAACAAACGGTTGCAAAGAAGCCATTGTTGAGCGCTGCTGTTGCAAGAGTGACCGGTGTTCTTCGACATAGTTATCCTCTGGGAAGAAATGGGAAAAAGTGCGGTACCAAACCAGTAAAACCCAAATAAGTGGAATCCATTTGCAAATGTTTAAATTAAAATGTCACTTTCAATCATCTGTCTTGTTTGATTGTTTCTAATGTCAATTTGATTAAATTTTGAAGTCATGTATAGTAATTATTGTAGATCAATTCATTGATGCACGTTTACAAATTTTTGTAGTTTTCATTACATTATTTCATTTGTATCCGGAATTAATTTCGACAAAATGCAGCCAAATTGTTGTGCATATCGTAGTTACTACTCACGGTCACGTTCACCACGCGATCATGCACCTTATCATTCCTGGGGCAGGTATAACAACCGACAATCCTTTGTACAATCTCGAACTCCATCGCCGTCAAGGAGACACTATTCCAACAGAAGGTACGCTCCTAGAGAGGATGAGTCGTTGTCATCTTCCGACTCTGACGAGTACATGGTCCCTTCTAAAGTCTGCCAACCTTGTAGAGCACCATCAGCAATTCCTAGATACGCAGGTTTTGTGCACCCTGTTTACAAAAGCGTATCCAAACATTTCCTGTGTACTACGCTAAAAGAGAACAGAATTCACACCGAAGACATCCATCACCACCGCCACAACCACCTGCACACAGTTGCTGCACATGCTCATGTACATCTTATTCCTACGAAGATGAAGATACCTCAGAAGATTTGTGTTCATGTGCGTGCTACGAAGATGATCTTCAGAGTGATGAAGATACTGTTTCAGTTTACGACTCGGTTGCGGAAGACACTTACTGCAAATGCAGTACTACAAACTCCAGAAAAGTGGAAGCAGAAGTATGTCGAGGTAGATCTCAACATGTATCTAGATCTGTAACTAGGAATTTAGATAAGCAGGGTATAGAACATGTTTCGGAACGTTCAAATGAATGTTCCTGCAAGTTTCAAAATATCCAAGATAAACCCGGACCTGATATGGATACAGGGATTACCACAAAGTGTGATCCAGGATGTATAAACTCTCCCAGACTCACCAGAATGTCGAACAATGATCCGATGCTAAGTAGATTGTACCAGCATCTATCAAAAACCCTGTAAACCTGCGAGCATGTCTCCTAACCAGTCTTGTTGTACAGCCAAAGTATCACTTAAAAGTTCTTGTGATTACTGCAAACAACTCCTTAAAAAATTGCAACAACACGAAGAAGAACATCATTCACACTCTGGTCCAAAGAATGAAACAATTGATGATGACAAGATTGAATCCTGCATGTGTTCAGATTGTGCCTGCAAAAACAGAACCACAAAAACTTTCACAACAAGCCTCCCTTCGGAATCAAATCAAGACGCAAACTCCACAGGATCACCCTCCAAAGAATCAATTGCTGAATCTGATGTATTATTGGATGTTCAATTAAGCGACACAATGATAAGTCCTTCAAACTCAAAGACTTGTATGGATAATAGATGCAAAGCAGTCATTAAAAATTTGACGTTTGATGATCTTGTGGTGACTCCAAAAGATACAAAAGCTTCACCTAAGTTAGCAGATCAGACAAAACAGAAACATTGTTTGAACCCTAATTGTGGACATAATGATAATAGTATTACCAGTGAGCAAACTTACTATCAATTTAAAACGCAAGTAAATAAGAGCGAGGGTGCTAAACCTTCAATTTCCGAGATACCAGCTATCAAAGAACAGGTCAAATTGAAAGAATATCCCTTTCGACCATTTGCACGATCAGGTAATGTCCTGGGACCACAAAAACGTGCACCAATTCCATACTACCCATCACACACCCAGAAGACTTTTAACACAAATTATTTATTTAAACGCACCTCGGCACCAACTGGTACCACTCCACAAGTGAAGCATCTTGAACCCCCCGCGGATAAGACTGAAGACGTTTCCGTTTCTGGGATTGAAAAACGATCTGAACCACAAAATGTGTTTTTGCTTCATCGCGATTACCTAGTGCTTTACCACCCGTGGAAGAAGTGAGCAAGGAAGATTCAGAAACAGTTTCTGATTCGGCAAGTTCACAGCTTGAAATTAAGTGTGAGGAAGCTGAAATTGAAGAAGCAAAAGGAGATGGGAATAGTTTATTGACATCTGAGGTGGGCGTACAGTATCCTTCTTCATTACAAATGCAATCAGCTAGGAAAAAGAAAAGCTAATTCCAACAAACCCACCAACTAAATTAGAATTGCCAAGAGGTGATTTCCGAACAGCGTGTGTGACAAAATCCCGACGGTGTTTAGTACACAGTTATCCTCTAAAGAATAGACATGTGTCTCCGAATCGTACCACACCTTCCAAAATGTGAATATTTCAATAGAAAAACAAATAAAATCCAAGTTATTTTCTTAAATAAAGTTATTAGAAATTTTTTACACAATATTTGTTTATGTAAAGAATCTCTTCTCACTGGATCACTTCTAAGTTCTTATACTTTTTACCAAGATCAATCATAACATCTCCCACATGTTCATTGCGTAGTATTTGGGTCATAGGATGCACATCACACGATGCACACTCCTTCATCCGTTTGGTACGGATCAATTCCCCGTTGATCATACTGGAACCCATGTAAATATCGTTTTTAAGTGTACGTAGGCTTTCAGTAATCGGTCGCACTCCCATTGGGTAACTTTAGGCATATAGCTGCCTGCAACACCTTCTGGACCCAATTTGACAATGCTTTGCATATAAGGCAGGAAGGAGCTGATGTGCCCAGTTTGTCTTACGAACGCGCATTCATACACTCCCTCGGCGCCTAGCAGGGCGTTCACCAGGTTGGTAACAAATCTGGAGATGGCAAATGCTTGGGAAAGATATAAAGGACCGAGGTTCTCTTGACGTTTGGCATCCAGGCAGGTTTTCGTCGAGTTTACAATTGTGTTGTACAATGCTATACGGTCATCCTACAAATATATTGTTTACATAAACTAATATTCAATTGTTGTGGGTTGTGGATACCTCAGGGAATGTATCCAGGGAAGGGGTACATTGAGATAATATTGGTACTCTTGTTAATAGGGAATCACCGCCAATGACAGGACAATGCACGTGAATAGGATCGTATTTCAAGTATTTACCAATCAAAGAGTTCGCTATAATTGTACTCAAAGTTGAAATACCGATGATTTTCTTGGGATCATACACGCCTTCTCGTTTGTATTCCTACAAAACAGTTCCGCATTGGGTTACATAAGTGTCTTAAAACGGTGAGGCGTTGTATACCTCACTGATCATTGGAATGAAAGAATTAATTGGAGGGGTGGCAACCAATAAAATCGCTTTCGGATTGTGCTCCACGCAATGCAACACAATGTTTCTTACAGCCGCGACATTTTCATCAAATAAATCCGCCTGTTTGGTCGCTGTAGTTATTGGGTACCCTCCACAAAGTAAAATTATCTTTGAATCTACAATGGCGTCCCTTAATAGTCGATTGTCTCCCTTGTAGGCTTTAATCAACGTGTTTGTATCAACTTGTGCAAGATCCAGTGCAGTATTGCAAACGTTATGTTCAGTGCCATAAAGACGGATTTCATCAATGCCATGACACTGCTTCAAGAGCATGGCTACCATACGAGCTGCTGGTACCATATTACCAAGAATAGTTAAATTGATTGCATTTGGGTTGACATTGCTACATGTCCCATGAATCATCTTCTTCATGCTTTGCATGATGATTTCCGGTCGGCGGATTATACGTGACATGGTAATTTTGACGCATTTAATGAAATATTGGAGGAAAAACTATGTTAAATTTTGAAGAAATTATATTATAAATACCACAAGATTTTTTTGACTGGCGCAATTTTGAATCTACAGGAGGAAATGACATATTATTTAAATTCCATGGTTACTAACGAGGTGGGACCCAAAATTTTGAAAATTACATCGTCTGTATGTTTGTTTGCCTACGTTAAAAGTCTACATGTAAATATTTTCAGTGAACTGCAGGAATAGCAGGAAAGACACCAACACAAGTAACTCAAACTTCTAGCTATGTTTCGAGTAAGCCGAGCGATTGTCAAGGTTATCGGGTATCAGCGCGCCGGAATCGTTGAATCTAGAGTGCAGAACCGGTAAAATGAGCATTGTCAAGCTACTTACTCGTGCAACTGCGTCGTCAACAACACGTTTCCTAACACGGAGCATAAAAACCACTGCAATCATGCCTGCAAAGGTAAGTTTTACACCAAAAGTTCATCTAATTACCTAATAGATTAAATCATAACTCATTATGAAGGTTTAACTAGTGTAACTTATATAATGTCACCTGTTTATTATTCAGCAATGAGAATGAAGTTTTATTGCATATATTTATTAATCTTTTGGCTGTATTGTCAGGAAGGTGATAAAATACCCAGTGTGGACTTGTTTGAGATGACCCCAACAAATAAAGTCAACCTCAATGACATTTCCAGCAACAAGAAGATTATAGTTTTTGGTCTTCCTGGAGCTTTCACTCCTGGATGCTCAAAGGTATTTGATGTTTAATCAATATATCTGACAAATTATGATTCCATTTTGTAAATTGTAGACGCATTTGCCTGGATTTATTGAAAAGGCAGAAGAATTAAAGAAGCAGGGTATTAGTGAGATCTTTTGCATCTCTGTGAATGATCCCTTTGTTATGGACGCCTGGGGCAAGTCCATGAATGTTGCCGGAAAGGTGCGCATGTTGGCCGATCCTTGCGCGGAATTTGCCAAGGCTATGGACATTGCACAGGATATTCCTGCGCTTGGTGGTACCAGGTGCAAGCGTTTCTCAATGATCGTCGATCATGGCGTTATTCATAATATTCAGGTGGAACCGGATGGTACTGGCTTGAGCTGCTCTCTGGCGCAGAACCTCAAATTGAAATAGACACGCCAACTCATTTTGTTTCAAATGACATGTAAATTCTCTTGTCAAGCAATAATTTTATCATTTTATGGGAATATGCAATAGATATTTGTGTTTGAATTTAAATTATATTCCTTCCTATACATTTCAGGAATATATCATGTATAAATTTGGCGGATGCGCGATATGTTTGGTTGCCTATCTCAAAGGTCAACCAAATTTATTACATGTTTTGCAATTTTAACCTTCTACTGCTGCTGAGTTCAAAATATCTTGTAATATAGTCTTATCTTGGTTTATTCAACAACGGCAACATGTTTAAAACACACGTTTTGAAACACATGCCAACTTCTTGCATTCGGAGTAAATCCAAGTTGGCGAACCTAGAAAAACTCAAGGAACGAATTGTGAGTGGCCCCAGTTTGCAGGATTTTATCACTACCACTGAACCCATACTCCCTGATGAGCCTGAACGCTGGAAGGACTACGATGGGAAGTTGAAACGTGCCAAGGGTGAAGAACAACGTCTCAGACTACCTCCATGGCTTAAGACCAAAATTCCTACAGGTAATATTATTTCATTATGCGCTTATGTTTGTCATTTTAGTGTAGGATAATATATTTGATATTTTAGTTGTATAATATGGAGACATTAAGTTATATTATCACATATCACGTTTTATTACATAATTCTAGCACATTTATGTTATTGTATCTCATGTAAAAATGTATGATATTGATACATGTGTGTTTTTAGGTCCAAATTTTAGTAACATCAAGGAGCAACTACGAAATTTAAACCTGCATACCGTGTGTGAAGAAGCACGATGCCCAAACATCGGCGAATGCTGGGGTGGCGGCGAGCACGGTACCGCAACCGCCACAATCATGTTATTAGGTGACACTTGTACTCGTGGATGCCGATTTTGCTCGGTGAAGACGTCCAGAAAACCACCGCCTCCTGATCCAAATGAGCCGATACACACCGCCACAGCCTTAGCAACTTGGGGATTGGATTATGTTGTCTTAACAAGTGTGGACAGAGATGACCTTCCAGATGGTGGCAGCAATCATTTTGCAAATACTGTCAGGGAAATCAAGAAACAAAATCCCAATATACTAGTAGAATGTTTAGTTCCTGACTTTGCTGGCGATTTGAACCACATGAAAGTTATAGTTGAATCAGGCCTTGATGTGTATGCACATAACATAGAAACTGTAGAAGCTTTAACACCGTATGTCCGAGACCGAAGGGCGAAATATCGTCAGTCATTAGCAATGCTGAAAGGTGCGAAGGATTTTCATCCGGATATAATTACTAAGTCGTCAATTATGCTGGGTCTTGGTGAGACAGATGCTGAAGTAGAGCAGACTCTAAAAGATCTGAAGGAGGCTGGTGTTGAATGTGTTACTCTGGGACAGTACATGCAACCAACGAAGAGGCATCTCAAAGTTATTGAGTATGTTACTCCGGAGAAATTCAAACATTGGGAGGATGTTGGCATGAAGATGGGATTTTTGTACGTCGCCAGTGGACCCTTGGTTAGGAGTTCGTACAAAGCTGGCGAGTTTTTCATTGCTAGTATATTGAAAAATCGAAAAGCCAGTGCATCTAACTCACCTAGTCAGGAATAAGTTGTTTAAGTAATGTTGTTGTTGTTTTTAAATTTTAAATTTGTTAATAAACATATTTATATAAATTTATTGTAAAGTGAAGTTATTTTATTTGAATAAATGATGTAAAATATGTAATTCAAATAAAATTTTCTTATGAAAAATGTATTTTTATGTCTACCATTTTATATTTCTGTGCGTTATAATTATTAATAAACTTTTATTGTATAAAACTAAAGAAAACATCGTTTTGAATCTTTTATTTTAATAGTATTTTGTTTTAATTCCAACCGTTTAAGCGCCAATGACAATTTTGTTGCACCTTTTTAATTGTACCAAATTTGACTTTACATTGCAATTACTATCTAAACAATCAATCTCACAAGAAAATGTAACTAAGATAAACTATTCATAAACACGTTTCCTTGAGGAATCTGCAATAAAAAGTTTACATATCCAATTTTTAATTTTTACTTAAGAAATGATGGAGGAAATGAATAATCAAGTTTTTCACACTTATCTTGGAAACCAATAAGTTTAAAGAAAAACTGTTTTCACATTCGTATGCAGGGAAAAATTCTACGTTATATAACACTTTAAAATATTCAATTATCTACACTTATGTAATAAATGAAAATGTTCAATAACTGGAAAACTAATTAAGATACCGTAACAAAAATTGCAAAATGAGTTCCTAGCATTGCTTTTCATCAGCTTGGAAAGTTTTATAGAAATCTAAGTTGTGGTTCAATTTTTCCAGTTTGGATTTTCCCACAATTTTCCGGAATATTGGTGTTATTAAAAAACTGACTGGATATCTTTCATCCCCTTGTATGTCTCTATCAAATGGCGTTTTCCATTTTCTTCTAGCTAAACATTTATTTTTTGAGCCAAAAATATGTTAAGTGTTACCTCTTGACTCTTTTGAGTAGTTTTTTATAAACTTCTCAGAATCTAAAAACTAAATCTGCCATTTTCTAGATCTTTATCATGGCATGAAGAAAATGCAAAAAATATGTCTGTATCTTTTAAAGTTTCCGAGAAAATCATGTCGGAAAAACCATTATCAGTTTCTTAAAAATACAAATTTTAAAATCTTATCTGATATAACAATTTATTCTAAGCTTCTTGGTGTTTTTGGATTTTTGTTATCTCTATTAGTTTCTGAGATAATTGATAATTAAGTATTGCCGCAACAACTCTTAAAGTTTTTACAGTGTAAACCGTTACTACTATCAAACTAGAAATTATGTAAAGGGCTAATTAAAACCCTCTCTACATGATGGTTTTATTAGTTTTTCATAATTTGTAAAATCACGTACTAAAATGTCCGGCGCTTCCACCAATATATTGCTAATTTGTAATTAAAACTAAAAGTTGAAAGTTTTTGAAATATAATTAGTGATTATGATAGCAGACAAAAATGCGCATCTTAGTAGAATTTTTTGTATTCTTTTTGCTTTAGGATTTATTAACGTTTGACACTTAACACTGTAATTATATTATTGCACTTATAACAATTCGCAAAAGTTATATATTCTTTGTTTTGTACTGCATACTCGATAAAGTATTTTTGAGGATTCAGGATCTGAAATCCGTTCTTTCTAGCCCTTATAGTTCAGCAGTTATTAGCGTTTAAAGATTCCAATTTGATTTCGTCCGAAAATATTTTAACGGAATGAGTTCGACCCTGTTCTTCGACGGAAAAATTTTAACGAAATGAGTTTGACCCTGTTCTTCGACGGAAAAAATTTTAACGGAATGAGTTCGGCCCTGTTGTTTGACGGAAAAATTTTTAAAAATGAGTTCGGCCCTGTTGTTCGACTAAAATTTTTTAACGAAATTAGTTCGACCCTGTTCTTGGGGCGAAAATTTTTAACGGAATGAGTTCGGCCCTGTTGTTCGACCGAAATTTTTTTAACGAAATTAGTTCGACCCTGTTGTTCGACGGAAAAATTTTTAACGGAGTAAGTTCGACCCTGTTATTCGACACAAAATAATTTAAATCAAAACTTGTATTGTTTATTGTTTATATTTTAAAAGAACATTTACCTAGGTGTTCGACTAGAATAACATAAAACACTAACTCAGGTGTGCCCTTCAGCAGAAAAAGGGTTCTGGGTTTAAAAATACACTCAAATTAGAGAAGATTTGTTGAGATTTATTAGTAACAAAAACACAATCTTGTATTTTACGTTTTTACAATTACTCACTGTCAATTCACTTAAAATTAAACATTATTTAAGGTATAAATAGTAACAAAAGTATTCCAAAAGAGTGATATGTCTTCCACACAGTACAATCAACATGCACACCTATCTCAGTGATATCTTAAGCAATCCACAGTCTTGTTTAATTTTAACATCAACAATACCATCTTTATAAATCCGCTCTTTATCAAAAGCATTTAAGACAAACGCTGCCATGTTATACGGACTATTCCGGGTACTAATGACCACCCCAGCAGCACACCATTCAAACCAATATAAAAATCCACTCAAAGTACCATCCTCTGTCGCCCTAACGTTAACAACGTGCTCATGGCACTTTTCATCGTATATAATTGAAGTTTTAACAATGTTTGACAAAACTTTCTTTTGGAAACGGCCACTCAATGAGCGCATCTCCAATACTGAGTATCTATTAATCGCTGATTCTATGTTAAACCCAAAGGAATTACCGTCCAAAGCCTGTGTACATTGCTCCAAGTAACTACTCTCAACCAACTCGAAGCAAAGGTGAAGTTGTTCAGGCAGGAATATTCCACCAGGACTGAGCAAACTTCGATAGGAATCAATGTTCATAAAGAACTTCTCGTTTAACAGACCGTTTTGAAACACTGGATCAAAGACAATGTAATTAAATTTGTGCCCTCGCTCCTCCAATTCCTCTAGCAAACGTAAATTATTCCACTCAACCTTCATTTTGTATCGGTCTTCAGCGATTCCATTCATTTGCAGGAGTTTCTTCGCATACTCGGCATTTTTATATGCTACTACAATGGAAGCCATGTCTTTAAAACGTGTTGAATCGTTCAGAAACATGGTGGAAAAGAGTGGTAGCGCTGATATTTCTAAGATATGTACTTCTCTCAACTCTGAACCAGGACACATGGCATTGAGTACATGTTTGTACGCAACGTGTAATTGTTTCCAATTCAATAAAGGTACAGCATCAAAAGAAACCTGCCAACAATGACATTCATTACGTAGATGACTGCATGGCAAATTCACATTAGGACTAAGCGCCGCACATTCATTTGTTTTATTAATTGCTGTGATATGTTGATTCTTCAGTGTAACGTTTAATTTATCAGCAATAGCTTCAACATGCACTGTTAGTTTATCTTGTTTCTTTACAGTAATTGAATGAGCAGGGAAAACAACGCCTTGCTCCCAACATAGACAAACATTCTCCCTTTCAAGAGGATTCGTTGTAATTTTGTACTTTTTCTGTTTATCTAATGATAATTCAAAACAAATGACAAATGCATGACACACACCATCCTCAACAGCTTCCAAAACAACATCATCAAACGCATCTTCTACGAAATAGATTTTACGTAACTGTTGCGCATCGTTAAAATTAATATTGCCCACTTCTTGGATCGTTGTCACTTGTTTATAATCAAACAAATTTATACTATAGGCATCGTATGGCTCAAGGTGTTTGTTTTTAATACATTTCGGTGCCTTAAAATAACAATCATCACTTGATTGTGGTTTATATCTAAACTTACTATCAACTTGGTCACTTTCAATGCCGAAAATGAACAATCTAGCTGAATAAGGTAAAACAATTGCATGCTCTGCCAACAATTCAGAGTGGGCATGAATCAATGTCGTTAAAACTCCCTCGCCAAAGAGGCAGCAATCGAAAATCTCAGTTATTAACACATTGAAAATGTTCTGTTTGGTGATTTCAGTGGACAACTTCGGAATTAACGTGATTTGTGCATCATTTGCACAAAACACCTTTTGTGCCACCTGAGACATAATCTCACACTCTTCAATGGCAACAATATTGATGGACTTCTGATGAATTTTGTTAAGCTGTGCATATTTGCCAGCAAATAGACTCAATAAACCACTGCCTGTGCCAATATCAACTACATTAATATTGTGGCTGCTGTTGTGATGTTTGTAGTCTCTAAGGATGGTTTGTATAGCTGTTTTATAAGCTTCGTTCCTCACTTGATCATTCAGCATTCTGAAATGCCATTGTGGGACCTTGCTGGCATACATGCTCTGAAGATTCTTCTCTGTTTTGAGATGATCTGGATGTGCATCGTGGGCTTTTTCAAAGTATTTGATTGCCATGGAAGCCTCATTGCACCTGTTTCATACAGCAGAACATTTTGGTTTATAAGAAATAAATTATTTTATACTCTTGTAAAGAATTAAAACTTATTTTTATTACCTGCAATAGTGTGCACCAAAATCATTCAGTAATTCCAAGTTGTAAGGAAAGTATCTCAATGCCTGAGTGTAGCAAAATCTAACGTTTTGAATTTCTTCGTTTCTCTCCAAACACCCGCACCATTTACGTGCTACTAACACAAAGAATTCCTCCAGTAATTCAGGATTATATTGGTCAAGTTCCAGTAACAGAATGAAATGAGCGAAGGCACGTCCATAATTCCCAGCTTCGCAGTATTCACCAATTTTCCCAATTGAATATTTAGCAGTTTCTTGTTCGTTTCCATTCATATCTAAGGACCATTTATAGTCTTAACTTGAAAACAATTTGTGTACTAAAAGGAAACCAAAACAATTTATCTCAGGTTAAGGTAAGGATTGGCAACTATGGACTATATACATATGTACTTTGATGTAGATTGTTAATTGAAGGATAAAAAATAACAAGAAAAATGATATTAATGAATATATAAATATTATTAGCAAATATGCTGCAGTGCACTGTTACATCTACTCTCCCTCCACATAGAGAGAAGTGAAAACTGTTTAAACAATTGGTGTCATCTCCTACAATCTCAACTTTCACATGAAAGCAACATAAGTTGTTTGCTAAAAAGAGTTCCTTAATAACCACTGCAATTTTAAGGTAGAAATATCCTTTTATTTATATTTAATCTTAAATATTTATAAATATACATGTTTCAGACTTAAAATGTTATCCCAAATACATCTGAATGAAATCAACTACATCAAATTAATATTTGGTGCAATGACAACTCATATAATAATCCTCAGTGTTCTGATAAACTTCTATGAGTCTTACATGCCCAACTCAATAAAGCAGACATTCAGGTTTGGAAAAGTGTCTTTCAAGGGAGTACGCAGCCAACTGATATCAATGTTGGAGGTGCCAAAGAGTTACTTCCAACATTTTTACATCTATGCAGCTTTATTAATGTTATGGATGTTTGGAGTATCAATTGCAGTCTATTTATTTCATGTCCAAGTACCAAGGAGTTTCACTGATTTTCTTGACAAAATTGGTGGCATTAATAGGATTGCAAGAGGTAATAATTAAATAAATAATAATATAAATAATCATGTGATGATGTTTTTAGTCTCAACATTACATGTCCTCTTAGCTGAGCTTTTATTAACACTGCAATGTGTGAAGAGATTTTATGATTCCAACTTTGTGTCAGTGTTTAGCAAATCCAAAATGAATATTTCACATTATGCAGCAGGATTTATTCATTACACAGGATGTGCTGTGGCAATTATTCTGGAAGCACCTGAATTTGCAGTAAATTTAAGTATTTCAAGAATTCACAATCTTCCTGGCTTGGGAGATTTATTTGCCACTGTTATTTTCCTTTTGGCATGTTATGGTCAACTACAAGTGACCATAATATTGGCTAATCTCAGAAAAAATATCAAAGGTAACTTCCAAACCCCTCATAAATTATTATAAACAATTTTTCAACTACAGGTAAAGTAATCTCTGAAAAACACTTGCTACCTCAAGGAGGACTCTTCAACTACTTATCCTCACCTCACATGAGTTGTGAAATACTCATGTACACATGTTTAACATACATCCTACGCGGAAATTCAACATGGTTGTTTGTTTATGCATGGGTTTTCACAAATCAGGTAATATATTATCATTTTTGATCAATAATTCACAAATATTCATTGATATATTTATACAGATAGAAGTCATCATGTTGAATCATTGGTGGTATCAAAACACCTTCCCGAATTTCCCGAAAAACAGAAAGGCACTGATACCATTCGTGTACTAGTGCTCTTTTAAGTTTAATTTATCACTTGTTGGATTAGAGGCAGCATATCACCCAACTTGGGCAGGTAGAAGTCAGGCACAAGTCCTTCTTGCTTCGTCTCGGTGAAGTTTTTCACGTCTTTTAGCTGATGTACGCCGGTGAGTACTAGTAGAGTTTGGAAACCACAGTTACTGCCCAGCATTATATCAGTGTTACATCTAAACACAGAAATTAATTGTTAAAATAATTGGTGCTATGTTAATGTGAAGAATAGTAAATGTTTTAAATGTTAAATCACCTATCTCCAATCATAAGAGTACGCGCAGGATTAATCTTGTAATTCTTGCTGATTGCATCAACAATAAAATGATGTGGTTTACCCATAACAGTAGGATCCCGCCCACTGCAAGTAGCCACAGCAGAGACAAAAGTTCCAGTGCCAGGGATAATCAGATTCTGAGACGCCGGAAAACTTTCGTCTGTATTAGTTGCTATAAAATGACATTCCGGATCCCCTAGAGCAGATAAAAACCCAAAAAATTGAGTACATCTCTTAAAACACTTAGTTTTTATAGAAATACCTAAGTAACTTGATGCTTTCATTAGTTTTACATAGGAAATGTGTGGATCAAAACCCACCACAACAGCTTTCACATTAGATTCAGGCTGATAATTCTCTACAAGTTTCCCTAATTCACTATTAAGTATATCTGGCTGTAAAATAAATAAAATTATTTCTTTATCTTTATATTATTTGTGTTATTTCTGAGCCCTTACACCAATTCCAAAGTTTTCTATTCCAACCTTGTCCAACTCTTGACTAATCCCTGTAGATCCAATCACATAAGCTTTTTGTACTCCTTTGGCTTTTAAATACTCTGCAGCAATGTATGAGGTAGAAACCATTTGATCCTGCAGAAAGAACTTGTGTTTTAATCCTACTTTAGTTTATTTTTACAATAAATTATTTACCAATTGACATTTAAAGCCTAGCAGTTTGCCCTTCTTCTCAAAGTCTTCTCTCAACTTGGTAGAGTTATTGGTAACATAGAAAATCTTCTTGCCTAAATCTTGCAGAGTGTTTATTACATCAGGAGAGCCCTCCAATGCTTTCATCTCGAGCCATAGGACTCCATCACAGTCAGTTAGCACAGTATCAAATGAGTCCAGGAATGTTTTAAATGCTTCTGCGGTTAGAGAGGATAATTCTGTTACTGATTTGTGATACATTTTAGATATAATTTGGTAAGTATGAGAGGCACGTAAAATTTAGAGTTGTGTTTCTAGCTCTAGTGAAAGTGTCTGTTTAAATTATCCATGACATTCGTTAACCTTCAGAAGTTAGTTTGACATGGAATGTCCAGATGGCAATACTGATATCGTTTTATTATTTTATTATTTTTCGTGATTTATAACTTGTTGTTTTTAAAATGGTTTCAGGCTATTTGCAAGTAAATTACGTTATTATTTGATGACGCCATCTTAAATTTCCGTCCTCATTATGTTTTTTGTACTTTATTTCCGTGTAAGTACGCATTATATACAATTTATTCAAATTTCATGCCTTAATGCTATCGGCAGTAATTGCGCGTTGATTGCATGTCGCCAAAAGTCGTTAGAGCACTTCATTCCAACGAAATCCGCGCATTCCGGAAATAATAACATGCACCCCTACGTGTAATTAATCATCATTAGTCAAATTTCATCGGTACACGTGCGACACGTAAAAATCATGTACGAACTTTTAAGTTTGTCGGAATACAAAGATATGACATTTTATTACAACCTGCGTCATTAGGCGGGCGAGGAATTTGTTAGGTAGTGTTTTACACGTGCCTGGTAATATTGTACACCTTGTTTCGCTCATATCGTGTTTATTTGTGTATGAGTAATAGTTTAATACACATTATTACGATGTCGTGTGGCAGCGTGTTGCTGTGACCGCAAAGTTGGAAATCGATAGCGCGCCACACGGGCCCATTTAAATAATAACCGCCCTAATTCGCAGCGAAGCCCGTGAAGAATGCACATAAAAATAATCATAAACTTTCCGGCACACGACGAGTGCGGTTCATTTTATAGTTATTCTTGAGCGAAAATAGAAGGTGAAGCAAGTGCATGTTGAGGTTAGGTGGACTTTAACCCGCGAGTTATTCAAAACAAAAGTTTTCAAACATGAAGAAACGCACATTGTTTTTGTATTTTGCGCTTTGTTTTGTGTATACACATGCGGAAAACACCAATGGGCCGAGTCCTGCTGAAGAATTATGTATGTATTATTAAAAATAACTTTAAACTTTTAAATTATTTACATTTTTATAAAATTTTAGATATAAAGCTCTTTAAAAGACGACGTGTTGAACATTTGGAAGCTGTAAAATCACTACAACGCATCACATGTTACGAAAAAAAGTACCAAATGGTCATCCTCATGGCTGAGAAAGTCTTCACGGTGATACAAAACAGCCGCGCACGCATAGAAGCTTCTGGCTTCGTGCCAGGCATCACCGAGTTTCCGCAGGACGAGCAGACGAAGGAAACGTTGTCAAGTATCCTGGAGAATACCGCATTGTTTGCGGAAGTTGTCATCCGCCTGCCGGACATATCCGCGTCAGTATTAAAAATAAACAATAACTGGGACATACTACTGCAGTGGAGCATAGCGTTTACAAATCAAGTGCGCTATTTATTAGACAAGGGAACAATCAGATTGTTATCGTTGGTGAGTCAGGAGTTGAATCATATTGAACGGGACCCGAATTATGTTAATCCATATCGAAAAGCCAAAGAGGAGAAACAACTGCAGCAAGAAGAACGACATAAAGAGGAAAAGAAGAAGAAAAAACACTTAAAAAGGGACCTAGGATACATCAAGACTTATAATTAAAAATCCACTACCTGCGTGCGACCCAAACTGATAAGGAGTAAATATAACAAAAGAGAGGAGCGGAGGTGACCTTGGAGAACTGCGACCAGACTGCTGGAGGACTCAGGCACGACTGAGCGCGATTTTTTTTTTTGATTAGAGGTGTGTAAAATCTGCTTAACAGACGGCTGGCCGGATCGAGTGACCAGCGTGTGGGGTTTAGGCCTCGCAGAAGGCGACGTACCCGACCCACTAAAAAACACACCTCGGAGAGTTTGCCCCGATGGGCTTGAACCCAAAGCCAGAAACCGAAATGCTCCTAAGGTATTGCTACCCAGGGGGAGCGTCTTAGAAGCGATTTCTCAGACAGTATGGAGTGACGGGTGCTGTGCGCAAGGGAGCGCACAGTGAGGGTAGAAGAGTACAGAAATACAGGTACGTGAGTGACTTACATGTTGCAGTGCTGCTTAATTTGGGAAAATTAAACAGCACGGACGGCGAACGATGTCGTATGATTTAGGCCGCTGCTCAGCTAGTTGTGCGATGGTGGGGTTCGGGTGATGCAGCAGGGTGTTGTGCAGATTCTCAGCCAGGGAAGCCGCGAATCTGAAAAGATCGGGCAGCCCGGTCTCGTAGAGAACCTGCGTGTTGCGAATGCACCAATGAAAGCCCAGGCTACGTCGGAGCAGGCGCATGAAGGTACCCTGCAGGCTGGCCATGCGGTGTGGTTCAGCTGAGCCCCAGATGGAAATGCCGTAGGTCATTACACTGCGAACAAAAGCAGTGAAAATCCGCAACTTAGTAACGCTGCTCAGCTGGGAACAGTTGAACATCGGAATAAGCTGCGCGAAGACGGCACGGGCTTTCTGCTTGGCGTACTTGATGTGCCGGACCCAGGACAGCCGTCGGTCCAGGAATACCCCGAGGTATTTGACGCATGGGCTCCATGGAATGTGCTTCTGGTTGACGATTAAGCGCGGCGTGCGGTAGCTGAGCCTGCGGGAAAAGAAAATTGCTTCGGACTTACTCTCGTTGATGCGGAGGCCCCACTGTGAGTACCAGTTCAGCAGGCTTGGAAGATGCCTCTGGATTGGCTGCGCACAGGTTTCCCGGCGTGGGCTAGAAGAAATGAGAGCGATGTCGTCGGCGTAGAGTGCGGTCTGGACTTTGGCTCTGGTCGGAATGTCCGCGCAGTACACGTTGAAAAGGACAGGCGATAGTTTCGAGCCCTGAGGGACACCGGCACTGATCGACTTTGAAGTAGAGAGTTCCTTCCCAACGCGTACCCTTCGCACATCATTATAGAATAACAAACTAATTCATTTCATAGAGTGATAATTTCTGCGTGTGTCTGCACTTTACAATATATATCTCTCCTATATATTCATATATCAATCGAGAAGAATTTACAAATTACAAGTCAACACTGTACAACAAGAAAAATAAGAGGCGCTTTCGTTTCGCTCAGCTCGTTTTCTCTACTTAGTTTCGCAACAATCACATATCAGACGTATATAGTTTTAGTTTCACCCAAGTACTCCTCTAGTAGAAATTGTTTAATATATAATCAGGTCTTGTTTCTAATTGAAAATAGGTTTCTCTATCACACACATTGCATATCATCTCAATTTTGTTAATTTCGGTTAGCGTCTTGTAACAATACTCAAAACAAACAAACAAAACGAAACAATGCAACAGTAAACAGCTCAATACGGACTAATATAGGAAAATTCAATTCAACGCTAAAACCGCCCTCCTAGGACACTATAGAAATCCAGTGTTTGTGTTCACTTGTAAGTACACTATTACTACACCTCAATTCCAACCTGTTTTTGATTTCTATTTACAAAGCAACTGCAACCTCAACAAAAGGTACAACAATAAATAAAAAATTGGTAGCGCTAAAAATTAAACAAGTCACTAATATGTCTTGGAAAATCACATGCCTCCCCCGTCCGCCCGCTAATTTGATAAAATGCTAAACATCCTCGCGTGGCCACCGAAGCAGTTGGTTTAAGCAGCATTTTTCCCGGTTGTATTGTCGCCCGTGTGTGCGAACGCCTCCACGCCAGCTTCTATTGACTCCCCGTCGATGCCTCCGCCACTTGCAGTCGCAGCAGTGCCTTCCTGGGCATTCACAACTTGTGCAGCGCTGCTGCTGTCCTCCGTGAGACGCAAGGCAATCTCTAAATCACGCAGTACTTCGGTTTCTTTTGTTTCAATCAACGCGAAGCGATTATGCAGCGCTGTGAGGTGGACGAACGTCAAATTTAGGTGGGCGTGCAGGCCGAGCAAGACAACTTCCTTGAAGTGCGCCGCATAGAGATGCGCCACCACGTGAAAAAGCAGCCGTAGGATTTTACGGACTATTGATTCAAAGGACGATGGAAATTCTTTAGCTGCAAGTAAATTTTTTATGTTTTACATGACAAAATTATTTAATTTTTCGCGATTTTCTTGTAAATTATTAAAGTTTTAGGCAAATTGTTTTAAGATTTAAATACTGGGTAAAATTTTACGTTAGAAAACACTTTAAACAATTCAATAACTCGAAAACTAAATAAGATATTCCGAGATAATCTAAATATAGAATTTATTTGCTTACCATATTTAGTAGGAAAAATGTTTTCATCACTTATCGTTTTCTGCGTAAACGTCATAACGTAATCTATGTATTGAGGCGCAGCGACGCGCGTCTTTTTGCCCTTCTCATCGAACCATAAATACGTCCTGCAAACAAACAAACAGATTAAATATTTGCGGGCGGAAATTAAAAATTGCGTTTTCCTCGCACAATCGGCGTGGGATGCACAATCAACAAACATTTAATCACTTTATGCGTCTCATATTGTGAATTTAAGCAAACCGCACGCCGTCTGTTTACGTAACGCGTAAAAACAAATAAAAAGCGATAATCAATCAGAAATTAATAAACCCCAAGGCCGCACGACGCGCACGTAGGTGTTTGGGCAACAACAATAGTGCAACATCGTAAAAATCACAATTTACGATTAGAAAAACACGCGTTTATTAACTATATAACCACATACTGGTAAAAACTTACCTCTGACCGGGACCAGTCATGTCTGGACATCCACTATTCGTACAAAATTCACTAACGGCGCCGTAGACTAAATTCACGTGATCAAATAGAGCCATAGCTGAAAAAATATGATAAAATTCATTATGGGAACTTGAATTAAATGATACAAACTTACTGTGTGATGCCAGCCATTCATTGTAATCTAATCCAGGTGGCAAATCGACCATCAGTCGCATATCCAGCTCGGGCAGCTTGTTCTCGAGCACGGCCGACTCCAGATATAATTTCGAGTCGCCAGCGTTTGCGTTGTCGGCGCCTTCTCGGTCCTTCCGTCTTGCCTTTCTACAAAACAAAACAAATAAGATTAGTCTAAAGTCCAAAAGTCATCGGAATAGAACAAAGACCTGCAAAAACACGAAATTGTTTCATCCAATTGTTGCTCAACAATAAAATGCTCATCCTCTCTGGGTTTCTGAGCCCTTGTAAACCACATACTCAGCACTTGCACTTGCACGAAATAAATACAAGTGAAATAAAGTTTAAGCTAAGGTAAAATGCGCAAATGTGAAGGACTAGTAGTGTTTTTATTGGATTTATTAAACTTTTCTATGGCATCCTCGTACGTTATGAAACATTGCGTCTTGGCACGAATTTTGTATAATTACCGCTCCTATTTATAGGTGGAAATTGATTGTGGTATGGTATAAAAGGGGTCCGAAGTTGTGCGTCGATTGGATGAAAACATGGCGTGAAAAGTGCGACATCACGCCGCGTGACTTACCCCATAAACCAGTCCACGGTGTCGCGGAGATACTCCGGTAGGCGCTCCAGCTTGACGGCCTGTGTGTTCCGCCTGGATACTTGTTGACAAACACAATGCCCTGCGGCGGTGCGGGCCTCCTAGAACAACGGGTGCTAGACTCGCGCACTGCACAGCTGATTCGCTTCAACTTTGATTCGGTGCTACTGCGTGAGACACCATCGGTATTGGATGGCGGTGCCTAGCAAGTCGGTCACGATCGCTCAGCGACGACGCTGCTGCTATCGATAGCGACATGCGAGCATGTTCGCCGAGGACGCGCGACCGTCGGTGATAAGGCGAGATTCACTGGCGCGACGGCGATTGATTATTCGGCGGACGGGCATAGAGGAAGCCCGCTGCCAGTCAGCAAACACTCACTGCAACTTATGTACACCACTTACACACGGAGTCGGGCTTCGAAAACAATCGAGCACGCCGTTCGAGCGACATCGACTGTCAATTACCACAAGCTTCAGGTTTCTGCCACCAGGGGGCGCAATGTATACCAAAACTTGAATATTACTCACTTTAAAAGCTTTTTTGCTTTCTACACACACAAACGACTAATAAGTAAATAAAACATAGCGACAATATTTAATTTAATTAGATTTAATATTAATTAGTCTTAATCTTTGGCACGGCAGTGCGTTTAAAAGCCATTGAAAGTCAGTTATTAAGTTTTTAAATTTCTGCCGCCAGAGGGCGCCGTCGGTATCAAAATCTAGAATATTTCACTTTCAAGAAGCCATTTTTCTTTTGTTTTGTGCACACACACCAGCAACATACAAGTGAGTCAAATAAAAATAATTATTTAATTTAATTAGGTTTAATAAACTTTAATCATTGAGCACGACGCTCAACAAACATTTTTGTCACAATTAAGAGATTTGCATGCAGCAGAGTAGTATTTATAGAAGGACGTCGTGCGTAATTCGATTGGCACAAATTTTTCTCATTTATAGTCGATTACAAAAAGCGCGCAATATAATATCTGTACACATTTATAAAATGTAGGTAATTTGCAATTACGAAGTCATTGTGAGGCCGAGCTTGGCGAAAACCATTTCCCTTCGGAGTCGCGCGATCTCCCAATAAATTTCATGAGCTAAAAACACGACAGAACATTAATAACGGTAAAACCTAACCTATAAATTAAAATTTATAGCTCACCTGAGCTTTTAACGAGTCCTCGTTCAATATACCTAAGATAATTTAAAAAATCACAGACTGCTATTATCTAAAAACACAAACAAGTGAGGTTATAAATATTTTAAGGTTATTTTTGGTTATGTTTACCCTATTTCGACAAATTTTCGATATCGAGTACCACACATCTGGCTCACCAATATTCATTCTATAGAAACACTGCCTTGGCACTTCCAGCAAAGCACATTTTCTATTAAAACAAAAATTAATTAAATTCAAATGTTAATTAACAATAATTCATATAATTACTTCGGAAACATTGTTTTGGTCTTATCCCCAATGGCTTCCACGCAAATGGTTCCAGCTTCCACAGCGACAATCACTTTCTCCGTCAACTCTCGGTTCGTAAACCGTAAACACGGATTTATTTCTTCTTCGTAGATACGTTTAATAAACGCGTCTTGCTTGTTGAGTACCGGATTGAGTAGTTCCTTCCACTTCATAAATTCATCCTGCACCACAGGATCCACCTTTAATAAAATTAATTAATTAACATTTTTGGGGTTTTTACGAGAAAAACACAAAAATAATATTTATTTTGGAGGTTATAATCCACTCACTTCCTGTCCCTCTTTACAAGCGACATCCTGGGCGGCTTCCAACGCCGCCAATATCGAATTATCCTTGGTGGGCGACTCTGGCGGCGAGTTTTCCCGTCCGTATTTCAAATTGAAGTGGGATGGGCACCTGCGGTGTTTTTTCCCTGCAAAGCAAACACTCCTTTGTTTATGCAATTACACGCAAAACTAACATAAAATCTATTTTATGTTAAAACATTCCACATACCTTCCTCAGTACCACGACTGCGCAAATCAATCTGTGGATGTAGATGAGGGTTAGGTTTACTGGGTGTTGAGGTTAAGACGAGCGTCTTTAACGCAGAAACCTCCGCAGTTAACACGTCGACTTTCATCTGACTTTCATGCAGCGCTTTCTCAGCAGCCGCTTGCTTCACATTAGCATCTCTGACCATATTATGTGCTTCCTGCAATTATTAAACATAAAAAATATTAAAAATAAAAAAAAGTAGGCAACTTGTGTGACATAATCAAACGCTCGAGTTTAAAGTTTACAATAGTTCCAACTTGCGCAATTTATCATCGTGTCGTGTAGTGAAAGTTTTTCGAAAAACTCGCTTGCCACACACACACACAAACAAGTTGTGCGATTGTTTCGACATTAGTTTCGGAATGTTTTCCATCGTGCGTGCCAGAAATCGTACCGATTCAACCTTGCGCGTGCTCTCCTCAACCTGCCGAGAGCATCGACCTGCGGGTTCTGTGTACTACGGCATACCTAAACTCTAAACGCGTTCCATCCTCTTGAGTGGGATCATTACATATAATGACACACATTTCTAAGTTCCCACTCTACACTCGGCAGACCGCAGCGAACCATGACCAGGTTTCATTATAAAAACAGGGCTTGCTTGGTATTTTCTACTTTGACCCTTCAAAGGTCACAAAAGGTCATTCATCAAACTCACCTGAAATAAACTCGCCGTGAGGTCCTCCAACTCGGTCTCCACCTCCTGTCGAATCCTGCTCAACCTTCCAACTTCTTCATCCTTTAACTTCAACTCCTGATGCGCTTGTTTCAATTCATTCTGTAGCCTTGTGAAAGCCGCCTCTTTGACTTCCGCCACACTCCGGGACCATTCCTCTAAAGGTTTCCCATTTCCATTATCTTCCTTGCTCAGGTCCTTGAAATCAATATCTTCACACTTATCCAAGCCTAGATCACTATACACGGAGCTATCTGAACTGTTGCGGTGCATCACGGTAAGATGTCCGACTTTATCAGTAATCGTAGCGATGTCAGAGAAGGAACCGAATGAGTTGCTGTAGAGTTTGCTGGTGACGTGCTCCTTGATGGAGCAGTCTGGTTCATCATGGTCGAGATTATTGTCCTCTTCATCAGTGGTGTAGGATTCATCGCCGGTGCCTGTGCCGGTGGAGCCAGCGCGTTTGTGCTGGAGGAGATTCGAGTAACCGGCGGTTGTCGGCGCCATTAATAAACCTTTGCTTATTGTTGACGTCGAGGCCGGGGGTTGAGATTCGTCCATTGTGCCGGGGTATTGGCAGTCACATCAAATCAACATCAGTCTTTTCAGAGTTTTCAAAGGGAAGGTTTCTAAACATCGAGAGGAAAAAAATTAGTTTTCTGTAAGCAGCTTGTGGGGTTTAGGAAAGTAGAGACGTGATCGATTTAATCCTGTTTAAGGGTATTAGGAATTATCCTTCCAGAAGGATAAAAGTAGGTTTATAAGAGTAAAAAACGTTTATTATGACGGAAAGTGGTAAAAAGCAGTTTTAGTATTTTTGCTTTTATATTTTTGGCAATATCTTCGAAAGTATTCAACGTAGAATATTGTTTCAAGTATGATATCCTTGATAATTTAATTACGCATATTTTGCCTTCAGATATTTCAAAAATGTAATAATATTTACCGAGTATAAGTGAAAAAACAAACAATTTTCAATTATAACTAATAGCGCGCTATTAATACCAATTTCCAACTCCCACGTATTGCGATAAATAAATGCCTGTCGTGGGCGTATTTCACTACAAATACGCACAAATTTCTGGCACGAGGAGATGCAGCACAGCTCGAATCGATTTAATCCCATTTAAGACTATTAGAGTGAATTTATGTGAGCGTGCGCTGCGCAAACCGCACTAAGCTCTTCAACATCGCACAGGATGAACGAAATGAAATAGATCAAGTCATTAAAGATGATGATACACAATCGAAATAAATGAATGCGCCTGTCTGGATTAGAATGGTTTAACAATTCCAACGCGTAGGCTAGGAAGATGTTTACTTAATTGAAATTGTAATGATGATAACCTTGGCGTTAACGTTTTTTTTTTACTCTCACATAAATCTTTGTGTGAATATGGATGTTATGTTATTTAATGTGGTATTGCCAATCAAGGAGCGGCACATAACAAACAGTTTTGAGTTTTGAGTAAAAGACTGATATTCGGATGACCTTTGTGTCTATTTATTTAATGTACATACACTCGAATCGCTTTTTTAAATATTTATTATGTCTATAACAGATAAGCGAGGGTACAGAAAGAAAGAAGTCAATTATACCGAAATAACTATAATTAGTAATCAATTTTTGGTGCTACACGCCGCTCCTAGTGCATAAAAACTTGTATTTTCGAAAGCAGACAAAACTTTCATTTCGGTTTTGAATAATCGCGAGAGAATCTAGCCAAAATTATATCTGCGAATGGATGTATGTTTGTTTGTAACAGTTTAATGCAAAACCACTTAACCAAATTTGGTAAATTTTGGTTTGGAGATATTTTGGACCTAGGAGAATAACATAGGATACTTTTTGTTGCTAAAATATAACTTACAGGGTGTGAAAAATAATTTTTGAAAATATATTTCATTATATTAATGTTTTTCACTAATTTTGCACTAATTACAACTTTTAAATACTGTTTCTAGTCAAACAAAATAAAATTTTAATATTTTTGCATGTGTTACAACACAAAACACACGAATTTTATCTGTTAACGGTATTTTTAATACCAGATATTAACATGATTGGAACCAAATTTAAATTTTTGCAGCGCTTGTTATTTTTACGTTTTGTAAAAACATAATAACAAAGTAGCGAGCATATAACAATAGGCCAGGGCTACTACAACTATCGCTTATCTCCGATAATAATTCGGATTACATACCGACATGTATCGGTGATTTTAAACGAGAATTTGAGCTCGATTGCGAATCACGTTCCTCGTATAAAAAGCCGAACCGAAATTATTTACGACTATGTATTTGCAAACGGGGTAATAATTTATGCACGACGTAAATAAATCTAGTATTGTTCCAGTCCAATTATTTAACAGAATTTTAATCGTCGATTGTTTCGCTCGCTTTGTCCGCGTTTCGCCTGCGCCAATTTTAAATTTACATGCGCAAATATACATCAAACATCAACACAGCACGGCAGGTACTGCCAGGATGTAAAAATAAAAGGATTATAATAGAAAACGCAAGAAATAAAAAACAAAACATAAAAATATCGCTTACCTAATACATTTTCTAGTATCGCAGCAGGATAAATTGAGTATCCTATAGATTTAGGGAGGTCACACACGCAAACACACACTAAATTGATAATTCTAAAGCACAAATTGATTGATTGCACAAATCTTCACCACACACACACAACAATCACACATATGTGTAGAAGACTTTAAACCCGTGAGATGATTTCACGCGCGTTCGATCCGCTCCGACTTGTATTATTTTTTGTTTGTGTTGCTACGACGCTGCTACAAGCGTCGACCCTGCTCCGACTAGAGCTTCAGCAGGAATGAGAATCGAGCCGAGCGGTGAGCCCGCACTCCGCAGCGTAACTGCGCACACGATTCACTATCTCACTCTGGTATGACATTCCTGCTGACACATCGTTAGAACGAACCAGTATTATACCATTACATGCAAGCAAACACAAGATGGAGATAGTTGTGAATGTCAGCAACATGTGTAAGATAGAGATAATATTGGGCTTTCCTGCAGCTGCGCAGCTTCGCGTTGCCATAGTAATATTGTACGGAGTGACCGTATTTCGCGAGCTTCTAGAAGTAAGAATCCGTACAATGATTAATTGAAACGAAGAAACCAAGAAACAAATTGTAATGTGAATGTGTAACAAAGTGTATCGACAAGTGAAGAGAAATAAGAAAAGAAAGTACTTTTACTTTTGTTTTTTTATATTTTGACTAAAAAATTATTCTAGATAAATATGAGTGATTGGGTTGTTGATTTATGCGAAACGGGGAATTGCCGGAATAGGAAGGTGACTTATTCATTAACATTTCGCATGGTCTGCACTTTACGACGATTGCTCACCACGAGTAAAGTGCGGAACTTGCAAAATGCAGCAATCGCAATAAATACTGTAATGAAACGTGTTGCTGGCCGCGTGGAAAAATATTTGTTAATTTGTGTGTGAAAATATGCACTTTATGTAATAACTGGCGTGTGGTTTTGGATTTTTCTCGGCAATTAACGCTAATATTTTAATACATTAACGACTTCGGCGAATTTTCGTGTGGCGCAATTAATACATCCGCGATAACCGGATTGGCAGTGCATTCATAATCGACAAACACGGTTTGTTTGATTTTTAATTTGGATTTTTGCTATTCGTGAGACCTTGATGCGTCCAATGTACATAATATAATCAACATTAGATTTATTATTACGTAATATAAATGAATGAAAACAAAACATCTTTTGTTCTTGTTGTTTGTAACAAGTTGAAATTTATTTCGCTGATTTTTTACTTCTCACAGCATTCAATTATTAGCCACACAACAGATTCAGCGCTCTAAGTAATCGCGAGTCTATTGTGAATGGTTAACACGTGCACGCGTGCGCACATTCCTGCGATTTGTTTGGGTGCGCGACGTGCGAACGCGCAAACGTGACTGCATTTCGTAAACCGAGAGAAAAGCGCATGTAATAAAATTTAAATTTATCTGGTTTCATACTTTACGAACGAACGCAAACATCAATTTTTATAGTTATGCTGTTTTTTATTTTATTTTGTATGAATGAGTCAGACTCATATTGTGTTTACGATGAATGACGAGATAAATCAGGGATAAGGGTCCCCAGTGTGCCGCCCCTTGCATAATGCCCTTATTCATATTACTCATTTCATCTAACTAGCTCGGTTGTCCCCTAGGATCAAATTCGTTATGCATTTATTCATGCATTGAACTGAACTCAATTTCGATTTGTACTCGTCTCAATTTTCTGATTCATTTATACATGACTCACATTTTTAATTACAATTTTTAACGTTTAATGAGTAACGCACGTTTTTTATTTGTTTGTTTGTTTTTTCTTTGCCTTTTGTTAATTATTGTTGACATATTATTGACAATTGTGTTTGTTGTGGTTGGACATGCGTGGACACTTTCTTTTGATTTCTAAACGTAATGAATTAATTCGATTGCGAGCATCTGATGCGCGGCGAAACAAAGAGAAATTCGTGTAATCGTTTGATGTACTTGATACTTATACTTTCAAACATTCTATTTGCATCCGAATGGTTTAATCAATAGACACAACACGTTGCTCATGCATACAAAGCGTAAATTTTACGTCAAATTTGAATAAAATGTACATTTTCATTTATGCAATTGACCCAGAAAACACAAAAACTAATTTTGTGTATAACTTTGAGGTTAGACATGTTGAATCTCTAACATAACCTGAAATTTCCATTAAAAAAAAAAACGTTTATTTTTCCATTTATACACATGAAAACACCAACAATATCGATTCGCATGAAATTATTATTTACGTATTAACGTTTCGCATTTCCATGAATTTCCCTCCTTCCTTTCTAATTACGCTGGGCGTTGCTCCCCAGATGGAAATACAATAGTCATAATGTCACGTGGAAAATTGATGCGTTTACACAAAACCGAGTTTTCCATTGTTCAACAAGTAAACTTTACTCTCCGCATGATTACAGTCTAAATTTGTTCCTGCTGTTAATGACCCTATCCCTTATCCACTTGCACTGCTCGTGGTAATGGATTTTAATGGCGTTGTTATGTTTTTAGTCACTTTACTCACTCTAAAATCCGGACAATAAATGACCTAATTGAACTACTATCACACATCACACAATGCCACCGATAACATTGGAATGAAATGCGTTTTAGACATTTTTAACAATCAAATAAAAATCTCTCACCTTAAAACTTTCCATCGCATAAGCAAGCAGGTGTAATGCGTGAACAATTTACGTTGTCATATGGTTCACACGATCGTTTAAAAAGAAATTTCCTAAGCGTTTTTGAAAATTTAAATGCAATTGGAAAGTGAAAGAGTATGCCGAAGTTGAATTTCACTAAAATCTAATCTGTTGTGATTAAATTTTACAATTATTGCGGTTATGAATGGTTTATATTCGTATTTATATGCACGGAACGGTAATAACAGCGCAGACAATAAGTAATAAGCTAATTGCTAATTAAAGACACACTACTTTCTTTTACCGTAGTATAAATTGTACTATTTTACCGAGCGGTAAAGTGTGTAAAGTGCTGTTTTCTCCGTTCTTCACCTGCTTTTCTTTTTAAAGACGCGTCTTTCATGCATAATGCACGCCGCACGCGATATTTTATTATTATACTTTGTTAATTGCCAATTAAAATGACTGAAAAGTTCAATAGCCTCAGAGAATTTCAAAAATTTATTTCTTTTACTGGGAAAATAACATTTTACATATTAAAGGTGGAAAACTGTCATTGGGCAAAATATTTTTACGATGGTTAATATTTTATCTTATAGAGAATTTTCCGTAGATTAAGAATTTTCAATCCGTTCCTTTGTATCTCTTTTAGTTTTCGAGATATTTGCAATAAAAGAAAATTCGTAAAGAAAAATCTAAAATCATTCTTTTTAGCACTTTTAAACACGATTTCCGATCTTTTACCCCACGTAATTTATACATTTTATTATCTTTTCTGATAAAGAATTTTCTGAAGTTTAATAATCTTTAATCTCTACCTCCCTATCTTTTTTACCTCCCAAAATAATCGCTATAAAAGTACACCTTGTATATTATTACACATTAAGGGTGGAAAACTCTCAATGGGCAAAATATTTTTACGATGGTTAATATTTTATTATATAGAGAATTTTCCGTAGATTAAGAATTTGAAATCCGTTCTTCTCTATCTATTTTGATTCCCGAGATATTCTATCGTGAATGAAAAAACTGAGAAAAAAACGAAAATCGATCTTTTTCACATGTTTAAACACGATTTCTAATCTTTTCCTCCGCGTAAATAAGATATTTTATAATCTTGTCTTATAAAGAATTTTCTGAAGTCTCATAATCTTCAACTCCTTCCTCTCTATGACTTTTAGCTCCCAAGATAATCGCTATAAAAGTACACCTTGTATATTATTACACATTAAGACTGGAAAAGCTTCAATGTTTACCATTCTAGGTGTTCAATGTACTATAAAATAGTGAAATCAGTGTTAATCACTAAATTATTAACAACATTTGCTGTCGGTACCAGTTGGTGCTACCTCTCCTTGAACTTCCATGTGTGACAGTTAAAAAATGGCCGCGAATGACGTCGCAGACGTGAATATTGAAATGTGCGCATGAATATGTAAACAAATGTAAATATTCAACACACAGCCAAAGATAAACAGTAATGAGTGTTGTTGATGTTTGTTTGTCATCCGACGTACAAGTTCCGTTGTATTTTCCGATACCCATCACATAATTAACATTAAAATGAACATTACAGTAATTATCAATTAATTCACCCAATAAAAAACGTGCAACACAATGATAAACACATTAATTATTGGGTAGGTCCCGAAAAAACCCTTGACCACTACTTGAATTCACCGCATATTGTTTTAAAGTTGCTGTGAGGTTGTTATAAACCAATTTGACGACATCTTTAGCAAACAGGAAGTCCACATGGTTGAAACTGGGAAGTGGTACTTCATAAATTCCAATACGTTGAGTTAAACGTGTATAGAGACGTTTAACATCCTAAAAAACACGAAATTTAATAATTTTTTGAATTTTTTGTTTAAATTTAATTTTGCTTACTAAAGGACTGGCTAGCATGTCACTATCTGCGTACATCAAGTACACAGGAACTTGTATATCCTGTAGATTATACTCTGGTGGTGTTGGTTGTCCATACTGAATAATATTTCCATCTGTTCCGTAGTCATACTGCCTGAAATCGCCTTTCGACGAAATTTCTTGTAAATAATGCAGGACTGTTTTGGTGGAGGTGCCGGAAGGCATATGCGCTAAAACCACCTCTAAAGTTTTCTAAAAATAATAATTTTTACATAATTTTATAAATTAATTAAAATATTAATTATTAACCTCATCCACTTGATCTTTATTAAATCCTGCGATGAGAAATAGAAGATTTTCGCATATTTTCCGTGTAAATTTACTTAAACAATCAAAAGCCATGAGTTTCATCACTTTACTGCTTGGTAAAAATTCGTTTATGCCTAAGTGCTTCGCTATAAACTAAAAATTCAATTGTTTGTTATTGTTTACTGTAAATTTTAATTACTTACATCTATGTCGTTCACCCAAGGTGCTAAATATTTAATTGGTGATGTTAAATGTGTCATAAAGGCAACTGGTGCCAATGCAACCATAGCTTTAACTTTTGCGGCGATTTGTGGCTTCAGAGAAGCGAAAGCAAAGAACATTGTTGTTCCCATTGAATGTCCCACGTATAAAATATCACCAGGGCTGTTTGTTGTGTCGGAAATATAGGTAACTACAGCTGGTATGTCAAAAATCGCCATTTCATGCCAGCTAGAAAGAAAAAATACGTTTTTAATGTTTTTCTTTGTGATTTTTTGAGTTTTTTGATAATTTTACCTAAAATTCCAAAATTTTGTATCTTCTGGTAGAAGAGTAACATGTGCCCGGGAATATTCGTTCCCCCTGGCGTTCCCCAACCAAACATCATACCCTAAATCCGAAAGGATAAACGCTAGTGATTTATTTCCTTCATCCAGGAAGCAAGTACTGGTTGCTAGGAGGCCATGTTGTAAAAGTACCGGTTGTTTGCCAACCGTGCCATTTTTAGACTTTGGGATGCGATGTACTGTCAAAAGGTACCCATCTTCTGTTTCTATCACATGGGATTCAGATGTGTATCCATACCGTCTGATAATTTGACCCTTTTTAATTTTAAAACTTTAAAAATTATTTTTTTCTTTTGAGGAATATATTTACCGGATTTAGATAACTATCTGGATTAACACTGTCCATACTTAATAATCCCGATTCTGTGCTTGTTTCTTTGGTATATTCTGGATAAACTGATGTTTCTTCACAGTTTGTGACTAATATTAGCGGTAACAATGCAAATATAACGTGATGCATCTTGTTTGAGTGCTGGACATCAATTAAACTTGTCCGCAGTCGTTGGTCATGTTTATAGCGGATTTCTGCAGGCCCACAGTTATGATAAGCGTTGAATTAGTCACTATTATTTATCAATTGCGACTCACTGCTGCCGGCTGACCTTTTACTAAAGTTTTGATTCCGTTGATGGATGATTCGAGCAATATTTTGCAACTATACTTTTTTTAGAGAACTTGTTTTTAAAATAAACAGCGCGTAATTAGCTATAATGAGTCATTTGTTATTTATTTTAAGTGCACATTGGAATACTTGGTAAATAGATATTAAAAACGTACGAGCTGAATCACTGAAAGGTTAGATATACCAATTTTAGTGTTGTAGGGTGTTAAGGGTGGATTTTCTTATCCAGGTAGATTTTTTTCTTTATTGTTTGCATTACAATGCGCTTTTTATTTTGAACTATGTTTAAACGTGCGCCATCTGCTGGTGTAGTAAGGTATTATAATACGGTACTCTTTGCATTTAAGAATTTCATTATTCACACATGCAGCGCCATCTTACAGAATAATTATAAACTACGACAAGCAATACAAAAACTATAATTTCTTATTAAAATTTAATGCATTTTAATTTATTTTATATACATTACAGATGCAGTTAAAATTCAATTTTACTACCCTTATTGTGGAGTGGTTAAGGACTAGTTAATTTACTCCCACCACTTTTTACTGGTCGAGGGTAAGTATACCAAGCCCTCACGCAATGCATTCCGCGCTTAGTCGTGCTACGGTAGCCTAGCAATGTAGTCGTACTTCTTTAAGGACTTGGAGGAGGCAGGCGTCGTTTACAGATTTGACCAAAAAATAGTTAAAATCACAACTGTGTCTCTGGTATTTAAAGATGTGTCTGGTTAATACAATTATTTGTATTTCTTGTAGTTATAATAATCATTACCGTGGTAAAATGATGGTAAAATGAATGCTATCGTTTGTTTTGGTGAAAATCGCAATCATTGTTTTGTTTAGAAGCGCATCGGTGCGTGAAGCGCGCACTAGGAGCGCACGCAAGGCGCGAAAGTATCAGGAGTACAGAAATAACGCGGAGGTAAAACTACATTCCGATGAGACGGCGAATGGCGCGAGCTTCAAGCTCAGGAGGGGATACGTCATTATAATTCAAATGCTAGACAACGTGAAGTACTTATAACTTAAAATAGACAGTAAAATACAATTATAAATTGTGATTTTTACACAATTTACAATATGAATTCATATATAATTGTGTATTTTTAATTTAATTTGTTAATATTTCATCCGCGCTCTCTACTTATTAAACATTGAAGCTTCCTCCATTAGTTGCATCGCCTGTCAGCAGAGTGACATCCGTCACCTGATTGGAGGTGCGCGCGCCACCATTCGAGTTTGCCCCTCGCTTTGCGGGAAGAATTAGGTTAGAAGCGGCGAATGTTTGCGGGCAGTGCGTGCATCGCAGTCGCGCTGCGAACGCCGTGTGTCGGCGCGAACATGTGAGAAGCCCGTACAGAGTGCGAAACCAGCAGCGCGCGGGGCCGTCTGCTGAGTATAGTGCCGCCAGTCTACCCGAGAATAATGCGAACATGTCAGAGGGGCGCCGCGCGACATTGATGCCCCTCGGCGGCGGCGGCAGCAGCGACGCCGCTGTCGACGCCAAGAAACGCCGGACAGCGGAGCCGCTCAGCTTGCGGCTGACGTTCGTCCTGCCCGAATCCACCGAGAGCACATGCCCCGTTTACAACTTCAAGGAGGAGCTCGCCGTCGCGAAGGTAAGCAAACAATCATCCAGCACCGGAAGTCAACCATCCTCGCAAGAAAAATCATATCTTGATTGTTACTTCTCGAGAGAGAGAGGTAACCAAATGACACGCGGGTCTAATCGCGATTCTCTGTGCGCGCAAAGAGAATGTGAATGTGAAACACGTAGACCGCCATGTTTGAAGGGAATTTTGTGCAAAAATGTTGTTTATTTCTTATTACAATCCGCGCATACACATCCAGCGGGGAGCATCTTCCGCCGGTTGCCCTCTCATCCCATGGATTGTCATCGAGACTCTCCCTTGAGTGCCGCATCTGCATCAGGGGTGCCAACGTTTACTCGCCGAAACAAAACAACAACGGTTTTCGTTGATTTCGTTTCGTTCCATTGCTCGGCCGCTGTCGTCGGTTTGAAAACAAGTGAACAACGCGTGGAACAGGCGGCGGCACTGTCGTCTCGCGACCTCACGCTTCAATTTTCCAGCCTTCTGCTTTATTTTATTACCATGCTTTGGTCATAAACATAACAAAAGCCGTCTGCTGTCTTATTAGAAGTAACAGGCCAACATAAGCAAGCCGCTTTATTTGTTGTGTGTTGTCTCTTTGTAATTTCGTGACCTGTTATTATGATTAATAAGGAAAGGAATGGCAACACGGCGTGGCTGGGTTTTTTTTTTATCTTGTCGAAAAGGTGTGTCGCAATTTTTTCCCTTTTGTTTCGCGTGTGGATGTATTGGTTGCGTGGCAAACTAGTCGCGGTGAATTACTGCGGTGTCATGTAATATCAATACCTAAATTCATTTTACTGAGCAATTAAACGCAGATGATTTAGAAAGCGTCGCGTGTGCGCGCATGCGCGCACGGGTAATGAGCAAATGAAAAGCGATGTGCAATTTTATAATTTCCAATTTATTTCCTGTCGCCAGGTTATCAAAACTATATGCAAATTAATTAATTAATTATAATTTATTGTTTTTTATTCATAATTATGATTTGTTTGTTGGTATAGTGTGGAATTGCGTGAGTAGGCAGCAGGAGTGCTTTTTTTTTCTTGCATTTTTGGATGTAAGCCACCTTCTCGCGGTGACGGCGTGAAAATTGCAAATTGTAATCCGTGGGCGTCGTGCGGTCGGTTTCGTGTGTTGTCTTGCCACGATCGTCGTTTGTTTTTGGCGGCGCGTCGATGCGTGGAGCGCGCACTAGCAGCGCACGCAAGGCGCGAAAGTATCAGGCGTGCAGCGAGCACGAGGAGGTGAAACCGGTGTTCGAGTTTGTAGACGGCGTGCGCGCAGCCGGCGCGCGACCGCGGAATCACGTTGCTCTAGGGCAGGGAAAGGGAACTCCATTCATGCAGGCAGCGTGCGAGCGTGACGCGCGCGCATCGTGCGCGGACTAACGGCGAACCACGTGAGAGAGCAGATGTCACTTGTTTTGGTTTTGTGTTTGTTTGATTCTAATCGTGGTAATCTTGTGTTTTTATAGAAACGTGATAAAAGCAAGCTGCAAAATGGAAAGACTGCAACCACGAATGGTTTGGATCCATTTGATGATGAGGATGATGATGTTAAACGTATTGCCATGGAAATGGAAGCTAAATATGTAAGTTTTAAGTTTAATACCGGTATTTTCTGAACAGATATATTAATTTTAATTATTTTCTTTAGGGTACTGGTCCTCCAGCTAAAAAGAAACGTAAAAATCGCCGGGACGATTACGCCGACATTGGCATGGGTTACGACGAGTCTGATTCGTTCATCGACAACACCGACGGTTACGATGAGATGATCCCGCAGAATGTTACCACTTTACACGGCGGTTTCTACATCAACTGCGGAGCGTTAGAATTCAAAGCCGACGAAGGAGTCAGCTCGGACCTATCCTCCAATTCCTCCGAATCTTCCTCTTCATCAGACGACGAAGATGAAGAAGCTGACTCTAAAAAGAGTGGTAATAAACCCACCGCACCCAATCGCAAACGTATATTAGACTCATCCGAGTCTGAAGGGGAGAACGAAGCAGAAAAGACTGACAAAACCGAGAAGGGTAATGCTGAAAAGAAGCAAAAGACCCACTCTGTTTCCAATGGTGTACCACCCAAGAAGAAGAAGGAGGGCCAGCCGGAGAAAGTACTGGAAAATCACAAGGATAAACCACCGCCACCACCGAAGAAAGCACCTGTGCCTACACCCAGCACAACTAGTGGTAAACCTAGTAAAGATTTAGCGAAAGACTTGCTTAAAAAAGACGAACTTGTGTCTTCATTAAGTGTTACGCCAGTACATGTCACACCACCAGCGCCGCCTGCTGGTGATCTGCTAAAAGACAGTTTATTAAAGAATGTTATCGAACTGGTCGCGAGTGGTGATAAAAAACAAACCGAAGTGAAGAGTGACAAGCCAGTGTCTTGTAGTGATAAACCCGGGAAGGATCTTCAACTGCCTGCGAATCTTCCGTCGAATATTTCGGACCTTATCAAACGCATTAAGGACAATGTACAGCGTAACAAGGATGCGAATAAGGATGTATTTAATGGGAATGTAAATAGTTTATTAATAACGTAAGTGCTTACATTGTAAAGTTTGAATTAGGTTGGAAAGTAAATATTTTTGTTGTTTTAGATTCGAACGTAAGTCGAAAGTGTTGGGAAAACAGTCGCGATCGAGAATCTACCAGCACCTAGCATCTCTAATGAAGATGGAGAAGGAAAACTTGTGTAAACGTGCCAAAAATCTTGTAATGGCCGAGGATGCCAAGCGATTGAATACGCTGCTCGCCGATCTAAAGACAATCGTGTTGAAAATGATGATTCCGTTGTGGGAATCCTACGAGCGTGAAACGGTGAGAGTTATGAGTCTTAAAACAGCGGAAACCGAAGAGAGTAAAAACCTGCGCATGCCCAAGCGGAAGTTTACGTGGTCGGATGAAACGCGCAAAATGCTGCGTGAAATTATCATTATCAAGAAGCGTTTGTTGATTTACGAGGGCAAAACAAAGGAGAGTATAGAAATTCATTTGAATTTGTTTATTAAATCAGACGTGCAGGTTATCTGGCCCGATGGCTGGATGACAATGGCGGCGCTTTTAAATTATGTAGTTCGTTCGAGAAAAACCGCCGGGGGCGATTAACACCAGCCAGGAGTTGAATTCCAGCTCAGAGGCTGTTGTTATGCCACCACCGGCTGGTAAACCAGTGACTAGCACACAAAGTTCAATGGCTCAAAATCAAAAATTAAAGGATAAGAAAGAAAAACCCAAGGAGATGCCAGCAAAAGGTCTTTCCAGTAAAGAATTACAGAAATTTCAAGCGAATGCTATCTCTATAACGCCTATAGGTGTCCCCGAAGCTTCTACAACTGCACCAGTGGTTAAAAAAGTGTTGAAAACCAGTAATGATTTGGTAGCGAATAAAATCGATTGTTTTGAACCTCCCAGAGGGTTGAGTATCAGTCAAATTACATCTCCAGTGACACACAAGTCCACAATACAAGCGAGGAGTATTTACAAACCTGAAAAACAAAGTACACCGCCACCTGTAAGTGACAGAACGACGAAATTTGTTAATTTAGCGCAACATAATGAACCTGCACCCGAGAATTTAACAAAACGCATGAGTACGGATTATAATATTGATAGTATCATGAGTAGAAAATCAGATCCATCAACTCCAGTTAAACGATCACCGAATGATATCATTGTACCTAAAGAAGAGCCGGATAACGGGTCTCCCACGAGTACTATGAGTACGGGCACGGTGATTCCCATTGAGAATTTCATGCCTGTTCCATTGGCGATGGATATTAAACACGAGGAAGAGGATGTTATTATTTTGGATGATTCTACCGATGAGGGACAATCAGCGCCAACGAATATGGTTAAAACTAGTGGTAATAGTAGTAATAGCAGTGCTGATTTGAGGAGAAAACCCGGGCCTAAGTCGAAGACAAAGTATGTGGATTCAGCGATGGTGAAAACAGCGAAAAGTGCCTCTATACCCTCAACTGTTTCATCTTCGTCCGATAAAAAGTCATGTAAGTGTATTTATTTTATTTTTTTAACTTATTAAACACATAAATTGCAATATTTTGATGTTTTTTATAGTAAAACCTGATGTAAGTAAAGACAAAAAGGATAAAAACGAAGGCGATGACATTTTTAAACTCATGGAGAACTTAAAAGAGTTGAACAAGATGACTACACCGTCGAAAAGTATAGATACGTCGCCAGCGTCAGCAGTAAGCGTGATTGCATTCAATAAAAACTTTGCGAAGTCACCAACAACAGCGACAACAGCTGCAACTAGTGCAAATCCTACTGGAAAGCATGATATACCAAAAGCTAGTGACTATGCATCAGGGTTGACCTTCAACGATGTTTATCAACGGCATTTCCTCAATAGTCTATCGACGACGGCGTCTACCTCTACCCCGGCGGCCACGTCGACGGCAAAGTCTCACAATAGGTGCAGTTGATTTACCTTCTACTCTGTATTTTGTTAATTTTTATTTTTTTATTTTTTTGGTTTCTTTTATTCTGGTTGCGATTAGTGCCCACACGAGTTCATCTGGCGTCCCCCAGGAGAAACACTATGTAAGTGTTTAGATTCTATTCCAGAAAATAGGTTATGTTTGATTATTATTTGTTTATATTGCGTAGAATACCAATAATAATTATGCGACGGTACCTGGTCAACAATCCACGAAGTATAAAAACACTTATCCACCTCATACTGGTAAGAAATTAGTATTTCATGTTTTAAATTCTGTGCGAAAATGCATTTTATTGTGTTTGTATGTGTATGTGTCCCAGGTTCTTTTAATTTAATGGATGATATGCTCGCGAACTTCATAACTGAGTACGCGTATCCCAAGACAGGTATGAGAATGGTGTTGGCGTGATTATAATGCAAAACAATTTAGTTGCACACACACGATTATTGACTGCACTGTAACGATTAGTATCTAAAGTTTAAGCTTGGTGTATGTTTGGTTGCTGCATTTCTTTTTTTAGTTATAGATTTGCCTTATGATTTACTGTCCAACTCTGTTTTCTGCTTTTCTATTGTTTTCTCAATTTGAGGTTATGTTTCGACGGAGGTTAAAACGTGTGCGTGTTTTTGATTGCAGCTAATCACAAGCAAAAACCGACGCAAAAGTAATGCAACTGCCACGTCTCAAGTGTTTCGACGATGTTTTCATTTTCCTGGTGGCGCAAGATAAGATTTTCTCATTATTTTCTCATTTCATAGTCACGGTCACAAATGTGGTCCACATGTGCGGCCACTGATTGTAAGTTTTCATGTTTTTTGTTCGTTTTATCTTCTTGTTCCTCGACTGGTATTATTTTCCATTCGCTCGTCCTGCGATGCGATTTGTGTGTAAAAATTGTAGATAATCGCGCGTTAATAATGTAAGTAACTAGCATACAAAACAAAAAGCGCCCATTCCTTATTTATTATGTGTACATTTTAAAAATGATTAAAACCGTAATTTTCATAAGAAAATTGATGGAAGGCGATACTTGATTACTGCGTAATAATTAAGTGATGAAAATTAAAGTTGAACATTTATAGAAGATGCGATGTTTTCAAATCCTCTGTTAAGCGTTAGGTGGCGACATCTGGTGGCAGCGACGGATACTTGATGTTCGTGTTTGTTCGCCGAGTCGCTGCAGGCTGCACTTGTCCGAACTTGTTCGTAGTGGCCGTGGTGTTGCGGCAAGTGGCTGCCGTTGAATATGCCGAATAATTTTGATTTACGACGTTATCAGTGATGAAAAGACTTGTGGGAGGGTAGTTTGTGCTGGTCCGGTGCTTCGGGGAGTGCGGTTTTCCAGTGGACAAGGTTGGTACATTTTTAATTATCGATTTTCTCATTTGTATTCGCTTCTAACCTGAAAAGCGAAGATAAAAAATGTCGGTTGTGTTCGTCGAAGGACAACGACGTAACAAATCATGAGACTGCTTTAATTTGTTTTAATTATTAATAATTGATGAATTATTGGTCTGATATGTTTTATATGCGTATTATATTGTCTTAAATTTATCATTTTTTATTGGTAGTAGTTGTTTATTGGTAAAATAGTGTGGAATATTGCATCAGCAGGAATTTTTTGTATTATTTTGAAACAGATATCGGTGTAAAACCTGACTGCGTATTACTGCGTATTCGAAAGTTAGGTGACGGTTCCGGACGCTTCTTCTCGTTCTGCCGTAGACTGGCGTGTTTTATGGGTCCCAGGAGGCCCGTGTAACGACACGGCCGACCTTTATAACTCGTACCTGCATTGGCTTTTTCCGTGCCTGCTGCAGGCGCGTGGGTGGTGGGTATCGAGAATGCATTTCTAGCGCCGCGTGAAAAATGCAGCCGCGCGAATGTCGCACGTAAAGGGTGCTTAAATCCGCCAAAAAATAATGCTAAAACACTTTCCGTGTGATTTATTCCTGCAGGATATTCAGGATATTTCATTTTTCAAACCAACTAGCTTCGGCGAATGAAATTTTATAATATTTAATAGCACCCGGACGGTTTTTTTGTTGTTTCTCATTCGATTTTTGTCCTTTTTTCCGATCGGAATATCGCATATGTTGCACGTGTTTGGCCTGCTAATATTTACGCACCATGCAGATTGCTGCGGCGGGCGGAACGAGCTCCGAAAGAATATCGAGATGTACGATATTGCGCGCCCACACAATAGTCGCCAGCAGACGGTAGCAAAAACAAAACGACGCGCGGCCGGCCAAAGGGATGAAGGTATTTCTATTTCGAAATAGCGAAATAGATATCCGCTGCACCGGAGTTCATTTCGCTTTGCTCAACAGATTTTATTGCTCCGCAAGCAGATATACCCTCAGCGAGCAAAAGAAAACACGCGAAACGACGGAAAACGAGGAAATAGTAGTTTACCTCTGTCTACCTGACTATTGTTTACACGTTTGTTTCGAGCTACGCGCTCTGCAGACGGAGATATTTATCTTTTTCATACTTTCAACTTGTAATCCACGTTGTTTTTCTCATTTTAATGAGAAATTATTTAATTATTCAGAATATTTGTGACTCAGAACAGATTGTATGCGATACCGGTGGTCTTTTTTATTATTTGCACTCGCCTAGTTTTTGGCGGCGGCGGTGGAGACGGCGACGGTCGAGTTGTTTAGTATGCGAGTGGGGTATATCTCGGGAAGAAGCGCGGCATCGCAAAGTCCTCACATATCGATCATTCACGTTATACGCGACCCACGAACCTTTTTTCTCGTTCTCTGTGTGCGCAAAAATTCAAACCTTCAAACGCGTAACTTTGGTTTTACCTTGCGCGTCATTAAAAGCTTCTGTGGACATAGTTGCAGTACGCTGGGGAGGTAGAAGTGGCGAAACGAGTGCGTAATTAGCGTGGCTTAATTGCCGCCCCACGCAAACCACCCTTAGTATTCATGATGGAGCGATAGAGGACAACGCAAGTTAAACTTGCGGGTTTGGGTTTCGGTTTTAAGTAAGCTTTGTTAATTTCGCGACGTTTGGTGGCAGCAGCGCGTTCGATTCGAGGGTTGTTAATTAAAAATCAATGTTACTCTTTGCGTCCCACAAGCCATCGGACAAATTGGTGTAAGTGTGCTGTGCGCGGGGTTGTTGGCACAGCACACGACGAAACAAAAGGTAACAACTAACTATAATGTTGGCAAGTGTACGTTTAAGACTGTGCGCGCCTCGTCGGCGGCGGCGTTGGATTGCAACGCTCGGCGCTGTAAATACACCCGTGCGGGGCGCGTTTCGAGCGTTCCGGTGCGCGCAACGATGCCCGCGGGGGCTGTAAATATTTAAAATTATGTTGACCTTCCGCGAAATGCCACCCTCTTGCCGAGGCAAAGCTAACGAACACGCGAAACGGAACTATTGTGCACTATTTCACGTGGAAATTTAATTTCATATCAAAATCGAATGGTATTTTTAGTTTTTATAATTTTATTACCTGTGGGGGCGGCGGTATACCGGTATTTGTAAATAACAATACCGGTATTTTACCCTTAATCATTAAATTTGAACTTTTTGGGTTCATGAGTTCAGAAATATAAAGTAATGTTAATCGTCGTTGTTTACGATCGAATTTCTTCCGCCAGACTGATAAATTATCCATGCGCGCAATGAAATATGTCGCCATTCGAGTATTTCGCGTACGTTAGTCCTTTGAGCCGGCCGTTATACGACTTACCGCGTCATCTCTTCATTTCGCTGCGCGGCCCTCGAAGGAAAATTTCTAATACATAAATAAACAGGTCGTGTGTGCGGATGTAAACTTTGACGAGATGTGACCGGCGCCCAACGTGTGCACACGCCGCCCCGCCGTGTGTGTCTACGGCGTCTACAGGTTGTAAATTCCAACTCATTTACTGTTTATGACATGACAGTTGGAGCGCGCGGAATAAAACCGTGCGCAAATAAAAACGCTTGAGGGGAAGCGAAGCACAGCGCGCGAATAAAATACTCGTACACACCAGCGACGACGAGATGTGTTCGCTTCTCCGTTTAAACTTGAGCGCGTATAGAATATTCGGCGGTGTGGCGGGTGCAGTGCACAAACAAAGGATTCAATTATCCTTAGTTTGGGCGATGTGTGTATTTGTGTACGTGCTCATATCAGGCGCGAGGGCACGTTTCACCTATGTGAAATTTTAAATTGTTGCGCTGGAAAATCACAAGACGTCATTATATTCCTTCGCTTTTATTAGTTTCCGGCGCGACTTCCACTTGAGAACTTGCTACATTGTTTGCGTATAATAAAAGTGCAGATTGTTTGTAAATTCGATAGGGGAGAGCAGGTAGGATTCGTACAGTAGGAGCATTCGTACAGTCCTTATTCCTACCACTGTAGAATACTTTGACAGGTCTGTGTTTGTGTGCGTGAGACCCACTCGCACGCATAGGTTACTCGCGGGGTGAGACGTCAGTGCAGCCGCCGGCTTCGACGCAACGAGTCGTAACGTGATTTCGCGCCAAGTAAGTATTTTTGGTTATGTTTTAAACATCTTTGTTTATTCACGCTTTATTCCTATTGTAAAAGTGAATGTACACAGTTTGTGAAGGAATAACTTAGTTTAGCATGTAAATATAGATTTTGGCCCAGTTTCAGCGGTTATTTTATTTTCGATATTAATTGTTTTTTGGTGTTGGGGAACCTTCGTACAGGTAGGGGTGGGGTAGATTCGTACGTGTACGAATGCTCCCCGTGCCTGACTGCTCAAACGAACCCACAAGCTTCAACTTCTTCACAACCACAAGCGTTACAATCCACGCAAGATAAGCAATCAAGTTCTGTAGCCGTTCAAGATTACGATGTGCCAGAGACCATACCAGCAGACCCCATACAGACAGAGTTTATTCAACAAAACCTTCCAAGTTGTTCATCATCTGTGTCTCCATCTTTGCTATCACCTACAACAGTAACAGATTGCTCACCAGCTGTGGGGTTGATCACCCCAGAGTTAGTCAGGCCATATCCTAGAGTGGACAGAGATTCAATAAAGAAAACAAGGAAAGGAAAGCTACCAGGCAAATCTAGAATTTACACTGATACTCCGGAAAAAGATAGACTGGCAGAAATAGAAAAGGAAGACTATTGAAGAAGCAAGTGCAAGAGAAAAACAAAAGCTAAGGCCATCAAAGCTCTACATCTTGTCTTAGATGCAGATAACGCATCTTCAATAAAGAGGAAATCTCAATCGAAAGAGTCATTTAATTTAAAGAAGCAAAAGAAAACTACAAAGACTGATAATGAAGCAAATGCATATTATATGATACCTATGAATACCTAAATAATATATCTTGGTTCTTAATACAAAAATGCTGATTCTGTGTTAAATTGATCTCAATAAATGATTAAATTTAATCAACAATTGTTTATTTTCTTTGACTGTATGAAGGTACCCCATCATGTACGAAAGTACCCACACTATGCACGAAGGTACCCCGTGTGTGGGGTACTTTCGTACGATTTCCATTTTTTGGAAAACTGATCATAATTCTGTCTGTGTGATTTGTGACGGAGCTGTACCATACTATAATTATAGGCAGATATATAGGCTATATAGGGACATTAAACTTATTCGAATATATTATATAGTTTAGTTTTAATATGGCGTCAAGTAAAAAATGTACGAATCCTACCTGCTCTCCCCTACGTGTTTTCACACCTCCACCGGTTAGTATTTCTTAAAATTTCCCAATTGCATCGCGTACGTGTTTATTTTTCTACCTTTACGATTCTTTGGAGTGTGTTTTGTTAACTCCAGACATAAAAATCTCCGTGATTTTCTTGTAAATGTTTAAACTTTTCCCGCGCGATGTGATGATGAAAAATTGTTAATTGTAAATCACGTTCGTGTGTGGTATGTAGAGGCCCGGAAGCAATTATCCAGGCTGTCGTAATTTCGACACGTAACATGTTCATGGTTTGTATATGTGTGTAGGGGCGATGGTGGAGGCGCGCACACGACCAATATTCGTTGTTTATACGCGCGCTCGTAAACGCTCATAAAGCGCGCAGGTAATTGCGAGCGATGAATTTATTATAAATGGGGATAACGGGTGCAAAGCCGGAAGTGAATCTAAACGCGACCGCACATACATTTGATTGCCGAACGGATGAGTGCTTCGCAAACACCGCGCGGTTAACTAAATTATAAATCGTTATCGCGATTATTAATAAATGTTGATTGCCTTTTGACGGTTTAACCCTTTAGGCTGGATGTGGGTACAGGGGTTCAATAAATCATCCCGAAATTGTTTCATTTCGCTTTTATTGCGCTGTTTTTTATGGTTTTTCATGCTGAAACTTGTAGTTGTATGATGCGCTTGTCCGGGAGTTGTTTATTTGGCTCCGGCCGACTTCATAAATCACGTTTGTATGAATTTTGTATAAATCGCATTCGATTTTCCGCGTCGGCGGCGCCCCCCGTAATAAAAGCGACACAATGGAAATTTATTTCGTGCTCGTGTCTTGTTGCGCATGCGCGTTTTATGTACTTGCTAATGTAGTAAAACGTGTTTCACCTGCTTTTTGAGCGCTGCGCGAAACTTTGATTTTTGTTTGCGCAAAGTGCGCAAAGATTACCGAATTTCGTAAAGTTTGCAAGTTGCGAGTTCAAAGAGCCCCCTTCGTCGAAAAGGTGCCAGAAAGGTGGCAAACTTTTACCTCCACTTCCCTCCCCTCTTCGCCGCTTTTTGGAAAACTTGCAAAGACAATTTACTTCCGCGCAAGTTTAAATATGAAAACCTCGGCTTCAACTCGCATTATTACCCATTAAGATTTTCATTTATCCTTTTTGATAAAAAGCTGAAATAAGTGAACAGGTTTCAAAGACTGGACCTCCTTCTAGCGCGCATCAAATCCTCGTACATATTGCCCGGATCCTTACTGCTTACGGCCTGCCGAGGAGCCTATAAAAGACAAGTCTTAATAAAATATCCCACAGTGTGCGCAAATATCCCCAGCCCTATTCTTTAAGGGTTAATCCTTGGGCTTACCATCGTTGGGCCTTTTATTTCTCGTTTCCATCTTGTCGTATGTTGTATTTTTCTTATCATTTTCCTCCCCCTGGCGTGCGACAAATGCGTACGAAATTAATCTGCATAATATAAGTTTTTGCAACGCGTAACGACACGCCATTTCAATTAACGCCGGACATTTGCATCGCGTCGCAACAATGTCGACAATAAAATGCTTGAAAAATATTTGATTGGGAATTCTCGTGGCGGTGCGTGACGTTGCGGCATTTAGCATCACACGACACGCATACGCAATTAATAAAACGTGACTTTTACGTTTTTCGCTTTAGTGGCTGCCATGATTTCCACCGTAATCAAATCATCATAAATATTATATTTTCTTGTTTATTAGTGTTGATATCGGCGCGCATTCTTGGCGTATTTTCACCGGACGTATCTTAATAGTTGCCTGCGTGATAATATATTCGTTGTTTGGAAAGTTGGTTCGCGGGGGAGGAATTTATAGTGGCCGAAACTATGCCGCACACTTGAAAGTTGGGTCGATGCCCAACCACTCACTCTTGCATCCGCATCCGGGCACAAATGTGGACCACCGGCGGTCAGCGCCCTCTCTGTGCGCTCGGGAATTTATTTTTTAAAATAAATTGTCTCATTTCTATAAAAGCTCGAGTTGTTTTGGTGGTGTGGTGGTGGTGTAATAGAAGGAAGTCGTTGCGGACGGCAGGTTATATAGCTGAGTAGAGGTCACGTTCATTTAATTATCGAGACGGCGCGCGCGCCAGCGTTGAATTTTCGACAATGTGCATTCGGAGGTGAAATTTTTATGGTCATGTCGTCTCTCCCGCCCGGCGCCTCCACCACGCAACAGCTTTCCGTAAGATTGCTTTTTCCTTCGTTCTTCGGTCTTTCGGCCGCGCTGAGAGCTGTAGACAAAAAAATGAGAAAGACCTTTCATACTAGCTGTTGACGAAATGTTTCCTTTCAAGAAATAGTATTTTGGAGACCAAATTTTTCAATTTTTAGTAAAAATTTGTTTCTTTTGGTAATCTGTTGATGAAATTAATTTTTTTTGTGGTAGTATATTTTAATAGACTTGTGTTTGGTGTATCAAAAGTGGTTGACCAGAAAAACGAAAAGAAAAAAGGGGATAACATGGCTTACGTTGGCAATATACTTGCCCGGTACATAAAACTTACGTTGTGGTCATTTTTGACACACTAATGCTCGTTCCCGACTTTTTTTCTACTACAACAAGCGGAAAATACAAAGAAAAATAGGGATTTATTATTAAAACTTTAAATCGTGTCGATTTTTATAAGAAAAATGCATAAAAACTGCCATTTTGACCTTTTTTCTTGTATTTTTTGCGAGTTTATATTTGTCTGTTTGTGCTAGGATGTGGTCTATATTGTGCATCGAAGTAATATGTGAGTAACGTAAAATGTGTCTATGAACGTACGTGCAAAGCGTGCTTAGCAAAACCGACACACACACACACACATAGGCGAAGCAAACCGTTACTTACGACCGGTCGCTATTTTCTATCGCCGCCTCCATCGAGGCACAAATCCCCTGTGCATTCAGGCACACGTCGACGCGCGTCGCACGTGCCCAAATCCAAATATAACCGTTTGACAGCCGCCAACCACTAACCCAACACCTTGAAAAATAAAAAAATAAATGAAGGGTGGAAAAACGCATTTCCCGTGTCAACATATACCCGTCGAAGACATAATTAAAAGCAGGTTGATGTTTTTGTGCTTTTTGTTTTTCGGGTGACGCTGGCACATTTTTTCAGATAATGAAAAATTTCGTATTGCGCCTTTTGTATTCGTTTATAAACACGATGTCAGCGTTCGCGTCGAGTCTATCGGGGGAACGACTCCCAGATGCAGCGACTTAAAATAATAGCTGCTTCCGTTTGCTGTTTTTCCAATTACGTTCGGCGCGGCGCGGGCGCGAAGACAACAAGCAGCCGGGTGTCGTTTGCTCTTATTGTTGCTGCCGCTGCTGCTGCTGTTGCTGCTCGGCGGGAATTACAATCGTCCTGGCGCCGAGGGCTCAAAGGCGATGGCATTTTTCTAAGAGTATTGAGGCGTGTTACGACAATGTGTCACCGAACACCGTTGCAATGTTACTTTTGCTAAATATATGCCAGAGACGCACGAATAGGTCATGGAAATGAAAAAAATTTAATTCGGTGATATTTTTTCGCAAAGCTCTTCACGATAGCAGCATAGTTTGTAGCCATTAGTGAATCTATGGAAGCGTATTGTAAACGTTGGTGGCTTGTGGTAGGCGAAGAAGAGTCTTTGGGAATTGTATGAAATGGCAGTGCATAAAGTGCGCCAAGATAACGCGAATTAATCGCTGGGGAATGGAACTATTACCGGGAATACCCGCACGCTTTTTCGACTTTGTTCCTGCTGCTGCTGGCGGAATTTATTAATTTTTATATTTAAATCTATTTTTACCCGCGTCTGATTCAGGTATTATTTTCGAATTTATATTCTGGTGGTTTTTCCTTTAATTTGCGCGTTGGCCTTAATTTCCTCTTAGTTTACTTCGTTAGTTTCCACTTTATTTTTAAGCTTTTTTTTTTTCTCCTAAAAATGAGTGTTTACGCCCGAATGCAGAATGCAATTCGGCGCTCCGCAAGACGCGCTTCGGCCATTATCTAAAATTGTTATTTAACATTGGAAAAACATCGGCGCCAGCTTTCCACGGCCGGAGGGCGCGAGTTCAGTAACTCGCCACTGCGGGCGGGGTGGTTGTTCGTAAACTGTGTGTGTAATTTAGTTATTTCCTCGGTTAATGCACCGGCCGTGTATTCAGGGCACAGAGTGCGCAGTTTTCCATGCAACTGGCACAAGCGCTTCCGTGCATTCGCAATGCGAGCGCCTAATTTCCAATGGTTTCTACATCAATCATTTTTGGCGATGAAAATTGGAAAATTTTTCATTTTAAAGTAGTTTTTCATGTTTTTCTGCTTTAGTTTTAAGTAAATAGTAACATAATTTTATTTTTATGTTTTACTTTAAGAACTTTTTACTAAACCGAGTTTATAGAAATTTTTTCTTTGTTTTTCTCTAAATATTTTCTAAATAAAATATTTTGTTACAGAATGTACCTTGGTGTTGTACACAACTACTGCCCTGGTAACTGGTAAGTGAGTTTTTGTTATTTTCCGTTCGAGATTCATCATGCATATTGTAATAAATTTCCCTCGTTGCGATGTTCGACGTGAACTATCGGCGTTTATTACCCCCGACCGATATTTGCATGTTACCCCTTTTCTCAACGACGTCGTGGCGCTGTTCTCGTTTTTAGTTTGTTCGCTCGGGGGCGGCGCGCGACCGACCACCGCCGGCGTCAGTAAGTCTAAATCGATAATTTCCCGAGCCTATCAAAGTGATATCGACCTTTCATTAGCATGCGATATACAACAATACGTGGAAAACGTCGATTGAGCACGTTTTCCACCACAATGAACACCACACACACACACACATACAGTGGAAAAATATCGGAAACAATAACAACATAAACATTAATTACCTGCTCGACTGGCCTGGCGGTCATCCATCATTGCAGGTGAGGTTCTCGTTACGAAACTGTCACCCCACACATCGTTATTCCGACAATGTGATGATTATTCGGCAACAATGTCATCGATGTTGAAACAGCGCAGTTAATGAGATGAAAATTGAATACTGGGGGGTTGAGGGGGTTGGCTTTGGTATGGCTACGGCGCGCCGTTATGTCATTACGAAATCCATACAATATTGAAGTCCATTATGCTAATATCCACACAGCGCCCGAGTTCCAAACTCGCAGGATAATACATTCCCCACAGAGCGCATACGAGGACTGTCGGGTTTTGGCCCCAAAACAAGCAATAGAACATTCCGTCGGGTAGCGAGTCGAGTTTTAGAAACTATGGCCTTTTAGAAGTGAGTGTGTTTATTTTGTTTGTTTTCTTCGTATTATTACTAGTTGTAGAAAATTTCCCGAGATTTTTTCGCGTCTTGCGAGTGTGGATTTTTTGCGTATTTTCAAGGATATCTATTTGGGTGGCTGGCTGCTTGCATATGTAATTCATTCCTGCGGCCACCTTCCAAGTTTTCCACCTTGCGCCTTTCGCCTGCGCCCGGCGGACGTCATCCAGAACCAATTTTATGAAAATAAGAAAGGGAAATGTAGATTTTACGCATAGCGTAGGTATAATATTACGCGAACAGACTTCTCTTTTCTTCGACTTCTTTTTTGTTCATTCGTTTCTTTGTGCGAAAGTTTCTCCGGCTAGGTTTTCCATTATCTTAGCGGCAAAAAAATTGATGAAATCTGAAGAATTTCATCAAAATGTGAATATTTTTTTGCTTCGCCGCTTTTCAACATCAAAAAGGTGGCGCCGAGGTGCAAACATGTGTAGGCTTTTATTACTGCGATAATTCTCGCAGACAGCTTTGTAAGTAATAGAACACGCAGGACTATGAAGTCTAAAGTGTACAAGGACGATTGTGTTCGTGTGTGTTTTTTTTCTTTTCTTGTTCGCTTTCAGTGGACGCAGTGTAAGCACTTTTCGTGAAATTTACAGAAATTCTCGAAATGAAATTTTAAAGTTGCACGAAGTGCGACGCGCCTCGGTTGGTGAAACACACACAACCAGTGATTCTCAAACTGTTTTTATGTACTCACAAAAGTAGTAATATTTTTACCAAAATTTCGCTAAAATTTGGTAGGTTTTTACTTGGGTAGAGAAGTTTTTGATCGTTTAACCTGACTTTTTGTGATGAAATTTTGCGTTGCGAATCCACTGGTTTGCTTCGCGTACCCAGGTCGGGGCCACAAACGTCTTCAAGGTTTTTTCTTTTTTCCGTTTCTACCTTTCCAAATAAAAGCTTAGTTTTCGTGCTCGGGGGAAGTTTTCCATCGCGTTTTTGGTCTTGTAGCAGCGGGTGTTTAAATGAGGTTATGCAGGTTTTAGTTGTGAGGTAATAACTTTTTTTTTTTTAAATATTTTATTCAAGAATTTTCCTAGAAAGAGATGGAAAGGAAGAAAAGTCGTAGTTTTGGCAGTATCTCATCAGGAGTAAACTATTTATAAGCCATTTTATTTGATAATAGCTACATTTCTGTTCGATGCCGTTCGGCGAGAGAGGTTGATGTGGTCGCGCGCGCGCTCGCACGTCCTTGCCGCCTCCCGCTTCTCTCTCTTCCTTGTGAAAGAGAGCAAGTGAGACAGCAGCGCGGTGCGTTCTCTGACGTTGGTTGGAGAGGTTCGAGGCCGTTGGTATCAGCAGCAGGCAAAAGCGAGCAATTGGAAAATCAATAGGTTTCCCGGCGGTGGCGGCGGCGGCGCGCGGGGACGGCCGAACCGGGTCGGGGCGCGCACACACGGCGCTCGTCGTCGGCATACTCTCGCCGGCCGTGCGCGAACACCCTGCCGTCGTTGCCGCCGCCGCCGCCGCCTGCCGTCGCGCGTGTGTGCCGTGTGTAACGTTATTAGTGGAACAATCTTGGTGATGGACTCGAAACGGACGCGCCGACAAATTGCAACTGCAGCGGGTTATTAACGGAACCGGAAATTTGGACTTGATTGACTTCGGAATCATAATCGCAATCACCTGCATTCCCCCTCTGAGGGTAAGCATCTAAGTTATTTGCAAATCGAGCATATGGAAGGGTTTTTCATTGACCTTGAATTTTGGTGGAGGTGCCAGGAAGCAGCAGGGGGTTTTCTTGTGAAGTGCGAGCTTAAAAGCCCTTTTTATTGTTCGGTTTGTTGGCGGCGCACGATAAATTCCACTCTATATGTATGTAGTACATGAAAAGCGTATGTCAATTGATTTCCAATCGGCTTATGTTTTATATACGCGCCCGCCCGTCGGCGATAAATTGTGTACAGGCGTGTTTCCCGTGCCGTTCGACGCTTTTCCCACTGGCTGCGGTATTAAAAATGCATTAAACTATATAAAATTCGCATTTTCCGCTGCGTTTGCCCAATTGTTGCATTGTGTAAACAACAAATACGCGTGTAAAATATTTCGAATTGCGCAGGTGTCTTTAGCAGCGAGTGCTTTTGTTAATTAATATCCGGCAGGACTCATCTTTTTAACAAATTCGACTCGAAATCCACACCGTAGGCCTGCGGAGAAGATCCTCGGCGAGTGTCTAATTGAGTTTCTTGCCTTTCTTCTCTCGGCGCGCGCGTGCTGAGTGATCTCATTCCGCGCTGCCGCCCCCCGGAGTAGAGCCGGGCAGCAGTTATATCGTGTCTATGCGCCGTTCTGGTGCATGTACGAAATTAAGAAGACGTGGTCACCGACAAACACACTCACACAGCCGACGAGTGTAATTCTCTGCGTAAGAAAGACATCGGCTCGAACACTTGTTCCCCATACAAAATACTCTCGGAAGAGAATGGTGCGGGAATGGAAGGACGGCGAAAAACGAAATTGCAAAAAAGTTTTGCGCAGACATCTGGGTCTTGGGCTTCGAGTTGAGTTTCGCGAAAGCTTCATCTCGTGTCTTGTCCGGGACTAAATATGAAAAGCTACTGGCAGGAATCCAACAAAAAATATTACATTTCCACTCTCGAGTAGTAGTTGTTGTGTTTCGCGGGTGCTGCTGTTTTTTTTATATTTATTTTTGCGCCGTGAAATATTCGCAAATTGCACAATTTGTGAACTGTATACGTGTTGAATAATCGATTGGCATTACACGTATGGTACAATAAAGGAGACGCTCGAGGAGGAGTCGTCGATACGAGCGGGAATGCGGGCGAGCAGCGGATGCGATTCCGCGCTTCTCTGCTCGCCTCATCATCTCAATATCTATCTCCTTCTTGCTTGCACCCGCCTCGACATTAATAGACATTCGTTCCGAATGAGGCAATTTAATATTTTCCACATCCATCCACGCTTTGAGTTCGAGTTTGAGTTTGCAAATCGTGCGCGCATATTGGGCCCGGGGATGATTTTCCATCTTGATGGCGGCATAATATCCCTCTTGTTATTATAGGTCGAGAGAGCGTAAAACATAAAATCTAAGCGTCGCTCGTAAAAATCATGCGAATATATTTTCGAATCGAAATGACATTCTGCGGCGGTTGGAAAATCACAACGTGTTTTTAATTCGCGCCGAGAGTCACACCTAATTGAATTTCGCGCCGCGAGTTAACACAAAACTATAAACCGTTTTATTAATACATTAAACTTCCGGCTAGACGACGGTGTCTAAACGTTTATGATTGTGTTTATTAACCGTGAGTCCCTTTTATTACCCGGTATTGGAGTTGTGTCCTTGAGATTTGTGAAAAAAAATCCGCCTACATTTTCCGTAGCGTGATGTAAAGTAGTTTTACGTAAAGGACGAGCACGAGAACTAAAAGGACTCTTAGGATAATTGCCTATAAAACTATCCCGGCGCAAAGTTAACATAATGTAACGGCGTTCGATCAATCTTTCCGAACTAATTTTGCTTTCACGTTTAACCCGCTTGGAAAATATTCAAGCTGGAAGGTGCATCCATCAATTGTTGCTCTCTGCGCGTACGAATCCCTGGCTTAATGCGGAAATGACGGCGGGTAAGAACAAGAGAAACCACTTACAGCGTTACTTAGTTGTTTAGGGGTGTTACTTACACATCTACTTTGTCTTCACTAGATTAACCCCCCACCCTTGGCGTTAAATATCCTTCGCTACCACACGAAAAATGAAGTTTATTTATTCGCCTTATGTTGTTGGTCCTTTGTGGTGTGTTATCCGGAGCGATTGAGATGCCCGAAATAAATGGCGCTCATTTTTTGCGCTCGTTTTTCATTCGAGCGCGATTTATGATGGTGTGCTTTTTTGTGGTATTGTTGCAGATAGTAAATAGAAAATAAAGGACATCGCCATCATCCGTGGGGAATCCGAAGGACTTGTACAGCGTATGGATTGTCACCACGACGCCACGTTGACTATTTAAGGAGCGCTGTAAGTGCCTCTCGCTTTTTTTTTGTTTGTGCAATTTTTTCCCACGCACTCGTATTTTTCTCATATCTCGTCCGATAACGAAGCGAATTTAATTCAATAAAGGGTCAAGACGAATCACGCGAAAGGTCCTTTTCGGCCGGGAGGCTTTTAGGCCTCTGCCGGCGCGTAATAAAATTCGTTTGTAGCCGCATTATAGCGAACGGGGCGCACGCACGCGTAAAACCTATCCGAGTGCGAATCTCGCATCGCGATTGTCCATCTTTTCCGCGTCGTAAACGTCAACCGGGCCGAATATAATAAATGTTATTACATTTTTATGATAATGACCCACGCGTAGATCAAATAGATTTTTGTTTTTCACGATTCAATCTCATCTTCTTCTTCTTCCTGGATACTCATCGATTTCTCTATTTGTAGAATTACCTATAATTGGCAATGTGAGATACTAAAATAAGGGTTGATGTAAGAGTGTCATCATTTTTTTCTCTTTCGGAATACTCTGTATTTGGAGCTATTAAATGCCCCCCGATCGAGGGTGAGTTTGCCGACCGAAGGCTTCCGTCTGTCGTCGTTTTCATCGAACGCATCACCAGAAGTAACGAGAAAACACCGGGTTGGCGGAGGGGTTGGAAATTCCGAACACGTAGCTTACTCGGGGGTGGGAGCCGCCGCCTCCATACACTGCCGCAAGGTGTAGCGGATTAAAGCAACGTCTTCAAAGCTCACTCTCTTATCCCGCTTGCTCGCGCTGCCTTGGCACCCTCTCTGTCGTTTCGATATTATGGACGTCACCTCGTCTACTTTATGTCTTGCGGAGGAAAAACTTTCCGCAACTCGCGCGCCTGCTTCATATTATGCGAAGTTACCTGCGCATCCTGTGATGAGGTTTACACTCGAGGGTCAGCGTAGTGTTGAAAGTTTATCGAACCCTTTTTTCTCGCGAGTAAATTTTGATTTTTTGAGTGTGGAAATGTGACGAAGGTTTTTTTTTTTCGTCTTCTTTGGTTCGTGAGACGGATGATTGCGAACATAATACGCAATCGAATGCGCAACTTAAAGGACCCATTCATTTCGTGCGCTTCGGTTAACTCGGCGATTCGGTGAAAAGTATTGGAAAGAAGAACGAAGAAAAAAATGGAAAACTCCCCAGGAAGCCACAAGTCGATAGGACAATCGACCTTTCATCGCATGCATTTTTTATTCCCTTTGTCGAACATCAATGCGCAGTCTTGCTCGACATTCGCCCGCTCCCCCACTCCTCCGGAACAACTTTCCGACTTTAGCCTCGAACTTTAATAACGCTAATGTTGTTATTTCTTTTATCTTGAACTCTTGAACTTTATTATATTGTGCTTTGCTGCGACACAGTCCTTTGTAATTTTCAATATTTTGCGTGTGTTTTTTTTTTCTCCTGGTGCTTGCTGCTCGGAGGGTTTTTGAGCTTTGCCCGGCCGTAAAAGAGCAACAACGCTAATTGGGTTGAAAGTTTTTAATTCCTTCCGCTTCGTGTCGGGGCGTCCCCTGTCGCAGCAGGACGCAGGTAGAGGAGTGCTCTCGTTTTGGGCCGCCGCAAGTTGTCGTTGCAGGGGTGTTAAATACCGCCACGCTCGTAAATTACACATGACGACTTTATAAACTTCCAGCGCGCCTCTCCAACTTGTTCATCGACCCGACATCCTTAATATTAGCTATTTTAATTAACACCACTACACAACAATATCTAGAATACTAGGAAAATATAAGCGCGTAACAATGAATGAAATTGGCAGGCTGGTTGGCTGCCGGGGGCGGTTTTTGATGTGTTGTGATGCGATGATTGCGTGCCGATCGAAGTCAGACTTGTAGGCGCCACGCCGCCGACCAACGGAGGTGGTGGTGGTAGTCATGGTGCATTTATGCTTTGTGCTACCTTGGCGTGTCATGTGCGCGGATTGATCCGTGGGTCGGCGACAGGTAATGGACGCCCGGTGATAACGGCTGGCGCCGCTCGTATAAATTATAAAAAGCGTCGGGGCGGCCGACGAACGTCTACTGCTTATTAATTTAATGTGCGCCACGCAAACATGCATGAAAAATGTCGAGCGCAAAATTTTAATTTGTTTGAGAGCTAATTTATTACACTTACCGCATCGAAAAAATCTTGTTTGTTGCTGTGTTTGCATAGTTTAAGTCTGGATGGACCTCAATTTACATAGTGGTTTACATAATGCTTAATAGAATTACTTTGCTTAAGTGATGCGAAATTAGCTCGGGCGGCGGCGCTCCGAAATTCCCTCGGAGCGACACAATGCGACGAAGGAGAATAAAAAGTGCGCGATGAATGCAAATAGTTGGTTCGCGTGCTTGTCCTGCGTTTAAAACACAACTCTTGTTTACACTGGATGCGTAATTTGCACATCAATTTACCATCTTGTTTCAAATTTTTATTTTTCTAATTTGTAATTACTCATTGAAGAAAACAAATATTGACATTGATTTCATGCGTTATTTCATCAGTATTTGTGTGGTGGTTGCTCGCGATAAAGAAAATATTTACCAAAGACTTGGCAAAGCTCGTCACACGCCACTCGACCTACCTTTACCTTATCGAGGTGAGGGTGGGAATAATAATAAATAAGCGGTGCGGCACAGCCTTAATTATTCCACGATTTCTCATCAGCGGCGCGCACATGGGGCGCATGTTCTATTTTTGGTTGTTTTCCTCTTTGCAAATAGTTATTTCGCGTGCAAACGCGCCGGCAATTCGCGTTTATTCTTGGAAAAACGGCGCTAATCTTTAAAAAATTTAATTGACTTTGACACATATTCCTTTTGTCAACATTTGTTTCTTTAGCGTTGCCGGCTGTTGTGTTCTTTTCTTTCGTTTCCATTCGAGCGTTCCATTAAGAATGCATGAGTTTTCCTTCGTGCGTACACGGCACGTAACACACAATGCATACAATTTCTCCGACTTGTATAAATAATATAAACAAACGTCTTGAATAAATAATTGGCGAGCGCGCGCTCGCCGACATTCGCTCGATTTTCTCCGCCGACTTTTCTCTCCTCGCACACACATGTGCCTCGGCGTGAATACGAAGTTAATGCCTTGCGTTTTCTTTTATTTTCTTTAATTTTCTTCGAAAAAGAAAGCAATGAAAAATTAGTTAAATGTTTTATCTGGATGGCGATTACATCTGGGTGATTATTCTTATTCTTTTATGTGATGGATGATGTTGGTGTGTTGCAGATTGGAAGTAATGCTCGTTCTGCCCGGGGATGTTGTGTGGCGAGTTCCACCACAGAGCGCCCCTTGGTCTGCTGCAGTTGAGCCTGTCGGACACCCGTAGCCCGTACTCGTCGCTGCTCGCGCTCGTCCAGGGCATGGCCGCCATCACTGCGCACGCCGCTCAAGAAGACGAGGACATCTTTCTCGGTGAGTTTCGCGGCGTAATGATCGCTCGCATGTTGTACACACGCAATATCGGGCGCGCCTCCGACGATAACAATACGCATTGGGCGAATCGGGCAACCGCAGGGTACGAAAACGCGACGATAACGATTATGGTATGCGATTATCCTTTCTCGACTTTTACGCCGCCACACCACCGGCAATAAATGTGCGTGTGCGACAGCGGCAGATAAACATTTCCAGCTTATTTGGTATTTATAATAAAAGTTATTTTCTTGTTTGCGAATGCCTATTGTCCATCCCGGGGAGGATAATTGAAAAGCATCAAATATTACTGCTTTATTTTAAGGATAACTTTTAGAATATTGCATTTTTCTACTGCCATAGTGGAAAACACTGTTTTCTATACATTAGGGACATATGTAATCGATTGTTTTCCACTCTAGATGTGAAATAGGTGGGCCCCTGAAATTCAGGTGGCTTAAAAAATTGAGGGGCAAAGTGGGCCTACTAAATATTTTGATAAATAAGAGAGGAAAATAACTCACTCGATTTTTTCAAATTCGAATTAAGAAATGAAAAAATATATATATAAGCAAAAAATTGATACAAAGGTAATAGCAAAATTTTTATGGGTGGCGGCCCACTTTTCCCCATATTCTGATTTTTTTATTTTGACAGAAACGGCTTATTAATATTGAATACTGAACAAGGATGTAAAAAATAGTGTAACGAGTGAAAAAAGGTAAACAAATTCCCTTTTTTCGCTTTTGGGGCCCACTTTGCCCCCCCCCCCCACCTATACCATTTTCTGCATTTCTCGTTGCTTTCAAACGTACTGATGATAAATTAAATTCAATTTGGGTTTTCGACTCTCTGGGTCAGATTATAACTTTCTTCTCGGATTAAATTATTCATTGCTAATTTACATTCGCGAGGATTATCAAGTTTCTCCTGTTTCCAATCAGACGACGCTGAAAATTGATTATTAATTAATTGCGGAGAGAGAATGCGAATAATTGCTGCACCGCAAGTGCAATTACAAGCATAACGGCGCGTTAAAGAGCGCAATAACAAAAGTAAAATTGAAACTAAAAACACACTTACTACTTACGCGATTACCGCAGGCGCAACCGCGAAAGAAATGCGCGATAAACGTGGGCGATAATTTATTATTTCTATTTGTTGCCGAGAGTCGTATACTCGTATTTAACGCACGATGGCTTTCCATGCTTTAAATTGCATTAATGAATTAATCGCGGCGTGCGCACGTCCGTTTAACTAATTTCACCGTTTCACACTTTGTTTCTTTAATAGTTTAATAATACAAATATGGGTGAGGATAATTTCTTAATAGTAAATAATTATAAAAATTATTTTATTGATTTTTCTTTCTTTGGTGTGTGTAATTTAAAGTTTATGGTTTCTTTCTTGAATTTCTTGCGTTTCACACCCTCGCAAGTCGGCGCTGAGTGTGCATCGCGTTTCGTTGAATCGTTGGCACAGACGGATCGAATTCCGGCCGGCTGGAATGGCGTGCGGGCGACCGATCGACTGCTGGCGTCCCGACGTCGGCAGGGTCTCTACCTCTATTCTCGCAGACTGCGAGCACGCCGGGCGTCCGCCTGCTTAGTCATACGTCTGCTGCGGTACGTCGCGAACGCGTTCGCCAGTCGCGATCGAAACCTGCGGCGCCAGTGCGTCGTAAAACATTATTCCAATAACAAATTTATTATATTTATACTTATCAATCAAATCTGCTCGTGACTTAAATTAAAATAAAACTCGGCGTGTTTTCATCGAAAAAGTGATAATGCTGCCGTTCTCGGCGGCAATCTGACGTTATCTCGAGGTTTTCGCACGTCTCTTGGGATTTATCAAGCTCTTCACCATGGTGTATCATCGCACGTCGATGTCAACGCACAACAACAACAATAACAACTTGATTAGTAAGCTATTTTGATTTTGTGATTTTTTTTACACAAAAATTTTATGATGAAATTTTCATTGTGCTCGCGTTCGATTTATTACGAAGCACAAAAAAGTAGATTATGTATGGCTGTGTGGTGATGAGCGCATCCCATTGATTGGTTTCCGCCTCGAAAAGGTCATTAAAATGTTGCCGGCGCGTCGAGCACAGCGACAAGAAGAGAATTATTATACAATGGCGCTGGAAAGGTCGCTGTGCATTTTCGTTTGGCAATAAATTAATGCCAAATTAGATTTCGTAATACCGAACGCACTCGTTCCCATCATACGTAATGCAACGACGAAAATTTACACGTATTGCCTTCTAATTTATTCAAATTTATTGCCATTCATCGTATTATTATATTATTTTGTGTTTATAAATATTCTCCTGGTAGAGTAAAAGTGATTGCACTAATATGTTTATATTTTTTTCTTTCATTGCTTTGGCTGCACCTGCCTAGCGGTCAAAACGGTTATCGTTGAAAATCACCTGTCGTGGTAATTTGCAAGTTATTCACTCATATGCCACATCATCTGTTTCTTGTGAATTGTATAGAATTCCGACATCATATCACACGCGTTTGCAACGTTCGCAAAACTGTACTGTATCTCATTTAATTTCAAATCGAAACACATGTGCAGTTGTGTTGTGACTTTATGTTTGGCATATTTTCACATTTTATGCTTTATGCCTTTTATTTTTATATTTCGCACGCATCATATCAGCGAGCGTGTGTCACCGCCGCCGTTGAACTATTGAACGTGAAATATGTGAATATATCGTGAATGCGAAGGCTTCTTCCGCTCGCTGTTTGCCTTCCGTTATTATTCCATTATGACCTGCACACATATACACACGAAACGCATAAAACCGCGGCTTTTATTCACGCAGATATACCGCGAACTACGGTAATTCGGTGATGAATAGACGAATTCAACGAATTCAATGAGCGCACATTTCACTATTATTCCCTCTGCGCGAGCGCTATTGTAATTGTTATTCGAAATTATTCGTGGTTTAATTTGTTTTGCTTGGAAAAACACCATTCGCGGTTGAATAAACGCTTTGCCACAATCACCGCCTCCACCGCCGCCAAGAATATAATCACTCAGGTGCGGTCATACTTGACGGACGCGCATGTTGGTTCACTTACTCGAATGACGTGTAATTGCTCACTTGGAGACTTAACGAGCCGAAAAGCAGCATTTAAAAACTTTATATTTACTCTATCGATTTTGTTTTTACTTCTTTATTGTGCGTCATGTCACAAAAAAAAACGTACCCTTTAAATATTTTAGCGAATTCGACGAATAGTTGATGTAAAAGTTACCCGTATTCAAAGTAAAATAATTACTTTTTGTTATTCGGTGAATATTCAAGAGAAATTTGTATTTATTTTATTGCTTTTTGTATTACTTTGTGTTTTGTCTATAAATTTATTTTCTCCTCTCAGCGCACGACTAATAAAGCGCGCCGAGAAAGTAAATTAAAGCTGCGCGTGATCACAATTGCACAATGGATAATTACGATGATAATGCAAGCAAGCATGTTTCGCGTGTTTACGTATAATTTCAATTTCGATACTCTAATCTTCCGAAGATTCCGCTGAACAATATGTGGTCAACATTTTCACACCGAATATAATTACGTCTAACGCCGCTGTTCTTCTGGTTTATTACGTAAACGACAATGAGCACTGTGTGAAATTGCATCTCTCGGAAATGGAGCTTCTAATTATATTGTGTGAAGCGTTTAAAGTTTAAACTTTGGCAAACTTTTTGTGGGAAGCAATAATGAATGGGTTGTAATTTTTGTTTATTGCCAGATTCAGACGCAAACTTGCCTCAACTTGCCTCCGAACGACCTAATTAAATTAAATCAATTGAGATTTTCGGGCGGACGTGTTCGATTGTCTTTCGGTTATACGGCTGCCGACGCGTTGGAATTGCCGCCCGAAACCCGATTAAGGATTAAACTTTTATGATGCCATCCTAATTTAATTAATTTCCATGCTTTTGTTCGGGAATTGTTACGAAATCAAATATCGAATATCAATGATATCAGCGTCCAGGAGGACCAAAAGTAGGCGCACGCAAGTTGAACTTGTTTTTTGGCGTGTGTCGGAGGGCATGTTTTGATCCCGGCGCGCGCGAAAATCCCGTGTAATCCTTAAATTAAAGCAATAAAACTAATTTTATGTGCCGCGTGTCGGGTTCTAGGGTTTTCGGCGGGTGCGCTCATGGCCTTTATTACTTTATAAATCTGGTACGCAGCGCGAAATTGCCACTTATTCGGGGGCCGAGTAAAAACAAGCCAATTTAAGAGTGGCGGCGGCTACGGGGTTTTGATGAGCCGAGAGGCCTTTGATTTGCACCGTCGGTAGGGGGTGCGCACACGTCTAATTGCGACGTTTTGGGGATCTTTACGTGCCGCCGCCACGGCCAACAATCGTAACTTTTCCGACTCGCAGCGAATAAAATCACCGGAATTACGAATTAACTAACAGCGCGCCCACACGAATTCATCTCGAGTGATGTCAGTGATGATGTCACCAGTTTTTTCAGCTGACACTGCACGAGCAGACAAACAAACAAACACTCAATTGATCTTTGCACTTCTTCGCTTGAGTAATTGAAAGTTATTGTAAAAGTGTATCACTTTCGCAACACGCGCATATTTTATTTCTACGGTGTCTTGCGTATCACGCATAACAATATTCTGCGCGCGCGCTAATTGCGATTCCATGCGCGTTAGAAATCCGGCAAAAAGTAAAAGTCTAATTATCGATCGTGAGAATGAAATTACCCACGACGTGTCATTTGGTTATCGTCTAGACTTGCTCAAGAACAACAATGATATAACACACATGTATTTAACACATGCCTCACCAATATTGACCGAATGTGTGTTTGTCTTTGTTTACTCATTTGTAGAAAATGGTCTTTTGAGCTATGAAAATCCCAACTATCATCTAGACCCGGCGCGCCTCGACGATGCGCTCAACTCGAACAACACCGCCGACGAGATCTACGAGGATCTCTACCAGGAGCTGGATGACATCTGCAATATGGGCCACAAATCGGCGGCGCTGGTGGCGCCCAACCGCAAGACATACGCCGCCCTCGACATTGGTTCCATGGGGGTGGATATCAACACCGGCCCGCAGGTCACACATATTGACTCGTCGAATTATCCAGACAACCGAAGGTAGGTGACAAGATTTTTCTATTTAAAATAAACACAATGTATGTAATTATGGAGGGCATTGAGGCGTTAAATACCGATGGATGCAGGCTGTGGCGTTTTGCTAAAATTAAACACCACTGCACAGGTGTAGCGGCAGTGTCTGCAGAGTCGGTTCCGGTTGGGCGCGTTTTCGGTCGGGTTTCCACTTGCCAGTTGTTGCGGTAAATATCTGTGTGTATTATTACGTGTTGCGATGGCAATCGATAATTTCGCTGACCGAATTTGCTCATCGAAGTGCAGTCATGCAAGTCAGCAACTGCAGAGCGCATGAGAAGCGCTCCCGTCTTTAAATAAAACTGTTTTTATTTGAAGCCATTTTTAAACTCGTTGCAATCGAAATAAATAAAAACGAGGAAGTTTAAGACAGTGTCTGAATAGGTGTCGACGCGTAAACAAATAAATAGATCTGGCGCGGAAGTTTGCAGCGAGAATATTTCCGCTTTCCGTGCGGACAGAGATCAATAGGCAAGCTGCGAGCGACGACGGAAAACTAACAGCGCTCCAAGAGACTGATGCCTGCTTTCGTAATGGAATTTCGGTGTTTATAAATTCGCCCTGGGTGAATTTAAACAAGCGTCGATTCTATTTTTGTTTGGAAATTGTTTGTAATTTTCGGTTGCAGCTCGTTAGAAAGACGTTAATATGTTAATTTCACGTCTGGTGAATGGCAGGAATAAAACGGAAGCAATTTAGGCAGCAATTGGCACCTAATCCGATAAAAATTAATTCGACGCGTGATGTGTTTCTTTATTTCGCCAAAGTTGTAGAATGAGATGCGCCGGGATGATTTTTAAGTCGATTTGTTTCATTCGCCAGCGGGTGTAGTGTGGTTGCTGACCGGAGAAAAAGCAATATCTGATCAAAGCGGTCGGTCGGCGAGTGCGTCTTCCGGAATGGCGAGCGGAAAAAGCACGAAGCGCGGGAAATTGACCTCCGAGATAGATTGATTTCGTCCTTGGCGCGCGCAAGATTCAGTCGGCGTTCGCATTGTATATGCATGCGCGTCATGTTTATGCAATGAGGCATTTCCTTAATGCGGAAATCGGCTAACGCCCGATCTTCGGATGTTTCGCGCCATACTCATTTGTATTACGAAATCGAAATGTTCAATTTGAAATTACGATATATCGATGTCATATCAATGCGAAAACTGGATAAACTCGTAATCAGAACACGGGAAAAAACTTCGGGGGGAAAAAGCGTAATCTACATGTTAGGTCCAACATGAAAGTTGTCCGAAGTCGTAGTAACGGATTAAATTGACTGTGCGCGCCGTCTGGGAATCTCCAGAGACGAGCCGGGGCGAATTTGCGAGATCGAGTTTCGTCTTCCAGATATGATACCAACTCGCGTGTAGATGGGGGATCTTTAAGCAAAGCGCCCCGGAGCCACACGACAACACAATGAAAGCGTGCGAAGAGAAAAAAAGAGACGCGTGCGTAAACTAGGCGACAACTATTCTGGGACGTCTCCCACGACGCCATAAACAGAATGTTTTCGCCTTTATTGAGCCGTGGCCGTGCAGTTGAAATTTAGTATTAATCAAAAGTTGCCGGTTTGTTCGCAGCATATGCGAGAAATCGGTGAAGAACATTAAGGACAATCGCGACGAGGAGGAGGAGATGATGGGCATACCACATATCGCCGGCGAGCTGAACAATGATCTCTACGCGATTCCGGTCAAGCGTCGCACGCAAAAATCCCCGGACGAGATCGAAGTCGCTTCGCCTGATAAAGAGCGCAGCGATGAAACCGACTTGCCGCCTGGTTGGGAAAAACATGAAGGTAGTGCAATGCAAAAGTTTTTCTGTGTTTATTTGTGTTATTTATTGAATATTTTTTGTTGGTAACCACTAGACAATGACGGTCCGTATTATTGGCACATAAAAAGCGGTACCATTCAACGTGAACTGCCCGAAATGCCCAACAATGACAAGTTGGAGAAGTCGGACGCCAAGTGCGACTTTAAAGAGACGGACAGTTTGATTCAGAAGTTTGAGAGCGTGACCAGTTCGGTGACACGCAGCAGCACCAGTTCCGCCCTCGACTTGGACCTCGAGGAGAGGAAAAAGAAGGACGAATTAGCTTTCAAGTATGTTTGTCATGTCTCTCCCCTCGTCCGGATTGCATTTTTATGATGTTTGCGTTGCAGACGACGCAGTTATCCAGCCCGACCGGAGCCGGAGTCCAAAGACAGGCCCATTAGGTTTGCGGTGCGCTCGCTCGGATGGGTGGAGATTGCCGAGGAGGACCTCACCCCGGAACGGAGTAGCAAGGCGGTGAACAAATGCATCGTGGATCTGTCGCTCGGGCGGAACGATCTGTTGGACGTTGTCGGTCGTTGGGGCGACGTGAGTGATCTTACAATGCTGCGTTTCGCGGGGGAAAACATGTTTTGATTGTCATCTTTATAGGGCAAGGACTTGTTCATGGACCTGGACGAGGGCGCGCTGAAATTGATTGATCCGGAGAACCTCACCGTCTTGAACACGCAGCCCATTCACACGATAAGGGTGTGGGGTGTTGGACGCGACAATGGCAGGTAATACCCGCGACATTTTTGTGTCCTCCATCTTGTATATTTGTACCTATAGTGTAAATAATCTGAAATCTTTGTTTCAATATTTTTTTCTGGACATCACAGAGAAAGGTAAAGTTTGTTCAGCGTTTTACCCTACGTGTAATGTGTTTGTTTGCATTTCTGCATGCTTGCCTGCCACTTTTGTCTTGTTGATTGGGTCGTTGGACTTTCGGGCGTGTTGCTTAAGGATGGTTTTGTTTAGGGATTTTGCATACGTGGCTCGGGACAGGACGACACGTAAACACATGTGTCATGTGTTCCGCTGTGACATGCCGGCGCGGACCATTGCCAACACCCTACGTGACATCTGCAAAAAGATCATGATCGAGCGCAGCTTACAACAGAACCTCGCCAAACCGATTGATATCAACGGTAGGGGTCTGGCCACGCGACCCACCAACCTGCCCACCGAGCATCGACGATCGAACAGGAACGGACAAGCTCTAGTCAGTAAGTGGAGGATGACTTTAGGATAATTTACTTTGGGTACTGATTTTTTACTGTTTTGTCTAGCACAATCATTTCCTACGCCCATGGAAGAACCAAAGAAGGTGCTGCGGGCTCAGTACCTCGGTTCGCTTCAAGTCAATCAGGCCACTGGTATGGAGGTCCTGAACGATGCCATTGAGAGATTAGTTTCCTCCGTACCACAGGAACAGTGGCAGTCTGTCAATGTGGCTGTTGCACCTTCGATGATCAGTATACAACAACCGAGCGTAGGTTTTTTTTCTTCTTTATCTAAACTGTGAATCAGAGGAATGTTTAATTTGTTTCTACAGGATGATAAGCTAATCACCGAATGTCGAGTGCGCTACCTTTCATTCCTCGGCATCGGGCGCAACGTGAAGCAATGCGCGTTTGTGATGCACACCGCCCAGGACACGTTCGTGGCACACGTTTTCCACTGCGAGCCATCGTCCGGAGCACTGTGCAAAACGGTGGAGGCGGCCTGCAAGCTGCGCTACCAGAAGTGCTTGGATGCGCACCCGCAAGGCCTCGGCCGCAGCCAGTCCAACCTGCACACCCCCGGCGGCAAGAGCATCGGCGCCGCGCTCAAATCTATCGTTGGTTCGCTGACGGGACGCAAGAGCAAAAGCGCCGAGTCCTGAAACGAAGCTCAGTCTCTGCAGGTGCGCAGCGACCGCCGGCATTCGCTCGACACGCGTCTCTCTGCTTGTGTGTTGCAGGACCTGTGGCCGCTGCCTGCGGAGCGCGAGGTGATCCGACACAAACACCTTCAGTCACCGCTCACCGTGCGCTACTTCAGCGGCGGCGGCGGCGGCGGCGGCAGCGTGAGTCCTCCCTCCGCTGAGCTGCGTTCTCTCTTGTCGCCATCGCTCGACGCGCGCCGACTGCAGATCGCCCGCTGGGATTCCGCTAGTTAAATTTACCAAAATTAGGAATATGAACACACTCACACACACACAATCACATACTCGTACACACCAAGCAACGTAACGTTATATTCTTTGCGGAGATGAGGAATGATGCTTCAATAGTGTTGTACAATTGGAATCAAAAAGAATTTGTTTTGTGTTTTTCTTTGAAAACGGAGAATTCCACAACACTATGCTAACAAAAAATATGAATGTGCTTACAAAATAGCCTTACACAAATTTAATGATAATAAATAGGTTCATGGGGGTCGCCCAAACGCGGGATCGATTTTATCAATCACGACCTGCGGACATGAATAAACATTAACAATATCTAGGAGATAAGGATATTTTATAGAATATTTGAAACAAATTTAAGATTGATTTCTAGCAACTTGCTAAAAGCACCAAAAATGTGTCATGTAATACGTTTACAATTCTGTACATACTCTTAAGGCTGTTGAGACTGCTTAATAATACTGTATAGTAATTGCGACACAATTGAACTAATCAACGAGACGACTCATTTCATCATGGCATCGTTTTCGCAAAACAATGCTAGACAATTTGGCAAAGAGTTGACGCAATTCGAAGAAAACATACAAAAAGCATTTATTGATTTGATGTCTCGTTGCTAATTCGTAATGTCTCGATGTTTTCATTTTCGATATAATTCCGGATGAGCTTTACATGTAGCTGCGCTGAATGATATCATAAACGAAACGCAGCTAACATAATATCCATTCCTATTTGGTGTTTTTTCATAACTACCGCAATAATTCAGGATTACACACACTCAGCAAATGAATATGACATGAACTGTTGGACGAGGTTGGTGAGCTTGATGATGGAAAGTTAGTTAGTTTAATAGTTTGTGTAACAACTTACCAGGCTTGGTAAACCTTTGTTGTAGGTCCACGGACAGGTTTAGTCAAGTCAGATAAAATGCAAAGAAAAAAAAAACACAAAAAAATTGTAAATATACGCCTTTCGTGTACGTACCTATGATGTAAAGTGCTAAATTCTCTATTTTCTCCATTTGTTTAACTCTCGAAACACTGTTGGACACAGGAATGCTGGGAATGAAATAATTCGAAACAATTGAGGAGTATCGAAGACGATCGAACGAACGTAACAAAGAAAAGTATAAAATTTTATATTTGTGGGAAGTAACTTTGTGTTCACCACAAACACACGTCAAGATTTCGTTTAAATATGATATTTTTATAAAATTAGTGTACGCATAATTGAAGAAAAAAGAAAACGTAATTTGACGATGACTATATGAGAAATGAACATTTATGTATATTTATCGAGAAAAGCCACCCCTATTGATTGTTGTAGTGTGCATTTGATGCAATATTTCGGTGTCAACCAGAGTTATCCCCGATAACGCTATGTAAGTTTAGCAAAGAAGAACGAACGGAGGACACAATTCACACGTCACGTTGAGCGATGCGGTGCAGGTTTATCTAATACAATATTTAAACGAGAAAACCTATGTGGCATCAATTTACATCCAGAACACGAGCAACCGAGTTACATTCAATTGACGAAACAAATCTATGTTTAAGAAAAAGACAAAACAATTTTAATCAACATGAACAAATATGCTTGCAATCTTTTTCTTTAATTTTATTACATAAATTGCCTAAATAAAATGCATACTCATTTATTAATTCGTTCGTTTACTTGTTACTTGTTATAACATGTTCTATGTATGTTTATAAATGTTTATCAGTTTAGAGGGTGCGCCACGGTCGTTTGTCGATTCTCTTTCTTGTTTGTTGTTGCTTATGTTTAGTCGGTCGCGCACTGTTGTAAGGTGCGCACGTGTTTAGTTCATCTCCTCGTTTCTTATCTTTTTAAATCGGTAGTGGAATTAGAATCGGTTGGCCATCGATGGCATTCAGTATTAACAATCGAGTGTGGCGTTCAGTTAATGATTTATCGCGCGTGTTTCCTAGTTAAATAGTTAATTGCTGAAATAAATTTCGTTTGTGTTCTGTGGAAAGAACCGGACGAGCAAGTTAGCTGAAATACTTTATCATTTTTAGATATAGTTTTGTGTATAAAGCATCAAAAGTGAATCCGTGTTTTATTTTTATAAAGGTGTCTCGCGAGCGGACGAAATGTCGTTCGTAGCACAACGATTTTTGCATCAGCCTGTAAGTATTTAATTTGTTTATCATTTTCACAAATATATGTGTGATTAGCACACGGGACACCTGCGAAAATGTCATTTTTGTCCTTCGATATGCTAATTTTTGTGTGTTTTAGGTGTCTAGCAAGCGAACAAATTGCCCTAGGACAACGATTCTTTCATCAGATTGTAAGTAATGAATTTGTTTATCATTTTCATAAATAATTTGTGTGATTAGCACACGGGAAACCTGCGAAAATGTCATTTTTGTCATTCGATATGCTAGTTTTTGTGGGTTTTAGGTGTCTAGCAAGCGAACAAATTGCCCTAGGACAACGCTTCTTTCATCAGATTGTAAGTAATGAATTTTTTTACCATTTTCATAAATAATTTGTGTGATTAGCACACGGGAAACCTGCGAAAATGTCATTTTTGTCCTTCGATATGCTAATTTTTGTGTGTTTTAGGTGTCTAGTAAACGAACAAATTGCCCTAGGACAAAGATTCTTTTATCAGATCGTAAGTAATGAATTTGTTTATCATTTTCATAAATAATTTGTGTGATTAGCACACGGGAAACCTGCAAAAATGTAATTTTTGTGCTTCGACGTGCTAATTTTTGTGTGATTTAGGTGTCTAGCTAGCGAACAAATTGCCCTAGGACATCGATTCTTTCATCAGATTGTAAGTAATGAATTTGTTTATCATTTTCATAAATAATTTGTGTGATTAGCACACGGGAAACCTGCAAAAATATCGTTTTTGTGCTTCGATATGCTAATTTTTGTTTGTTTTAGGTGTCTAGCAGGCGAACAAATTGCCCTAGGACAACGATTTTTTTTATCAGATTGTAAGTGTTAAAATTGTTTGTCATTTACATGAATAGTTTTCATGGTTCATACAATGGAAAGTGAATTAAATTAGTTGTTTTAATTGAAATAGTTGTTTTAAATATTAGCAGACGCTTTGCAGATTTCTTGGTAATTTGTTTAAAGTTTGTTGTCCTAAAACTAGAGGGCGATACCAGCGGCTATCTATTATGTTTTGTTCCGCCACACCCAGATGGCGCTCGTGTCAGCTACCTATTTTGTTTTGTTCCTCAACGGTCAGATGGCGCTGCCATCGATTTGGTTTAAAATCTTGCTTAATTTTTGTTTAGTTTTTGGTGCACAGAGTTGCGGAGGGCAGGTCACTTTTATACATAACTTTTATGTTTAAAAAACAAAAAAATAACCAAAGTTCGATTTTTGTGCTTTTATTTTCGGTTGTTTTAGGTGTCTAGCGGCGAACGCGATGTCGTAGAACAACCATTCTTTCAACATTTGAAGAAGAAAATAATACAACATTTGTGTTTAATACAAGCGGAACCAACATATGTGGTATTTTTTCACAGTACGTTAATTAAAATCCTTTCTTTCAAATAATGTTGTTTGTAAACTGATAAATTTATAACTTGCAATATATTTGTAATAGCATTTAGGTCGTGCGCAGATAGAAGAATGCCCCTCCAACTGCGGGTCGGTTATCAATTCTCTTACCTGCTTATTCCGCCTTAGTCGGTTCAGCGCTGTCTCGTGGTGCGCACGTGTTTTGTTCATTAATCAAACATGGTGACAATTTTACGCGTTTCTTAATATTTTAATTCTGTAGTAATACTAGAATCGGTTGACCATCAGAGACATTTAATAGTAACAGCCCAGTGTAGCCACAACGAGTGATTTGAGTGATCCTTTACGATGCGTGCGTGGCGTCCGTCGGATATGTTACGATGCCCATGTGTTTGATGTGAGAACAAGTTTTCCATTTGCGATATCCGCGTGGAATAGTAAAGTAGTGCGTATCATCAATTCTACTTACAATTTGCGGAATGGTGTTTGTGCGCTTTAGTTTTTTATGGATGGAAGAACAAAGAAGTAAGTAACATCATGTAAAACTTTACTTTTATTTAACTTTTTAAATCTTACAGGTATGATTACTGCTTAATAACAATTGTAAATGATTCAGTTAATAAAATATAATTTAATCTTACTTTCTTGTTTACATACGTCCCTAGTGTTCTCTTAGTCGTTTTCAGGATTGGTATTAAGTCTTGTTGCACTGTAAGAGTAAAGGACAGCATAGTATAGTATTGTGTGGTGCATGTATACTGTTGTTTTATTTTATCATAAGATATGAACACATAAATAGAAGAAACGAATATAGTTTGATAAGAAAGCCGCGTGGCTCTCAGGTGTGCAGCACATGCTGCTATACCTTAGATCGATGGTTCGATCCCCAGTTATAGAAGGCATTTTTCTCAAATATAAAAATAACAGGTGTAATTTGGGTTGCATATATGAATTGCAACGAAATATAGAGAAGTTGCAATACAAGTGAAGGCAATAAGAGAAGTAAGAAAGTAAGTTGAGAAACGGAGAACAGAGAAATAGGAGAAGTAGAAGAAGGAATAGCAGAGAAGAGTAGAAGACAGAAGGAAGAGAACAGAGTAGAGAAGAGGAGGAGATAGAAGAAAGAGAATAGGGGTGACGGAATTTTTAAATTTTTTGGCACGTGTCGTTATAAGACAGTCACAGGTCGATCTCCCAGAGCGCCACCGGCGCTCTGGTCGATCGCCCACTGCTTCGATGCCTCCATTGCTCCCGGCCCATCCTACAGCTACGATGTCTCTGCGCTTCATCCCCGAAATTATCAGGCATATCAACAATTTTTATGGTGGGGGATCACCCCCGGAGAGAGGGATTTCCTTATAAGGACAATCCTTATAAGGTCTTGTTCAAATATTTCTAAGTTTTAAGTCGCCTCAAGAGAAGTGACACTTAAAAATATTCTTACAAGTTCTGACCTGTGGCTGAAATGAAAGATGGAGTACACAAATCATACAGGTTACCTTAACAATTTTTATAGTGGGGATCATCCCCTGAGAGAGGGAACTCTCCTAGAGACCTGTTCCTGAAATGATAGAAGGGGTACACACAAATCAAAGAAGTCAGTATATCTTACTAGTTCTTTATTAACAATAGAATACAAGTTTAGATTTTACAAGTCAACAAAATACATGTCGCCATATTGAAACAGGACTTACGACCTGCTTAGCCGCGCACTTATAAGCAAGTACCACGTAGTAAAGTTCTACCGGGATAAAGGAATTAGCAAATTGTCAATTTTCTACGTGATTGAAAATGGATACAAATATACAGGGTGTTGCAAAAGGAAAATTTAAAGTGCACACAAAAAACTCTACACACGACAAACGTCGCTCGTTTTCACTCGACGATCAGGGAAACTCATATACAGGGTGTTATAAAAAGAAAATTCAAAAGGCAATGAGGAAAACCCTAAAAACAAAAGTTAAAGCAAAATTTTGACGGACACAAAAAATGAATATACAGGGTGTTTCGGAAAGAAAATCTCTAGTTGAAACAAAAAACACTCAAAACTCACAAATACCAGCAATTTTGTACGTAGTGTTAGGAAAACTAATATACATGGTGTTACAAAAAGAAAACTTTAGAAACTAAAAAAGGAGTTAATATGCACAACATGAAGAGAGAAATTTAATAATAAACAACAATATTTGAATATAAAATCCAAGATTTTACCCGAAAATCATCGAGCAATTGAGCAAAAAGATGGTACGAAAATCAAACACTTACATTTTAACATATTGTGAATGTATATTTATTAATTGATGCATCACCTGCATAAAGTAACCGACGGGTGAAGTATCATCATAAATTGATAGAATATCCGGCGGAAAACATTCAAATCAGCTGACGGCAAGCGACGGCGCGTAGCAATACATACACGTATTCCGCGAAAAGATGGCCGAGCCGACGACCGACGGTAATGTGATCGTGGTCGACCATATGAATATTGCCAATTTTAATAATCTTCAGATACTTTTTTAAAACAGTGTTTGTATTAATTAAATCATCTATTTTAAATTGAGAAACGGAACTACGAATTCTGATAACAATGCTACCTACCATGTGTTTGTAATTTACAAGACGATACATGCAAATTTCATATCATTCAAATAGAATAATCAATTTAAGTTAAACCGGCGTAACTTTGCGTTAAAAAAATTAATTACACACCTACCTATGCATTGATGACGGGATTTTATATCCTGGAATATATTCTATCAACTGAAAACACACGCACAGATTAATGGACAGTTATTACTTATTTAAGGAAACTCTAAACACCACAAATCATTAAACAAAACATTGCGAATACTTTGCTGATGGTCGAAAAAATACACGATGATTAATCCAATTAAAACCTCGAAACGCATGGCGATCAGAGAGACACGTACGCGGACAACGCGGTGAAACGACTGCCGTGTGCGCTTCGCTTAGCCAGGTACAAGGCTGGTACGTAGCGATAATACGCGTCAGCCGAACAAAACAAGTTGTTTATACACAAACGTACTGATAAACTCATAGTTAAAAAAACCAAACTAAAATTTCACAATGTTTAAATAACCAACATACACAAAATCAACTTCTAGTTTCAATATTTCTCGGCGTAAGGAAAAAATTTATTGGCTTTGGGATGTCATAAGTAGTTGCAGGCCGAATTCCTGCAACAAACAATTACCACCCGACGAAAAATTTAATACCGCATCACTAGACGCCGCGCTGAAGTTATTGAGTCGCCAAGATCACGTGCAAACCCAAAAAACACAAATATTTCACGAAAAAGGGTTGAAAAATAACACTTATATGCAAATTTTCGCGTGTTGCAGGTAGAATTCCTACAACAATTAAATACTAGCCGACGGAGAAATTAATTCCGCATCTGTGGATGCTCCGCTGAAATTACTGCGCCGCCTAGATCGCGTGTAAACCCGAAAAAACACAAATATTTCACGAAAAGGCTTAAAAAAACACTTCTATGCAAATTTTCGCGTGTTGCAGGTAGAATTCCTACAACAATTAAACACCAGCCGACGGAGAAATTAATTCCGCATCTGTAGATGCTCCGCTGAAATTACTGCGCCGCCTAGATCGCGTGTAAACTCAAAAAACTCAAATATTTCACAAAAAGGGTTAAAAAAAACACTTATATGCAAATTTTCGTGGGTTGCAGGTCGTATTCCTGCAACAATTAAATACCACGCGACGGAGAATTTAATTCCGCATCTGTAGATGCTCCGCTGAAATTACTGCGCCGCCTAGATCGCGTGTAAACTCAAAAAAACTCAAATATTTCACAAAAAGGGTTAAAAAAAACACTTATATGCAAATTTTCGTGGGTTGCAGGTCGAATTCCTGCAACAATTAAATACCACGCGACGGAGAATTTAATTCCGCATCTGTAGATGCTAGATCCGCTGAAATACTGCGCCGCCTAGATCGCGTGCTAATCGCCAAAAACTCAAATATTTCACGGGTTGCAGGTCGAATTCCTGCAAAACGGGTTAAAAAACACTTATATGCAAATTTTCGCGGGTTGCAGGTCGAATTCCTGCAACAATTTAATACCACGCGACGGAGAATTTAATTCCGCATCTGTAGATGATCCGCTGAAATTACTGCGCCGCCTAGATCGCGTGTAAATCCAAAAACTCAAATATTTCACAAAAGGGTTAAAAACACTTATATGCAAATTTTCGCGGGTTGCAGGTCGAATTCCTGCAACAATTTAATACCACGCGACGGAGAATTTAATTCCGCATCTGTAGATGCTCCGCTGAAATTACTGCGCCGCCTAGATCGCGTGTAAATCTAAAAAAACTCAAATATTTCACAAAAAGGGTTAAAAAAAAACACTTATAAGCAAATTTTCGCGGGTTGCAGGTCGAATTCCTGCAACAATTTAATACCACGCGACGGAGAATTTAATTCCGCATCTGTAGATGCTCCGCTGAAATTACTGCGCCGCCTAGATCGCGTGTAAATCCAAAAAAACTCAAATATTTCACAAAAGGGTTAAAAACACTTATATGCAATTTTCGTGGGTTGCAGGTCGTATTCCTGCAACAATTAAATACCACGCGACGGAGAATTTAATTCCGCATCTGTAGATGCTCCGCTGAAATTACTGCGCCGCCTAGATCGCGTGTAAATCTAAAAACTCAAATATTTCACAAAAGGGTTAAAAACACTTATATGCAATTTTCGCGGGTTGCAGGTCGAATTCCTGCAACAATTTAATACCACGCGACGGAGAATTTAATTCCGCATCTGTAGATGCTCCGCTGAAATTACTGCGCCGCCTAGATCGCGTGTAAATCCAAAAAAACTCAAATATTTCACAAAAAGGGTTAAAAAAACACTTAGGGGAGAGCAGGTAGGATTCGTACAGTAGGAGCATTCGTACAGTCCTTATTCCTACCACTGTAGAATACTTTGACAGGTCTGTGTTTGTGTGCGTGAGACCCACTCGCACGCATAGGTTACTCGCGGGGTGAGACGTCAGTGCAGCCGCCGGCTTCGACGCAACGAGTCGTAACGTGATTTCGCGCCAAGTAAGTATTTTTTGGTTATGTTTTTAAACATCTTTGTTTATTCACGCTTTATTCCTATTGTAAAAGTGAATGTACACAGTTTGTGAAGGAATAACTTAGTTTAGCATGTAAATATAGATTTTGGCCCAGTTTCAGCGGTTATTTTTATTTTCGATATTAATTGTTTTTTTTGGTGTTGGGGAACCTTCGTACAGGTAGGGGTGGGGTAGATTCGTACGTGTACGAATGCTCCCCGTGCCTGACTGGACATTTAAATGTATCTATTCTATTGTGAATGTATACTATTCTAGTTCAACCCAAGATGCTCAAACGAACCCACAAGCTTCAACTTCTTCACAACCACAAGCGTTACAATCCACGCAAGATAAGCAATCAAGTTCTGTAGCCGTTCAAGATTACGATGTGCCAGAGACCATACCAGCAGACCCCATACAGACAGAGTTTATTCAACAAAACCTTCCAAGTTGTTCATCATCTGTGTCTCCATCTTTGCTATCACCTACAACAGTAACAGATTGCTCACCAGCTGTGGGGTTGATCACCCCAGAGTTAGTCAGGCCATATCCTAGAGTGGACAGAGATTCAATAAAGAAAACAAGGAAAGGAAAGCTACCAGGCAAATCTAGAATTTACACTGATACTCCGGAAAAGATAGACTGGCAGAAATAGAAAAGGAAGACTATTGAAGAAGCAAGTGCAAGAGAAAAAACAAAAAGCTAAGGCCATCAAAGCTCTACATCTTGTCTTAGATGCAGATAACGCATCTTCAATAAAGAGGAAATCTCAATCGAAAGAGTCATTTAATTTAAAGAAGCAAAAGAAAACTACAAAGACTGATAATGAAGCAAATGCATATTATATGATACCTATGAATACCTAAATAATATATCTTGGTTCTTAATACAAAAATGCTGATTCTGTGTTAAATTGATCTCAATAAATGATTAAATTTAATCAACAATTGTTTATTTTCTTTGACTGTATGAAGGTACCCCATCATGTACGAAAGTACCCACACTATGCACGAAGGTACCCCGTGTGTGGGGTACTTTCGTACGATTTATTTTGGAAAACTGATCATAATTCTGTCTGTGTGATTTGTGACGGAGCTGTACCATACTATAATTATAGGCAGATATATAGGCTATATAGGGACATTAAACTTATTCGAATATATTATATAGTTTAGTTTTAATATGGCGTCAAGTAAAAAATGTACGAATCCTACCTGCTCTCCCCTATATGCAAATTTTCGTGGGTTGCAGGTCGTATTCCTGCAACAATTAAATACCACGCGACGGAGAATTTAATTCCGCATCTGTAGATGCTCCGCTGAAATTACTGCGCCGCCTAGATCGCGTGTAAATCTAAAAAAACTCAAATATTTCACAAAAAGGGTTAAAAAAAACACTTATAAGCAAATTTTCGCGGGTTGCAGGTCGAATTCCTGCAACAATTTAATACCACGCGACGGAGAATTTAATTCCGCATCTGTAGATGATCCGCTGAAATTACTGCGCCGCCTAGATCGCGTGTAAATCCAAAAAAACTCAAATATTTCACAAAAAGGGTTAAAAAAACACTTATATGCAAATTTTCGTGGGTTGCAGGTCGTATTCCTGCAACAATTAAATACCACGCGACGGAGAATTTAATTCCGCATCTGTAGATGCTCCGCTGAAATTACTGCGCCGCCTAGATCGCGTGTAAATCTAAAAAAACTCAAATATTTCACAAAAAGGGTTAAAAAAAACACTTATAAGCAAATTTTCGCGGGTTGCAGGTCGAATTCCTGCAACAATTTAATACCACGCGACGGAGAATTTAATTCCGCATCTGTAGATGCTCCGCTGAAATTACTGCGCCGCCTAGATCGCGTGCAAATCCAAAAAAACTCAAATATTTCACAAAAAGGGTTAAAAAAAACACTTATATGCAAATTTTCGCGGGTTGCAGGTCGAATTCCTGCAACAATTTAATACCACGCGACGGAGAATTTAATTCCGCATCTGTAGATGATCCGCTGAAATTACTGCGCCGCCTAGATCGCGTGTAAATCCAAAAAAACTCAAATATTTCACAAAAAGGGTTAAAAAAACACTTATATGCAAATTTTCGCGGGTTGCAGGTCGAATTCCTGCAACAATTAAATACCACGCGACGGAGAATTTAATTCCGCATCTGTAGATGCTCCGCTGAAATTACTGCGCCGCCTAGATCGCGTGTAAATCCAAAAAAACTCAAATATTTCACAAAAGGGTTTAAAAACACTTATATGCAAATTTTCGCGGGTTGCAGGTCGAATTCCTGCAACAATTTAATACCACGCGACGGAGAATTTAATTCCGCATCTGTAGATGCTCCGCTGAAATTACTGCGCCGCCTAGATCGCGTGTAAACCCGAACTCAAATATTTCACAAAAAGGGTTAAAAAAAAACACTTATATGCAAATTTTCGCGGGTTGCAGGTCGAATTCCTGCAACAATTAAATACCACGCGACGGAGAATTTAATTCCGCATCTGTAGGTGGTGCTCCGCTGAAATTTCTGTGCCGCCTAGATCGCGTGCAAACCCAAAAAACACAAATCTTTCACAAGATGGGTTAAAAAAAAACACTTATATGCAAATTTTCGCGGGTTGCAGGTCGAATTCCTGCAACAATTTAATACCACGCGACGGAGAATTTAATTCCGCATCTGTAGATGCTCCGCTGAAATTACTGCGCCGCCTAGATCGCGTGCAAATCCAAAAAAACTCAAATATTTCACGAAAAGGGTTGGAAAATTACACTTATATGCAAATTTTTGCGGGTTGCAGGTCGAATTCCTGCCACAATTAAATACCACCCGACGGAGAATTTAATTCCGCATCTCTAGACGTCACGCTGAAGTTTTTTCGGGTAAAGACAAAAATATACTAATAATATAATTTTATTTATAAACTTACCATTGTATCCGATAATCGAAGAAAGTACTGAAACAGAAGAACAAACACGTGTGTTAAAACTTGCACTAGGCTGCACACTTAATAAGTCCGTTCCGTCGGATAATGAAATTGCATTGCAAACGCTATTTGAACCCACAATATTCCCGTGAAATCCTACCGAAGACAATTCCGATTCTAAGCATCGAAATAATTCAATAGCCGACGGATCCCCGACGCACAAATAAAGACACGAGTTTTGTAATCATTTCAAGCACAAATCATCATCAGGAAAGCACTATGCCGATGCCGATTGTTATCGATAAAATGTAGTACAGTTAATTTAATTGAAACGAATAAAAGAAACGTGTCGCACCACGTGCAGATAGGAGCAGACTGAAATGTTTAAACATTCACAGCGCGTGCGAGGCATTGTAGTTGTTCAACGCGATAAAAAAGTTGATTATGCACAAACCCCGATAACTAGGTTGAGTTGATATCAAAACATTTCTAATATGCATCAAAATAAAACGTAATATTCACATCAGATAAACGCGATAAACTAAAAGCAATAGTTATAAGCAAAGTAAACGCTATAACTGACCCTCTCGTAAAACTATTGTGTTTCAATTAAAAGCAATAGGGATGTACGGATTGAATATTCTTCACCAATGAGAAATTCTAATAAAGATAAGATATTAAAATCAAGAACTTATAAGGGATCGAAAAAAATTTATAAGAAAAAATTAGCAAAGGTGCGTACGGTGCCCTGAATAAGAGTCACTATTTTCGGCAGCCTGCAGGGCACCATACGACGTTGCCGGTAAATGTACTAGTATTCTAGGCACCGTACAAAGGTGACGGTAAATGTGACTGAATGGGAGTCACTACTACCGCTACCCTCGTACGGTGCCCTGAATCGAGTCACTTCTACCGCCACCTTCGTACGGTGCCCTGAATAGGAGTCACATCTACCGCTACCTTCGTACGGTGTCCGGAATGGGAGTCACTTTTACCGACATCCTCTTTGCTTTTAACCTGATAATTAAAAGCACTCTCATATTGCATAATAATATGTTCTATATTTTATTACATCCTTACTCATTGATAGCGTAAGTGATAAGATAACATCACTTGAATAACAAGCGCTTCAACTCATATAAACGTTGTTTTAAGTGAATTTAATCAAACCTTAGTAAGTTCACGTTCATTTCCTAACAAATTTAAAGAAAATGGTTTTCAAATATTTCGAAGCGGGCAATATAGACCCTGAAGAACTATTATATTATGTGAAAACTAACAAAATTGCAACAATTAAAAAATTACTAAAAAATTGCAATGATTTGTTGTACCAAGAAACTGAAAATGGACTGACTGTGTTAGAATCCATTTGTTATCATCAATTTACAGAAGATTTAATACACAGTACCATTGCCTCATTACTAGCCAAAGTGGATGCCAATAAATTGAAACCAAATTCTCAGAGAGGATACAAATCGTTAATTCATTTTGCTGCATTGGGTAAGTGTTAATTTAGAAACGCTTTGATTTATAAAAAATAACTCACACATAATTAACAGGTCAAAATCCAATCATTTTGGAAGCACTTATTATAAAATTTCCGCAACAAGTAAAACTCAAAGCAGAAAGAAACACAGCGCTTCATATATTAATCAAAGAATCAACAAGTTACGGTCCTAACTTCCTACAATGCATAGAGATATTACTCAAGAATGGCGTCGACATAGAGGCCAAGGACAAACTTAACAAAACAGCATATGATTGGGCAACGGAAAAGAAATTGCTTGATGATTCTGTACTTGAAACGTTTCGACCAAAAACAGCTCCTAAAAAAATTCCGACTCCACCAAAGTCCGAATCGTATAGATCTCGAAAGTCTTATGCAATACCCGTAAACGTTGGTAAATATTATCAATTTAAACAATATAAGAAAATAATACTAATCATTTATCGCCAGACTACAGACGTAGTACACCGATGTCAATTAGTCCCATCAATCAAATCAATTCACCGATGGATTACCTTCGTAATCTTGACGAAAATGGTTTCATCAACTATTTCAAAACCAATGACTCATCGGATATCAACGAATATTTACCTTATGCAATTGAACATAATTTGTTGAATGTTGTTGATTACATGATCGAAACTAATCAGCTGCAACCTTCAGAAAATGAAACACATCCGCTGATAATCGCAAAAAACCACCGCCACTACGACATGTTAAAACTACTCCTCGAGAAAATGGAGGTGCCATCCGATATTCTTTTCCGATTGATCCGAACCGCCGACGGATGTATAAACGAATCTGGTTTCATGGAGTGCTATCAATTGATAATTGAAAGTGATAAAGTAGATGTCAATTTGGCTGATGACTACTACAACACAGCGTTGCATTGCGCAGGAAAATACACCAGATGGGGCATTATGCTGTTACTACTAAAAAATAAAGCCTCGTTAGCTAATTGTAACTCTGACCAACAAATGGCCATAGTTGAAATTGATACCTACGTATTGGGTAAACACTTTGACCAATGTGTGCAATTCGGGTATCAGCGTTTGTGTGAAGAACGTCTTCGACTTTCCTTTAATTACGCAACTTTATTTCCTACCAGAAATCAAAGTAAACTTGATTCATGCGCAGAAAGTACTCCATGCATTGAGGATGCAATTGTGGAGGAAGATACCGCAGGCGTAAAGTTGAATTTCAATGAAAACGACCAATTGTTTACACAATCAAACACAATGGGGGCCAGCGAACTGGAGGTAATTCTACATCTCAGTAATAACCCGGATAAACAATCACTCCTTTTACATCCATTGATCAATGCTCTCATCGATGTCATCTGGCACAAAGTAGAAATATTCGTTTTTATCAATTTCATTGTTTACATGTTGTATTGTGTATCATTGGGATTGCATCTTGGTTTTGGTAACAATTTATCAAAAGCATTTCTTATCATAATGTGCTGCGTTTTAATCCTACGCGAATGTTTCCAATTTAGTTACCAGCGTGCTAGTTACTTCAAGCAACAAAACAACTATATAGAAATCGCTGTGTGTATTGTCGTTGCTTTGTTATTGATGACAGAAAAAGTACAATTCAAAGTTGTCGCTGCTCTTTTAAGCGCTTTTGCGTATTTGTCGATATTAGACTCTATGCCGACGGTTGCTTCGTACGTTAATATGTTTCAAAGGTTACAAAACATTGTTGTAAAGTTTTAATGATATTTTTCGTTGTGACGCTTGCATTTGCTTACGCTTTTCACGCCATTTCCGTTTCGCCTGACTCCGATCAATTTTTCGGTAATTATACAACATCTTTATTCAAAACAATGGTCATGTTAAGCGGAGAATACGAAGTGAGTAATCTTAGCTATGAAGAGAATGCAGTTCTCTTACAAGTAATAGTAATTCTGTTTGTGTTTACAATGTCGGTTGTTTTGATGAACTTGCTGATAGCGTTAGCGTTCGCGGATGTGCAACAAATGAAAGTTGACGCGAAATTGCATGAAATGATAACACGCGTGAAATATATAGCACAAACAGAAAAGTTATACGAGGCGAGTAAGAAAGTATCACATATTTACCTAAATGAAAAATCACAAATGTTCGTTTCGCTAAAGTCGCCCGGAAAAATTTCGCGCAACATTTGCGATCAAAGTAATAAAATCGCAAACAAATTTTGTATAAGATGTTTGAGTCGTCCGTGCACGTACAGATTAAGTAAAAGAGTTATAACAAATGCCAGGAAAATCGCTCTGGAAAACACTAGAGATTACGATTTTTCTGTTGTGTGAAATAAATAAGTTTTAATTGCTTTATGATCAAACTTATGCTAAACAATTTGTAACCAAACTCAAGCGCGCCTTCAATTCCTGTGGTAAATCGCCCCTGACAACCTCTACTTCTTCCCTAGTCGTGACGTTTCTTAATTTTACCACTCCTTTCTCCAACTCGCTCTCTCCGAGGATAATCACCAAAGGTATACTTTCATCTTCACAGTGCTGAAGTTGCGCCAGTAACTTTGGATTTTTCTTGTAGGAATGTTCGACTTTGAACCCAGCATCCCACAATTCCTTGCACAGCAACATCCGCTGTTCGAATAAGTTCTTTTGTGCTGAAGCAACGTAAACCTCAATCTCAGTTGTGCGTACTTTACTTTTATTCTTCTCTAATTGCGCTTCCAATACTGCAAAAATGCGCTCCACACCAATGGACACACCCACACAAGGAACCTGCTTGTGTTTCGGATCAAACATGCCAACGAGCGTATCATACCGTCCGCCACCAGCAACGGAACCCACAGCGACGTCATCACCCGACCCTGTTTCACCTAATAAAACAGCCTCGTAGATGATTCCTGTATAGTAATCTAAACCACGAGCAAGACTCAGGTCAAACGAAACTTGATCAAGCGTTCCGTAAATCTGGCAATACTTTAAAATAAGTTTCATTGCCTCCAAACCCTCAACAGCGGATTTACTCTTAATCAAATTTGAATCCGCAAGAAGTTTCTCGACAAGTTCTCCTTTACCACTCAAACGAACATATTCGCCGATTTTATCAGCGACTTCATCGGTGAGGCCTTTTTCGTCGATCATTTCCTTGCGAACTTCCTCCCATGGACTCTAAATTTAAATTATTAAAAACAAACCCGAAAATGTTTCTTTCATCTTGTTTACCTTGTCAAGTTTATCAACAGCCGAACAAATCGACCTGAATTTATCAGCGGGTACCCCACATGCTTCAAACATCCCATCCAATAATTTTCTATGATTCAGTTTGATAACAAACTTTCCAATGTTTAACGATGTTAAAATCTCGTGGACAACACGAACGCATTCGCTGTCCGGTATCATTTCATCGTATGTACCTGCTATATCAAAATCCTGCACCAAAAAGAAAATGTCTTTCATTGGTGTTTAATTATTTTAAAGAGAAAAACTTACGCATTGATAAAATTCACGATAACGACCCCTGGACATGGCAGGATTGTCCCTGCGATACACTTTCGCAATATGATAACGCTTAATGTTGGATATTTTATTCATTGCTAGAAATCTTGCAAAAGGCACTGTCAAATCATATCGCAATGACAATATCTCTCCACCCTGATCCTTCAAATCATAAATAAGCTTTGAATCCTCTCCATATTTCCCTGTGAGGACTTCTTTCAGCTCAAAAATCGGTGTATCAATGGTGACAGCCCCATGTTTCTTAAAAACATTGATGACTTTATCGAGCACAGAGTTTCTTATTGTCATTTGTTCAGAGGCATAATCTCTGGTGCCTTTTGGAGTTTTCAGCACGAATTTTTGATTGCTAGGTGCTGTTTGATTGCCATCATTAAGTGAGGCTTTGAGTTGCAACAACTTGGCAACTTCTTCAGCAATCTGAAGGAAAATTACACAATATTAACAAGCAAGAAAATGAAAGCTTTACTTGTGGTATAGTTGTCACTGACCTGTGGTTTGCTTTTGCAAGTGAATGTGGTGCTCAAATGCCTCAAATTAGAAAGAACCACAGGTCGTGACGACGCACGGCGGGCGTGCGAGAATATTGCGTGCACGATCGACATTTCGATTCCGTGCGCAAGCAGAAGAATGGTGGGAATATCTTCAATATGTTACCTTTTCTTTGCTTTCTTTGGCTGCTTTTAATTGACGAACGAGATCACCCTGTGCCTGAATCTGTTTCTCGATTATTTCCTTTGATGACATCTTTTATTAACTTAACTCAGCACAAATTACTCGAAAAATTCTACTAGATTTACAGGAGCAGTTTACGTTACCAACTCATGAATGCTACTGTGCAACGTGCACGAAGCCTGATCCGGATCGTTGATGACGACGGTAAATCAAGGAAACGAAACGTAGCGAAATGTGAAAGACAGTTAGACGGGGATAATATGCGCTTGTAACACAGCCTAGAGAATACATTCACCGCAGTGCGATGAAAAAGTTAACCAAGTTTCGTCAGAAAACGTGGAACTATGAGAACAATTCAATATTGCTCGAGTATTATTACTATAGGCAACCAGTTGAGCACCATGTTACAAATCATATAAATCACATGGATATAGTACTTTATAACTACACAGAAAAAGCTTACGGGAATAATACACATTCAAATTTGTGTGCATTTCTAAAAAATTCAATGAAGCTGATTGGTTAATTACGTTTCCTTGACATTTATACCCATAATCGTGTCATCAACAAATGCGCATCGTGCATCCTACAGGTTGCCGCCTCGTGCGTGTTGCGTGCGTATAATCGAAAACGCGGGGTGTGAAGAGCTTTAATAATCGCGCGCTCAATCGGGTATCATCGGAATGCGAAAATGTAAGTACTCAATGCGCATGTGACTTAAGCGCGTTTTCATAATTAAAGGGTTTGTATATTGTATACGTGCGATAATTATGGGAAAAAACTAGGCGTAGTTAAAAAAAACAGTAAAAGATGCGTAACATTAAGTCTAAGATGTAGACTAAGAAATATAGTGGGGATCATGTCTAAATATTTTTGTTAAATCATGTTTTGCGTTTTTAAATTAATCACGCGATATGTACACGCGTCAGTTTTCGTTAAACATTATTTATATTCAAGGTAAATTGAATAGTAAACATATTTAAAGCGATTATTTTGTTTTTCTTGTGTAGATCTCGTTTAATCCGTCACTGGCGTTTGTTGTGCACGCACGCCGTTTCATTCGATTCCATCTTGAGTTTATAACGGGCGAGAGCAGCATGAGAATGGGCAAAAGAACGAAAAAGACGAAGGAGACGCACACGCAAGGGCCGCGCCAGCGCTTGCCGGCGTAAAGCGCTATTCCACCGCTGGCAGCCAGCAGTCGTCCCCCATCAGGCCGTCAGTCGTCGACAAGTCGGCGAGCGGCAAACATTCATCCAACACACAACATTAAAACGCTTTCTCTCCACATCTCAATATCATCAACTCCTAGTCGTCACTCGTGAAACATTTACATTTACCCAGTGTAAGAATGCAATCAAATGCGCGTGTGATCATGTTGGCGGCGTCGCGCGCCGCCCAGCGATAAATCAAAAAGTTCGACGAGTGTGTGCAAAAGTGCGTTCGCTACCGCAACACTAGTTAATTGTGTGTCAAGTAGTCGCCGAAGACGCCAAAGAAGATGGGGGTCGGATTACCGCCGCTCGAATTCACCGAGTGTCTCATCGACAGCCCCACGTTTCGGAATAATCTCCACAAACACGAGAAGGAGCTGGACAACACGAATCGCCAAATCAAGCGGTTGATTAAAGAAGTCAAGGAGCTGCTGCAGGCCGCCAAACGTGAGTTTGATAAGAAATCGACAAGATTTTAAGCGTAAAACGTCCTTGATGGCTCGTATTTCACGACATGTCGCGCAGAAATTTGAATCACATTATTTAATATACAAAGTGTTTAAAGTGTTGAAAATAAAAAAAACTGATAAAGTCAATCTATAATCTAGGCTGGTGAACATTGAGCACGATTTTTAAAGGCCGAGCTTATCTGCATTCATGCACACAACAATAAGTTTTAATGCGCCTCCACTGGTGAAACAATGACAAGTTTTATTTAATTTAATTTCGCCGCCAATTTGACCATAATCAATCAAAAGTGTATTTTTATTTCGTCAACCCACTGCGAATCATAGTTTTTAAAGGTTTTATTTTACATGGGCGTTGCTTGTGTCGTCATAAATACGTTTTTACACTGATATCGTATGTGTGTGTCGTTGTCCATCGGTTTCGCCTAATCGGTCACTCATTACCTTTTTTGTTCCAAGCATATATTACAAACATGATTTTCTATCCACCTAGAATGTAAAGCTTTGTTTTCCACTCTTAATATGTACTAAACTAATTTCTTCAAACTTTTATTTGCGTTGCTTGATTACTAATCATGTTTTTATGCACACAATGACAGTTTATAGCTCGGCATAATAGCATAATAACATAATTACAATCGAATTACGTATTTTTTTCGTGCGCCTCGCGATCGCATTCCCCGCTCGGTCAAACTCTGCGTCCTGCATACGAAATGTCCTTGTTTATGTGTTTCGATTGTTGTGGTTATATTTGACATTATTGTCACGGCATTGTTAGCATTATCGCAGTTACCAATTATATACAGTGTGTTTGGTGGCCTCAACGCGGTTCATTTATTAATATTCGTTGGGTTTTTCGCGAAATTAATCGTGTGCGATTTATCTTATCGTGATAATTAATTTTTTATGGTTTTTTTGTTCATGACACTCATAATACTTGATCGTTAATGCGCCAATAGCGTTTATAATGATGAGTGCAATCGATTTGACGTGATGACCTAGAAAACTTGAATGATTCGAAAGCCGCACGCTAGAAAATGCGAAAAATTGCATGTGATTAATGCAAACACAATATTACTCATTTTTATAAATTTATAATGAGTTTAAAATAGATTGTGTTGAGTAATTTATTTTATTTGTCATGTTTTTGACCATAAAACGCAATTTTATCAAAATTAACCAACTTTTAGTAAAAGTTAATTGATAACAGCGATAGTAAATGTAATTTGCTGAGAACAAATGTTTTCTCGTGTTACTTGTTGCGTAAAATCATGCATTTCTTGTCTTCTTGTGTGTTTGTCGCCTTTGGATCCAAAAAGCGCGAGCAAAACATTAATTCCGCATTCATTCCGAGTAGCATGAGTGCTCGTACGGTCTGAAGTATGAAGTACATTACACACAAAAGCATTAAACTTGCGCGTGCTGAGTATGAGTACTCGCAAGAGCGAAACATTTCACATTTCAATGTCAATGTGCCGTTAGATTGGTCGTCGTCGTTGTCATTTTGCGGTTTGGATACGTTTTTTTTTTATTTTTTGTTTTTCTTGTGTCTCGTGGTGGTGGTGGAGAACAGTAGCGCTTGCTTTCACAAATTATGACGGAGAGTGAAAGATTGTCACGTGTAGAAATTTTACAACGATTAAAGCATGAGATTAGCAGGAGCAAGAAATTTTCAAACCGCTTTTGTTCGTAATTAGTTTTAATCATAATAAAATGATTTTTTGAGTGAAAATTTATATTTTTCTCTGTAAAAAGCGAATAAACGTATAAAACAGTTATAATATTATATATTATATCACATGGTGTGCGCGTTTCGCCTTTCGAAACCAGGTGAATATGTCACGCACGCAAAACTACCGCCAGTGCTCTTATTTCATCGCCAGCACCACACATGTTCCATGTCATACTTCCTCATTAGATAAATAAACAATAAATGTTTAAAATGCTCTAAAAATACCTACTACCTATGCCGAAGTGAATTTTGTTTATGTTTTCATGTTTTTTTCGTGTAAATCTGCGCATTTGATGCGCACGCAGATGTGTGCGGCGGATAATAGAAGGAAACATCTTTAAATTTCGTCTTCCGCTTCTTACCTGGGTGTCTGGGTGGCTGAATGCCTGAAAGACACGCATCTGGCACACTTCTTTTAGTTGCACAAAAGCAAATTCAAGTCTAGCATCGAAAATGAGTGAAGAATTTCTGAAGGAATTTGTGTTGGCACCTTTTGTCGTTTGTGCTTTTGGTGAGGAATGTATAACGACAAGAATGACTATGAGGACATTGTGATATGAACTACTTCGAAACTTGTACCTTCCGAGGTGGTCTTGAGTGACAATGTCTTATTGTTTGTGATAATTACTAATTACAACTGCTTTTAGTCTATTTTCACCTGTAATTTATCTCGTTATTTGTTTCAATTTGAAGTGATTGCAAAATTTGCAATCAGTCACAATTATTGATTAAGTGATTGATGTTTTATCAACACTTAAACATGCCTAGGCTTGGTATTAAATATTTTCTATATGAAATATTTCCACTTGGTTGTTTTATCGCTTAATTTGGTGAGTCTACTTTTTGTTATCAGTGTGTATTGTGCAACAAACATGTTTTGCAATTTCGATAACACCAAACAAGGCGCGTTTATTTATAAAACTTTACCTTTAAAGCATCGAAAATGTTTTTGTTAGTTTACAGTTGCCATAACAACGTTAATAAACTCTTTAAAGTTGCTATTCTTAGCGAAACTTTCTAACATCATAAAAAAAACTCTTCATTAATGTATGGTTTATATTTTTTGCTGTAATAATTAACGCTCTCTAAACTTTTTTTTATCATTTTCATTTGTTTTATTATTTTGCGCAATATTTAAATATATTTATAATCACACTCGATCCACAATTTTGTCACAATAAAATATCAAGATAACCAAATATTGAGATTTTACGCGGTCTCTATGTTGGACTTGCCGTATACACACCGAACATAGAACTGCCAATGTAATTTTTTATATTTGAATTTCTTTTATCTTTTTAATGTGTTTTTTTTTAATTTTTCTAGTCAATTTACATTCCAAAATTATATTTTGTTCATTTTCTTCCCAAAAATGTCTTAAAATTTTTAACGTTGATAAATTAAAAGGAAATTAATATAAATTTTGCCCAATTTCGATGTTATACGGAGTTTGTCGTCAAATATAGTAATGTTAAAACAAAGCTACAATGTACATTGCTTCTTTAAATCAACTATACCTTCCCAATGTTGTGTTTCTATGAATCATCCGTAGCTAACAAATGAATAACACAATTATCGCGTCAAATGTTCTAATCTGACTCGCTAATGGAATCGATGTTCACGTTTCACGTTTTACTCTTCAAACAAACACGTCTGGTTAGTTTCACTCAGTTTTTTATGTTCTCAAAACTTGATGAATAAAATAAAATCACTACTTTTCTTGTGTGTGTGTGAGCGTAATTTTTGCTTGCGGTGAAACAACTAATGCACTTTTTTTCGCCGCTAAATTTAATATTCAATCGGTTGCGGTTGGGATTTCAAGATACAAGTCGAATGTTGAATGTTGGTTTTGTTTTACTAGCTTGACGAATCGCACACGGCACTTGAAAGCGCGCAATGAAAAATCAAATGATCTTTATTGCGCTGTAAAGCATCGCGTCACGCCGAAAATAATGCCGGATGACGTGCGGAACGCGCATAAAATCGATCGTTAAATCGGAAATACTTTCATCGAAAATAGAAGCACACGAAACAACGCGAAAAAAAAAGAAAAGTGAATATTTATTTCGTTTGAATTCAATCGCCCGATCACATTTTGCACGTAATCGCTGTTAATCGACGCCTGGCGACCTTGTAAGCGGATAAAATCAAGGCGTATTCGATTGTTGTTAATCACAATGGCACTGTTATCGAATGGGTGCAAGCGCGTCTGTTTGTGCTGGTGACTTGGCTAGGTAATGTTATGTGGATTGCTTTCAAATGCACAAAGTAATGCTGAATAAAGTAAATAAAGGCGAGTCGACTGCGCATTTTGTTTCCATTCCATTTAACACTCGATCAAAACACGAAAAATAAAAGAAAAACGGAGGAAATTACAGTTTTACTGGTTGCATAACATCTACAATCACATAACCTCAAATTATAGCAAATTAAAGGCTAATATAACTAATATTTCTTGTATAAATCCTTCTTGGGATGATTATAGAAAAGAAACTTGTTTTTTGATGAATTATCCCGGAAAATGCTATTTTTCGCGTTGTAAATTAAAATAATGAACATTTTTGTCTTTTTTAACATTCAATCAATCAAAAAACGGGCAAAATAAAAGAAACATCATAGTTTTACTGGTTGCCTAACATCTCGCTACTCCTAACCTCAAATTATACCCATATTTGTCAGGATTTCATTCTTCACAAGCAATATTTCAATATAAATCCTTCTTAGGATATAAATTTACATATAAGGGGTTGGAACTTTTGTCAAATTGACAAATCACTTGATTCTTGATAAGAAAACTACCCCTTCTTGATGAATTACCCCGGAAAAACTATTTTCTCCAATTACAAATCAAAATACTCAACATTTTTGTATTTTTCGCCTAAAAACTCATCGTATAATATAAGGGGCGGTGCGGGAGCGGATTACTATCACCGCAGTATCCCTTGCTATCAGCCGGCGTGCTGTGCGGGTCGTTGAACCCGCCGCCGCCAGAAACAACCCTCCTGCTCGTGCGCCGTAATGTAATCTACACAATCCACCACACTTCCACACCCACACAGAGACGCAGCACGTGCAGCGAATGGAAAACTTGTGCAATGTGCACCACCATTCACACCCACACTGTCAGCCGCGGCCGCGGTGAGCAGAAAATCGATAATAGTATCGTGCCTTGCCAGCCGCCGGGGGTAGCATACTGTTTACTGGTATTTCCAGTCGTTCATTCACGAGTTTTTTTTCTCCTGCGGCAGACGACTTTTGATCTCTGATGGCGGCAGATTTAAACTAAGTACGTTTCTGACGCCTGTCGCTGACATTATGGCTATTATTATCATTCATTCAGGCGAGTCGCGTGTTTAAATCGTGTGTCAACTCGCAATTGTCTTCTATTTTTAACACGACGTCTGGGATATTATTTAAAAATTACGTTTTATCATGTCTCAAGGAAATAAATTTGATCACGAATAGTGCGTCATATGATTTATTATGATAACTTTTCTTATTTTATCCCTTGCTTACTTCCCGCAATACAATAATACAAGGAAGATGCTGTGTACTCGTATCATCCCCCTAGTGTACTTCCTGTTCATTCATCCGTGGAAAATGAATGAATCTATCAAATATGCCGTAATAATTCTTCATTCTACCTTCCTGTCCACTTTAATCATTTTCTATCTATTGCTTTATAGGTATATTTTTTCCTAACAAGTTGATCAAACTTTAATGAACTACACGTGCTGATGCGCTAATCTAAACTCTGAAAGCAATTTCGCTACACGCTTTGAAGTGTGTAATATTTGCAAACTTGCGATGCAATTTTCATGTTCACCGAACTTGGACCTGCAATACAGTGCCGTATTTAGCTGCAAAATAATATAGAAAACTATTCCTAACCTAAATAAAAATACCGTGTACAATATTACATCTACGTAATTTCGGTTGCCTATCTTAAATTTTTCTATTTTATGTTTTGAAGTTTAAATATTCCGTAATTCGACTCTGTTTGTACATAATTCAAACTTCAATATCAACATAGTGGTTATTACTAGATAATAACAAGTGTGACGAGGGAAGTTCGGCGCTCAAGTAGCACGTGTAATGTCAAACTGAGGGGTTGGTGTCGTTCCACCCCGACGATAAACTACTTTACGAGTGGTTTTTCACCACGCAGACGCATATCATGCATATAATGTAAACTTTATCATCAGCCACCGACTGCGCACGTTCTGCACATTACGATAACACGTGCTGACACGTGCCACAACTCGTTTGCATCGCAAAATTGCGCATAATATGCAAAAATCAAAAACTAAACATTCGTTTATTACTGCTTTGTTTCTGAGCATGTGGAATGAGTCATTATTATAGATTTTTATGTACGTGTTATAATTGAACTAATTATTTTCTAAACATTCACTTTGCAGAATTAAGCACGTGTCAGCGAACGTTCGCGAAAAGTCTCAAGAGTTTCACTTTCGAATGCATCGGCGGGACGCAAACCGATGACGAGCTGGTCATTTGCAAATCTCTACACGAATTTGGAGCTTTGATTAACAACATCGAAGATGAAAGAGACCGAATGGTAAATACACATTAACTTCCTGGTTCAGAATTAGCTAATTACACTTTAATGACGGTGTAATTTTGGTTATTATTTAAATATGCTTTGATTACACTATAATTATGTAATTATTTGCTTTTGTTGGGGATTTTAGTTGGAAAATGCGGACAAACAGGTGTTGGCACCACTGGAAAACTTCCGGAAGGACCACATTGTCAAAGTGCGCACGGATAAGAAGAAATTCGACAAACAAACCGTGAAATTCTGTCAATCACAAGAGAGATACTTGAATTTAACAAACAAGAAACAAAATGAAGGCGCATTACAAGAGGTAAACTTTTTTCCTTTGCAGAGTTTGTAACACTACGCGCGAAAAAGTTTCTAGTTTCATTGCGTAGGCGTTTCGAGCGTTTCGACGAAAAACGTTTATTGATTTATATGTCGACGGCATGCACGCACGCAGCGGAGGCGGCAAAATGTTCACGCGTGCGCGCTACACACAATTGCGACTCACTCTTCACTTGTCCGCGACTTTTACCCACATTCGACGATCAAAACAAAACGCGAATCAAATCAAAATATACAAAAACGAGCAATATATCAACTGTAATTATTAAATTCAACGATTGTGTTGTCTATATACGCGGTGTTTGACTGTGTGGCGGTAGTGTTAATTAATCAAAATAAACACACCTGCGTGGGTGACCCAGGAGACTGATTGGAAGTATAATGTTGTTTGTTTTAATCAGGCCGACGCCACGGTCGGCATGGAGAAGCGGCACTTTTGCGACGCGAGCATGCAGTACGTGTGCTTAATTCAGGAAGTGCACGAGCGCAAAAAGTTCGAGTTCGTCGAAACCCTGCTGGGCTTCATGATTGGATGGTTAACGTTTTATCACCAGGTAAAAACAAATTGCAAATTTCTTATAAGCGTCCATTTTGTTAATATATTGTGATTAATTTCAGGGATACGAAGTTGCCAAAGATTTTAATCCGTACAAAGGTGATTTGCAGTTGCGAATACAAAAGACGCGAGATAACTTTTTGGATTACAAGGATAAACTGCACGAACGCATGGCAGATATACAAAAACAGCAGGATAATATCAAGACGCTCAAGGGACGCAAGGAAGGATACTTGTTCCTGCTTGAGAAGAGTAAGCACACTTGAAATTATGCTTTTTTGTACACTTTTATAAAGTGTCAGCGTTTTTCCACCCACCTAGATTAATGCGTAGTTGAGTTGTATGCATGAATATGAAATTTGTTTTCAAGGAAAATTGGCTATTGCAGAGGCGTTCGGGCAGACGTGGACGAAACACTTTTGCACGTACGACAAGAATACGAAACTCTTTACAATTGTGCCCTACAATCAGATGACGAGCAAGTCACCCGGTCAACCGGAAGAGATGACTTTGTCTGCATGCACCCGACGACCTTCCGACTCAATTGAGAAGCGCTTCTGTTTTGATCTGGAAGTGAATTCGAAGCCGGGCGTGATTCAAACGTTTCAAGCGCTGAGTGAGCAAGATAGAAAGGCATGGTTGGACATTATGGACGGAAAAGAACCCGTAAATATTCAAATAATTCATATTTATTATAAAATAACAATATTTTTAATTCCTAGACTTATCTGACACCACAAATTCGACAAACAAATGAAGTACAATACACTCTGGATGATAACGGTATGCAATTCGTGAAAAGATGCATTGATGCCTTAGAAAACCGCGGATTGGAAGAGCAAGGATTATATCGGGTTGTCGGCGTGACAAGCAAAGTTACCAAACTCCTCACGATGGGTTTGGATCGAAGGAAAGCCGATAAAGTGAATCTGGATGATGTGCAGGAATGGGAGACAAAAACGATCACCAGTGCGCTGAAGAGTTACCTGCGCAATCTACCTGAACCGCTGATGACGCACACGCATCACAATAAGTTTATCAAAGCAGTAAAAAACGACTACAAACCAACACGGGTCAAAGAAGTCCATAAATTGATCTATCGCATACCGAAGAATAACTTTGAGCTGTTGAACATGCTGATAAAGCATTTATCTAAGTATGTTTCTGTGCGTATGTAAACATTGTGTTTTATTAAACTTTGTGTTTAGTGTTGCAGCTAAATGTGATAAGAATTTAATGACGACGAGCAACTTGGGCGTGTGTTTCGGGCCCACTTTACTACGACCGGAAGAAGAAACCGTCGCAGCTATAGTAGATCTTAAGTTTTACAACATTGTCGTGGAGATATTAATCGATAATCACCGGACGATCTTCACCACGGAACCAGCGAAAGATGACACGCAGATTAGCCCGTCGAAACAGTTGCATGTGCAACAGAATAAGAAAGTAAACGATTATCAAAACACAATGTTTTATGATTATAATAATTTGATGAAGTCTGGTCAACATTATCCGCAGCAAAGTCGTGAACAATTGGTAAATATCACTAAAAAATAAAAAAATTAAAAGTTTTGAGCGTTTTTTGTTTCTTTACAGACTGTACGCACGTATTGTGATCCCACATCAACAAATCTTTCATCAAGCATGTATAATGTACATGAATCACCGCCAATGTCCAACAACAGTATACATTCAATGAGTAAAAGTGAATATCTTTCTCAGCCGATCTCATCGAATGGTTCGACAATGCAATCTTTAGGATCGATTATCGCTGGGCCGCAGAGTAAATTTTTAGCGCACAATAATAAGTACAACAACAGCACATCGCTGTCGGAAAGTAACTTGCCTGATTTACAAAGTATTTCACTGCAAACGACGAGCACCAACCACCACAGCGGTCATGGAAGCCCGTTGAATCACTATCGCACACCGTATGACATGTTGGACAACAGTACAGAAAGTAGTAGTGAGTCAGTTAGTTCAAATTCAAGGGATGGCGGCGGACTATTACTTCCGGTTGGGCCGCCGACAGCGCCACAGAAGCGAACACGGCTGTCAATTGCATTACAAGTGCCCAAAAGTTACAATTCACAGGGTGCCGTGTAAGTATTTGAAAATATTTCGATTGAATGCAGATTATTACATGTTGTGCATGTTTCTTTTGTTTTCTTGTAACTTTAAACTAATTGTGTGTGTAAATCTTTTAACACAAAGGGTTAATAATGAAGCTTTATATGCAAGCGTGCACAAAGGACGGACTAACTCTATAACGGGCGGGGGCGGCGATAGCACCAGCCCCAGCAAGTTTACTGGCGGCGTACGGTAAGAAAACTAACGACTAACTTTTCAAATATTCAGTTTTAACATATTTAACAACTTGTAGTTTAGTTTTACATTATTCCGCATGATAAAAAGATAAAATACTTCACTGACCTTATCTTGTTTTGTTTTCTAGACGCGTGCGGACGCTCTACGCTTGTTTGGGCGAACACGACGGTGAATTATCATTCGAACCGAACCAAATAATAACAAACGGTATGTTATTTCCATGTTAAAGTCAATTATACTATTTTTCATTGTTTTTTTAATTCTCAGTGAAAACGTCTAAAGAACCCGGATGGTTGGAAGGCACACTCAACGGTAAAACAGGATTGGTCCCCGAAAACTACGTGGAGTTACTGGACTGACCCCGGCACTTGCATTCCGATCACAATCACCATCACTTGCAACAACACCGGCGCGGCTCGCTTACCTCGTTGACTAAACTCTCCACGTCGATCTCCAGCACGATCAAGCACAACATCAGCAAGGCGCTTCTGCGCACTAACGTCGCTTCAGGCTACAGCACCTTGGCGGGCACGCGCCCCGCTGATAACAAGAAGGTTGAGAACGGACGAAGCCGCAGCTCGCGCAGGCAGAGCGTCGATGTTATCATGCGCGCGCCGTTTGTCACACACAAGAAAACCGCCGAGCGCAAAAGTTCCACTTAAATGTACATTCCAATATGATCAGAGTGAATATTTCGGTAAACGATGAAGCAATATGCGCAGTATTACAGACATCTGAACGGTGAATATTAAAAGATGATGTTTTAACAAATGATTTCGAGATAATTCCAAAGATATTAGATTTGTTTTTATATGTACTAACAATATGCGACGATGCAGATGATGAGATGGGTGGAAAAGTGTTTGCGTAGTGTATATAAGAATATTTATACATGTTAATTATTGGATTTGTATAAATATCAACGGTAACCTTGATAAGTTGATAAGAAATGTTTAGTTAAGTGAAGAATTTAATATATTTCGTAATATCTAATCAGAATAGGATAAATGTACTGATTGAAAATTTGCAATTTGCCATGGATTTCGTTTCAACTTGAAATTGTGACACATTTGAAATGCCTGTGATGTAACTGTTTTTCGGCTATTACAAATTTATGAAACAATGGCTACACATACACATTTGAATGTAAAGAGATGTAAAATATCTACGCTAAGTACAAGTCTAACAAATGATCGCAATTTGGGGGGCAAGAAAATGCTATTTAGTTAGGTGTGCAGTGCGACCCAGTCAATTTAAGAGAGAAATTATCAAATTTTCAGAACGATTATTATGTTTATTATCGTTTAGATTGTAAATTTGTTACGCTGTTATCTTCCATTGTACATTTTGTAATTAGCAACAGTTTAGGGTGGCATCATTTTGTTTTCTTTGTAAAATTAATATTGTTTATTTGTTAATTTACGTTCATATTATTTATAATATTTATCTGAGTTTCTGTTGGTTTATTTCTCATCCACACATCCAAAATAATTGTAAATAATCCTGTATTATGTAAAAACATTAATAATTTAATGGGGAGCACACATTTAAAACTTTTCAACACAAAAATGAATCTAAAATGTCCTCAGAAACAGGCCGTGGTGTTTTTGGTTGATATTGCAATTAATTATCAGCATTTATCATGCTTCTCTTGAAACCTGCCGACAAATTCTAAACTTTCCAATCCGTCATTCTCCGCACATATCACGAGAGTATAACTAACGCAAGAAAACCTGTTTACAAAGGACCTATACACCCAATTCTAACATTTAAGTCATCTTTTGTAAATACACCTTGGAATTTAACCTGACTTAATTCTAATATATAGGCAACCCGAATTTGCTCAAACTTGCCGTAAAATTAGGTTAACTCCCATGAAAATGTTTAAAACATTCGCTGAGCGCTCTTCTGACATGTTAATTAAATTGTTTATATTCATGTCATGATTGTTTAACGCAAGACACGATTTTGAACATATTCCAACGGCGTACAACCTTCACAAACGAAAGAAAAAGTTACGCAATCATGGTACACTTTAGTTATGCAACCATAACTTAAAATTAAATGATTTAAGTCTTTCAGAGAAGATTACACACTTCCGACATCTTAATTGTACTTGTAATCTTAATGTCAGTGTCAGTAACATGTTGAATACCAGAGGAATCAAATCAAACAAACGAAAAGACTAGTTTCGTGTTGATTTGTTGATTGTAGCTCATAAATTTGGTTAGTGTCACGTAAATGTTATCAACGTTCTGTGATAATGTAAAACTATTACAAATACGTAACAAATGGACATTGATTGCAACAAAATGCATACGAAGCTCAAGAATTGGAAGTTATTTTGTTAAAAAGACTGGAATATAACATGGCGGAAACAAACATTGATTGATTGGCTGTATGTATAAAAATATATTCAAACTAAAGTATAATCTTAATCTTGGTCTGTCTTACACGTTAAAAATCAACTTTCTTGTCATCTATTTGTATCTGTAAGTATTTATACCATCCTTAGCTCCACCATTTTGTTTCTTCAGTTCTGTCTGTATAACCTCATCAATCCAATTACGAAATGTTGCAACATTAACATAAACACCCGGCGTATCCCGTTCCCCACACCCAATACCCCAAGAAACAATCCCTACCTGATGATATCGCCCAGGTTGACCAGGCACTGGACATATCAATGGTGATCCACCATCTCCATCACAAGCATCCTGGAAACTATTACCACCCGCACAGAGGAAACTCAAATGCAGCTGGAAATATTTCCCCAGGCGTGTTTTCCTCAACATCTTCTCACACTTTTGATGTGGGACCAAAGGAATCTCAATGATTCTAAGTTTACCATTTTTCTTCCAGGTACTAACAGTGCATTGTCTATCCAGGAGCAATGACCCTGGAGGTGGGATACAAATAGTCCCAACTTTTATCAATTCATCTTCCAAAAACAACAACGCTATGTCATTTTGTAGCGTGCCTGTGTTATAATGATTATGCGGGATGATTTTGGTGACCTGCGTGAGGTAATCAGCGACTTTAACCTTGAATTGCTCTGGATGACCAGTGGTTTGGTCAGTAATAAACAATGTGCTGCTGTGACAGCCACCCGAGGGTTTATAATCGACACACCGCATTTATACTCCCATTTTTTCGCTTGTACCAAAAGCATACCGGACCATGGTACCAGCATTTGCTTAAGATACCCACACCCTTTATCAGTGTTATCAACCAAGGCCATTGAGGTCCCTGAAGTGTGTATTGGTCTTACATTTGGTATCACTGTCAGATTACAGCAGACATCAAAATATCCAGTGCATGCGTTATCTTCTAAACCTCTATTAATAACAATAAATCAATATCTACGCTATTTTTGTTTAAAAATTTATGTACCTTAGATCTAGCAGTCCGTCACCATCAGTAATCACCCTTCCGGACTCTTCGGAGCATTGATAATACGGCACACAGGAGCAATTTGTGATTTTGTCATCGTTACCGATAAAATTATCGTGTTCATTAGTCACACTTCGTTTATTTGCAATCACCATGGTTAAAAATGTGATAAAAAGTATTAAAATTAATTTAACACGCATTTTTATTGATTTTATATTGAACACCACGTGTTATTCTCAAGTAAAATAAAGTAAAATAAAGATAAAACCCGAAAACATGAATTTTTAGTCGAAATCTGCACTGTAGCGCCATCTATCGGTTTGGTAACCAACTAATCACAATTTTATGCGTGTAAATATTATAACAATACGCGTATAAATAAAATAAACCAATGTGGAACTATACAGCGCGTTTTTCTTGGATATTGATAACAAATGTTGTTTATTTAACTATGGAACGATGATTGTTAATACTTGGAACGGGTCAGGTTGCAATCAACGACTTTTGTATGTTAATCAGCCGGCTGGTTCAATTAAGTCGTTCGTTGATAAAAGTGTACACGCGACGAAGAAGATGGTTGGGTATCGGTGTTTTGTTGAAGCGAAACTTTATTCGAGTTATTCGTAACAATTGAGCGGCAGTCGAGTCGTGCGCGTCGGCGCGGAAGCATCAAGAAAAAAACCACGTGTTGAATCGTATATTAAAATGAAATAACGCGATAAAAACTTTTAAAAGTTAAATAAAGTTTGGTTGTTAATATTTTAAATTGTTTTATTTGTGTGTATTTTGTTTTTATTCGTCGAGAGACGAAGATTTTTATCCGGTTTGATTGAATAATTGGTTTGCGAGTGCATCAACCGCGTTATCATCATGTTATCATCAGTGACCACAGTCACTGCGGTGGCGACGGCCGGGACCAATGGCGGATTGAACGTCAAAGGTAATTTTGTTATTATTTCATTGAATACATCCTGTCATTACGAATATTCAAGCATGTAAAGTGAAAATTAAATTGTAAAAGTTGTAAGGAACTTAAAATGGCTGCTATTATCATTTTAATTATTGTTTTCTTTTATTTTGTTTGATAAAATAATGTTTTGTGGGTTTTAAATATAATTTGAAGTAGAATTTGAGTTATTTGAGTTAATTTCGTTGATGATTGCAAATTACAATGGTAATGACAATGACTGTGATTTACTTTGGCGTAATTATGGCTGCAATGTCATCCCACATTCGAAATAAAGCGATGCGCGACGATTGGCATTTGGATAATGCTTTTTTTAGTAACACACACGATGGTAAACATGGTAAACATCGTCGAATACCGTTGCGTGGCACACATTTCCGATCATGATCTTCACTTCCATCTACTCAATCTACTTTTACTATGATACACAGCGCAACATGATTATTAGAATTATTATTATCGTAAATTGGCGTAGAAATGGCACTGGGTAAATATTTACCAAACAAAACTTAACTATAGCTTCAAATTAATTGAATAAACTCGGAAAGAAGTAAATTATTGTTGATTTTATACTTAAATTATCAAATTTCGGACTTATACCGCAAGTCAATCATTGTGCAAATTAATTAATGCCCAAAAACGCTTTTAAACTTTTAATTTTATGCTATGCAACCGAATTTACAAAAAAATGCATTTTTCAAATGAATAATTGTTTAAAAAGCATTTTGCAACACTAAATATTAATTAATTGTTACAAAAATAATAAATTTTATCCTTAAAATAGCAAATTCAAGACTTGTACCGCAAGTCAATCATTGGGTAAATAAATGTCTGGCCAAAAATGTTTTCAAGTCTTTAATTTTATGCTATGCAACCGAATTTACAAAAAAACTGCATTTTTCAATGGATAATTGTTTAAAAAGCATTTTGCAACAATAAATTTCAATTAATTGTTATAAAAATCACTAATTTTATCCTTAAAATAACAAATTCAATACTTGTACCGCAAGTCAATCATTGTCCAAATAAATTACTAATCAAAAACGTCCCTAACCTTTAAATTTTAACTTATGCAACCGAATATACAAAAATAATAATACCACATTATATATTTCAATAATTAAATAATTAAAAACCATTTTCAACAATAAAAATTAATTAATCATTATAAAACCAGAAATTTGACTAAAAATCCAACTTTTTACACTTTGTTTGTTATTAAATAACCGATGACGCAAACTAGATCAAAGTTATGTCGTCTATTGTTGTTGATCCGATCTAATTGAATTGTATCGAACGCATTTGTTGCACACTGCACTAATTCGTAACTACCTGATCGAAACGCGTCATGTAACCTACGTAATAATAACATTTATTACGACACTTTTTATTTATACAATTTTAACTAATTTGGAATGCGGAAAAATTAAAATAAAAATAATTTTATATAAAGCATTAAATTAACAAATTAATTAATTCGTTAATTAATTAATTAGTGATGACACAGATAGATACCAATTTTATTACGCTTTAAAACTGGTGCATAAATTAATAAAATTAATATCAATTCATTGAAACAATTCGTTGAAATTTATTGATTTATTCCGTCATTTCCGTCTCCACGTGTGCTAATTTACTTGTTGTTTTTATTGTGTTACTAATCAGCGATTAACAGATTACTCCAGTTATTCATAAGGACATACAAACGATAAATTTATTCCGTCTGGATGTGTCTTTGCTGCGGCGTCGTGCCGCGTGCAAAATTTAATTATATTCCAATAAGATTTGAGTCATACACATTTCTATAAGTGTCTGATTGTTATTGTTAATTATTGTCAACAAACACGTGCGATAATAATGTCAAAAGTATTTTAAGATGACATTTTGGCAATGAATTTTATTTTGGTGTGTGTTTGGTTGCGTAACAAAACAGATCAATCACATACTGATGCCGGAAACGATTTTTGTTTAGTTTTGTTTAGTTTCTTTGTGTTTTTATTTTCATTGCTAACTGGTTTAAATATTTGAACCAGAAACCAATTTGTGGTATGCAACATATGCAAATGACATGATTTCGTGGAACCTTAACCTTTAAAAGTATTTATAAAGACATTTAGAAGATTTATGAATGTAATTTTTGCTTAAACTGGTTACATAACCTTAGATATAATTGACATTAGTCCAAAATGTGACATATTGTCAATAATATAACCTATATTAACAAAAACATGGCTAACCTAGTTGTTTTTTTGTGCGAATATGCAAAAATGCGCATTTATTTATATGTTTGACATTTAAATATTCTGGTTGCGTTTCAAAAGATTCAAGATTCCATGTGATGCAAGTCGTGTCCTGACCAAATCAAGGTTTCGTGGCTTTCTTTTCGATAAATTCGGCTTCTGACTTAAGTCATGCGACAGTATCACGTTATTTAATCGTGCAATGCGCAAAAAATAAATATAAAACGAAACTTTTACTTATTGTTTACTTATTATTGCAGTAAACATGTTTTATATTTTCCTCTAAATGACTTAAGTCTCTGGATACTTACGAGACTCGAAGTAATTTGCATTTAAATTGAATCTATTTACAAGTTTTATGCGATTATACGACTTAAGAAGGCGCACAAACACAATTTAAAGTCATTCACAAAGTTTACTTAGCGATTGAAACTGGATTAACTGTTTATCTAGCATTTAACTTATCAGGAGCAACTTGTATCAATAAAATAAAGTAGTAATAGATCTAATGTTCAGAATTTTATTTTTGAGACACGTGGAAGTGAAGTGTGTGGCTCGATTTAGTCAGTTGTGCTCTCGATAAGTCGGTGTCGTGTGCAACTAAGCCAGACAGACGCAACAGACACGCGTGTGACAATTACATTAAGTAATATTAATCATAAGTGTGATCTACACGTGAAAACATTAAAAATTTAGTGTTTTTTAAACTATAAACAAAAAACAATGGACAATTAATGTTAAACTGTAAATTTGGTGATTATAGTAACAATACATAAACATTAAACTTTACTAAAGTAATAAAAATTAGTGCAACATTTATTTCCTGGTGTAAAAGTGAATAATATTCAATAAAAATGAATTTGTCGGAAATAAGTAAGTTTTACTCATAAAATAATCAAATTTAGAACTTGTACCGCAAGTCAATCATTGTCCAAATAAATTAATAGTCGAAAAATGTTCCTAACCTCTAAATTTTAACTTATGCAACCAAATTTACAATGAAATACAACACATTATGTGTTTTAATAAATATTCATGACTTATCGAAGGTAATTGCTTAAAGTTTAAAGTGATAAACATTGCTAAGGTTGTTTTTTAGTGTATGTAATAAGTTATTAACAAATTTATGAACACCGCGTGCTATTATTACTAAATTTCCATGCAGCCTTGCATTAAACCTCTTTAAAAATCAGTTAAAATCAGAACATTAGCATTTTAATCGAAATTATCAACAAGAATGACCATCGCTTTGTATTTTAAAGCCAATCAAGAAAAGTTGTCCGGTAGAATAACGCCTTTATTGCACAAGCGCAAGATTCCAGAAACAAGAAACAAGATCAAGAAATGTTGAAAAATGTCGTCTTGCCTAATGAAAATCACAACTTTCTACTTGCATTCATTGAGTTTATGCTAATCAGACATTCTTAATTTATTGTTGTTTACATTTCATAAATTTTATACGTTTACGACGTGCATACGTTAATTAATTAAGTTATTTTCGACCATGGCGCGACATTTTCGGAATAAAAATGACTTTGGGATGCGTCAATAAATATTTAATCATATTCTAACCTAAAAACATGTTTTTTTTTCTGTGTATATAAAGTTGCATAACTTTTGTATTATAACCAAGTTCCGGTTCGATTAAAAGTGTTTTCAATTGGAAAAGAATGCAAATTCTCGTGATGATTAAAGTAAAGAGCGTGAAACCTGTGCGATTATGCAAGTCGTTATTTAATCCAATTATCAACTAAACACATTGTAGACGCATATACAATGCGTACAATAAACAGAGTGTTATTAACGCCACACGCCGAAATTAACCTGGTCGCGGATAACTCGATTTCGTGCAATTGTTCCTGAATAAACCAATCGATTCTTTATGTTACAATTCGTATTGCGAGCCGACAGCCGTGACGAATTAACAATTAAAGCGCGAGTTTGCAGTCGAGCGCGCGCGCTGATGCAATTGTAAAACCCGCACAAAGCGACGAAAATCGAAACGCGAACACAACGAATCAAAAGTGGTTCCGCGTTTCTTCATTACATCATATCGCATTAGATAAATATAGAAAATGTAACACAGCGGCCATTTTAATAGTGTTTGTTTCTCTTCTCACAGCCGAAGCGACACCTATGTCACAACGAAGTAAACCAACACAAGAAATCCATCGCAGCGCGCAAGTAACCTCGACAAAAAAGCAATCGGTTAAAGAATGGCTGCATGATTTACAACCCCTGCAACTTTATGTCATCCTGGCATTGACGACGTGTTTCTTCGCCGCTGAACTCTTCGTTGCGCATATTACGCATGCGCTTACGCTGCTCATGGACTCATATCACATGCTATGCAATATAATCGCATTGACTGGTTGCATAATCACTATCAAGGTACGAAAGTTATTTTAAGGTTATATTTAGACCATCACCGAATCGAAAAATTGAGTCATTGTTATTTCATATGCGATTACTCAACTGATTCATTGATATGCCAAGCAGGATTTATTGTTTACTAGCTGTTGCCCGCGACTTCGTTCCGGCAGTGTTTAATAAAAATGTAATTCGTTTTAACTCTCTTGTTCTAGACATACTCGTAGTAAGAGTCAATTCTATCAATAAGATTAGCATTTTTAATTTAAAGAAATTAATTATATAAAGTTTGGTCAATAATGCACTTCAGCGCGCCATCTCGAATTCAACTGTTTAACTATAACTATGATCGAATCTCAATGTCAAATTTTATTCTATAGAAAAGAGCTGTTTTGAGGATTTTCCCGGCAATTATTCGATTTTTTCTCATCTTTTAAACCTTCCCTAGACCTCCACGAATAATTCAAGACCAAGATAACATAAATCCGTTCAGCCGTTCTCGAGTTTTAGCGAGACTAACGAACAGCAATTCATTTTTATATATATAGATTAACTCAAGGTAATTTTTTCCAGCGTGGAAAATCAGACGTAGCTGATAATACTAATGAACCGCCAAGTCTTGCGTCCTCAGTGGGAGATGTTACCACTAGCGAACTGACAAAATGTCAGGATAAAAAGAAACATAAAATCACACAACGCGGCGCACAACGTGAACGAAAACTGAGGAATACTTTCGGCTGGACAAGAATCGACGTCATTGTCATGTTAATCTGCTGCGTGTTTCTTGCTTCTTTGAGTTTTTCACTTGTAGTCGAAGCACTGCAGACCCTGTTTCATATTGATCATCAACACGAAGTCCACGAGCCTATTTTTGTTGTCTGCATTGGTGCAACCGGTCTACTCCTAAACGGAATCTGTTACCTCCTCATAGGAGGATTTACTTTCCATCAAGGATCATTTTTATATGTGACTGAGAGTGGTGATGTTGTTCTGGACCGTGTGGTCACCCACGATTCAGTCCACAAAGGACAACGGCGTCTGAGCAGCACGAAACGTCAACAGATCAAACCGCAATACCGACAGAGACAAGGATGTCGAGAAATGATGCGTGATGTCATCGGAAGTGTTTTCGTCATCATCTGTGGCTTAGCTACGTTTTTAACTGAATCACACGTGGCGAAGTTCGTTGATCCACTGCTCGCCATTTTGTCATCCACCATGTTGATGTACTTTAGTTATCCCTACATGAAAGAAAGTGGATTGATTCTGTTGCAAACTATCCCTGGAAGTATCAACATTGATTCAATCAAGACCCAGTTGATTGATCACTTCCCAGATATCATCAATGTGCATGATCTTCATGTGTGGCAGATGACAGCAACTAAAGTGATATCCACAGCGCATATTATTTTTCAAAACCCGAAGGGTTATCATAGGATTATTGATGAGGTTAGAATGGTTTTTACTGAACATGGCATAACGCAAGTTACAATCCAACCGGAGTTTTTCAAAGCTGCTAGTGTGGAGAGTTTGGAGGAATCGACGAAAAGTCCACTTTGTTTGGTTAAGTGCACGGATGAGGCTTGTTTGAGTAGTTATTGTTGTCCAACTGAACATTTACAGGTTAGTAAAGTGCAGTCAGTGGCGTAGCTAGTGAGATTTGCTACGCTACTGGTTGAAAATAAATTTTTAAATAAATTTTTATGATTTATATAGTTACAAGGATGGAAAAGTCGTGAAGTCCTCACAAGTGTCTCCACAACTTCATTAAACAAAGATGCTGAAACACCCCAAGCGTCACAAGCATCACCAGCGTTGCCAGAAGTACCAGAATCCATTGAAGTCCCATCAACAGTGACAACAACCGAACAATAATAGCCATAAAATATATTCACGTGTATATAATAACTGAGTCAGTAGAAATTAAGACAAAAACGAGTGAAAACAACGAAAATAAGACAATAAGTGAGGTTAGATTTAAGTTTTAATACTTTTTATAATATATGACAAGGTTTTTAACCTCAAATTTGTGACCAAAAGATATATTACGACTAAAATGAACACATTCCAGTTTGTATAATGATTATAATGATTCTTTACTAATTATTAACGCTAATAAATATTATTTAAGTTGTATTAAATCCGTATTGTTGTAATTGTTATACCTGTGTTTCAAAAAACATTTTTCCAGTTGAATTACAGGCATTTCAAAGCATAACGTCCAGATAACAGCTCCAAAAATCGAAAATATTAAATATCCCGCGAATTCAAATATGCCGGATGAGTTTAAGAAGTATAATGGCGTGCGTTTTTCCCCTGTGTAGAATAGCATGATCGGTTGGTGGACTAGATACATACAAAAAACAATTTTACTGAAGAAATTGTATAGTTTGAAGGTTAAAACAGTGTTAATCACTCCTAAAACAAAAGTTTTAAAATAAGTTAAGAGTTGTGATTCTTGGTTATGTTTTTACCTGAATATTCTTTACTACACGCGAAAATTAACCAAGAAATGCACAAAGCAAACACTGGACGACTTAAACTTTGATAAATCGCTACTGTACCAAATCCCCAGCTATCACTTTTCATATGTCCTTGAGTTATAAACAAAATACTAACAATTATCATCCATAAACACCAAATTATCCAAATTTCCCGTCGTTTTAACTCGATATGTTCGAAACTCTTTTGTGTCATCCACTGACCCATAAAAAGACCAATAAACCAAGATCCCATGCGAGTATGCAACGGATAATAATAATATTGATGATAATCACCGAATTTATTCATCGTTCCAAGTTCCTCTAGAGTTATAGGGATCTCATTGAAGTAGATAGCTCCAAAAGTGGTAAAAATCGAAATGGCGACCATTGATATAACCCCAAAACGAAAGAAACTTGTTCTCAATTGTAGCAAACCGATGAAAATTGGTAGCAATATACAAAGTTGCATTTCTATCGCTAGGTACCATGAATGCATAGTGCCCAAACACTAAAAATAGTAAATTAATACAAAATGGCGGTTTTATACACACATAACCTACATCTGTCCTCGGATGATGGTAATTTTGTATGAAAAACACTTCAGAAGTGAATTTATCTAAACATTTCGGTGTTTCGAATGAATTTAAGAGTAGTTTATAAGGCCCGAAGCCAATTCTGTCACCAAGAGTGATATACAAAATCAAAATGGCGTATAATCCGGGTCCCAGGCGTACAAATCGATGTAAATACATTTTTGGTACTTGTTTCCATAGAAAACTTCGTATGGAATTCGAATTACAGAATAAATATCCGGATAACACTCCACTTATGACCAAAAATGTGTCAACAGCATAATAAGCGGCTTGGACAAATGAACTCTGAAGTTGCAGCGACCATTTTATGACATTCAAAATGTTTGTTGACGAAATTGTTTCGAATAAAAACGTGTGCCCAAGAATTATCCAGAATATACTGAGTGTTTTTATGCCTTGTAGACAATTTATTTGATTGGACGCGGAGTTATTCATTGAAAAGAGTTTTTTTGAGTTTTTATATAAAGAAAAAGAAGATAAAGCTGGAAATAACCAATAAAAAAGTGTTTTGAGGTTAGATTTAAACTTTACCTTCTGAAATGGGTGATAAATTCACAAATTTTTTGTTTTGTGCAATATCCTGTGATAATTGTATGTAAAAATAGTCGTAGAGTGTACTCATGATTATTATCTGCAGGATAATTGTAAAAAACACTCTAAAATTATATTGATAAATATTAAATTTAGTTTTTTATCATTTTTTTTACTCACAATCCTATTTTATGCCGTATTTCCAAAGGTTTAGTGTCATTAGTCGTGCATAAATTGTCTTTAAAGTCAATTGTTATAAAATAATCTAGATTCTCCATAAAATTTAACAAGTTTAGCATGTTTTCATGATTGCAAGATGATGGAATACAAATACCAAGCGCTGAATATTTATGAATTCCATTTAATAGATAATCTTTTGAGTTATTCTTCCAAATTGAAGGTAAAAACTAAAAATATTTATAAATTCATTAAAAATTATTCATTTTACGCCATTATTTATATACACTTGATGGTATTGTCAAGTTATACGTGGATTTAGTAAAATTTAAAGATGCTATGCAATATTTTCCTTGAATTTTATATTCTGCACTCAAATTTTCATTTTCCTGTGTTTTGTTTGTATTAATTATGTATTGAATGCTTAAACACTCGTCAAAATCACCGAAATTTATTAAATTGCCTTCGAGGATGCCTGAAGAAGGCTTAGCGATTGAATCAAGCACTAAAAACATCAACAAACTGAGGAAAAACAACAAATTTTATGAATTTTTAAAGAAAAACATACTTTTTGATGCCCACATTTTACCATGCCGTATATCATTATAAAATTGCATTAAATCAGTTTGGCATTGTCCTGTGGTTAAATTTATAAACGGAGGAATCACTGAATCCATATTGTTTACTATCATTTGTGATAATAACTGCATTCCTAAACTTATACACATCGCGTGGTGTGTTTGTAATATAACAAACAAACTTGTGATTACTCGTATTTTCACTCTCATTTTAATATTTTAATAATTACAAAAAAAACTATGATTATTAGGACACGTGTCTCATGTACTTAGTTTTTATCGTAATGAAAGAAACATTTTCGGTGTGATGTGAATAAAAATTGTGAAATTCAAGCAAACACACGTAATTTTTTGTTTGATTTAATTATTTACTTCGTTTTCTTAATTTGGGCATGACGCAGAGTATAATTTATATGTGTATTAACATATTTTGTTTATTTTGTGTGCGTTATTTATGATTTGTTGTGTTTTCGGGCATAACATTTCATTTCAAAGAATATTTGCTGTAAATATCGTGGTTTTAGTATAAGATATGCATCCTACCTTGTCATCTCGGGATTCTGTAGTGGGTTCAGCTCATATGGACACGACCGGCTCCATTAAACTGAATGTTCTTTCACTACTACTAACCAATAATTTCGATTTTGATTTTTTTGGTTTACGATTTTGATGTCGACGAATACTGCAAAGTTCCGAACAGCAAAATTTCCCCGAAATTTGAAATAAAATGCAGTTTTTCGTGTCCACGATTGTTTATAATGATGAAAACAATTTATTAATTCGAATTAATGTTTCACTTTTATTTTATAACGGTTTCTGAATTAATCAATGTTTATTTCACGTAAATTAAAGAATACCGGCACGAGTTTGATATAAAACTGTTCAACTCTAGTTTGTGTTGTTGTGCGTTGGAATTCGGCACACAAGAATGTAAACAAATCCAATCTATCGAAATCGCGGCGAAGAAGATAAGAACGGATCGCGTGATCGCACACGGACAAGAGTTTGCACTCACTGACACAAACAAATGTTATTTAATGCGAATACGTTTATCGTAGCGCCATCTATGGTTTTATCATGTAGTTATATTTAAATATAATGCACACACAGCGTAAACTCACACGGACACGACTGTTTCGATTAAACTGCATGTAAATTCACTCTCACAAACAAATAGTCAAATTTCGGACGTCCAGAAACATTGCACCGTTATGAAAAGCAAATTTCTGCAACATTTTGAATGTTATTCAGTTTTTTTGAACGAAATTTTTGTATTCACGGTTGTTTATATTTATAAAAACAATTTGTTAAATTGAAATTGTTTCACTTTAATTTTATTATTCTTTAATTTCACGTAAAATAAAAGAATGAACACACCGCACTGATTCAAAACAAAACTGCGAAACGCAATCTTATGTTGTTCTATGAAGATCAGTATAAAGAATGTAAACAAACACAATCTATCTCTACCTTGGCGAAGAAGATAAGAACGCATCGCGTGATCGTGCACAGGGCAAGAATGTGCACGCGCAGAAACAAATATTTATTGCGAATTGTGCATCGTAGCGCCCTCTATACTTCATTCACTGAGTTACATGACACAACATATGATGCTGAAGTGTTTACGTTAGTTTGCGTTTGCGACGATTTGAAAACACTTCCTTGGACAACCGTGAATTTTTAAAATAGTCCTGCCACACTATATTTCCTCCAACAAGTGTCGTTAATAAATCACGGCGATGGCAAAGTCAGGCGACAAGTTTCGTCAAATGGAGGACGAAATGAGCAGGTATGTTTCCAACCTCAACTATTATTATCCATCTTTTATAGTCAATAAAATAAAATATTTTATGTAAATTAAAGATTTGAGGCCGAAATCTCGGGCACTGTGATGGGATACAACAGTTTTAATCTGCCTGGCTTTGGTAATATTCCTCCACCACCAATGCCACCATTATTAGTGCCAAACTCAGTTCGTAGCAAACGAGAATATGTTGCTCCAGCTATGATATCCGCCCAGCCGGCAGTTGTGAGTGCAAAACCGGCACTATACTCTAAACCTAAACAACCTACTGTGTCTGCACCGGTTGCTGTGATGCCTATGCCGAAAATAATTCACCAACCACAGTCAAGCATTGATCTCATGACAATCCAGAATGAAGTAGAGAAGAAACTGAAGAAGTTAAAGAATGAAAAAGTCAGTGCAGAGTTGGCTATATCACAAGGCAAAGCATCTAGTGCCCTGCAATCTTTTGGCCCAGAGGAACACAAGAGAAGAAGTAAAAACAGGAAGTTAATGAGAACTGCAGGTGGCACAACATGGGAGGATCACACATTAAGCGACTGGATTGATGATGATTTTCGTATTTTCTGCGGTGATCTTGGTAATGATGTGACAGACGAGTTATTAACACGGACATTCAATAAATTCCCATCGTTTCTCAAAGCGAAAGTTATCAGAGACAAGCGAACGAATAAAAGCAAAGGGTATGGGTTTGTCAGCTTCAAAGAACCCGGAGATTTTACAAAAGCAATGAAAGAAATGAATGGTAATTATAAATTTATCTCTGACAAGACTAAGTAATTAATATTTATCACTTTCCAACAGGGAGATATGTGGGAAGTCGTCCAATTAAACTACGAAAGAGTTCCTGGAAGAATCGCAGCATAGACGTGGTGCGTAAAAAGGAAAAAGAGAAGCAGACTTTGCTTTCGATGCTCGCATCAGGCAGCAAGTAGACTAGATAATTTAGGTTTTATCTCAAATTGAATAAATGTGTATTGATAATTAAGAATTCGTGCTTTTTGAAAGTATTATTGGCAGTTCTCTCTCACTATTCTTCTCCCGCACCGCCAAAACTAACACGACTTGCATCCCCAGCTTCATATTCATCACCCACAGCTTCACCCTGACTCTCACGTTCATTATAATCAGAAATAGGCGAGTTTGAAGGCCCCGGTCTAACAGGACCTTCCAAATCGCCCTGCGAATGAATCTCAAACCTTCTACGCTGCTCTTCATCATAATTCTCATGTTCATCACCTTCTTGAGTCTTTTTACCGCCGGAATCATATTGTTGTTTCAAATAATCGATTATATCCAGTAAGGAATCTTCAGAGTCCTTGATTGGCACAGCGACAGGATCCGGAGGGATTAAATCTTGTGAATATGGCACTGTGTGTCTCGCACGCCATATTGGAACAATACCCGGGGGACTAGCACGGTCTTCTTCCACTGTCTCTTCTTAATTTGTGATAATATTAATGTTTTTAAATGTTTAAAGGATAAATTACCTTGTGTGACTTCTTGATCTGATGATTCCTGCTCAACGATTAGATTTTCAGCACCGAGATAATCAAACGCCGGATCACGCATGTTCACATAGAATCCGAACTGGATCCATTTTTCTTCAAACGAAAACAAGCCAGGGCCAATTGGTAGATTGCGTTTGAAATAGCCATGATAACGAAAGTCGCATGGATATGTAATTATCCCTGCGCCTTCCATGCGACCATTCTTCCAAACACCTGTATAAAAACAATTTTATTATTTCTGTTAATTATGATTAGTTGTTTACCATAATGTTGAACTTTTTCTTTGATGTAGGAATAAGTTCCTAAGCCATGTCGCCATCCTTTATACCAGGCACCTTCGTAAACATCTCCGTTGAGGTAGTAATAGATACCGTGGCCATGTTTGTTATCCTTCCGCCATTGTCCGACGTATTTAGTAGCGTCTGGATAGCAAAACGTACCGAAACCATGCTTTAAACCTTTGCGCCATTCACCTTCATATCGTGCACCATTACGAAAACAGTACATTCCTTTACCATGTCGCTTTCCTAGCCGGTAATTACCTTCGTAGATATCACCATTTGGTAATAACGCACTACCATAACCATGGCGGTCTAAATTTTCATCACGCGCACCAATATATTCCTATTTTATTACAAAAATTATTAAAATAATGTGTTAAATGTATGAATCTCACCCCAAATGGATATTTATCTGATATAGAATCAAGTGATAGATGTGAATACGATCGAAGACTTGATTGAGAACGGGATTTACATTGATGGAAAGACTGATTTAGTCAAAGCGCATCGATTTAGAGACAATTATTTCGCCCCGGCGTTTTTACAAGAGAATACGTGGAAGTATGATTATCTAATGATGAATATCTACTCGAGAATGGACTATTATGAGTGATTTTGTGCCTTTTTTTTGCTTCTAACTGTAAATATTGATTTAAAATGAATGACAGCATCTGTGATACTAGTTTTTCATCCGAATAATTAAGTCTGAACTGTTAAATATGTAAAATACCATTAGGTAATCATAAAAGTGTGGCTTTATCAAATCATAGATGTTTTTCGCGCACCAATAAATTCCTATTTTATTACAAAAATTATTAAAATAACGTGTTAAATGTATGAATCTCACCCCAAATGGATATTTATCTGATCCTGGACCTTCTCCACCTTCACCACCTTCCGCCATTTTAGTTTATAGACAATATGGCTGACAATTTATGTGTCAATACAAAATAAACCCACTTTGATCAATATTACACATAATAATTTCTTCAAAAGTATTTATATGGTATTCTTTGGTACTCTCCAACAACATACTTCGTATTATTAAGTAAATATTTAGATTTAGAATATTGAATGTCGAATTTGAAGAAAAAGCTACAAATAAGAAGCGCTACACTAAAAATCTCTCTAATATTCGTACTTTATAGGAACTGACAACTCAATTCTCTCAATTTCTGCGTTGTTTTGGTGTTCTGTTTCGAAGCATCTATATAAATTAATATATATTGGTCATAAACAATGTTTTCGTATTGTTTTGTTTGTGCACAACTCAAAACTGGCAACTAAATCGACGTACACCCTGCATGCACATGGCAATTCTTATCAAAATGCAAACTAATCACTAGACTAGTTCGTATTCGGCCTAAATTTATGATATGTCTGTCACATTATCCACGTTTGTAAGATTACTCAACAATTCGCTAGTATTAAATAGTATCAACAATCAACGAAGCATCATTATTCGTTCACGAAAGTAAAAAGAGGAGCAAATATGTACAAACATCGTGGTGGTTGATTCAATCATAGAAATGATGCGCCAGCGGATAGCGAATGGCGAACGCTAGACAGGTACACGCGATCTGAATCCCGATCAATATACTAGTTAACTTCGCCTCGTGCGTGGGCCCTTTCAGTTTGAGCACGAGATTGATCAGCGTGAAATTGTTCGTGATCACCTCATCGCCCTTCGCGTGCCATTTTATCAAACCGAAGGCGCGGAAGAGGTAGAGGATCATCCGGCCCACGCAGCCGACATCACGCACATTGAAACGCGTGCAGCTCATCTCCAGCTTATCAGTCTTCGAGTTGAACTTGGGCAGGCGATGGCGCGGACATGGCACGAGGTGGAACAACTGCGGCACCGAGTAGAGGAAGTTGAACACCTGCGGTATGAAGAAGAGCAGCGTCGTCTTGCTGAAGTGGCCGAGGATGCCAACCACCGCGAATGTCATCCCCGAGAGGTAGCAGAATGTGTCTCCCACGAACACTTTTGATGGATACCTAAAAAAATAAAACATTTATATATAAATCAGCCATTTTGAAAAGAAATTCAACGGTTTTGAATAAAAAGCGATGACGTCACTTGTCACAGGGGATGAAAATTGAATATGCGCACTGGTCGCGATTTGAACATCTCTTGGTGGGGCGGTGGCCAACTTAATAAACAAGCAACAATCATTTAACAATAAATCAAACCGAATTTAAACACCGACGGCGTACATTCAACGACTACGACTTGTTTATTCCACAAACATGCGTCACCAATCGAAACAAATGAACGTCTCTGCAAGTGCGGCCAGCATTAGACCAATGTAAGGTTATGTGCAGCAGTTTTACACACTCATTTACACCCTTGGGAAACAAATTGATAAATGTTCACGCACCGGTGTAGTATACGCAGAGCGACGATATGGCTCATCGCATGCCTTCAACTATTCGTAATCACATCGTACTTCTTTCTACAAGACGCAAATCCGCCAGCAATCAAACCATCAGTACAGTTTCTCACACAACAGTCGAATCTTACAACACAGAAAGGTCCTACATTTTTCACACTATACCAGAACGAAATTCAACTTAATTCAACTCTAACAAGAAGTTATTACATCGACTTTAATTCTTCGTTGTGTTATCACAATGGAACCGATGTAAAACGCATGCAAAGAAGCTACATCTCCTGGAAATGCGAATGCATGCCAAACTATCATGGCAGTGATTGTAGCCAACCAGAAGTTATCTGGCGAGCGCTCCTCGCGTACAGGAAAAGACTACCGCTGAAAGAACGCAGTGAAGACCGCAAAATCATTTACCTCTTTGAAGTGAGTGATATAACAATGACAATCAGTGATATACGAGTATCAGAGCTGAATAATGCAGTGGATCTGTTTATTCTCTATGAAATTGCTTCGAATTCAATGGAAAAACAACTGCGATACGGTTTTCTGAAGCAATATCATCGAAAAATTCTATATTTGAGACTTGACTCTAGAAATGATGTGAAAAACCTATGGAAAACATGTTTAAAACAACTTAAAAGTCTCCAAAATGATGATATCATCATTCATACAGGCAGTAATGAAGTGCCAAACATTGTAGCATTGAAATATCTAAAACTATACGATTTTAAATTCCCTGAACCGATTTTACTACGCTATCGATGGTCGGTTTTCGGTTTCTTCTGGTTACACCCGAACAAAACAAAACTCTCCTCTGCAATTGTAACGGTTAAATATTTAGAGAATATTCTAGATGGAGATGTGACTGAATTGAAAAACACAACCGCTGGGTTCATAATCGGTGATTTAAATCATTTCGGAGGCTGGTTTTGTGAGTTCTGTAACGATCCGGGTAAAATCATCGATGAACTGACGCTGTATAACGATAAATACAAACAGTACAAGAGTTTATTGCTAAACGGCGCGTTGAAACTGAATAATTTATCGAAGAATCAAGTGATAGATGTGAATACGATCGAAGACTTGATTGAGAACGGCATTTACATTGATGGAAAGACTGATTTAGTCAAAGCGCATCGATTTAGAGACAATTATTTCGCCCCGGCGTTTTTACAAGAGAATACGTGGAAGTATGACTATCTAATGATGAATATCTACTCGAAAATGGACTATTACGAGTGATTTTATGCTTTTTTTTTCGCTTTAAATGTGTAAATATTGATTTAAAATGAATGACAGCATCTGTGATACTAGTTTTTCATCCGAATAATTAAGTCTGAACTGTTAAATATGTAAAATTCATTAGGTAATCATAAAAGTGTGGCTTTATCGAATTTATGAAAGTTTTTCACTCACCAGTTGTGTTTTAACAACGCTGCGGATGTGGCGATATAAGGCATCATGAAGTAAATGCTCATTTGGTGCGTCCACGTCTTCGCATCAACTTCGACGAAGTTAAAGAGTAGAATCGAAGCGGCGATGACGATACTCTGACCAACTTCGAGGCCATTCACGCCGGCGAGAATGTTTATTGCGTTTGTACAGAACACGGCCAGCATCCCCATGTACACATAATACAAAATCCCCAAGTTAACAGTCATCCCGAGGTATTCCCGAAACGGCTTCGGTACGACGATTGTCGTCGAGTTGTAATTCACATAATAAACCATCAATAATGGCAGCGAGGCTACTGTAGGCAGCAGGAGTTTATGCCGCCATCGTAGATCCAACACATCATCAGCGAAACCCAACAGCAGCATACAGCATATTGATAATAACGCTGCTATCAGCTCCACGAACTAAAATCAAACAAGTTTTGTTATTTGGACCGTTGTATTGGACATATAAGCAGTTCTTAACCTAAAATCAGCTATGGCTTACTTCATGATGTGGAAACTGGCCACCGGTGAGCGTATCACTGAACGGTATCGGTATGAAGAGGAACATTGTGATTAGGAACATGCATCCGCACACCACGCCGATGGCCTCCGGGCTGAAACAAAACGATGTAGAAAAACAAAGTTTGTTTATACGGTCATAACCTACACTTTATCTTGTGTTGTTTTGCTCATGTCGATGCCGAACAGGTTGGCTTTGATGAACTTGTCGCGGAGTTTCGGGATGAGACGCACCGTCGTCAGGTAGACGCCTATCGACATGAGCGCGTTGATTATCATCGGTAATAACATTTTCCACGGCGTTTCTGGCTCGGCGTCGAGCTCGTCGTCGTCCAGGCCGTCATACGCGCGCGCCATATTTAATATTCTTATCAGGCGAATGCAACACGCAAGCACATGAGTTGGACGCGCAGCTGATTCGTGTCAAGATGAGATTTAAACTCAGCGCTACGCAGACACAAAAAAACTTATCACAATATAAACATCTAGTGTCTAAAATCAACAAAAGTAAGTCTGCGGTATATAAATGGCGATATTTTTCTGTTTATTTGTAACTTTACGGTGTAAACACCCACAGATGGCGCTAGTAGTACCATAATCACATAAATACCAAGACTAAATGAATGATTGCACTCAAACTGATACAAAAGTAATATAAAAAAACAGTTTATAAAATCTTATTGAATTTATGCTAGTCAACTTTAGTTGGTTTTGATGTTTTTGATGGTTTTGAAGGAACATCCTTAGCTGTGCCATAAGCTTTGTAAATATACATCCCCAGTGCAATATGAAGAACAACCACAGCAGCCACAGCTGACCAAACATTCGTTGTCACTGAATCCGTGTGAAACATGCCTGAAACAATCGATTAGCACCTGTTAACCCCATTAATCAGTCATGTGATGGTACCCACCTTGAAAAACTAAGATTTTCGCGATGAAAAACGTCGATATCGGTGCTAAAATGATGAAAATTGAATAACCCAAGACTGTCATGAATGCTGACGTGCTTTGATCCGCCATTTTTATTAATAATTTACGAGTTTCAACAGTTTATTCACGCAAAAGTGCAAATCAGCAGTGGAAACCGAAAGTGAGGCTAGGTTACACTTCTCCTATTGTAAACACTAGTAAACACTACTCTAGTAAGAATTATGTGTAACAGGTGACGCTAGGTGTGTCGTTTATTGAAAATGACATCAAAATCTTCGAAACTTTACAATGGCAGGCCCGAGAACTGTATCGATGTAATTGTACAAATCTTTACACTTTTGCTTGGTATTCACATCACTACTACTGCCCCAAATGATCATTCCATCAGTTCCGTAACTTTTAAAGATCGAAAACGCATTGAGGAGGTCTTCTTCACTCATGAAATTTCTTGTATCGCGATAAACAAACCAAAAGTACGGATAGATCCTCTTATTCTCGCCGAATTGATTTTTTACTCTGACAGCTTCATACACACGTCCTTCCATCAATTGTCTACGTTGATCAGCAGTCAATGATTCACCGAAATACAAAGAAGGATGTAAACTCTGCGAGGAATCAAACATCCAATTTAATCTTAAAAAAAAACATGAAAATTATGATTTTGTAAACGTTTTTTGTCGTTTTTATCTACCTGTCATTATCAGCAACAACTGAATCACTGCAGATTGGTAGATAATCAGGTGATTGCATATTGTAACAATATGGATACGCATAATATCCCCAAATTGCATTCGGGCGAAGTTTCCTTGCGTGTCTAAGAGTGTCTTCGACATATTTCCGACCTTCTAATTCAAAACGTCGTTCGGCTTCTTGTTTCAACTCAGCCAGAGTCCACATTGGATGCAATTCAGCTTCGATTTCCACTGATAAATCTTTGTAGGGGATGAGTGATCCCCAGTTTTGGTTATAAATCGGACGCCAGCTTTCAAAATCAATTACAGCAAGACCTAAAGATTAAAATTCATTAATTTAACTAAATTTATGTTTAAAAAAATGTTTACCAGAGTAATTTATGTCTGGAAAATCATTTTCAACTGCCCGTTGAAACATTTCCAAATGTTTGGTTAGATTTCCCGCTTGCGGTACGCCGCCATTACGTAGAATAGTATAACCTGTTTCGTCATCTGTCAAAATGGCAGGAAAGTTCCCCGGATCGTACATTATGACCATTTTATCGCCTTTGAACGAATCATTTTGATTCGTGATGATGTTGTACTTGGCGTTTAGTTCTTCAAAGAATACTTTCTTGCCACGACATTGGAATGTCGGCACATTCCAGTAGATATTAAATGGTTTATCATACACGTTTATAATACGCGTACTAAATCATTAAAAATTAATTATTGTGGTCAAATATATGAAATAATTATTACCTTTGCGTTGATGTAGTTGTTATAATCATAAAAACACATAATATTAATACACAAATCTTCATCTTTAAATAATTTTTAAGTTTCTGTCAATTTAGAACTTGTTTTAGCGTTTGTATGTGTAAAAACCGAAAATTTAATTGTTGACGTGTTGTGTGCACACCTTTGTATGCCTTTGCGTTAATTATCACCTGGAATTAGTGCGGGAGCAGAACAAAAGCGCGCACATAACTAAAAATCGCTCAGGTGAGTGTTTATATAGTCCGCCCGCTCGATTTACACATGCGTAGATAAAAATAAGCACGAATATTAAAAATTCGATCAAATTCTCTAATTCCGCAAACACTTCCTTGATTTATCTGATAATAGAACCGCGCGTTTGATGTTCCACCGCACTGGATGAATATTTTCGGTGTTTTTTTTTGTTAAAACTGCGAATTAATTAATAATTTCGGGAGAGACTGGTGAAAAATACGAATAATTGGGTCAAGTGCACAGTTTAATTAGTCCACTGCCGGGTGCGGAAGCACTTTCAGTTTTTTTCCGACAATAAATAACCAGACTATGCGGGTACGAAACAAAAGAATTTATTTCTGCGCGTGTGTAGGTTGTAAAATGGCTGTTAAAACTGACTAAATTGTTAGTAATGAATGCGTTTTGCATGTGATCAATATTTATCAACTCCTGCGACTGTTTCATAACAAATTCTTTGATGAATAATTAAATTTACATTAAAATTTACATTTGCAAACACTCGGTATATAATTGTTTGCATGTGCATCGTTTCGTAACATTTCTGGTAACGTGTTAAGCGTTGTTCGTTGTTGCGTCACAGTGAATGCATTCTTCACTTAATTTTTTTGCAATAATTACATTACAGCCTACATTAAAATGCAATTAGTGTTTATCAGTTAAATTTCTAATCTATTCCATTGATTATTGATGTGTTCCTCCATTTTGTGTCAGGTTAACTTCTCCATGATACATTTCTCTCGTTCCACGGCTTGTTTACACTCATCTTCTTGCTGATTATCTTCTTCACAGATTGCAACAGCTTCTTTTACTTTCTCTGCGTTATTAACATAAATTTTCAACAGGTTAGCGTTGATATTATTACGTACATCAATGCGTTCCATTTTGATTAACATACAGCGATTGTAACACGATAAATTATCATCGGTGAGATTCATCATGCTTTTCGGCATTGTTTCCGTATCAATATAAACAGATGTTTCATTAGCGCATACTTCAGCTAATACTTTGATCCCGACGGCTTTAAACACGCAGAGATTGTAGCTTTGCGCACGTTGACAGGGTTCGAGTTTCATTGTTTCTTCATTGCAAACAATCGCAACGTTTCTGATGTTTGGTGGAATGTTTTCTGTGTTGAAAACGCCATCTATGTTGATTATATTGACTTTTTCAAGGATACATCTGTCCATACAGGCTAAATTTGACAGCGTTTGATCTTCAAGTGAGGTTATGTTCAGTTTGTACAAACATTGTTCTCGTAATTCAGTGTAGAGTTTGATTTCAGCTGATATTTCTTCATCACAGAGAATATTCTGTTAAAATAAGAAAATTAATATTGAAATTAACATACTTAACCTATAATATTACCTTTGTAGATATTGTCAGTAAAATGATGAGGATAAGTTCCCGTAAGTTGACTACTTTACAAGGAATCATTATTACTGACTGACTGTGATACTCACACTGTCTGGCTTACTATGAGTTCTTTTATGCGTCAGTTAAAATTGATTGCATTAAGTGGTCGTAGTGAGAGTGAGGTTAATTCAATCAAATCAGCGCGACTGGGGCTGAGAATCATGCATGTTTTATTAATAAACTTTATTTTCATATAGACTCTGCATAATTATAACTCTGAATACAATGATTACACAATTACAATATCGATGACAATGAAAAGGACCACTAGGAGACATTTTTGACAATCAAATCTGATACATTGAACAATCAAAGGCACACCTCACTATTAATAATGATATTGAATTCAATTTCATTTGATAAACAGCATGAAATGGCGCAAAATGAGATTTTTAAAGTTATTTACGTATGTGATAAGTTGCAATAAGCAAAGAATTGAGTAACATTTCATCTCTCGGATTTCCGCTGTAACTAGCCTATCTTATTAAGAATAGTTTGTAGAATAGTCTCTGCGATTTGTACCTATTTATCTCTTTTAGTTTTCGAGATATTCGCGATTGAATAAAATGGGCAAAAATTGAAAAATGTCACTTTTTAGCACTTTTAGTCGCGTTTTTCGACCTTTTACTGTAGGAAATGTAATAGTTTTATATTTTTATCTGATAGACAATCTTCCAATCTTTCATAATCAACAATTCGTTGGTAGCTATCTCTTTTAGTTTAAGAGATATGAATTTTTGAAAATCGTCGAAAAAAAGTATCAAGCACCCCCCCTTGGCAATTTTTTCTTAAGACTTAAAATTTCATCTCTCAGATTTCGGTTTTAACTATCCTATCTGATAGAGATTGGTCCGTAGATTAAGACGCTGCGATCAGATCTTATTTATCTCTTTTAGTTTACGAGATATTCGCGATTGAATAAAATGGGCAAAAATTGCAAAATGTCACTTTTTAGCACTTTTAGTCGCGTTTTTCGACCTTTTACTGTAGGAAATATAATTATTTTATATTTTTATCTGATAGAGAATCTTCCAATCTTTCATAATCAACAATTCGTTGGTAGCTATCTCTTTTAGTTTAAGAGATATGAATTTTTGAAAATCGTCGAAAAAAAGTATCAAGCACCCCCCCTTGGCAATTTTTTCTTAAGACTTAAAATTTCATCTCTCAGATTTCGGTTTTAACTATCCTATCTGATAGAGATTGGTCCGTAGATTAAGACGCTGCGATCAGATCTTATTTATCTCTTTTAGTTTACGAGATATTCGCGATTGAATAAAATGGGCAAAAATTGCAAAATGTCACTTTTTAGCACTTTTAGTCGCGTTTTTCGACCTTTTACTGTAGGAAATATAATTATTTTATATTTTTATCTGATAGAGAATCTTCCAATCTTTCATAATCAACAATTCGTTGGTAGCTATCTCTTTTAGTTTAAGAGATATGAATTTTTGAAAATCGTCGAAAAAAAGTATCAAGCACCCCCCCTTGGCAATTTTTTCTTAAGACTTAAAATTTCATCTCTCAGATTTCGGTTTTAACTATCCTATCTGATAGAGATTGGTCCGTAGATTAAGACGCTGCGATCAGATCTTATTTATCTCTTTTAGTTTACGAGATATTCGCGATTGAATAAAATGGGCAAAAATTGCAAAATGTCACTTTTTAGCACTTTTAGTCGCGTTTTTCGACCTTTTACTGTAGGAAATATAATTATTTTATATCTTTATCTGATAGAGTTGAAGTTGATAAATATTTTCAAAGGTTAGATGGCGCTATGATGTACGGTTTTGCATTAAATATTGCTTGTTGGTGGTAGTGAGTGCACACCGTGTCCGTGTGGATCACGCGATTTCGCGCAAGAGATAAGTTTGTTTACCTGCAGGTATCGAATCTTTATTTCGTGGAATCAAAACGCACCGTTGCTGTTTATTATATTAGGATCGTAATTTTAAGCAAATATTCTTCAATTCTTTCATGAATCTAACTAACAATTTTGTTTTAATTCTAATACATTTTTATTATCTGCAGATGATTACGGACTAATGTGTTCCCTGGTAAAGGAAAAACGATGCATGTTCAAATTAAATATCTCTTAAATATTTGATTTAAAATCTGGCACTCTGTCAGCATAAGAAATCAGAATTACGCAAATCGAATTTTAATTTTTTATTATCTTTAATAATCTAAATTTCGAAACTACTGTATCATTTATAGATGGCAATAGCATGGACTAAAAATTGTAAAATAAAGCATTGTGTTTGTTGGAACACAATATACACTTTCTTATCGCATTGCCGTGTGTCGTCGTTGCCAGCACCTCACGCCGCATGTTGCTGCATCTTAGTTTAGTTTTGATCCCAGGTAAACTGCCAAATGCAATTCGCGCATAAGGTCGCGTTCCATCGACGCGCCGCCGAGTTTGCGCATCTATTGCAATTCACGCACAAGGTCGCGTGTGATCGACGCGCCGGCTTTGCGCACCTCTTGTTTTCTTATCATAAACTGCCTCGTCGTTGCTTATGCAGCTTGCGGCCAGTTTTGTGCCGGTCGCTGGTTGATCCAGACGTATTTTGCGCGACTCGTATTGTTTATCCGGACTTCTACTTTCCAATTCGAATTATATTCAATCATCAATTGACTATTTAATTTTAACTTGACTTTAGTACAACTTTAGTATTGTTATTTATTATTTGCGCGTAAGTGTATCGCGGCTATGTTGTTTACCTGTTGTGAAGTGCCGTCGGCCATCTTCCAATTGGTAAGAATTGGAATAACATTGGACTTTATTTAAAGTTAGAATGATAAATGTAATTGATTTAGTTTTCCATTCTAAGCGTCTGTCAGTATCCGATATAACGTCGCGTTCGCCGTGCATGTGTTTGCCTTTCAGGCGCATCATGGCCGCCGCCGGTATCTCAGCTCTGTTGCAAACAATACGGTCTTAAAACCTAATTAATACAGTAAATTCATAAATTGCATCTTTTATTAAATTCAAATTAAAATCTAAGCCTTTCTAACTTGTGCCGATATTGCCAGCTAGCATTGTGTTCAATCTTCTGACTATTGACGCTTATCGGTGTTTATTTACAACTAGTGTGTTCTTATCTCGTTCGCCGTGTGGAATGCACCGTGCACACACATTTCGACAACAAACATCGTGTTTTGATGCACGAATTGATAACATTCTTTTATTTTGCATTTGTATAACATGTTTTAACTTTTATTCATTTATTATAGTAATTGAAGAAATACCAGTGAGGGCCAGTGACGTTCCATGAGTTACAATACACAGGGTGAGAGTTCATGGGTGAGATTATAATTAAATTCTTCATTTCATGGGCATAGTTCAGTTTCGCGTCATTGTAATTGTCTTTCCGGTTTGAATTAATATAAATTTAATACATTGCCCGCCTGGGAAATGCTTATTTTTACCGATGTTTAATGTTTACACTGGAATGCCCCTGATATGCGAATTTATTGACATTTCTTTTCGGTTTGCTCCCCCGACTGATGTGAGATGCTAGGCCGGTTGGTGCATGAAAATAAAACAGATAAAAATATATTTATTCCGTACCCTACTACTTGCACACGAGAATTGTTTGACTTCTACTTATTTATCGGTGTTAGTATTTCTATTCTTTTGATTAAATATTTCATTGAATTATTTTGATTTGTTCTTACCGCAGTTTTACTTGATCGGGAATTTCCCTTCAGTACAGTTCAACCATTTTCCAAATTTCGAGTTTTGTAGTGTCGATTCATGCGAACAATTCTGGTTTTAATGCAAATCCATTCTCTGATATGTTTCCTACTTGGCATCAATACTTGTTCTACGATTCTCAATCTCAGGATTTGCACTCCTGGTAAGTCTCATCATATTTTTATGTACTTAGTATATGTACAGTATGGATGTATGTTTGATACTTCTGATTGTCAGTATTAGGTATATTTTTGTATATTTCCGTTATTCTATACGAACTCGGCGACCTAGTAACTTCAGCGGGGCATCAAAAAAAGCAGAATTAAAATCTCCGCCGGGTGGTATTTGTTAGCGGTAGAAGTGACTCGATTCAGGGCACCTTACGAGGCTAGCGGTAAAAGTGACTCGTGTTCAGGGCACCGTAGGAACCCGCGAAAATTTGAATGAAAGTTGTGTTTCGCTAGGAATTGTAGTTTTTTTGTTATAACTGGCGAACGCGGTGTCATAATTGGTTCGGATTAATTTTCCCAGATGCAGAATTTAATTTTGCATCTCCCAGTATAAAAATGTTTTGCTAGAAAATTCCGTAACGCGAGTTATAGTGAAAGTTGTGTTTGCGCCGTAGTACGCGTCGCGCTAGGAATTGTAGTTTTTTTGTTATAACTGGCGAACGCGGTGTCATAATTGGTTCGGATTAATTTTCCCAGATGCAGAATTTAATTTTGCATCTCCCAGTATAAAAATGTTTTGCTAGAAAATTCCGTAACGCGAGTTATAGTGAAAGTTGTGTTTGCGCCGTAGTACGCGTCGCGCTAGGAATTGTAGTTTTTTTGTTATAACTGGCGAACGCGGTGTCATAATTGGTTCGGATTAATTTTCCCAGATGCAGAATTTAATTTTGCATCTCCCAGTATAAAAATGTTTTGCTAGAAAATTCCGTAACGCGAGTTATAGTGAAAGTTGTGTTTGCGCCGTAGTACGCGTCGCGCTAGGAATTGTAGTTTTTTTGTTATAACTGGCGAACGCGGTGTCATAATTGGTTCGGATTAATTTTCCCAGATGCAGAATTTAATTTTGCATCTCCCAGTATAAAAATGTTTTGCTAGAAAATTCCGTAACGCGAGTTATAGTGAAAGTTGTGTTTGCGCCGTAGTACGCGTCGCGCTAGGAATTGTAGTTTTTTTGTTATAACTGGCGAACGCGGTGTCATAATTGGTTCGGATTAATTTTCCCAGATGCAGAATTTAATTTTGCATCTCCCAGTATAAAAATGTTTTGCTAGAAAATTCCGTAACGCGAGTTATAGTGAAAGTTGTGTTTGCGCCGTAGTACGCGTCGCGCTAGGAATTGTAGTTTTTTTGTTATAACTGGCGAACGCGGTGTCATAATTGGTTCGGATTAATTTTCCCAGATGCAGAATTTAATTTTGCATCTCCCAGTATAAAAATGTTTTGCTAGAAAATTCCGTAACGCGAGTTATAGTGAAAGTTGTGTTTGCGCCGTAGTACGCGTCGCGCTAGGAATTGTAGTTTTTTTGTTATAACTGGCGAACGCGGTGTCATAATTGGTTCGGATTAATTTTCCCAGATGCAGAATTTAATTTTGCATCTCCCAGTATAAAAATGTTTTGCTAGAAAATTCCGTAACGCGAGTTATAGTGAAAGTTGTGTGCCATTTGCCGCATGCAGCACATTCTAATATAGTTTAGATCGCATATATGTACCATGCCAAATGTAAAAATGGCTAAATTTTTATTCGATCAACAGTTGATTATTCAATTGTAATTCGCAAATATAGTATTGTTATTTACTATTGCCGCGTTTAATGTACATTATTGATCAAAAGTGGTGATGCTTTTCGTGTTTTGTATGCATACTTATGCAAGTTGTTTTAACTTATGTTTTTTTTACAGTATTCGCCGTAGTCCGATGTAGTCCGATGAGTTCTTCATTGACGTAAACGTTAACGCTACCCTTTTACGGTGCCCTAAGTTACACCTTCTACCGCTACCTTCGTACGGTGCCTTGAATGGGAACTGGGAACTTGGACTGGAGAGGTTTCGCAGTACTGGTGGAGTGCGTATTGAGGATGATGTTTTGTTTACTGAAGGTGGATGTGTCAACTGGACTAAAATACCCAGAACGTATGTTATATTTTTGCAATTTATAATATTTTATATTTTATTATCCTGTTATTCATTCTGATTTATAGAGTCCAAGAAATTGAAGATTGGATTGCCGGTGTTAATAATGATTCCAAAAACGATTTAATGAATTTACAACATTTTTAAGCTGTTATTGATATCATTTTTGTTTATTATGTTAAAAATTGTAAAAAGAGCATTGTATAATTACATGTATATATTGAGAAATTGAGTTACTGATGGGTGTATATTCTACATGTTTGAATAAAATTGTTGTTTTATACTTTTAACTATAAATTTTTATTGTTTTATTTGTTCCAAACGGAGAACATAGCTTGCAACATCGTTACTCCTTTAATTAATCCATAAAACCCTTAAACTTTAATGGAAATGCCACTGCTAGATATGAGAAATAGTTCAAAATCAATTTTATATTGTATCAATATTTATTTAAAAACGGTATCACTAGTGTCATCTATCCACGAGTAACTAAACTACGCCCGCTATTCAAGATTGCTGGAGATTTAGCCTCCTCAACTTTCTGCGATCCTAATATTCAAAAGAATTTTGTCACCAATTTCAATGGATTTCTCGACAAAATTTGTCGAGAAATTTGCTGAAATGTTGCTGCTCATCAGTCTGTAGTATTAGGAACGCAGAAAGTGGACATAGCAGTTCCCGGCAAATTATTATATATATTATTTCAGTTTGTTTCGGTACATATTCAATTTTTTTTATGAAATTGCAAATAGGGCCTAAGCAGTTAATGCTAGCAAAAAAATACCAAACTAATTGATGTAGAATTAAATTGTCTATCACAATTCGAAAACAGAATTCAAAAATTCCAACTTTTAATTTTCATCATAAAAAAGAGAAATCTTTTGCCTTTTTTATAACAAAATCTTTTCTTTAAATTTTTTTTGTGTCATTTTGATGATTTTTCAATAATGATGCCACCTTGTAGGGAATTTTTCAAGGATCAATATTATGTAGTTCTTAATTTTCTAGCCCTCTTAGTTGTCGAGATCCTTCAGAATTTGAAAACCGAATTTGCTGAATAAAGATTTTTAAAAATTCATTTTACCCGCCATTACTAGTTACCGCCTCTTTCATTGACATACCTCCTCACCCTTTCTGCGATCCGAATACCAAATCCTGAGTTTCGACTGTTTCGAGTCCAAATTTTGTGTGATTTTGCCTCCCAGAGTCGACAAAATAAAGATGGAATATTAGGATCGCAGAAAGTTGAGGAGGCTGATAAAGTTTTCGCGGTAACTAGTAATGTGCTGCCTCTGGTGGCGACGGACCGAAGCTCAACACTTTCGGTTGTTGTAGTTTCTAATTGACAGATGGCACTAGCATGCACTTTTTAAAATAAATGGTTTAAGAAATCGTTAAATATGTGATCAGGTAGAAATAACAGAAATAATTTTAATTAGAAAAATTTAAAAATATTCTTTATTAAAGAAAACACACAAGCATAAATGTTGGGAGACAATTTGTGTAATAATTACAAAAGTTATTTAAGATAATTTAATACTAACAATCTGATGCAAGAATGGTCCTTCTACGATGTCAGACTCAGGTGCAAAATCCCTAAAACCATCAAAAATTAGTCCTTCGAACATAAAAATGCAATTTTGGGGGTCAATTTGTGAGATAATCACAAAAGTTATTTAGGAAAATGATAAAGAAATTAATTACTTACAATCTGATACCAGAATGGTCCTTCTACGATGTCAGACTCAGGTGCAAAATCCCTAAAACCATCAAAAATTAGTCCTTCGAACATAAAAATGCAATTTTGGGGGTCAATTTGTGAGATAATCACAAAAGTTATTTAGGAAAATGATAAAGAAATTAAATACTTACAATCTGATACCAGAATGGTCCTTCTACAATGTCAGACTCAGGTGCAAAATCCCTAAAACCATCAAAAATTAGTCCTTCGAACATAAAAATGGAATTTTGGGGGTCAATTTGTGAGATAATCCCAAAAGTTATTTAGGAAAAGGATAAAGAAATTAATTACTTACAATCTGATACCAGTATGGTCCTTCTAGGATGTCAGACTCAGGTGCAAAATCCCTAAAACAAGCAAAAATTAGTCCTTCGAACATAAAAATGCAATTATGCATGCGCAGCGCATGCATAAATGATGGATTGAACCGGTAAATGCGCTTAAGTGCAAACGCGCCCATTCTTGCAAATTTTCGAGGGTTGCAGGTCGAATTCCTGCACCAAACAAATACCACCCGACCGAGAATTTAATTCCGCATCTCTAAACACCACGCTGAAGTTAGTGAACCGTCTAGATTGCGCCTAAACCCGAAAAAATACAAACATTTCACATGAAATGGAGAAAAATTCTTCCTGTTATGCGAATTTTCGTTCAGGTACTGTCACTTAAGTCGTATCGCTGGGCGTGAGTTCACACGGCAAGAAGATTGGCGGAGGTAAACAAATAAACTGATGAAAACACAATGTGACGTACAAAATCGCGTGATCTTACCGGGCCCGCAATTCGCCAACTTAGGCGATGTGCACTCACTACTACCAACAAACAAGCTGCAATAGGCGAATGCAGAATTTTAATATGCATTTGCATATTCTAGCGACACAATTTAGTGTCGCTTTAAAGGTGGAAGTAAAAAAAAATAAATGTAATATGCGGGTAGCAATTAATTTAATAAAGTTAATAAAAATTCAATAATTTTAAAATTTATTTCGCGTGATCGGAATCGACAAGACGATCAAGCAAGTTGAAAAACGTACTCGTATATGTTGAAACGTAATGACTATGGAAAAACGAGTGAATTTTTACAAGGATACAATTATTTATTCTCAAACTTACTAGAAAATGACTGCAGGTTATATCCAGTTGCAATTCCCAGTATCGAGTTTAGTCAATTGCCGTCGGACTTCACACGCACAAATGAAGACACGAGTTTTATAATCATTTCACGCACAAACTATCGTTAGCACTTTACGCGTCGAAACTGCGTCGTCGATTACCGATAAGATTTAATGCAATTTATTGAAATGAAATGAAAACAAGGTGACGAACAGCGCGTAGGCAACAAGAGACTGATACGTCCGCGGCCAGTACCATTGCAATTCGCGCACAAGGTCGCGTGGCATCGACGCGCTGGCTTTGCGCATCTATTGCTTGTATCTGACGAGTTTATACAGCAGGCACAGGGTCCTATTGTGAACTGTCGCATTCTTGTGTGTGCAGTTTTGGCTTGCTCTATTGATGGATTGCAGCTAGTTTCGTGCAGGTCTCTGCCGCTTATTTTAGCGAGCTAGCTTATTTTATAGAGAATTGTCCGTAGATTAAGACTCTGTCATTCGTTCCTTATTATCTCTTTTAGTTTACGAGATATTCGCGATTCAATAAAATGGATAAAATTTGAAAAATGTCACTTTTTAGCACTTTTAGTCGCTCTTTTCGACCCTTCACTGTAGGAAATATAATTATTTTATATTTTTATCTGATAGAGAATCTTCCAATCTTTCATAATCAGCGATTCGTTGGTAGCTATCTCTTTTAGTTTAAGAGATATGAATTTTTGTAAATCGTCGAAAAAAAGTAACAAGCACCCCCCCTTGGCAATTTTTTCTTAAGAATGAAAATTTCATCTCTCCGATTTCCACTTTAATTAGCCTATCTTATAGAGATTTGTCCGTAGATTAAGACGCTGCGATCGGATTTTATTTATCTCTTTTAGTTTACGAGATATTCGCGATTGAATAAAATTGGCAAAAATTGCAAAATGTCACTTTTTAGCACTTTTAGTCGCTCTTTTCGACCCTTCACTGTAGGAAATATAATTATTTTATATTTTTATCTGATAGAGAATCTTCCAATCTTTCATAATCAACATTTCGTTGGTAGCTATCTCTTTTAGTTTAAGAGATATGAATTTTTGAAAATCGTCGAAAAAAAGTATCAAGCACCCCCCCTTGGCAATTTTTTCTTAAGACTTAAAATTTCATCTCTCAGATTTCGGTTTTAACTATCCTATCTGATAGAGATTGTTCCGTAGATTAAGACGCTGCGACCAGATCTTATTTATCTCTTTTAGTTTACGAGATATTCGCGATTGAATAAAATGGGCAAAAATTGCAAAATGTCACTTTTTAGCACTTTTAGTCGCGTTTTTCGACCTTTTACTATAGGAAATATAATTATTTTATATTTTTATCTGATAGAGAATCTTCCAATCTTTCATAATCAACAATTCGTTGGTAGCTATCTCTTTTAGTTTAAGAGATATGAATTTTTGAAAATCGTCGAAAAAAAGTATCAAGCACCCCCCCTTGGCAATTTTTTCTTAAGACTTAAAATTTCATCTCTCAGATTTCGGTTTTAACTATCCTATCTGATAGAGATTGGTCCGTAGATTAAGACGCTGCGATCAGATCTTATTTATCTCTTTTAGTTTACGAGATATTCGCGATTGAATAAAATGGGCAAAAATTGCAAAATGTCACTTTTAGCACTTTTAGTCGCGTTTTTCGACCTTTACTGTAGGAAATATAATTATTTTATATTTTTATCTGATAGAGAATCTTCCAATCTTTCATAATCAACATTTCGTTGGTAGCTATCTCTTTTAGTTTAAGAGATATGAATTTTTGAAAATCGTCGAAAAAAAGTATCAAGCACCCCCTTGGCAATTTTTCTTAAGACTTAAAATTTCATCTCTCAGATTTCGGTTTTAACTATCCTATCTGATAGAGATTGGTCCGTAGATTAAGACGCTGCGATCAGATCTTATTTATCTCTTTTAGTTTACGAGATATTCGCGATTGAATAAAATGGGCAAAAATTGCAAAATGTCACTTTTAGCACTTTTAGTCGCGTTTTCGACCTTTTACTGTAGGAAATATAATTATTTTCTATTTTTATCTGATAGAGAATCTTCCAATCTTTCATAATCAACAATTCGTTGGTAGCTATCGCTTTTAGTTTAAGAGATATGAATTTTTGAAAATCGTCGAAAAAAGTATCAAGCACCCCCTTGGCAATTTTTCTTAAGAATTAAAATTTCATCTCTCAGATTTCCGTTTTAACTATCCTATCTTATAGAGAATGGTCCGTAGATTAAGACGCAAGTTGGCGAATGCTGAAATAAATGAGAAACAAAACATTAGCTACAGCATTTCGTGCTCTGTTGAAACGAATCTGCATTCCGTCGGAACCCAAACTTTGAATTAAAATTCTTGTTATTCGCATAATAATCATAGGAATGGCAATATTTACCTGGTAGCACATTGATCCATGCTTCTCTGTTGATGACAAATATGTTTTTCACAAGTCAATTAATTATTAACATTCACAGCGTTGATATTTTCATCTGACTCACGAACACGTCAATAAATAAATCATGCAAAATTTACAATTACGAAGATTACACACGGATAAATAGCTGATAGAAGCTCAAACAAGTTTATTAACACTAATTATCACCGGCGATCAGGAAATATAACACGATTTACCGAATTTACATCAAAGAATAACACAAGTCGAAAGTGTGGAATGTGCGCTCGTCGTTATCGCACCGATTGAACAAAACAAAATTCTCTCGCTGGAATATTTCGTGGTAAACCTACATCGTTACGCCATCTGAGAACACCTTATAGTACCTCACAAAACAACAAAGTGTTTCAAACAGTGTGGCGCGCATGTGTGTCAGTGCGAAATTGTCTATGAGGCAGTGAGTGGTCACGCACTTAAATAGCAGCGTACGTGTGAGATACGTACAAGAAAGTGCGCATGCATCACACTGTCTAAATGACTAGAAAATTTACACAAAAATACAATAAGTCAAATCTAGATGACGCATGATGTTCAAATGTAATCTATCAAACAAACACAGATCACAGACTGTTAAGTCCTTAAATTGACATGATGACGATGATGATGACACACAAATCAAATGCGAATTCTTGCAACAAATAAATACAACCCGACGGAGAATTTAATTCCGCATCTCTAAACACCACGCTGAAGTTATAATAAGCCATATTGTTCTATATATCCCTACTAATATTATAAATGTGCAAGTCCTGATGTTTGTTACACTTTCACGCAAAAACTACTTAACCGATCATCATGAAAATTTGTACACATATTCTTAGTGGTCCCCGAATGGTTATAGGCTACTTTTTATTTAATAAAAAAATTATTTTTGAAATAAAATAAAGAAATAGTTTAGCCAATAATACCTCTGCATCTGGCTATTTGACTACTTTAACGCCATCTAGCATTCCAGCAATGAAGCTCAAACCTAAGTACTATGGCACCATCACACTGTATTATCACACTGTATTACCGACAGCTACGTCAACATCAAATCCAATTGACTACACTATGGAGACTGTACACTATACTTCCATAGACTATACTTTCAGCCATTTTAAACTTCCCGCCATTCTACTTCATTGTTACTTCTTCTGTGACTACAGACGCGTACGGAAGCAACTTCATTATTTTAGATATTCGCGAGCGAAGCCAAGGGTTAAAGCTAGTCAGTTTATATATTTATATCCTTTAATAACCATGATTGCAATTTTCTAAAGTGATCTCCCTTGAAAAATCTCAACACACAGTAGCCACAAGCATGATTTCCTGGTTTCTCCCTCAAACAGTATAAAAACGAATGAGTTTTAAATGAAATTTGTAAGATATTACAATTGTTTTATTAATAAACTTTATTTTCATATATACTCTGCATAATTATAACTCTGAATACAATGATTACACAATTACAATATCGATGACAATGAAAAGGACCTCTAGGAGACATTTTTGACAATCAAATCTGATACATTGAACAATCAAAGGCACACCTCACTATTAATAATGATATTGAATTCAATTTCACTGGATAAGCAGCTTGAAATGGCAAAAATGAGATATTTACGTATTTAATAAGTTGCAATAAGCAAAGAATTGAGATTTGCTTGACACTCTTGCAATGGAAGTTCTGAATACACATCAAAATGGCGTAGGTTGTAGGAAATTGTAAGTTTCGTATGTTTTACATTTGGTGTACTACTCCTATTAAGGCTAATCTCACACAAATTGGTCGATTTGTATCCGTAGATGATATATTTCTATGTGTTTCTCATCGGGATCATATTTTACCAAAAATATATTCGATTTCAAGTCAATTCCGTGTCTCAATCAGGCATTTTCTCATCTTTCCATGAATTCTCCACCAAAAAAACACAAACAAAACAATAATTTCATAAATAATCGTAATTATAAATTATAATACAATAAAATACAATAGATACAATAGAATATGAAATATTAAATAAGCATAACAAAAATATATATCTTATAGATGTAGATATAGAGAATATATAGATATATTTAATATGATTATAAAGAATATTTTGTTTAAGGCTTTGTTTCCATTCGTCGGTCAATTCCGTCTCAATCTCGCTTAAGTCATATTATCACCATTCAGTTCCATAACATTTAAAAACGCTGAATTCTTAAATTCTTAGATCTTTCAAAAAATACTTTCGGTTTCCCCTTGGTTCTGAGTCCTTCGCATCCTGATCCTGACTAAATATACCATGCGTATACAATCTTTTCATCTTCACATATTAAAACCTAACAATAAAATACTTTTTCTTTTTTTTCCGAACTTTTCTTGAGATGATCCTAACATTAAGTAGTACAGTGAGAACGTAAACATATTATAAACATGAACATATCAATAAACTAATCAATAACATTTATATAACTAGCATAGAATTTGGTAATTGGTAATTAATGTGTAACTCGCAATAGAACTCTCTTTGTTTATATCGTAAATATAAATATTAATGATAGAAATTCAATTTCCGTTTCAAAATGGTAACTATGGTGAGCTGTGTGTGTGTGTGTGGCTCGTAAAAAGTGCAACAAAAGCACAACACGAATAAGTTAAATAACAGGCACCGTTTTGTTTCACTCTCAGACGATTTTCTCACCGAAACCGATCTCATTGTTATTGTTGTTGCTTAAATTCGACGCGATCTCCGCCAGAGTGTTCAACCCCGACATGTCATTCTCAAACGCATTCACAGCTGTGTTATTCTTCAAATGTGTGATATTATGCTTGTTTTTTCTCTTCTTGGACCCGGTTTGCTTCTCAACCGCGTTGTTTAACCTCACTTTACCGTTAACATTCACAACCGGTGACTTTTTATCCAGTTCTGCGTCGGTATAGGTCCTTTTTTGATTTTTCACCTCGTTATTTTGATTCCCCGCCGGGTTTTTCTTCTGTTTTTGTGCTTTGGTGTTACCTTTGGGCACTTTCCGCTTTTTCATCTCTTTTTTACGCTGTACATAAGTATCGTATGATAAATTAGGCAATTCACTAATCCGTGCGTCCAAATCAAACGAAGGAACTGCTTTGGAGAAGTCAGCAATGTCAGACATTTCAGAAATCTCCGAAATAGTCCTTACACGTTTATCTAGTTCAGCTTCTTGGTTATGTATAGTGACAACAGCGCCATCTAGGTTATTGTCACTTACATTTGTGTCATTTTTTACAACTGTATTAGTCAACAAACGATCCTGCAGCTTTTTAATCGTCGATTTCAATTCTAATTGATTCGAATTGCCTGCTGGTTGACTTTGATTTTGTCCCGCGTCGTTTGGAAGCTTATCAGTACTGGCGCGTTTATTCTTTATCAACTTACCATTCGCCATTATATCCGCATATCTATTACCCTTACCTTTGCGATACGACTTTCTTCCATTACTACCCACATCCTGCTCATCAATACTCACAAAATCTTGATTTTCTGTCTCCTCGAATAAATTCCTAACCAATTTTTGTTGATGCTTCACATCCAAGTCAACAATACGTTTCTTGAAAGGTTTCGGTGGATCAGAGACATCTATATGATCCGATTGTGAGCTAGGCGTGGTGGTTGTAGAGTTTTCAGAATCATTGGCTTTCGGAGAATAACTGGCTGTGAAGAGGGAAGATAGCATACCAAGCTGTGTCTCATCAGCAAGTTTACCAGGCGTGAAATCACCCGAAGGAGTTGCACTAGTTGTGCAATTGACAACGATATTCGCTTCTTTTGAACTGATAGATACAGGGCTTACAGGCGGTGAGGTTTCCACTTTCGTCGGACGAGTTGGTAGTGTGCGCAGAGGGGGCGCTGGCAGTTTGTACCATTTAAAATCAGGATTCGCGTTGAAAAAGGCATCTTTATACTGAAAAACAAAAAAAACATAAATTCAAGGTTAAAACTCACAGGTTATGTTTGGTTACCTGTTTGGCCAATTTCGTATAAGGATCTTTATCCTTCAAATCCAACAGAGACCACCATTCGCCCAGAATACGCGTAACACCACGATTTTCAAGCGTCGGGAAAATTTTACGCACAATCGGTCGGTGTTTCTTGCAGAAAATCAGGAACGCGTTCATTGGGCGACGCGCATGATGCGATGGGGAAGCATTGGTGTCATTGGCGTCCATGTTGTCATTCGCGTCATCATTGGATAACTTTTCTACTTCCACAATCTTACAATTGTTACTACCGCTGTTGCTATCATCGGAATCATTCTTCTCTTCGGTCAAACACACATTCAAATCGTGATTGACGAGCTGATTGTTGTTGTTGTTCAAACAGGCCCACGTAGTCTTCACCTCTTTCATCTCCGCCATCTTGGTACCATTATTCATGTTGTTGTTGTTGTTGTTATTGTTATTATTGCTGTTGGTAATGTTGAAGTTGTTCTTCCAGATCTGGTTGACATTCTTGGCGTCGATGGGCATCGGGTGTGAAGTCGTCATGATTATATTTTTTGTTTAAAAGTCGTAGTTTAATGCATCTGAAACATAATGACTCGTTATGGAAGTATTTCGGTTATGTGTTGAAGTGTAACAAAGAAGGAGAGATAAAATGCATAAACACAGGGTGTTTGGCGCAAACAAATAAACAATCAAAACAAATTCGACTGAAACTTGTTTATGTTTTAAGCATTAAGCTATTTTCAAACTGATAACACGCAAATGTTTGTTTTATGCAGTTTGTTTTCTCAAGTGATAACCGTATCAATTTGTTATTTAATTAAATGTGAACTTAAACTTAAAAATTCATTCAGAGATAAATGAATGATAAAATACCACGATAAAAACTAATAAAACAAAAAACAAAAGAAGTCAAACAACTTTTGTTTCGATTTCCGCCATTTTACGAACGCACACCATTAGTACACACTTATAATCACACAAAAAGTGAACGATATGTTGAAATATTGCATTTTACGTATTCAATTGTCCAAAAATCCTACGCATCTGTCGTCCATGTTGATTATGACCATACGTTACGAATGTGTGCGTATTGGTCGTAATACTTGGAGATTTGCTACCATTTGTCGTGTGTTTACCGAAAAAAACTGAAATCACACGTAAACAACGCCCAAATTTGTCTTAAATTTACCTAAGAAGACATTTTGACATAATTTGGTCAAGGTTATCAAAGATTACAATCAAAAAACTTTAAATTAATCAAAAAAAATTGTAAAATTTAATTAAAACTTGTATATTTTTGATGGTAAATCATTTACAGATGCGTTTAAAATTGATTTTTTGCTTCTTCAAGCGTTTATACGTAATTGATTGCGAAACGTCCTAGTTTCTAACACTTTTGAAGACTTTCTCGCCTCGAAAATCAACGCATACACACGAGATACCAAAGATCTCTAATTAGACGCGTCGAATTGATCAAATTAAACAATGGACGCACTCCAAAAATAAAAACACTTCATTTTGTACGTGTGTGAGTGTGTGTGTGTGTTCCAATGATAATGAACATAATGATCACGCCGAAAACTATATGGAATTTAATGCAATACATATTTCGCGTTTCAAGGTCATTGCATACTAACACACTTCCGAATTGACACTCATCGGGCCGCCATGACACTCACACACACTCGGAAACCGTAGCAACTGTTAAAATGTGAAGTTTACACAACACACACCGATTGCACACCGTATTTTTTCATTCCTCCTGCGATTATGACTCGATTTGTTGAATTAAATCTCGCGCTTCACGAAAAGCACGAGTGATATTCGCAGGTATTTGTCGATTTATTTACCTTGTTGGTTTGTTATAAATAAAATGCGAGTGGTGGGTCCTACTAATCGGTCGCGGCTCGCGGCAACAACTGCTGCACACAGCTAGATTGCATGTAAATCTATCGCAGCACTCACACACTTGCGACGATGAAATAAGTAACTTACGTATGACGTCACCCGGAGATGGCGAATGCTGCGAGCTGTGAAATCGCTGCGCTGCCGGCGAGTTGCAAACATGGCCGTTGGGCTGAAGACGCACCCGCGGCTAGTGATAACGCGATCGTCGGTTGCGCCCCGCCGGAAAAACGGTTTCTGTCATCTTGCGATCGAAAACGACGATCGCGATCTTCACACACGGACGCAGGCAAGATGTCTGCTGCGTCGCCTGCGTGATTCCCCTCTCTCCTGCGACGCAAGTGTCAAAGTTGTTTGGGTTCGTCAGCTGTTTCTACGCTGCTATACGCATGCGCACTGCGAATTTCTACATAAAAACACAAAATTTCGCTCGTTTTTAACTGAAAAATCAATGAAAATCACACAAAATCATATTAAAACACTCATATTTATTAATATAGTTTATTTTTGTGGTGTTTATCATTGATTTTCATTAATTTTGCGACGTTAACTTGTGATTATCCTGAATTTTCCTTTGTGGGTTAGTCCACAACTCGCTGGCACAAAAACATTCGAAATATCTGCTCTGATTGGTCAATTGTTTTGTGTTGGGAGACGTGATGACGCGTGGTTTATTATTACAAGTGGTTGGAAACGAAAACCAAACGAATGACATACTTTTATTTAGAAAATGCCTCATATTATAATCAATTAGAAGCAAATCGTGCGTTGCACTTTAATATTTGATTTACATTCATTTGTTTGAATTTCATTCAAAATGGCCGACATGAAATTCTTAACTCAATTTCACGTTTAATAACTTGCATATCATATTACTCATGCTGTGTAAATGTAAACTAAACGAATAAATATGATTGAAGTCGTGAATACACAATGTATACGTGGACCGTGGGTGGAATTAGGTAACAGAAGTAGTCTATTTTTATTTCGGTGTTTATCAACAAGTAATGTCATTTTTTTGACTCACAAAGAACGAAATTCGTTTGATTTGTTTGACTTAGCAACAAGTCAACCGATACATTGGTAACAAGCAGTCGATTATTGTTTTTTTTTTGTTATAGTTCATTGATTTGGCAATTAAAGTGTCGTTCATGGACGTTTAGCATAAAACACACCCAAACGAACATTACAAGTTAAAATACTTAGATAATAGGCTTAATTAAAATGTTTAAGACATTAACTAGTCATTTATTACATGTGTAGTATGTTTACCTTAGTATAATATGAGTTTCTAATGAATTTCAAGATGGCGGTATACAAAAATAAGTAAGAAACGTTTGTTTTCAAATAAAAATCTCACTGTGAGACAGATTCGCGTCGAAATTAAAGCAGATTATAAATAAATAACAAAAACAACGGGAGAATCACCTTGGGACCGTTATGATGAAAAACTTGTAAATAATTATTGATTTGTGCCATTATTGTACAAAATTCGCTCCTCCATGCCATCTGTTTCAGTTACCAGTGCTCTCTCCAAGATAACTCTGCCTTCTTTGTATCTCTGGTTCTCTTCGGTGGCAAATTCATACATCCAGCCTAGTTTTGTGTCACAGGACTTGCAGGAAACATCTCTTACCTTAAAAAATTAAAGAATATATCATTTAAAGCTATTATTTAAACATTTAAGTGATTTATAGTTACCATGTGTCTTCCTGTGAGCATAACTCTATCCTGTACTTCGCTATAAGTAAGATTCACCACTTTATTGAAGAGGAATGCTCGGCCTGTGGCTCCAGTGAATCTGGTACTGATTAATTCCTGACGGTTTGTAAGATTCGTATCACAACGAGCGCAGGAAAAGAGGCGAGTGCCACCCATGTGTTCCAAGTAAATTCGACCCATTGTTGTCTTGTAGTTGTTTGGTCTTTGTTTCAATCTCTACTGTGTTTACTTGCTGTGTAAACGATGACGTTCCCAGCAAGCAGAAAATAACAAACAACAGCTGATATTTGTCAATGTCATTTGTGGAATCAAAATGGCTGACTTGAAACTCACTAAAATGCAAAATTTTACTATATATCATCAATTATTCAATGTATTTATCTTTGTAACATTGATAAATGCATATCATTTATTGATTTCATTCATTATATGAATGAATTTCATGTTTTTATTTACCTAAATGTCACTTTTAAATATATCCCTGCCACTGGTGTAACGTCAAGTTGGCGTCACCAAAACTCATTCTCTAGGTTTAATCCAAGCCGATAGGTTATAAACAACTCTTAAATTAATTTCTACGTATTTTAGCTTACCTGGAGCCTGTGTCAATGCTCACAACATCGAAGCGCATGTGATCTACGTGTTAAAACTCAAATCTCCTGCAAGCGCCTATTCACGATGATATTTTCCGATCCGTTTCTCTTTGCGCTGTCGCTCATCGATACCGGCGCGATTCTCTTCTTGCAGATCTACTTTGTATCCTTTATTATATCAATAACAACATAATAGTAATAGGTTTGTATGTAATTTGACTTAACTTATCATACACAGATCATAATCCTAACAGACTTGGAGTCGGATTATCTCAATGCTCAAGAATGTTGCTCCAAGCTGAATTTTTGGATCACACCAAAGCTCATGGCACACACAGTCCTGCTAACACTGCTGTTGTTTCATGGTCATTGGCTGCTTGCATTTGTTAACATTCCGCTGGCTGGCTGGTTGATCAGGGAATTGTTTCACATCCCCAGAGGGAATCTGGGGGTGTTTGATCCTGCTGAGATTCATAACGGGGGCAGGCTGAGGAAGCACTTGAGAGATTGTATGATATACTTGGGATATTATCTGCTTTTTTTCTTTGTATATCTATATTGGTAAGCATATTCATTATACATCGATTCATTAACTTATTAAATGTATTTTCAGCATGATTGTATCACTCTTGGAAGGTGATCCGATCAACAGACATGAAGAGGATATGATTGTGCATTAGACACATCACTTGCCACCTTTAGTTTGATTCCGTAACCAAACCAAAAATTACCTCGACTAAGTTGTTTGTGTTTCTTTCATAGGTGCACTGCTTTGCTTGCCTGCAAATGAATTTAAATGTAAGCAATAATTTATTGTGTACGTGATTCTTTCTCGTAGTTTGTTTAAACTCTAAAAAACAACTAATTCGATTTATAATCGATAATAAATGAAGTTGAAGAAAGCAAAACATTGCTTGGTACATAATTTCATCGATAGAGGGCGCTAGCGGTACTGAAATTTATTTATTCACAACGTTTTGTTATTTTTTGTCCTGTTGGGGTCATCTTGCGGTGTAAACAAGTTATACTTGACTATTTTATTTCTTTACACGTATAATACAGTAAAACATTACACGCAATAATAAAACGATAGGAAAATATCAAAAGGTATACAAGTACATTGCCTGCTGATGATCGAACAGAACAACTTTCATAAATTGTTTCATTTAAATAAACGCCACTTATCTGGCAGTGTATCTTTGTCATTAGAACAAACTCTTCAGCTACAACACAAGTTAAATCTCTATCTTATAGTAAATCTCGAATGAATATCAATGGACATCAGATATCATGATATATTTGTAAATCATTTTGAGCATATATACGTAAATCATTTCTCTTTCCGCTTTCCAACACATCAGTATTATTTATCATATAATATAGATATAGCAATAATTTCCGTTTGTTTCGATTCGTGTCTTGCCCGTGATTCGTTTCCTTGCGTTTCATTTGACATCCGATGCAGAAAAGTTGTGTAATATGTGTTTATTTAAGGTTCTACCACATTCAGTTTATCGTTAATCGTTTAATTTAATTAGTATTAGATAGATAGAATATTTATATATACGTAGTCATTAATTAAATGGTAAATACTTTTCTTTATATGCGCTTATATTCCATCCGTACCACTACAACACATTCCACGTGTGTGAAGGTAGATAAATCAATTCAATTTCAACACTGATAAATTTCAAGATGGACGAAAATGTTTGCAATAAATAGATGATTCGAATCGTCGTCGTCGTTGTGGTGAGGACTATCGTCGCCTAAACTTATGTACAAATTGACGAAACACAGGTTTATTCGCGTTGAACAATCAGGTTACTCAAATTTCTTGGTGTTTGTGCTGAGAAAATCGAAGTGAGCATTAAAATCACATAAATTTTGATTCTAGTCCTTTCATCTTGCATCTCCTCGCATGAATTATCATTATCATTAGATTATTATTGGTAAAATTGGTAATAAATATATGGTCCACACAAAATTTACAATCATTACTCGTCGTTTATGTTAATTAATGTTAATTCTAGCATTGCCAGAATGTTTAAGACGATTTCTACTTGGTTTTTGATAAGAATTGATTACGTTGAGATACGTTTCGTGCAGCCCGATGATGATTGTGTTGTTTTTCGGGGCGTTTCGTGTGTATATTTAACAATGAAATAATTACAATACGTGTTTGTGTACAATTGTATTTTTGCTCGTCGAAAAAGTCGTGTTCGTAAAAATGTTGTAAAACATTTTTATAAAAGTAGAAATTCTCCTTCAATCGTCTTGTATCTCGTGTAAAATGTTAGTAAAATTGAAAATTCTTGAGTTGATGGTCGCATAGGTTTCATTTTGTTGTCGAATTCGTGTGTAATATTCAGGAATCTATCCCTAAAGCCAGCTCTCTGTTGCCATTCCTTTGTTATTATCGAATACGTAATGCTAGTTATAATAAGGTTTGAGTATTGTTAGAAATTATCATCATTATTGAACACTCATTATGGATTCATCTTAATTAGCTTACGTGTATGATTTACTTTTTTAGTTTTTTCTTACTCAACATTCATGTTTACCTGCAAAGAATCAAACTGTGCGTTTGTCCGTGATCTGAATGTGAACTTATTTACAGTGTCGCCATTTTGTCGTCATAAATAAATAAAAATAAACACTCTATATAAATACAAATCGAAAATAAAACAGCATTCACATCAAAGAATATGCTTGCGATAAATATTTGCAATAAAAAACGAACAACGCTGTCCTTGGAGGGACGCACAAAAATAAAGTCTGTCGTCCAATAGGATGAGACTTTTGGAGCGATTATGTATCAAAGAAAACGTTCACAATACATTTAAGAGTAATAAAAACTATCTATGTGTATACACATATAAAATGAACGCATTTTTGGTTTTGTTACGTTAAGATTAACCTCAATCTCTTGCTCTATCTCAGATGAGGTTATGTACCGCCATCTTGTGATTGTTTCCCCTATTTTGACGCGTGTGTTGTACCCACGACTGTGATTTACTTCGGGGAATGTTAAAACATTAAGTTGACGCTTTATGTTTACTCCAGGCGTGCCTTGTAGGAGGTTTTCCAAATTTCAGCAAGTGTGACAGCTGAATGGAAGCGATGGAAGATGCAGAGTGGTAGTGTGAGGCGTTGGATGAGCGCCCACGTGAGGAAACCGTAGAATTCCAGCTGGATCGGGTTACGCTCGACCTTCTGTGTCTCGAAGGTGTAGATGATCCACATGGTGATGTTGCAGATGAGCAGGAAGGTGACCACCTGACGTCCGGGTTTCGAGCGGTCATGTTCCGGCAGGTGGACACGACGTCGTGATACGTCCCCGATGAATAACAATTGAAGAACAACCTAAATATTCATAAAATTCAGTTGTGTTCTTCTACAGATTAGAAATAATAACCTACCTGAACGATTGATAGAATTCCGGTTACCATGACTAGCAAATTGGATACTTCAGTGAGGGCATTCAATGATCCAGCAATCACACTGAATGTAGCGTACAAGAACAATCCGAAAGCAGAGATTCTCAATAGGATATCATTAAGGTCGCTTGCCTCTTCAATTTTAAACTTCAAAGACCTCACACGACAGAATCCAATAATAATGGCGAGGATACTCAGGGTCATCAACACGCAATGCGAGACTTCACCAAGATACAACGCTATCTGTTCGAATGTTTTCTGAGATATCAAAACAAAGAACAGAATCAGGCAGATCAACGAGCCAACTAACAGGAGCAACCCGAAGAATAATCCCTTGGATGCACCAACGCAATCAACACGTCCATTTTGTGCATGGGCCATAGCCACGGCTCTCCGGGACAACATAACCTCCAATCGGTGTTCTAGGTCTTCCTCATTGTAGTATCTTGGGTTGCGACCAATGTGTTTCCACATAACGTAGATGACCACTGCTCCAATTAAAGAGTACTCAATGATGAATGGGAAGAGGTAGGGAGCTGAATCCTGTACAATGTTACCCATGATGTTGATACGTCCACAGCTAGCTTGTAGAAGGGAGTTGTTTACATCAGCGGAGGCGTTGTATGACGACGCCCACCATGCTTGGGGAGTGAGATTGTCAAGGAGTTCAGATCCGTTGATCCCAGTGTAGAGGGTTCCTTCATTACTAGCGATGATGTCTTCTACAACCGCGTTGGAAGCTTCCTCAGCCACTATAAAAGACAACAAGGATAAAAATAAGGTGGGGGTAATGAATTTGTGTGAGGGTTGGATATATCCAAAAAAAGGGTTTAGTGATTGATTAGTAAGTGAGTTTACCGTTAGCAATGTTAGATTCGAAGGATTCGAAGCCCCTGTTAAAGTTAAACAGGTTGTTCAACGGCGTGCTGGCTAGTGTGGAGCTGATGGTGGTCCACAAAGTGGTGGTGCTCGGTTCCGCGGTGGTCGTCGTAGGCATGGTACTCGGGAAGGTAGGAATCGTAGGTGCAGGAGTTGTAGTGGTGGTAGTGGTAGTGGTAGTAGTAGTTGTAGTACTAGTTGTAGTACTAGTACTCATGGTTGTGCGTAGGGTGGTGAGCAAAGATCGCACTTGGGTGTGATTGAATGGATTCAACGAGTTCAGCGAGTTGTGCTTTTGGTTCCAGTCGGGATATTCAGGTTGTGGGGAAGCGCGATAGGACCGGTAGTAATTCGCCGGCGTTGTGGCAGCCCCATAGACCCCTTTTGCATTTTACAAAGCAGTTAGTAAGAAATACGTGATGGTGAGGTGTTAGTAATGAGAGTTAACAGAAGCTTACGTTTGAGCGTGGTGCGTGCCGGTATGAATGGCGCCACGGTGGTAGTGGCGGTCGTGAATAAGCGATGAAGCAAATTACCCGGACTGACGGTGGTCGTCGTCGTAGTATGGAAGGTATCAGGCACTGCCATGTGAGACCCCAGAATGGTTTGAGCATTGCGCACGGTATGGTCCCGAATGGCACCTGGGTAACCAGCGATTGAGTTGTTTGAGAGTTTGTGGTACAAGGTGACTTCCTTGAGGTATTCTAGGACCACAGTGCGGACCCAGACGCAGATATTGGTCGCCACCACGTGCATCAGACCAAATCGGGCGATTACTTTGAAGCGATGGATGTTTAACTGTAAAATAACAAGGGTTAAAGGTGGTTTTAAGGGTTTTTAAGGGTTTTTCATGGTTTACCCTTGAATTCATGAAGATAAAGTACATCTGCATGAAGGTGAAGATCATTTGAAGGACTGGGTTGATCCCGCGGAGGATCATGTAGCACGGCGAGCTGATGGGCACCTCGAAGAAGGTCCCAAACTCCAAACCATTGTAGATCATGGTGCCCAAACCGAATGCTAAGCAAATTTGAATGTAAATTTCATGGTTTTGTGGGTTGTGGAATGAGGGTTTACCAATAGCGCCGATTCGTAGAAAGAAACTGCCGTGACTCTGATCATTCTGCGTGGTCTTGCGCTTGCGCTTGACGATCTTCACACCCGCCTCGAGGTCGCGTTGATCCGACGCCACCACGCCGCTTTCCTGGGAGAGAACAGTCGGTTCAGATTGTGCTTGGAGCTGCTCAACGGGCACCGGCACCGTCGGCGGTGTTGCGCCCGACAGGCCGGCGTCCACCACACCCTCGGAGTTGCGCCGATACGTGCTCTGCGCCACGTGCCACGTGCGAGCGCAGGCGGGCAGGCGGAGAAGGAGAGAACACAAAAACGAGAAAACACAAAAACTCAATAAGAACAAAGAGAACAACGAACCAATCGACCGAACAACAAAACGAATCAACCGACAAACAAATCATCATCGCCTGCGTCGAGACCAACTTGAGCTTTATGTTTACGTTGTTAGATTGGTTAGTATCTACGAGTACCTGATTTCGATCATAAATATAAATGATAATTATCACACACACACACCCATGATACACAAACAGGAAAAACTTGAAATCAATCAACTTAAACTCCAATAAATAATAAATTAGTTTTTCCTGTCTGTAACCAACGCGCTTTGTGTGCTAATTGAACACAAGAAATAAGATTAAATCATAATAAGAATCAGAGCGGGATTGTCGAGTAGAGGTTAGTTGAGGTTATGTAATTGTATATCTAAGTATATCTAAATATTCATCTAGTAAAATCAGTCAGCTCATGGAAAGCAGTATAAACAACAGGCACCCAAGCTAGGATCATTATCATCTAAGTCATCTAATCAGCAGATAATAGGTGAACAGCACAAGTATAAAAAAAAGAATTCGGTTCATTCGTTTCACATTCGGCCTCGCTTTGTTAGTCGCTATATGTATTCAGAGTCGCAAAAACGGTAAAACGGTGCGAAGAAGCTCAAAGCTCACCTTGACGGGCAGGTAAGGAACAACGCCAGCTCTCGCTTGTACTAAGTCCCTCATCTTGCGGGGATACACCTCTCTTCGCTACACACGCACAACACATGCTCAACAAAATCAGCAAAACAAAAAAATAACAAATCGATTAAAATTCAGCAAAATAAAAATAAAAATAAAAAAACCCAAACCATTGGTGGAGAGTTAAATGTATTATTAATATTGATTAATAACGAGTTGAGTTTTCATCATATTCAAGCATAAAAGTGCGTTTTTGGTCCGTTTTTGTCAACTCTTGATATTCATCTTTCAGTGCACAAAAAACTCTAATATTTTAAACTATGTGGAAACCACTCACCTTATCTCCCTTTTTATCCTTTTTCTTATCCTTGTCTTTATCCTTCTTCTTCTCAGCTTTCTCCTTTTCTTTCTCCTCTTTTTTCTTCTCCTTCTCCTCTAATTTCTTCTGTTTTTCTTCCTTTTTCTTTTCTAACTCCTTAGCTTTAGCCTTTTCTTTGAGTGCTTTTTTCGTCTCGGCTTTCTCCTTCTTTTCGCCACTGCAGCAGGAACTCTCCTGCAGCAGGAAGCAGAAAACGTAGAGCAGGAATAATATGCTCACGCCGTAGAGATAGGTGAAGAAGCCCTCGTAGTACCATAGTGGGATGTTGTGCGTGACAACATCCGAGATGACATACGCGACGCAAACCACCACGAGGAGTTTCATGTACACGAAGCTCATGATGATAAAGAGTGATGTCCTGCAAGCATATTTAATCATATGCTCATCATTAACACACACACACACAGACACATAGAGATGTTTAGTTATGAGTCAATTACTTCATGGACACCATGTTGGGTGTTCGGGAGCGGGAAAATCGTTAGGTGTTCAGTGGCCGGCACCAAACGGCGCACTAACCGACTATTTTTAAACTGGACGCCCGCCGATGACCACACTGACTGAAAATTTACTCCCGTTCAAACACCGAGAGAGATGTGTCTTATTGTACTCGTATCTTGAATGCGGGTCATGGTTTGATTATATTTATGATTAAACTTACAGTTTTCAATTTTTCAAGTGTGGATTTGCTTGGATTTTGGAAATAAGTTTACGTTGCGCTCGAAATAAAACTTTTACTGCGCTGTGGACGTACTGTTTATTATTCGCTGGAGTTTAAGTAACTTAACTGAGTAACACAACTAAGTAATAAATGTTAAGTATTGACTTGGCTGATTAGCAAACTTATTGGAAGCTATTTTAACGATACGCGGTTTTAGTTTCACTTCGGTTGAATTAAACATGACGTGAGTAAGTATTACACTTATTTAAGCGTAACGCGCATGCGCAGTAAGTTCTAGATATATTTATTCTTCTTAAAAATTTGCGTAATTTAATTTTTTATATATTTTTTATGTTTTTTGGGTTTTTTTTTTGCTTAAAATGCATAAAAATTGATTTTTTTGTTTTTTGACCTTAAAATTGACTTAAGTTAAGTAATAATGCGATTATTAAGTATTCTTTGACAGATATGAATACTCTTTGTTTAAATATAGAATTGGGGCGTCAGGGGCGTGTCATTTGTTCCTTTATGTGCTTTTGAAACCGCCTTTTTCCGTGTTTTATTGTTTTCCTCACTTTTTGTGGTTTGTTTTTGTTTTTCGTTTTCTCTTTTGCTTTGTTATTTATGCGTTTGTTTTTGCGAACCTTTTGGGCGGTTTTGGCTGCACGCCTTTAACTTCCATCTCCTTGATCGCGGCGCTCTTTTCCGGATCGTTGTTGCCGGCGCCGCCTCCGCCTTGCTGCGAGCGAGACACCGGAAGCGTCGCCATGTTGTCAATGGACTCCACCTCGACGGTGGCGACCTTGACTTCACCAGTCGCTACCATTTTACTCAATACAATAAACAATTATGCTTTTCACCACCCCACAACCCGTTTCCGGTTTAAAATTCAAAAAAAAAATAACAAAAATAGAAGTAATTTGATGCTTTTGATGATAATAAGATAATCTGTGAATGTATCACGACATCACGTCGATGCGTTTAGGCCGGAATAGTCACTGCACAATTAAAACCCTTTCACAGTCTGTTATCGATTTATCCCGCTCGCGCTCGCCTGCACCGTGTGTGCATCACGTTGCACAACAAGCCCGTGCACATCCGCGTGATTAGCAACTGGCAATCGGTGTGATTTGTTTACGGTCAAAACCGGTGACACCCCCGACGAGCGCCGGCCGGAAATCGCAGCCAGCGGCGAGAATCGAGCGCGATCGTCTGCAGGTTGTGCGCGAACGCTCGCAACTGGGGGAGCGCGCGACGCGGTGGTGGATGCTGGATGCTGCACAGGGTTGAGCACACACAGGGATAGAGAGAGGGTGTGGGACACGTGACGGGGCGACCAGCCGCAGGATTGGCGGAGGCGCCGCACCGCACCGATGGCAACCGGCCCGGGATTCGACCCAGTGACCTCTCGTGACCTCAACCAACACACGCACAGCTAATAACAACAATAATTAGCATGCAATCATCTTTTGAGCGGTGTTTAAGTCAATACTTAAGTCAAAATGCGGTTATTTAAGTAAAATCTTATTAAACGCGATCGGAAAAGTAAATATCAGCGGTGTAATGAGCTGAAAGGGTGTTAAACGAGTTTTCCTGAAAGGAATCCATCGCAGGAAGTCAAAATGCAGAAAAAGTTTCATCCCTTAGCAAATACCCACACTACCCTCCATTCAAGACATGTCTTATCTTTTTTATCTGATTTTTTGCTATTTATAGCATTTTTAAATGACATTAAATTTTTTTAGAAGAAAATCATAAGAAATCAATGAAAAAACTTGAAATTTTAAATGAAAATCTATAAATTTAATGCACATATGTGCGGAGAGATGTTCAACGCTTGGTGGTGAAGCTTAGCATCGCAGCATCAGCCAGCGAGTATTGATCTTCTCGTCTGTATCTCCCTCCAACACCACCATCGCCATCAGCTTCCTGTGGCAAGCTGAACTGGCGTGTGTTCCGCGCTCGGCAACTACAACTGCACTCAGCGTATGTATGCAACCCAACATACACATTCCACAATGCATTTGTTGTAAATTTATAAAATTTACATGAAAAACCACGTAAAAAGTGATAAAATAATATTGTTTTGATTGAAAATAAGTGAGTATATGTTTTTGTATGTTTTTCAATCAAATTTTAACATTTAATTCATAATTTTATGTTTAAAATGAATATTTTTAGTTGAGGTGTCATTTTTTCAATCTCTCTCTCGTGTTTTTACTCTTTGTGAACATTTTGTGACGAATTTCTACAAAGCACTTACTTGGCGTTCTTAGGGAACATGTGATGATAGTCGTAGCATCGTTGAAATTCGTCCTGCGGCGAGTGGTGCATCAGAGGCGTGCGATCACCGCGTTTGTGTGTTGGTGATGTGTGCGAGCCATACCCATCTGCATTCAGCTGTCAAAAATTTGAAAAAATCATTATCTTTGCATTTAAATAACGAGCGATATTGAAGTAATTATTCTATGTTGTAAATTTGTAGTTTACCTTGACAACAGTCGCGACCGGCTGCTGTGGATACTGATAATCGATGATGAGCGGAGGCGGCGTGGGCACCTTCTTCGCCGGCACCACCTCCGGCATGGTGGCTTGCGGTTGCTGCTCGCCGAGTAATCGTTCCTTCATTTCGTAAATGTACGGGCAGCGTTGCATTGTCGTCGACAGTTTATACTGCAACAAACAACAAAAAATCCCAATCGAATTAAATTACGCAATGAAACACACAGAGGATAAATAAACAAATGCACCTTGCGTTTCCGCTTGAACATGCTGACACAAACCGAACAATAATACCAATCACTTTACACCGCTGATTACATAATTACACAATTTACACAAATTACAATACAAAATACAAAACGATCGAAACACTCGTTTAAACCTTGGTTAAAGTGTTAAAAACTTTAAGTTGCACTTAAGTTGTAACCGCAGCACTTAAACTTTGTATAGAAAAGTTTGAAGATCCTTGAACAATCCGCGAAACGCGCGCGATGCCACGACACTGACTCGCCGGCCTAATGTGGCTTGACTACTGACTTCATTGGAGAACATTGGTGAGAGAACAAAACACGCTAGAGTTGTAGAAAACTAGTAGTAAACTGCTTCACGTCCACTGCCCCACGCGAAATGCATTCCATCATGCCATCTTTCAAATTAGGTTATGTTAAACCCACATATCCTTCATTACTACTCTCTTGAACATTAAAATAAAATATTTACAAGTCAAACTTTTTATTTTATTTATTAATTAAATATTCTAATAGAAAAAAAAATACAAGAAAAACTTGCTTAAATTCATCTGTAATTTATGTAATTTATTACCATTGCTATATTTGGTTACAAGAGGACATCTTCTAACATTTAACCTAAAAAATGTTTCTCTATGCTTGAATTACTTTATAACAAGTTATAAATACTAAACAAGTAAAACAACTTGTTGTTTATGGATGTAACTCGCTGATGGCGATAAAAATCGCGAATTATTTACTCTGCTTCCATGAAATGCAACATTTCGCATCTTTATAACAATCTCTGAATACGTAGTAAATACGTCAAGACAGAGATTAGTCTGAAATAAATAAACAAGCAGCAAGATCAGCGTAGTTATCAGTTATTTATAACTTGTATAGTTTCCAAGTCATTTTCTAGCGAGATTTGTGTTTCCGCTTGTCGTCGGCATGCAACTTGATGTTTGATGGGTTGCCTAGAGTCAAACAAACTAACCAAACTTGCTGCTCAAACACAAATGATGCAGAACTAATTTTTAATACGTTTTGTATGGGCGTTGTTCATTATCATGATTATCTGTTAGATTCAGAGATGTTTTTTTGGCTTGTTATGATTATGTGTTGCGTCACGGAAGAAATGATTGCGTGCATCACGCCATTGACATCATCATTTGATGTTTGAGTCAATTTTCTCATCAAGAGAAGTTAATTTTATTTTATTTACATTTCTATGATAATCTAAAACGTATTTTTATTTAATGCGTGTCCGTGAACATCTCTGGCGCATATATTAAATTTTATTAGCTTCAGCATCACCGCAAACATTATTTTTATTTCGTTTGTTGTTTATTCTGGTACGATTGCTTCATTACGCGAAAATTCAACTTGATCTATATTTATTTCTTTATTTTGTGCGGTGTGGTTTGGTGTGATGGTTGATTTTATTTTATTCGAGGCATAAAACTTTGAATTTACTGCAGTACATCACTAAAATTACGTAATATTGCCAATGTCGGTAATACAGTTGTCTATCAATCAAATTCTGACAGCCAATGGAAATTAAACTAAACAAATTCGAGTATTTATAGAACATAACCTCAATTAACCTCAATTTAACTAAAAACTTTGAAAATTTCACTTGAAATTTCAATATAAATTTTTTTATTAATTTATTCCGTTTGGGTCACGTTCATATACGCTTTTTGTACTTCCTCTTTCACGCCTTGTTGAAAGCAAAGCCATAAACAGCTTCCACGCTTGTTTCTGTCGTTTTTATTCGTGCTTCTAGTATTTAAAAGCAGCAATAAGTCACGTCTTGTCTCCACCAACAAAGTAGCAACAACCAGAAGTAGAAGAAGCAAAAGAAAACGTGATAAATCCCACACGCGATGTAAAACAACAAAAATGGCAACCGGAAATCATCAAAACGAATGAAATCTGTTTATATTTGATATTTTCGTTAAAATTTATAGAATTATGTGTGAACAGGCCTCAATATTATGATTATATCATCAAGAATGAGATCAAACATTCGATCAATCGTTGAATCGATCGCCTGTAATGAAAATAAACAATCGCCGCGTGCCATGATGAAAAATAAATGGATTTCTAGGTTAAGACTTCATGTTAACCTTAAATCCCGCGTAAATTGTTTTGTTTTGACTTTCCTAGATTAAGAACTCAAACAAAACGTGAAATTTATGCTAAAAATATCAAATATCCCTACTAATATTATAAATGCGAATGTCCTGATGTTTGTTACACTTTCACGCAAAAACTACTTAACCGATCATCATGAAAATTTGTACACATATTCTTAGTGGTCCCCGAATGGTTATAGGCTACTTTTTATTTAATAAAAAAAAAATTATTTTTAAATAAAATAAAGAAATTGTTTAGCCAATAATACCTCTGCATCTGGCTATTTGACTACTTTAACGCCATCTAGCATTCCAGCAATGAAGCTCAAACCTAAGTACTATAGTACCATCACACTGTATTATCACACTGTATTACCGACAGCTACGTCAACATCAAATCCAATTGACTACACTATGGAGACTGTACACTATACTTCCATAGACTATACTTTCAGCCATTTTAAACTTCCCGCCATTCTACTTCATTGTTACTTCTTCTGTGACTTTTAGATATTCGCGAGCGAAGCCGCGGGTTAAAGCTAGTCTATATATATATATAAATGAATTGCTGTTCGTTAGTCTCGCTAAAACTCGAGAACGGCTGAACGGATTTATCTTATCTTGGTCTTGAATTATTCGTGGAGGTCTAGGGAAGGTTTAAAAGGTGAGAAAAATTCGAATAATTGCCGGAAAAATCCTCAAAACAGCTCTTTTCTATAGAATAAAATTTGACATTGAGATTCAATCATAGTTATAGTTAAATAGTTGAATTCGAGATGGCGTAGTCACAGACAGACGCGTACGGAAGCAACTTCATTGATTTCTAATATTTATTTGATGGATTCAACGCGAGCGAAGCCGCGGGATAAAGCTAGTAAACAAGAAAAACGCATGATTATGATTAGATTTCATCTGGGAGTTAAATTAAGCAACCGGTAAATGATCGTGATCGTAAACCGTTGAATTTCGTTGATATTGCGTCATTAAATATGGCATGCCGGCGTTAAATGTGCAACGTGCAAGTATGTTGAACACGTGCTCACTTTTGCTTCTTCCTGTTGCTGTTGTCGGTAATGGTGTTTAGTCAATTCAATCGCGTGGATTGCGTTGATTTGGTTTTATGCGCGCTACGTGCGCGCATGTGTGCGAATGAACAACGCTCATAAAATTATTAATAGCCGAGCATGGCGCACGTAATTATAACCCCAATAAGTAGGTGCATTTTCGGATGCTATGGACGCGGATGTGTGAACACGTGCATGGAATGTAATTACTGTCTTAAGGAATAGCAGGAGATATACTGCGCATGCGCAGTGCATTCTTGCCTAATGCAAGATATTTATAGCAAAGCATCGATATGGTGTTCATTTATTTATGTGCATTTCACGCTGAGAGATGTAATTAGGTCACACCCCATTTGCTTCTGTGAATTGAACCTAACCTAACTTAACCTCAAAATTTTAGGTCAATCAATATCAATATAATATTTTGTAATATTTTGCAAACGCCCTGTATAGGTAGCATTGTGATACGCATCCTTTGCCACTTCACTTATTCCCTTTTCCCTTATTGATCCCGACGTTGAGGTTTCAGTTGGTGAGCGCAACCGGTGCAATTTAACCACCACCAACAACCAACACCCTCTACCAACGCCAGCGAGTATTTAATTTCATCATACGAGCCATGGGATGTTTACACGCATGTCGGCCGGCCAAAGGACAAAATTGATAATTGGATAATGGAAACATTGATGCACAATAACACCGGTCGCGCCACTGGTTTAACATCAAACAAGTGGAAAAATTAATAAAACTAATTAAACTCACTAAATATTAGTTTTTACTAGATTTATACAATAATTAATTGAATTAAACCACAAAACGTTAAAATATTTGTATATAAACAACAGAATTGAATTGCGAATGTATTTATGCAGATTTATGCAACCCATCGATCAAGATCAACGTAAAAGTACTCGGACAAGACTTCCGGTGGGGGAAGTAAGCAGAAATAGGGTTATGTTAAAAGATACACTGATAAATCACTGAATAAATCACATCCAAAGGATTTTTCTGCCGAAAAAAGATCAAAACATCAATAAAATACTCGCGCGACGTTTATTTATTTTTATCTCTTCGCATTGAGGTATTAATAGTTTATGAATTGTAGTACGAGTAGTAGGCCATGGTTTTATCTTTTGACTTTTTGTTCTATGTCCAACTATTCATAAAATAGTTTTGCGTGCAAAACAAACTTTTCTATTATTTTCTATTATTTTCTGTCCCAGATTCAAAAATAAAACATAAATGAATGTAATTTATTCAAAGTTGACTTACCACTAAACAAATTGATGAGTAAATTAATGAGCGTCAAGTTGCGTCGCGTCTAATTCAATTAATTAATCATCCATTATGTAAATGGCCGGCGTATACACACACGCAGCATACCGGAAGTCTTTTTTCCGCGCTGTGACGAATTCTAATTCAATCAACAGTTTTTTTTGTTTTTTTTGCTGGTAATTGTTAATTTAAGCGCGCTACACATCAAAAGATTTCCAAACAAAGGCTGAAATTACGTCTCGAATGTGATGTGCACTAGCAGCTGATGGTTCTGAAGCTTTTAAGTGCGGAAAACGACGGAAACTGAGATGATGACACGCGACAAAGATGACGATGTGGTGCATCTACGCGAGGAGTGGTGCTACTACGAATTAGGTCGACGTACTGAACGGCTGTTTTCTGCCGCCGCCGCCCGCTACCGTTTGACGACTTTCCCAGCCCTGTGCGCCTGTTGGCGTGCGCATGTTTTCCGTTTTCCGAGAATATCGCCAACGCTTTCAATCAAAAACAAGCGGAATTAATCGTAAAAACTTAAAAATAAAAGAAAAATCATTTTTTTTGTTGATTTCCTGGTTGGAAATTGAATATTCCGATGTAAATTCACACAGAAGTAGGTCACGCATGTCCGCGAATCATTACCAGTCATAAGTTAGGTTAGGTTTGCCATGTTAATACAATAAAATGCATTTTTTATTAGATGGATACTGATATGCGGATACTAGGCAACTTGTCGACCTTGGCGAAAATCAATACCTCTCTATTTCTGTTTCTACATGATTAAAACATAAAATTATGACATAATTTAATTAGTTTTGCATATTTACGTAGAAAAACATAATTAATAGCTTCAGGAGTAATTAAACCGAGTGTTTTACTGGTGCACCTGTGCTTTTTATGATTTATAGCTTAATAAATCATTAAAATTAAGAATATGCGCCATGTTTGTTTTAAACTGTGTAATCGGCGCATATTTATATATTGATCAACCCATAATAGGTCAATCAACTTGTATGGAAACATCCTAAGATTAGATCAAAGCGTTTGATGCGTCCGACCAATCAAAATCTACCTGTCATCACAATCACCTGTTGTACCTGCGTGATTCCTCGTACAACTTATTAATTATTAACGTGAATTGTCCAGGTCAAGTGAAATAACATCAAACACACATGTCACACAAATAAAAACAAAAACGCAACAAGCAAAATAAAATTATTCAAAATAAACGCGTGGCAGCCATGTTTTTTTTTTTAGTTTTTTGACTTTTTTTTATTTTTGACTTACAATTTTCACCTTGCATTTCTGCAATTGCTGCTGCTGCTCTTCGCGTTCTTCCGGAATGGATTCAAAGGTGCGCGCTGCCCCATTTACCGGGGGCGGCTGTTCCTCTCTGCGTGGCTGCTCTGAATTGCTCTTCTTCAAAATGCCTTTCATATTACACGCCGCGCCGTGCGTTTAACTTCCGGTGCCGTTCTTTAAACCGCATTTATCAATCATTAATTAAGACACATAGTTTATTGTTGTAGTATTGTTCCGGAGGCAAAACAATTATCATCTAGGTTGAATTTGTAACAAGTTTAACAATAGTTTAGAAGTTATCAGTCATGCGAGTGTTTTTAGGCGGATATGTGACGGTTGAACTAGTTTTTAAGACGGTTGAGACGTTTTTGAGGTTATCTGCGGATGGTGGCGGCGAGGATGATGATGTGCTGCCCCTCGCCGGCGAGCGCCAGGGAGTCAACTGAATGCACCGACGGCGATGGCGCCCACATTTCTCAAACGGAGGAGTAACGCGACGTATCAGCGATTTCCGCGAACCGGCACGGTTCTATTTCTGGGGGCGGCGAGGTGCGAGGCGGCGTGCGCTGCTGCAATCGTTAGAATGTTGAGGTATGAGAGATTTTCCGAATCGCGCGCAAGGATTCAGCTCGACCTCCGCCAGAGGGCGCTGTGAAATGTTACTAGCAACACAAAATGGCCGCCGTTGTTAAAAACTAAACAACTATTCAAATTTTTACATAAAATCGGTATATTTATGTTGTTTTTTAGTACAAAGTGGATATTATGATGTTGAAAAATGTACTATGATTCGTGATTGCACCGGAAGTGGACGCAATAAACACGAAGTGGCCAGTTTTTTATTGTGGCGGGCTTGTTTCTCATTTTCGCGCTCGCAATGAAGGGTTCATTCCCCTCGCATGTGCAGGCGCTGTAAAAACACCTGTTACGATGGCATGCACACACATGCGCCGCCGTCGCGAACAAAGAGCTCGCGCAATCAGCATCGCGACGCCCGACAAGGACGCCATGATAAGGGACGGCGCGCGCGGCCGCCATTTCGGGAGGTGGGCCATTTACTAACCGACCTGAAAACGTCGCGATCAAAACAAACACCGAAATATCCAAATTTTATCCACATTTTCGGGTTTTCACGCCACACACAACAAGATACAGATATTTGATCAATGAAACATTGATTATTTATTCATCTACTGCCATTTTTATAGAAAAAAAAAAAACAAAAGAAAAAAGCAGGAAACAAATAAATAAATTTATGAATGAATTTGTATGATTTAATTATTTATATAATGATGATTGGCACTCACTTGGACATTTTCACACTAGTAGCGTACAGTTGACATTGAAACACAAAAACTTAACATTCACACAGTTTTCACAGTCTCACAATTTTGATTTATGCTTTTTTAGTTTTTATTTTACTGCACTTGAATTACTCTTTGGTTGTTTTTTGTTGTGTTGAGAATCAGTCCGTCGGCATTGGCATGCAGGAAGCGAATGCGGCGCCCGTGTACCGAGAGCAATGAGCAATGTGAAGCGTCGCGTCGCTGCACCGCGCTCCTGCTGCACTGTGCGTCGCACTCACAGACTCGCTGTCTGCCGCACGCCAAAGACACCACTAGAAAACTCGAAATGTGTGCGCACTTGTGTAACACGATGCGGTGTAATGGTAATGGCACCGTCATCCAGTCACACAAGAAGTGATCCGTCCCAGTGTCGGATTGCTTGCGGTTGTTTTCAATACTAATTTTAATTCTATGGATAACGGTGCTTTCTGTGTGTTGTGTGTCTCAACGCGTTCTTCACCAGTTGAGCCGCGTGACTATACTGAAGCAAACAAGCAAACGCACGCATGAGCATGGAAAAAACTTGGGCTTCCCTACTACTACCTACTCCTGCTGTATTTAAGTTTTCTAAAGCTCATTAGTTCCCTGCTTGTACCCTTGCGTTGAGATTTAACTTCAAGAACTACACACTACACACTTTACTAGAGGGTTTTTGGAGTGTGAAGCACAAGGGACCAAAAAGGGGACGCAGGGTGACTAATGCGTCATTCAACATCCACTTCCACGTAGTTTCTCCTGCTCTGGACCATGATAGGATTTACATTATTAAGATGGTTCAATATTAGTTGTGTATGCTGGTTGGGGTGATCGGGGAGTGCAGGATCGCGCGTTCCCCTAGTTTCCGACACGCTATGCACTTTACACCCTCTCATATCCTGTTGGTGATTCAAATTCCTGCATTTTTACATCAAATTTTCAATATTTTTCATATTCATTCACATTTTTAGATTATACGCCTGTCAATAGCAGGTTTTTACCTTTTTTCACTCTTCTACGATGATTATTATCAACTAAAGCAATTTATGACGTTTTTATGCTTCGTGGTGCACGCTACATAAATCTACGCAACCATTACTGTAAGCAGTTTACTATATTAGTAGAATACATATTGTGTGTCGCATGTGCATTCTGCATGTTGGTTTCTAATGTAAAATTAATTAGGTCTCGTAATAAATTGCTGTCGCCAGGGAACAGGCAGCGATCGATGCGCACATCATGCGGGAAACTTAATTACGCCATAGGCAATTCAGTATGCATTGTGTAGCAGACGCATTTATTGAAGTTTAATGATCACGCATCATGTGGGAGATGAAAACATGTGTTTCATTTAGAAAAACAGCTTCTAGATTCTAAATAAGGATAAGAAAACAATTACATAGTATTTTTGTAAACATTATGTTTATTTTTTCAAGATTGAAACCTATAAAATAATTTATTGTGGTGCGCGACCCCTGCCGAATCCACCTCGCTGTTAAATACAAGCAAAAAATAATTATTATCTGTTTAGATTATAATTTTATGTTTTTATACTTACGAATTCAAGATCGGTTGTACCAGCACCAACATCTCCCTTCTTGTCAGCATTGCCAGCACCACCCGGCGCCCTCCTGTATGCAGAACGATCCTCAGCGGGTTTGCTGGTCTCGGACCTAACGGCGGCAGCCCTCGGACGGGCGGTTTCCGTGCGCAATTGCCTCTTGAGAGTGGATGGTACAATCTCTGGCGGCAAGTGCAGATACGTCCTCAGATATTCAATGCCGTCGTTGGTGAGGTACCAGTAGAAGTGCCTCCACGCGAATTGTTCCTTAACGTATCCCCTGGATTTAAGTGATTGAAGGGCTTTGATTACTTCCAAGTTGGGAATGTTTTCCAGCGCCTTCTCGGGATGTTTCGGCGCATGGTAGTCTTTCTTCGCTACCATAACACCCTCCTTGAACAAGTGTTCGTAGATAACTACGCGGTTCTTTTTGGGCATCAACATCCTAAAAGTAAAAGGTTTCATGTGAATAAAAACAAATGGTAAACATAGTGGTTTTGAGGTTAACTCCAAAGTTTTGCGAATTATGCAAAAGTTTAGAGTCGCTGTGCATAAATACGGGTACTAATAAGTACGTAATTAAATTCTGCACTTATTACTTTTTATTAGATTGAATTTAATCCACGGATGCACGAAATATTTATAGAATTATTTGGATAGCGCCACTTACTTGAGGCTATACGGTTGGCCTTCCTTGTGAAAAAGAGTTTGACAACTGACAGCCGCAGTTTAGGAAACCTTCCGCATCACACGCCGGCAGCACTACAGTTTCCTACAAAATGGGTTGCCTATAGTAAACCCACATTTATTATGTTTATATTTACTGGTTTATTTAAAAAAAGTATTGCAGCAATATAATGACCACGACGCAAACATCAAACGCATTTTAGCACAAATTCCGTAATCGTATGATAATAAGACGATGATAAATCGCCGCGGGATTAGATGAATTGCATTCAAGGCAGATGAAAGAAGAGCGCGTCATTGCATCGTATTTTTTAAATAAATGTTTTAATGTTTAACATATGCTTGACCTCTTTAGTAATAGGTCATTAATAGCGAACGCGTTTGTCCGATTGTCGTTTATACTTGCTTCACCGACATTTTTCATAGGAAAATTATAAACTAAAACATGCGATGTCCTTGATACGATTACGAACTAGTTTTATAACAAAAAGTTTAACAAATGGAGTATTAATCTATGCAGAAAGTAATAAACAATCATATTTTGCAACCACAAGCTTCAAAATTGATTTGTAAACAATGCCCAAACAAAAATTTCCTAAATTTACGCAACATTTCCGATATTTTGACACAAAACACAAATATTTAATCAGTTTAATGACATTTTGATAAATTTCAACAAAATTCATTCATTAAATCACAAAATGTTACAATTTCTATGAAAATCTAAACTTTTTACTGTTTTTAAGACGTTTTAACACATTTCTAACACATAAAAAACATTTTATTGCGAATTGACGCATGTAACCCAACCTAAGATGCGTTAAACCGAATATTCCATATAAATATTTACATTTATTATAATTATTATTATGATTTGCGTTCGCGCACAATATGCCAACCTTTTTCGATAAGCCACACTATTTTTCCATGTATCTTTCTGCTTTGTATTAACATTCAGTGACCCGAGCAATAAAATTTAGGCAACGACGCTGTTCATGTTTAAAAATGTTTATTATTATACAATAAATATGCTTGGTTAAGGCCGGCAGATGTAGAAACGACGATTGTTTAATATTGCTGTGACGTTATTGGCAACTTTCGTTGGTGTTATCAGCCCCGCATGCATGATTGATTTTTTCAAGAGCAATTTGCGTTGTGTATTGTGCTGATTATGGAGCTAGTGGAAACTAACGAAATCGGATGTTGATAAGTGAAATAAATAAAATTAAATAAATTCAGTGCATGTAATCAGAGTGATTTTGATATGTAAATTTGTTATTTTTAGAAAAATTTTGATTTTTTTAAGTTTTTTGATGAAACATTATTGTTTTTTGTGTTTTTAGAGTAAATAGACATAAATAACTATCATTTCTCATTGTCAATTAGTTATTTTGGTAATAAGTAATAAAATTAGCAGCAATTATTGAAGTTTTGATTTATGTCCGTCTGGAATTCGGACGGATCAACAATAAATGACGAATTTCTAATTCTATTTCTAAACTTTGATAGAAATAAACCAAAACTTGTCTAAAATTAGTAATTGCTAAAGAATTATTTGATATTAATGATAATTAACACTTAATTTAACAAGTTTTACTTGTTTTACATCGAATTTTTGTGTGAATTTGGTTTAAACCTTAACAAAAGATTATTTGAACATGACTCATGTAGTAAAATCATATAGTAAACATGGTCCGAACGGGCGCAACATGAAACAAACGCGCATCTTGAAAAAACACGCCGATAATTAGTGAAATAACTTAATTAACCGTTGAACTGTGGCGGCGCGGCGCATTCGGTTGATAACCAGAGTATTAATTGCAATTAATCGATGCGTTTCTCTCCGTTGGCGATTTATTTCGCATATCCGCCGATCTGTCTGACATGCATGCACTTTGCACCAGTGACTACAACGTGAGAATCATTTTTTGCACTCAAAAAATCTAAAACAAAAATGAATTAATAAACTTAATCACATAGAAAATTGATAAAAATTATCTGGATGGCGCATCTAATTCCACACTTGGAATAATAAACAGAGGTACTTGATGTAGCGCGTGCCATGTTTAATTAGAAAATTAAAAATGTTTACTTTGTTTCATTTGCATAGAGAAATGCGTAGATTGCGTGAAGATAGGCAACTTATTTAACACTTTTGTTTTATGACGTGTATGTACAAGTTGTGACATGAATCATTGTGGAATTGTGTTTCTTTAACGACTTTTGTGTACCCAATGGAATATTCCGTTATTACCTGCGACCCTAGCATTCTTCGGAGTTTCTAGAATAGTTATAGTGAACCTACCAGTAGCTGAAGTGTAGAATATTCGTTGAATGAAGAGAATTGTGGCAACTGCGCAAAATCATACGATTTTTCTACTTTTCCATTGATTACCACTAAAATTAACAAAAAATTAATGAAATTAAACAATAAACACATAAAATATTAAGTAAATCTTTAAAATAACATTAAAACTCTTAAAATCATCAAAATTTTGATTGTTTTACAAAGTTTTTTAGTAAAATTAATATAAATATAAAAATATTTATTGATTAAAATTACAACGTGATTTTTTGGATTTACAGGTTTTTTTTGTGTTGAGTTTAACATGTTTCGCCCAGAGGGCATCTTCATAAAAGATAACAGATAAAAGAAACATGTTAAACTCAACACAAAAAAAACCTGTAAATCCAAAAAATCACGTTGTAATTTTAATCAATAAATATTTTTATATTTATAAAAATAACATGGATTACGTATTCACCAAAGAAAGTAATAAAAGTAAAATTAATGTTTTCTTTATAATTTATACTTACAAGTTTATAAATTAGAGGTTATGTGAGTTTTGACATGTGACCAATTCACTAACACGTAAAAAATAACAATAATAACATTTAAAACGTGAATTCCCAACGAATTCCAAAACACAGATAAAATTCGCTGAGTTTTCTTCAATTTAAATTTCAAGTTTACCGCTTTGTATCTACGTCTTTTGATTGGTTGCTAGGGAACACACCATTCTTCTACCACCAATTGATGACGCACTTCCCCACTTTGCGCATGCGACGCACTCGTCGTGCTCAAAACAACCGCGGAGCGCACGCTGCGCCAGTTGTCAGTGCGCCTTCGTTCATATAACACCCTAAAATCCACACCTGACACAAATCGAACAATCAACAATAGCGCGCAATAAAACAATCACATCCCAGTGCTATCAGTGCTTCTATTATCTGTAATTGTTTTAATTATTTTATCAATCGTGATCGTGTATTATTTAAACCCGACGCACACTGAAATTCTCGTCAGTCGGTCGATAATTTAGTTTGGAGAAAGTTTATTTATCTTCGTGAAAATTGACGTCGCCGTTGCCAGCCCCCCGGCGAAGACGAGCGACAAGATGAATCTGTCGTTCGCCGGCTGCGGCTTCCTGGGTATCTATCACGTTGGAGTCGCCGTTTGTTTCCGGAAGTATGCGCCGCACCTGCTGCTGAGTAAAATCTCCGGCGCGTCTGCGGGCGCCATCGCCGCCTGCTCACTACTCTGCGATCTACCATTAGGTAAGTTATTGACAATTATCGGCATTGTAGACGCGGTAATTGCGCAATTACTTATGACGCGACAATAGATCTAATGCAATCTGAATCAATTGTGCATTTCCTTTGTATTATTCATTGTGTGCAAGTGAATAGCACAAATTTAAAGCCTAAAACACAAAAAACAAATCTAATCAGATAAATTTACAAAAAAAAATTATAATTTGGCACATGATCAAGTTCCAATGTAACAAACCAGCCGCCATTTTTAATTTTGTTATCACTTGTTTGATTATTATCTTTTTTGTGGTTTTATGGTTTTTTTCTTATTAAATTTAATTTATTTTATGTATTTTTGATGTATTTTGATTTAATTCTTAGTGTTTTGAACGCAAAGTTCATCAAACTTTGTTTAAATAAATACCGCTGTGGGTGGCGCGTCTATTTTCCATCATGAAGAAGTGTTAATGTTAACAAAGCGCCGCGACAATAATAGCCGCGCGTTATTGAATCAACGATATTTTAAATATTTCTGTTTGTTGTTTGCATTGCTGCGATAAGCAACCAACAGTGCATGTAAACAGGCTTTGTTTGAGGTGGTGAAATTATGCAACCCAATAAGCATCGCGTAACTTAACCTCGCCGTGTCGATGGTGTTGATCGGACCTCATTTCGTCCATCGGTAAATATTTTCCTCGGCGCTGATGTGATTCAATGCGTCAATCATGTTTAATAACAGCACGCTTCACAGTTATAAAAATTTAAATTGTCAATACACTCAATAACAAATATAAATTATCAAGTTGATGATTAACATTAACACAACATGGACGCCTTTTTCTTCTTGTACAACTTGTTGATCACTTTACATGATTTCGAATTAATTTCAACTAATTATCAGTTTTATCAGTTAATTTTTACTCGAAACAATAGACAATCGATTTTTACATCTCAAGGTAATTTCCGAAACATTATCCGAAGTTCATGAGCACTTCTAGATAACTGATAAGATTCAATCGATAAAAATCAAAATTTAAGGTGCAATTGAATATTAATCAGCTAGGTTTATTCCGTTTCTTTCTTCTCTTTATATTCTAAACACAAATGCAATGCGATAAGCATGTAGATAATTATAAATGGCAACTTTCATGACCTAGATAATCGCCGACACGTGTCACGCTGGTATTTTTTCTAAGCGTGTGTTGACAAAGTGTGCGCGCGGCTATTTAAATACGAATATGTATCTAAAATGAACACAGCGCAAACAATACGCGTTTAACTTATTTTCTTTTGCTTCGTATTGATGATGGCGATGATGATGATGTCGCTGGGGTTATCACGATTCCTTCCGTACATACAACGCAGAGCGTACTTGAAACAAACGCGTTTGTTTATCGTAATTGCAGTAAAACGCAATACGGCATAAACAAAACAAACCGGACTGTTTGTTGTGATTGTTTCAAGGTTATGTGTGGTTGTATTCACATTTTGTGCTACTGCGCATGCGCATTAGTAATTTTTTGTATAATTTCAGGTGATTTGACTAGTGATGTATTACGGGTTGCGTGTGAAGCCCGCAGTAAATCCCTGGGACCTTTTCATCCATCGTTCAACATCCAGAATATTCTGATTGAGAACATGGAGAAATTATTGCCGGAAGATGCGCATATTCGTGTCAGCGGGAAATTACACATTTCCCTGACGCGTGTCTACGACGGTAAAAATGTGATTGTCTCACAGTTTGACTCCAAGAGGGATTTGATGGATGCGCTGCTTGCATCTGCGTTCATTCCGATCTTTTCGGGGATTTTACCGCCGAGATTCAAAGGTGTGCGGTACATGGATGGTGGATTCAGTGATAATTTACCAACTTTGGATGAAAATACTATCACTGTCAGCCCGTTTTGTGGCGAGAGTGATATTTGTCCAAGGGATGACAGCATGCAATTGTTTCATGTAAGTTTTTACTAAAATTAAACAAAAACATGTTTTTAATTTTTATTTTTTATAAATTTTATAGATTAACGTTGCTAATACTTCGATTGAACTTTCCCGTCACAATATCTATCGTATTGTGAGGATTTTATTCCCGCCCAACCCGGAAGCCTTGTCAAACATGTGCAAACAAGGTTTTGACGATGCGCTGCGTTTCCTACACAGGAATAATTTGATCAGCTGCACGCGTTGTCTTGCTGTGCAGTCCACTTTTGTTGTTGCTGATAGTTTGGAGGATTCAATGGAGTTTGATCCAGAGTGTACGGAATGTCAACTACACAGACAGGTAATATCAGCCATTTTTTATTTTTGAGGTTATGTCATGTTTAATTTTTTTTTAATTGTAATATAGGAAGCGCTTGTTTCTAACCTGCCAGACACTGTTCTGAGCATTTTCCAAGAGGCGATTGATTCCGCAAACAAAGGTCTTGTCAACTGGGTGTTTAAACACCGTGGAATGAAGTTACTTTCAGTGCTTAGCCTTCCATACACACTGCCCTGTGATATGATGTTTGCCACATTCACAAAGTAAGTTTAAAAATCATCCTGTAGAATAGAATCATTGAATTTTTTTGTTTTTTGTTTTGTTTTTTGTTTGTGTTTGTAATACTTACTAACAAATCATTTAGTTATGTAGTAACACATAGATTAATCCTATAAATGACATGTAGTATAGTTGGGGACACGTACGAACGCAAAGATTTTGCGTACAAATTCGCCACCATGCAATTAACAAACCCATTGCCTTCCAAGCGGCGTCCGCGCGGATGTCCCACACATTCGAAAGCACGCCGTTCATTCACACTAATCCCAAGGTGACTCAAACAGCGCCCATTCCCAAAAGTCACTAACTTTACCTTTTTCTCTGTTTGCGTTGTAGATTCATGGCATCCGCACCAATCATGGGCAACGGTCTCTGGGAGCTGAGTAAATATTTCATGGATCAACTAGCGGGGGTCCTCAATCGGGTCAATAGTAAACGACAGCAGATTAGTGCCAAAATCACCTGCCAGTTGGACATAACTGAGTACGGTGGTAATAAGTTGAAGAGACTGCGACGTTTCCGTCGACGCAATGAGGACGAGTACGATGATGATTACTATTTGACAGATGTAGAATCAGCCGATCAAGGCACCTCAAACAAGATGAATTTAAATTTCATTTTGAACTTGGACGATGGTGATATCCCTTTGAGTAGTAGTAAAATGTTGTCGAGAACGCCCAGTTTTACCGTTACCAGAAGTGATCAGGCTTTGGCTGATGATACTTTTGATAATATCTTAGAAGTTACCGCACATCACGACGCCATCATGGCGTATTACTATCTAGAAGATAATAAGGTAGGCAACTTATTATACACCAAATTTATACAAAAACTAACATAAATTCTGTGTTTTTTAGGTAAAAGTAACTGAAATCTTCGACGTGACTGAATCCGATTCGCCATTTGTTCAATCAGCATACGAGCGTGATCTGAACACGCAGTTGGAATTCGACGATGACGAATGGGACGACGAGGACGCAATGTCCCTACGCGCAAATTGTAAATAAGCTCAGGTTGTGCGATTGCAGCACGAAATCATGTTGATTCGTTTATAGATTCGAAGAGTATGAGTGAACTACTATCGGACGCAAACAGTGACATCGATGATGAGTACGTCGCGGACCGCGACACCAGCAACATCTTCTCCGACCCGGAAAGCGACTGGACAGGCACGTACAAAGTGGAAATGCCCGATGATGATGACGATGATGACCTGGATGATGATTCCAATGGTACCATGATGGGTAACGACACGCGTCCGGAGTCTGACCGGCCAATCAAACGGCCGTATATTGTCCCAGCGATGAGTTATGACGATCTCGCGATGTAAGTCCCTCCCTTGCCTGCTATTCTTGACGACTGCGACTTATATTTATCTAGCCTAGTCAAATAAAAACAAATCTATTCTTATGAACGTTAAGCACTGACAACGTTTTCCTGTAAACTAAGAATAGAACCAATGAGATATTGATAGGAATAAGAGCAAAACTAAGAAAATACGTTACTTGTGATTTCGGGAACAAATGTATGTGATAAACTTATTCAATTTAGCAAAGTAATAGCAATAAGTAAACAAATCTAGCTAAATAAATTAAATTAAACGTGATTATAGGAAGTTCTAACCTAGTTCTTGCAACTAAAAGTATTCTATTTTATATATTTTTGCTAATTTTATTTTTTGATTGTAACTGCAATAAACGTCGAAAATCCAGATATAAAAATTTATTCATCACCAAAAAAAACAGAAATTAAACTAGAATTCATCGATACCTGTACAAAATATAACCAAACTATTGTATACCATACCTGTTTATGTCGACCACATGTAGAAGTAATTACTTTGCCAAAATGGCACGTATTTTATCAGTGGTAAGCAAATAATATTCGCGAATGGAACGTTTTTACTCAACGAATTCAAAATGGCGGCGATGCGACGACGACTGTAACGGTCGTAGAACGGTGAACGCAGTAAATACAACAGAAGACCAATATATCGACGTGACACTTCCATTTTCTGCTTGCTGGTGAGTCTTTTATCACCTTTTTTATACAATTGTATACTGGAACAAACAAAAAACAAAAGTTTATGGATTTTGGTTTGAATTACTTTTGTTGGTTATGTTTACCTGCCGAGATCAATTAATAAGCTTAATAAAAATGGTTTCCATGATTTATCGCCGAAACAACCAAGCGCACATAGATGTGCGATTGGTTTAACAATGTATAATGTTTCTGCGATTAGTTGTTGACCTGCCAGTGCTTGTTCGATTGTCTGTTCATTATCAAATTGTGTCCTGTGCAATGATCGCCAATTTCTCACGTGTATCGGCGGTGATGCATCAACTTTCCTTATAATTTTACCTGATCTCTTCAAATTAAATGATACTGAATCCATTTGGGCTTGTGCCACTTCAGCAGCAGCTGTTTCTGTTGCTTGTGGGATCATAATTTGTTTGCGCATTAAAACCTGAACAGGAGGATGTTGAATGATGGTTTCTTTGTGTTTGCAAACCAGGAGTAATCTTGATATGCATCTGGAATATATATTATTAGATATAAAACATTTTGATGTGAGTATTTATACTTGAAAACTTGAATTGACACAACAATTAACCATTTTCCTCTTGTTCCCCAAACTTGTCTGGCTGTTAACTCCAGCAGGACTTCACAATATTCCAAAACAGTCAGCCAGACTTTTAGTGTATCTCCTGAGCAGGGAAGCTCTAAATTTTTCTCACTTCTTATGATCCTATCATTGAATAGGACTAGAAGATTGGATAGACAATAGACAAGTTCGGAGACAATGTGTGAGTTGTTGATACGACCTAGAAACGATGTTTTTGTTGAATATTATGTTATATTGTGCTGTGATTGTTACCTACCAGCAACAAAATATGATATCCACTTGATAGTAACTTCGTAATCGCTTGCTTTGATTGGATTTTCAGCAATCCATTTCTTGTAAGATGCGTAAAACTCTGGTAGTGATAGTAACATCGTCGTCATTTTGTTACCAGACTTCGGTGGATTGGCTGCGGAACTTTGGCACTCGAACGTATTCATCTGCCTCCACACTTTTACTTCAACGTAAGTTTTATCAAAACGTAAATTCGTTTTATCTGTAATTTTTATTATTCAAGGTGAAACGCATACATATTACGGTTATGTTTTGTTCTGTTTATTATAGGCAACCAAAAGTACACGATTTGAAAGGTATAAAAAGTTCTTACACTAAAATTTAGTTTAAAAGCTTAATTATTGTTATAAATTTGTTATCCATATTTAAGGGAATCAACAAGTAAGATTTCTTTTACGCGTTTTGCATGTGCATCATTTTCATCAATGGGAATTGCTTCTAATTCATCGATTCTTTCAACTAATAACAATTTCTTAATGACGCCATGTCCTGTGAGGTTAGTTAATATCTGCATGCAATATTTCTGCGCTGTTGGTTGATGAACAGCTTTTGTTAGTGATATTAATCTATCGACTAACTCTGGTAGTTTTATTGCTTGTACTAGGGATTCTAGTGTTACTGTAGCAAACAGCATGGCTGCGGCTGCATTTTCATAAACCACAGGAATCTAATATCAATAAATAATTATTTAAAAGGTAAATACGCGCTCAACCCGCAAAAAGTAGTGGGGGTAAGTGTTAGCTACTTTGGGTGGGTAAACCATATAACGTACCTCTGATAGTAAAAATCTGTACAAATATTTCTTGAGCAGTTTAACTTTCAACGCGATTTCCTTCACTTCTTTAAGTTGTAATAAAATACTGATGCTTTTCAATGCTGCAGCAATCACATTCGGATCAGAATTCTCTTTTAAAACACTCAATACAACATCAAAATATCCACATTCAAATGCAAGTTGCTTCCCGTTGCAATACATTAAGTGTTCGACAGTTTGCATAATCAAAATGAGCACATCTTTATCTTCTACTTGATAAGTCCGTTTTAAAATCTCTACCAATAGCTCCACATAACCATTATCAACCAAAACATCCGCAACTATAAATTATTTACTAATAAACTATCTTAAAACAAGATATAAACATAAAATACCCATCCATATCAATGATAATGTTTCCAACAGTGAAAAAGCCTGTAACCTCACTGGAATTTCCTCATCCTCCATGCATAGTTTAATATTTTTCATCATTTCATTATTTTTAACGATGGCATTCTTTCCGTCCATTAGGTTACCGATTGTCGTGAGTGCTATGAGTGTGCGTTCACGAACTTCCGCATCCGGATGCTCCAAAAGCGGCACCAGACGCCCAGGTAGGTGAAGTTTAATCGCTTCGTAATTGCGTTCTGGGTCATGCACCAGGTCACAAATTGTGGTTATTGCTTGCTTTACCATGCATTGATTAGAATTATGCAATTCTCTAAGCTTAAAAATTAAAATTTTAATGATTTTTATGTAAAAACGTGCAAAAAACGTAAAAATTACTAATTTAGGCATTGCTAATCTACCAAACGCCAGAGGTCGTCTTGTTATATCACAGTTTTCAATGGGTAAACATGGCTGGTTTGAGGTTAAGCGATTAAATGGCGGCATACTATCAAAAGCATCGATTGTAGGCTTCCCCATTGCTTAAAAAGGTTATGTTTATTATAAATTAAAGAAAACTAAAGAAATTTATACCTTTATCAACGCATCTGTTAATAACACGTGCATTAACAGCTGTTGCCATCTGCAGGTAGGAATTTTTATAACTTGCATGCATTTTGTATTATTTTAATTAAATTCACACTAAAAAAAGACTACAAAAACGTTTTTTTTTTGTGTATAAAAACATTGACAAATGTATGTTTTGTCATTTGTTTATTAATTCCATAGCAATTTGCAAACAGAACAACATTTTTCATGTTGGTTGGTAACAAGGATGTGCTGCTTACTGTAATTATCATGATTAGATACTTTGTGCGATTGTGTGATGCGTGTTACATAACCTACTTTGAGTAAAAAAATAATGGAAGCACTTATTGAAATAATCTATGATCTGAATCATAGATCAATCAAAATAACTATTTATATTTTATTTTTAAACGTGTATAAATACTCTTTGGACTTTAAACATTCGAATTATTCATCGAATCAATTCGCGAATCAACCAAATTCAGCACAGGACACAGCTGATATCGTTTGTAGTGCGACGCCGCACACACACTTCCCCCTCCCCTCACGGCTGGATCGTTGGCCGTCGACGAAGCGCAATAACAACACACTGCACACACACCGAGCGCGTCACTGACCGATCCAACTCATTCCTGAAAATAACAATAAAAACATTTGTGTCTAGTGCAAAATAAGACTTTCAACGAAATATGTGGCGAAAGTATCGCGTCGGTTTACAAATCAAGTGTTTCTACACGCCGAAATCCACAATATCAACAACATCAATATAAATTGATGATAAAACCGCTTAACAACTCAACTATTAGTACCAGCGTCGCCGGTTGTCACTTGATATGATAAGCATGCAAATCATTCGGGTCGAGTAGCGAACTGCGATTGTGTTCATTTCAATACAACTGTGAGTGCGGCGTTGAAAACAACGTGGGATTGAATAATCACGGTTTAAATGATAACAAATTAAAATTTAATATTTTTAGTGTTTTTTATGTGCATTTACGTTATAAATATTTTATAGTGAAAAATGTCGCAGTTACAAGTTGTAAGTATCTTTATTTTTGCGTGTTTTGAGATTTTCGGGGGTTGTTACATCAAATCGATTGATGGTGCGATTCTGTGTTCACCACTTTGCTTCACTCGCGAGTGAAGAATGAAGTAAATTGCTATTAATAGCAACTGGAGCATGTAATAGTATAATAAATAATTGATATGTACTTTTTTATTGCTTGTTTTTGATTGATAATCATTTTTATTTATTTTGTTGCAGATTAAAGATGTTGGTCCCAAGTTAATTCCGTTTTTCAAAACGGTGGCGATTTATTTCGTTGTGTTTATTCCGCAAGCAAGTCCCGGGTACATCGCGGCTGTTCTCAAATGTCTGCCGATTATTTGTCTGATGATTTTCGTCGTTTGGCATGGCCAGCAAATGGAGGAACGGTCAGTATACGAGTTAATTATGTAATAAAAGCATTAAAAACATAAAAATACTAACGCTGTGTTGTTGTTTTGGGTATAAAAAGATATAGTCAAGGTTACAAACTTGACTTTCTCATGTTTATGTTTACGTTTGTGTTTGTGTTAATAAAAATAGTTCAGTTGTGGTGATGAGTAATTGGTGGCACGCTTTTTGGCTTTTTTATGTTTTTTGGCTGAATTCGCGCGTGAAAATGAGTTAAACACGTAAATCATCGCCGCTCGCTAAAGTTTCAATCATTTAAATATAGAATTTGGCAATTGACGTGCATACAGGCGTGTTTATTCTGTAATTTAGGTGCAGATAAATCTATTTTTGATCTGGTTCATATTTGATATGAGAATTATTAGTGCTGTGGTATTAAATATTTATTTTTGAAAGAATATAATTGATTTGGCCTCAAATTTCGTTTTTTTAGAGTTATTAATTAATAACTTCAAAAATAATTAGTGTGGAGTTATTATTCTTACAGGAATAGATTAAGAATTAAATTTTGCATGATATATAATCAATTATTTGTTGTTAAAATTGGTTTAACAAAAGTTATAACATTTTAAAGTTGCTTTTACCAAAAAAACAGTATTCACAAAAGTATTTCATTTTTTTAGTTAATAATCAATAATTTTAAAAATAATTATTGCAAAGTTATAATTCTTCCAAAAATAGATTAACAATTAAATTTTGCATGATATATAATTAATTATTTGTTGTTAAAATTGTTTAAACAAAAGTTATCGCAATTTAAAGATGAAATTATTAAAAACGTACTGTTTCATTTTTTTAGTTAATAATCAATAATTTCTAAAATAATTATTGCAAAGTTATAATTCTTTCAAAAATAGATTAACAATTAAATTTTGCATATAAAGGATCAAGTTGTTTGTTGTTAAAATTACTGTAACAAAAGTTATTACCATTTAAAGTTGAATTTAGTAAAAAGAAACTTTATTTTTAATTTTTATAGTTATTAATCAATAACTTAAAAAATAATTATTGCAGACTGTTAATTCTTTTAGAAATAGATTAACAATTAAATTCTACATATAATTTACTAAAATATTTGTTGTTAAAATTGTTTAAACAAAAGTTATAGCAATGTAAAGTTGAAATTATTAAAAAAACGTACTTTTTCATTTTTTTCTGTAGTTATTCATCAATAATTTCTAAAATAATTATTGCAAAGTTATAATTCTTTCAAAAATAGATTAACAATTAAATTTTGCATCTAGTTCAGTAATTTATGTGTTGTTACAACTGTTTAAACAAAAGTTATAGCAATTAAAAGTTAGTTTTAGTTAAAAAAGCGCACTTTTAATTTTTGTAATTATTAATCAATAACTTCCAAAATAATTACTTTAGAGTTTTAATTTTTCAGAATAGATTTACAATCAAATTTTACATACAGTTTAGTAATTTACTTGTTGTTATAATTGTTTAAACAAAAGGTATAACAATTTGAAGTTGATTTCAGTAAAAATAACTTTAATTTTCATTTTTTTCTGTAGTTATTAATCAAAAATTTCTATAATAATCATTGCAAAGTTATAATTCTTTCAAAAATACATTAACAATTAAATTCTACACATAATTTAACAAAACATTTGTTGTTAAAATTATTTAAACAAAAGTTATAGCAATTTAAAGTTAAATTTACTAAAAAAAATTACATTATTTTCCATATTATCGACTATAAATCTAACAAAACAGGCTTTTAACTTATTATTTTAACGACATAATACCGCATTTAATAATTACACAAGTCACGCACACTTAAATATACTTTTAAAACATAATGTTTAAATATAAATTGCATTTACAGCTTCAAATCATTCTGGAAAAAAATCCTCTGCGGATTATTCTTCTCCTGCATCGGTGACTACTGTCTAATTTGGCCCGACTACTTTATCCTGGGAATGGTGGCATTCGCAGTCGGCCATGTCAACTACATCATGGCGTTCGGTTTTCAACCATTTAATCTTCCAGCCGGCTTGTGTTCATATCTCGTAGCTACAATCGGTAAACACTTTAAATTACATGTAAATGTAACAATGTTGATATTGTTAAACACACATGAAACATACTTCCAGGTTGTTTGTATTTGTTGCCTGGTTGTACTGGCATCATGCTTCCTGGTGTGCCACTTTATACACTCCTGTTGAGTACAATGATGTGGCGAGCAATCGCGCGATTTCCACTTAAAAAGGTAAAATTATTTATAACTAGCTGTTGCCCGCGACTTCGTCCCGGCAATGTTTTATAAAAAAGTAATTCGTTTTTACTCACTTGTTCTAGACATACTCGTAGTAAGAGTCAATTCTATCAATAAGATTAGCAATTTTAATTTAAAGAAATTAATTATATAAAGTTTTGTCAATAATGCACTTCAGCGCGCCATCTCGAATTCAACTATTTAACTATAACTATGATTGAATCTCAATGTCAAATTTTATTCTATAGAAAAGAGCTGTTTTGAGGATTTTCCCGGCAATTATTCGAATTTTTCTCACCTTTTAAACCATCCCTAGACCTCCATGAATAATTCAAGACCTAGATAAGATAAATCCGTTCAGCCGTTCTCGAGTTTTAGCGAGACTAACAAACAGCAATTCATTTTTATATATATAGATTTAAAAATAAATTATTTATTAATCTTGTTTTTTGTAGAATTTATGGAGTTGGACACGTCTTTTTACTGCAGCCGGCGCGGTGTTGTTTGTTATCTCAGACTTACTCATCGGTCTCGGGATGTTTAAAAAGTTAGCAATTCCGCATGCACAGGTAAAATGTTATTGATGCTTTTTACAACAACTTAAACGATGATTTACGATGATATTTCAGGCTGCTATTATGGGAACCTACTACCTGGCTCAACTTGGCATTGCTTTGAGTGTCGTTGACTTGAACGACAACATTAAACAAGAGTAAATGCATTTAAACATTCAGTAAACAACTTTAAACTCCTCTTCTCTCTGAACTCTTGCTGCATTTCTGCTTTTTTCAAACTCACAGCAATATTTAATTGTATAATTGTTTTCCTACAGCGATAAGAACCCCAAATATCCTGAAAAACCACCAAATATTATTTGTACCTACAATATTGATGCCCCTCCTGTTGGATGTCCTGTGTAATAATAATTATTTAATTAATTTTTGTGTGAGTTTGAAAAACTCAAGAAACAGCAGAGATAAATGTCAAATAACGTAAAATTAGACAATATTAATGTAAATTGTTACAATGTAGGTTGATACTACATTGATTCCTATAATTGCGATCTCCGTGAGTTAACATTTATAATGTTAGATGATGTGTATATCCTGATAGTCTTCCTAACAGTTGTATTACTGTCAATTTAAAACCAAAACCAGAGACATTTTGAAACTTGTTAGTCGTAATTTTAAACAATCATGTTATACTTGTATTATTATAAAGGTGAAATGTGTACAGTTAACATTTTAGATGATGTATATTAATATATTATGTTGTTTAACTTGTTACAATTAAGATTTATACTTGTTTTGAAGAATTATAGTTCAATTTCAATTCAAACAACTGACATCTCATAGTAATATTAAAATTAGATGACAGATGGCGCTGCGTGTACTAAACTCGTAATTTTTTTAATATTTTTGTTGTATATTTTCTTTGTATTCACGTAGATCCTTTAAATACTTAAATTTATTTGTTTCTATTTAATATTTAGCGAAATTATTAATGCAAAACAACTAAAACACGAAATATGAATGTTTTAGTTGTAAGTTAGTGTCAGTAAATATCACAGATGGCGCTGCATGTACTAAAACTCAACTAAAATCCGTCAATTCAATCGCTTAAACATTGTAACGGTCACCTTCACTAGTGCATCACGTATTTTTATCAAATCAGTGTACAAACAAACAATTGATACAAGCAGGTAAAGTTTACACTAAATTTACAAGTGAAAACGTTGATAAAATTATATAAACCACTAAATATACGTGACATATTTGTATTCTGATGATTTCATCGATTTCAACCGTTACACGTGTAAGTTTTAATTCAAATCTTATTAAATTACTAGATTATAACAGATATTGTGTGTTAGACGTAAGCACATGCAACTGTTTGGATTTTTGATTCGGTAATCAAAGTTCAAGCAACAGGACATTTGACCGTGTTGAACTTTCATTCTTTTTCTCTTTGATTATTGCTGTTCGCTTGCTATGTATGCAACTTAACAAGCATCACATTAGATTAAAACAGTAATTTTTAAATTATTGCTCGGCGGTGGACACAATTCGCGATCAAATATGTATGCGCAAACAAGTACAAGCAGTACGGTAGCGTTGCAGGTTCGCAGCACCACGGCACCACCAGCATCGGAGTTTCGTGAAGTTTATTAGTGCGCGCGGTGCTGCGTCGTGTAGCGCACAGCTGGTGTATGCGCGGACAAGGTTTGCGCTTTGCGCGTTTCTAGCCGTGCGTTTGTTGAAAAGCAACTCGTTAGTTTACAAACCAGCGACGCGCGACGACGACGACGACGCTCGTGCCTCCCAAGAGAATACACGAAATACAGTAAATCGTAAACTGCGGCCGTAAAACGTAGCAGAATGTTTGAAAATCGTGCAAAGTGCATCAACACACTCGTAAATTCAAAAGTTTCAGTTTAAATTTGTGACAAAATGTGACCGAACCGTTATGCGTTGAAACTTGAAACACGTCGCGTTGTGCGTTTCTCTTTGAATTGTTAAATTATGATCCGAGCGGACGCGCGGACAATGCGTCGTTGGACGTTATTTAATGCTGGTGTTCTTGCGACAGTGGATAACGAGGATAACGCACGACTTAAACCGCGTTAACTGGCTTCAATTGGTGCAAAGTGCGCGAGACGCCGACGTAAGCAAAGGACACATTATAAAAACCCAGCAAGGATTACAAATTTATCAAAATCAGGCCTTTTTCTACATCAATCTACCTGCATAAATGGTAAATATCTAAAAATGTAAATATTACTGATGATAATTGAAAGAAATTACCATAAATTAATTTTCCATGTCATTTTCGCGATGTGTAGCGATGGAAAATGTTGCGTTTGCGTCAATAAATGACTGGTTGTCGTATTGAGACGTTGGGTTTCGAATTAGGCACGAAACTATGTTGTTTATGAATAGTTTCAACAGATAAGGTGATAAACTTTTTGTTTGACTCGTAAAATATGCGATAAAAATGTTCGTGAGGTGTTTGTGCATTTGTTTAGGACAAGTATTCAAAGTGTCGACAACTAGACGAATTGCTTTTATTTATTAGACGAAAATTAATACAAATAAAAATAGAAATCTATTAAAAACAGATTGTTTATTAAATTTTGCATATTTTAGAGTGAAAATTTTAATTTTTTGATTATTATTTTAAAAGTTATAAGGGATTTAAGTTTAATTATGAATAAAAAGAGTTTTATGTGTTTGTATGAACACCCAGTATATTTTTATTGGTTGTCATTAAATTTAGCTCTTATTTTTTATTTTGACTTAGTTATTTATTAATTATTCGAATAGGAATGAAAATTAAATAATAATTCTTTTGAAAATAGATTTTTTATTAAATTTTTGATGTTTTAAAGTCAAAATTTCAGTTTTTTGATGATTATTCAAAAAGTTATTAACAATTGAAGTTGAATTATCAAGTTTTATGTGTTTATATAAACACCCTGTATGTTTTTATTGAATTTCATATCAAACTAAACTTATAATTTTTACTTTGACTTAATTATTTAATTATTACACGAAAAGTAATAAAAATAAAATAATAATTCTTTTAAAAATCGATTCTCAATTAAATTTCTCATTTTTTAAAACCAAAATTTTAATTTTTTGATGATTACACAAGAAGTTATTAACCATTGAAGTTGAATTATCAATTTTATGTGTTTATATGAACACCCTGTATGTTTTTATTTATTTTCATATCAAACTAAACTCATAATTTTTACTTTGACTTAATTATTTAATTAATACACGAAAAATAATAGAAATATCGTAATTATTTTTTTAAAAATTGATTCACAATTAAATTTTTCATTTTTTAAAACCAAAATTTTAATTTTTTGATGATTACACAAAAAGTTATTTTGAAAGTTTGAAGTTTGAAGTTGAATAATGTAAAAATAAGTTTTTTGTGTTTTTATAAACACCCTGTATATTTTTTATTGAGTGTAGGTATCAAATCTTACTCCGCACGTAATTATTATGATTATATTCAATCGAAAACACAAATTTAAATTTAAATACGTATTTGAATATATCTCGCACACACGATTTGTTCTTTTCTTCTTCTTCGCGAAGTTAGTCTTTTTTTTTTGGGTTAAGATTTGCGTCAATGCCGACTACATAACTTTTTTTTGCGCGCTCATGTGAAACAGTGAAACATGCCATACTTGTTTCATTTCTTGAATAAATCTCAAGCATATAAGTAATACACACATAAATTACATCTTCGTTTGTATATTTTTTTCTTCGTTTTTATTTTAAATTTAAATATTCTATTAAGTTTTTTTGTTGTTTCTTTCTTTTTGTTGCACTGTGTCATAAATTACGACTTATTTGGTCGTGCTTTGGTCGAATTTTGTTTTGGTGCATAAATTTTTTATTTGCCTCCAAACGTCGAAAACAAGTTGTGCGAATCTACATCGCAGCGAATGTGTTAATGTAACATTTAATTTTATTGCATGTGACATGTGTCAGTATCAAGTGAAATTATTTCTTCATCGAAATACGACTCGTCTCGAGTTACAGCATTTTAAATTTTGAATTTTTTTTTAACATTTTTTTAATTTTTTTTTTTTACGATTTTGTGATAGAAAAAGTGTTACTTTAAACACGGATAGCCATGACTGTAACTAAACTACTTTAGTCACGGGCTTTTGTCACGGGGTGGAGCTTACGCATGCGCATTTGCCTACGATGCAGCTCAAGTCAATATAAAATGCCACAAATTCTGTCAATCACACAAATCACGTGGCTAAATGTTGTTAAAAATGTTAAAATATACTATTATTTTATACCAGTGTATAAAGTATAGTATTCAACATGATACCATATTCATTTTGAGCTAGATTTGTGATTTTATCAGTAAAATCCGCATAAAAGTCAAATGTAGGCGGACAGTGATTAATTTTGTATTATACATTCTAAGCATTTGAACAACATAAATCAACCATGGTATATTTTCCGTGCTCGTAATTTAATTAGCATTTTAATTTGAGGCATTTGAACACCTTGTAATTATAGCTTAATTACATACATGATAAATACCATGTAGGTTGCATGTTCCAACAATATCTATTTTTATTTCCGTCGCGCGATTATGTTTCACATGCTGCGCATGCGCGTCTAAATTAATTCGCTTTTTTCGCGCCGGTGCGTCACACTTTTAATCCAGCTCTTGTTTCCACACGCTTCTAAAATTGTGTGTGAGTTGAGTTATCAAGTAATTATATTGTGACTAATTGCGAAATTATTTTATGGCCGCCATTATTTTATGATGACGTCGACATAACCTAAATCTTTCATTTTTTGAAATTTCACGTGTATAAAACTAAAATAACTTATAATTTGGTATTAATTACGTTGTTTTTAATTGGTTTATAGAAAAATATTTAAATTTATGAAGAATAGAAGTGATTTTTATGTAATAAATAGACCCTAATAATCATAAACAGTGCTTATCTGTTAATAAAGATGGCAATTAGTCTAAAATGTTATAAATGTTGATGGAAACGTATAAATTTACGCCAGAATATTACCCGTGATTAGTCCGTAATAATTATTCGTCGAAACTTGATGAAAAACAAAAATTTCTGAGAAAATAACACGAATTACCACAAAAACGAATTTAGTACATCCGGGATCGTCTGCGACTGCGTCAATCATACATATCCACTTAATCCACATGTAAGTAATGTTTTTTTGTGTTTTGCAGAATTTTGTGGCTTGTGACAGTTGCGCCAAGTGCCTGAAATGGAGTGGTGAGTGGCTTTTTTTTTGTATTTAAATCCATTTGCTAATTTATTGCGTGCGCGAAATTTTGATCGGATCAATCAGAGTATCAAGCTCTTGCTCTGTTGGTTGTTGGTGCGCGTTGACGCGCAAACGCGAGCACTCGCCGCGCCGCCGAAGAGATAGCCTTGCAACTTTTATCATTGGCCTAAATAAATACATTCATGAAACTCGAGCCGGACTGGCAAAAAACACACATACAGTCAAATGTATATGGAACTATTAGTTATTCGTAAACTAGTAGATTAATAAACAATAATAATATAATAATCATAATGGGAACTCGCACCATAAGCAATAAATAACAATAAATATCGTTAATTTATGAAGCTATCTGCACTCCATTGTGGGGAATTAATTAGAATTACAGCGGGGTATTATTCATTGTTTGACGGCTATAAATTAATTCAAATTGTTAATTTATAGGTAATTTTCAAGAAGTTAGTTATTAAAATATAATATTTTAGCAAATAAAGTTTATTACAGGAAGAAGATAATTAATTATATATTATTTTATTAATAAAAAGGTTTTTTCAAAGTTTTTTTAAGTGATTTTTTAGTTTTTAACATTTTGATTGTGATTACTAAACTAAAAATGATAGAGATGAACGGATTGAATATTCTTAATCTATGGGAAATTCTCCATTTGATAAGCTATTAGATCAATTTTAAGTTTTAATTTAGATCAGTTAAATTGCTAATCTAAGAGATGAAAAAATAATTCAAAATGAAAAATGGACATGGTGCTGCATCAAGTTTTTTTATCAGTAGCGAATACCTACTAAACTAAAAGCGATAGCAACCAACGAATCAAAGAAAATGAAAGTTTGGAAAATTATTTATAAGACAAAATAATAACATGTATAAATTTCATGGGGTAAAGGTTCTGAAATCGTAATCAAAAGTTGTAGTTTTCGAACTTTTTTTTCACTTTTTTCAATTTTCAAATGCGAATATCTCGAAAACTAAAAGCGATAGAGATGAACGGATTGAAGATTCATAACCTACGTCTAATTATCTATTTGATAAGATATTAGATAAATTTTATGTTTTAATTTAGGTAAGTTAAATTGCAAATCTAAAAGATGAAAAAATAATTCATTATAAAAAATTGACAAAGGGTGCTGCATTATGTTTTTTTTTTTGGTAGCGAATATCTTCTAACCTAATAGCGATAGCGATCAAATGATCAAAGAATATGAAAGTTTGTAAAATTGTTTATAAGACAAAATAATAACATGTATAAATTTCATGGGCTAAAGGTTCAGAAATCGTAATTGAAAATTGTAATTTTCAATTTTTTAAATTTTTTTTTAACTTTTTTCAATTTTCAATTGCGAATATCTCGCTAAACTAAAAGCGATAGAGATGAACAGATTGAAGATTCGTAATCCTTGTGGAATTCTCTATAAGATAAGCTCTTGGTCCATAATGATCTTTTTTAAAATCCACTTTAAATTGGAATTTTAATGTAAAAAAAAAACGTTTTCTTATTCAAAACGGTTTAATCAAAATAAATTGAGTTCATCATGGTATAAACCCAACCAAAATAAGGTCATACACGCAAGAGCAGAAAACTATACCTACACTCTGCATACATGTATCTGTGTGTTGTTGTAATGTGCCAAAACGAGATTTATTAATCGACGCAAACTTGTATCGACTGACGAAGAAACACACGATACGCGAAACAAAATTAACATGAATTATTAGCGAACTCACCAAAGTGTGCTCTAATGTACTGTGTTTTTATTTATATTATTAGATAATATGTAATATAATTCAACAGGACGTCGCAAAATTCGTACGTAAAGTCTGGCGTCTCTTGCGCAATATCTACGTGGTGTGTGTGCTGAATTAATTCATTAATATGCAGATGTAGACATAATGTGCGCGCGATTAATCAAATTCGAGTAAATGCGAGTGTCGAATTGCAAATTACACGTTTTGTGGCGGCCAGGTCACGCTGTGCGCAAGATCAGCGCGATTAGTTATGACAAATTAATAATTGCGCCAAATGTCATTATCCTAATCTTGAATTATATTAGAAATATGAGTAAATGTATGTTTGTGACGCTACTACATTAAAACCACTCAACGAATTTTGATAAAATTTGGTTTGGAGATGGTTTGGAGATAGGAGAATGACATAGGCTATTTTTTATTGCAAAAATATAATATACAGGGTGTGTAAAATAGTTTTAAAGTATTTTAATATTAAATAATCCTTTTTTGCGCCATCTAGATTCGTTTAATATAACTATAATACGATTTTCTCCAAAATTCAACTTTCTACCCTTATTTAAACCCGTCCAATTAAATTTTTGCAACAAAAAGTAGTCTATATTATTCTCCAAAGTCTAAAATACCTCCACACAAAATTTTATAAAAATTACTTTCATAGTTTTGCCGTGAAAGCGTCACAACTAAACTTATAAACTCAAAAACCAAATTTTCGATTAAAATCTTAACGCATTGAAAATGTTTTTATGTAGTGTGAATATAAATAAATTCAGTGTGATTACGACACATTTCGCTCGCAGCCACACTGGCTATACACGTCGATATAATATATCAATCGATTCTTTGTGCCGTTAGCACCGCGTGCTCATTTACTTATTGCGCGCATAAAAACAAGGATTGAAACAGATTGAAAAGGAGAACTGTCACACGCGCCAGCGTCAGACAGTTAATCCTGACCGGCATACACGACCGCCAACAACATTCAGCAACAAATTTCATTCAATAAACTGCGCAGTTTGTGTTCTTTGGTAAAATAATTTCTGCCCGCATTCGTAGCGCCTACTTTATGCATGCTGGTCGTCGATTAATCCCCGACAATCGTTATTGACAGCTCATTGAACACGCATGCGAGTAGAAGATATAATACACTGCTTTTTACACAATAATAAATAATTACATCTAATGTACCGAGCGGAAAAATTAATAAAATCAATATTTTTGTATTTTATTGTGAACACTCTGTATATATTCATCTGGTAATCTAAACATGAGTTTTACTACTTAGCGTGCGCTTAATTAAGCTGCGCATGATTAAACTTCAACTCCAACATGGCGGCTGAGGCTGAATAAATGCATAAATTTATATACATACATATTTGGTAATAGTTAATTCAATTTCGGGTTTTAATTCGAGCGACAAATCAATTAACACGTTTCGGAATTAATCATTGATTGTTATTTGGGAGTTTATTATGAATTTCATTCGGTTTTTTTGCGTGACGATGGTAAAAACTGCTATTTGTAAGCAGTTTGTTGTCAATAGCGCGTATACTTTGCGACATAGTGCCAATATTTATTACAATCGCCGCCATTGACGTAGGTTTTCTGCGATTTTATTCACAATTGCGCACGACACGAATTATTGAAGCAGCTAATAAATATTTTATCAATATATATCTCTTGTGCAACCAAACACAAGCACGAAGCACACATTCTTACTTACCGTGCGTCTTACTACCTAGTGCGCATGCGCGCTTAGCTCTTGCCCGAAAGTGACTTTCAATTAAACCCGAACCGATTACAGCCTATTTATAGCACGCGCGCATGATAAGCGGGCATAAATATTTAGTGACGTCTTTGGCCGCCATTATGTGAACAAAATTGTTTTTCGTTCGCAGCACACATGAGATTTCCATCTCCGCACATGCTTAGCAACTAATTATCATTCATCAGCTTCGGCTTCATTGAGCGTTGCGATTAAATGACACTAAAATGTAATTAAATCATCTAATTATTTAATTAGATTGCATGATTTATGCTGCTGATTGTGTGTGAAACATTCAAAATGCTCAAGTAATTAATTCAGCGTGATAATTACGCTTGGTGTCGTCATCGTTTGCGTTTGCATCATTTTAGGCATTTAATTACGACGCATGGCGATTATTTTAATTAACATTTATATATTTACGATATTTAGCAGGTATTAAATTCATGAATAACGAAAAAAAAATCAACAAACAAGTTTTATAACTTCAGGTGACGTCCGTTAGATGGCGCTAGCTATACCGCAGCGCGAATAAATCTCGCGTTTATTCTCGTGTTTATGATTGAATCCCAGGTGACGCACATTCGCACATAAAATTTAATGCATTCGCATATAATTCAGTGATTAGCATGTGAATGGTGTAAATTAAACGGAGGAAATTTTGTATTTATTTTTATACCCTGTATGTGATAGCTGTACGCAGGCCGGCTTTATTTGTTTTACGGTTAGTTTGTTATTACGGTATTAAAAAAGCGAACACACGCTTTATTGTTGCGTGCGAATTGTAGGGAGCACACCTACGCATTAACGTCATCGCAATAATGGCCGCCATTGTTGCTTAACAAGCGCTGGAATTAGAACGGAAGTATGAAAACCGCGCAGCACGACCTTCATCCGAACAACAAACGCTTTTCTGTTTTATTTATTTATTTTATACTAGCTTTAACCCGCGGCTTCGCTCGCGAATATCTAAAATAATGAAGTTGCTTCCGTACACGTCTGTAGTCACAGAAGAAGTAACAATGAAGTAGAATGGCGGGAAGTTTAAAATGGCTGAAAGTATAGTCTATGGAAGTATAGTGTACAGTCTCCATAGTGTAGTCAATTGGATTTGATGTTGACGTAGCTGTCGGTAATACAGTGTGATAATACAGTGTGATGGTACTATAGTACTTAGGTTTGAGCTTCATTGCTGGAATGCTAGATGGCGTTAAAGTTGTCAAATAGCCAGATGCAGAGGTATTATTGGCTAAACTATTTCTTTATTTTATTTAAAAATAATTTTTTATTAAATAAAAGTAGAGACCGACCGAAATTTCGGTTTCGGTTTCGGCTTCAGTTTCGGTTTCGGCCAAAATTGGCCGAAACTTTCGGCCGCACCGAAACTCACTTTTCGTGAATTGTCGTGCGCCGCTCGGCTAAATTCGCGGCTAATGGCGGTCGTTACTTGCCATCTCAGTTCGCTCATAGCTTAAATTAATATTATAATAGAAATCAAGTGACTAAACGGGGACTTTACTCACGAGATGGATTTCGTATCTAAAAACGTGGAAAAACTGGCGTTGTGTAGGTAGAAGTAGAAAAATATATTTATGTAAATTCGTTTCGGTTTCGGTTTCGGCCGAAACAGATTGCAGATGCCGAAATTTCGGTTTCGGTTTCGGCTAAAATCCAGTTTCGGTCGGACTCTAATAAAAAGCCTATAACCATTCGGGGACCACTAAGAATATGTGTACAAATTTTCATGATGATCGGTTAAGTAGTTTTTGCGTGAAAGTGTAACAAACATCAGGACTTTCGCATTTATAATATTAGTAGGGATTTTTTCGCGACTTTTTAGTGAAATATAATGTAGTATAGTGAAAGATGAAATCTTTGGATGTATAACGAGGAAAAATCGTGGTCGGTGGCTGCCGCAGTCTCGTTTTATGTGTAATTTAAATCCATTGTACGATTTTACGATTTTCCTCCAGCGGAGCATTGTCTTTTCTTGCCACTTTTCTTTTTTATCTGTACGCCACGAGATTTCCTGCAAATCGCACGTAGCCAGTAAAAATATAGATACGAAGAAGCATGTCATTTACGATGTAAAAAACATCCAAGAAATGGTTATGTCTAAACGCTGGAATATAAAAGTTTTCCCTGAATAACCGCAAAATAATTAAGTATCGTAAATGTTGGGGATACAAAACGGGCTTGTAAAATGATAACAATTGAAATATTTCAGAATCTCCTTAAAACTAAACCGTAAAAATTTAATTTTTATTATTTCTTAAGAAATTCAAACTATATTGCTTAAGTAATATAATTTTTTATACATCCAGCTTTAAAACACTAGTTTTTCAAGGTTTTGAGACAAATAGCATTTTGAGTCAAATAGCCAGATGCAGAGGTATTATTGGCTAAACAATTTCTTATTTTATTGAAAAAATAATTTTTTTATTAAATAAAAAGTAGCCTATAACCATTCAGGGACCACAAAGAATATGTGTACAAATTTTCATGATGATCGCTTAAGTAGTTTTAGCGTGAAAGTGTAACAAACATAACTTTCGCATTTATAATATTATAGGGATTTATTTCTATCAAAGCAGTTATATTTAATTTATTTTTGTGTTTAGTTTTAGCGGATTCTGGGTGCGTCGATTGGATCTGGAACGTGAATTATCTTGGCAGCACTTGGACCACCATCCGCCAGTCACGTTCGACGCGCCGCGAGGGATGAAGCAAGATTTACTGCAGTACGCGCCGGACGACTATCCGCACGCGCATGCGGTGATGGCTGAGCCACCCTCGCTGAGCACCAAGCGCAGTACGACTTCCACCACACTCCTACACCGCCCGCACCCGCGTAAACCCACAATGTCCATCTCCGGTGGTGGTGCACAGCTCGCCCATCAGCGGCAACGTCGCACCGGTATGTTACTCGGCCAGCCGACGATCTTCAAGAGCGTCAAACAGCTGCGGCGTAACTATCAGGACATGGTGGAGCACACCACGCGCCAGCTCTACCGTGTCGACATCGACGAAGAGTGCGAACCGACGATGAAAGACATCCAGTGTGATAAGGAGACATTTTTAATGCCTCCACCAAGCGGGTATTGTTCATCAGGCACCACGAGTGATGAAGAACGTGAGAAAACCAACTGGAGACGTTGCGGTAGCTCCGACTCAGCTGTGGGACAAACCGATGAGGATGAAGAACAGTGCGCGCCGTGTATAAATACTGGTACTGTTAATAACAATGACAATAATGTTGAATTTTTGAACGCAGAGCGAATTAATCATCATGCAGTGCCGTCGCGGACGATTATCGAAGCGCAGTGCGTGCCGGTGCCGTTTCCAGTCAGTCTGGATCGGAAGTTCAGCGACGCGTGCGCGAGCGTCTCAGACAAAGCGGACGCGGAGAGTCGACGCGAGAGCTGCTTCACCGACGATGGGGAGCCGGCGTATCGATACTGGCGTACCCCGAGTGTAGTCGTCAGTGATTATTCGGACGATGTCGTTGGATTAACACTGGATGACATTGAGTTCTTTCGGAATGAACGCATGCATCGGGATTGCTCATCGCCGGACTCTAGTTTGCATAGTTCATGTAGTAATTTGAATTATTGTGGATCTACTATAAGTTGTTTAGATGGAGAATATCATGCTAGACCATATCGGAAAAATTCAGATTGTTCATCGGTGTGTTCGACATTCAGTGGGGATGAGGACGTTTCCGACAATGAGCCGCCTGCCAAAACCAAGGTAAGGCATATTGCATACTTTTATATATTGCACTTTGATTGTTATCTGTCTAGACTGGTTGACCCTTGCGTTTTGTTTACTTTCGGTATGAAAAATTCCGCGAAAAATGAATTTGTGGCTTTTTTGTCATACTGTATATCATATTGGTATTTTTATCTGACAATGAGCTTCACGGTGGTCTGTCCTTTCTTCATCCGCCATTATTCGACACCGCATGCGCGTAATTGCGTTATTATTATGATCTGACGCGACGCGCATATTTTTATCCCAAAATGCGAGAGCATTAATCATCCAGGCATGGGATTACGATTAGAGATTGATTGATAAATCGTGCCGTATCGATTAATCACCGATTATTCTTTATATGTGTTGCGTTTTTCGAGTCGCGCCAATTTTGGTCGCGGTGAAAAAATTGAAACTTAATCTTAGTTCAAACGATGCCGACAAATTTATATTCAGAGATTTATTATTAGTGTTCATATAGGGTGAAATTTTAAATTTGATTCAAAAGAGAATTTCTGTTTGTTATTGTACTTATTCACACATTTATTATACATTCATGGCGCGTTTGTTTAATCTGCATTTAGGAGGCGTTTACGAGCAATTTAAGGCGGCTTAAATGACGATTGAATGCTTAAAGCGGATTAAAAGCACGAATGGCGGTGCTTAGCACCATCTGTCGTTCAAGTTTTTCATTCATTTAACTCAAGATTTTAATTTATTGTTTTTTTTAAGTGAAATTTCTTTAAAATCAGTTCAATTATGTTTAAATCTGAAGATTTTCATGGAAAATTATAGAAAAATATGTGAAGTATAGGCAACCACACATACATTAATGTGTTTTTAGTTGCCTACTATTAAACAATGCTTGAAGCGAATTAAAAACACAAATGATGACACTTACCACCAGCTGTCGTTCAAGTTTCTCATTTATTTAAATCAAAAGTTTTAATTTTTGTTTATTTGCAGTGAAATTTCTTTAAAATCGGTTTAATTATATTAAATTTCAAGATTTTCATAGAAAATTACAGGAAAACGTGTTATAAAGAGCTAATATTGCATTTTTTGATTAGTTTTCAACAATATAGGCAACCTAATATACATTTATGTGTTTTTAGTTGCCTACTATTAAACAATGCTTAAAGCGAATTAAAAACACGAATAATGACACATAACATCAACTATCGTTCAAGTGTTTCAGTTATTTAAATTAAAAGTTTTAATTTTTGTTTTTTGCAGTGAAAATTCTTTAATATCAGTTTATTTATATTAAATTTTAAAGATTTTCATAGAAAATTACAGGAAAATGTGTTTTAAAGAACTAATACTGCACATTTTACCAGTTTCCGCACAATATAGGCAACCAAAAATACATTTAAGTGTTTTCAGTTGCCTACTCTTCAACACTTGGTATACGCTCACGTTTTTGCACACAAAAGAAATTCCGATTCCCATTAGCGATAAAAGCAATTAATTTTCTAATTATCTACTTAATTTGTTAATCGTTCAATCTTCGAGTACGAGTATATTCTTTACCAAACACTTTTTTGTTCGTGCGTTTAATATTGCAAATAATCATCACTGTTATTAACTGCCTGTGGAATGTAATTTGAAAACTAATTTACTGCGCGTGAATATTCTCACACATCTAACGGCGATTGAAGGCGTGAATATACTCGCTGGTATTAATCAATTGATTTTTCTCTTTGATGATTAACTACTTAATAAGAAAGGTGAAATTTTTTGCTTTTTGTTTCCTTGTAATTCTCTGAATGTCATCGTTTGCAAAATTCAGATTACATGTAATATAAGTAGCGAAAAAAGTTGACAACGTGTACAGTTCGGCACGTATCTACGTGTTGGCGATAAACAAACTGAAAGACGTTTCTAAGGAGCGCAAAGATTCACAACAGTTCCGTGTTCGCACATGTCGCGCACGTTTTGCTTCTTGCTCCGCGCTGCTCGCCATTAAACCCATTAAAACCCCGTTGGATGGTTGACTTAAGTTAAGTCAAGTTAGTCATGATTAGAGATGCGACTTGCGAGGCGAGTTTTTCTTGGGTGTCGCTGTCGCTGTGTTCTAATCATTGAGGAACGAAGAAGGAGAGTGTGATATGTCGTCGCGGCGGACGGCGGACGGCGGTCGCGAACTTAAGCGAGAGAGCTTTTCAGTCCATCGCGTCTCGTCCGCGCGCACGCCACGCGCTGTCGATACGCGAGATTCGCACAATTCGCGCGCGCGTGTGCTGTGTACTTAAGTCAAGTAGTGACTTAAAGTGTGTGTTTTTCTAAGTTTTCTAATATTTTATGTGTGTATATTAATTGGAAGCGAACCATGTGCGCCACACGTTTACCATTTAGTGTGTCTTAAGGAAGGAAGGATCGTTAATTAAGGCGTTGCTAATTAATTCACGTCTATATATAGCTTGAGTGGTATAAAAATGCCCGCGATTCCACACGCGCATATTTGTGTTTATTAATTAAATTATTATATTGCCGAGCGAAAGGCAATAAATGATAAGCGCGCGCTCAAAAATGCTCCAATCAACTGGTCAGGCTAATAATTAATAACTAGTTTACTTAAAGATCTAAATATTATAAATTTAGATTTAAAATTTTAAGAAATAGATTGGTTAGAGTCCCCTCATCGTTAATTAATTAATTACTCCAAGACTAATCAAGGTATCTTATTCATTTCTTTAGTAATCGCTTAAGAATTAAATTCTGTGTCTAAATTTGTATAAAAAACTTTGTTGGTAATTTTATTACAATAGTTATAAACAAATTTGTATGAAATTACTAATGTATTGTCGAAAATTGTTTCTCCAAGTTTAATTGTTTATAACTTTTTATGTAATAATCGTATCGACAAAGTCGTTTTGTTAATAGACGTAGAATTTAATTGAGAATCTATTTCTGCAAAAATAATAAATTTAGCTTTAATAATTTTTAAGTAATTGATAAATTTTTAAAGAGTTGCATTCAACGCTTGAAAAAATTGCTTGATTAGTTTGAAAATCCAAGTTTAATTGTTAATAACTTTTTACTTAACAATCAAATCAACAAAATCTTTTTACAAAGTGATGTAGAATTTAATTGAGAATCTATTTCTGGAAAAATTATAAATTTTACGTTTTTAGTTTATGAGTAATTAATTACTTTTTAAAGTGTTGCATTCAACGCGCAAATTGCTTGAAAAGGTTTAAAATCCAAATTTAATTGTTAATAACTTTTTACTTAATAATCAAATCAACAAAATCTTTGTATAAAGTGATGTAGAATTTAATTGAGAATCTATTGTTTCAAGAATAATAATTCTAACGTTAATAGTTTTCGAGTAATTAATTAATTTTTAAAGATTTGTATTTAATGGGCAAATTCAACTTTAATTGTTAATAACTTTTGACTTAATAATCAAATCAACAAAATCTTTTTACATAGTGATGTAGAATTTAATTGAGAATATAGTCCTGCAAGAATAATAAATTTAGCGATAATAGTTTTCGGGTAATTAATTAATTTTTAAAGATTTGCATTTATCGGGCAAATTCAACTTTAATTGTCAATAACTTTTTACTTAGCAATCAAATCATCAAAATCTTTTTACGAAGTGATGAAGAATTTAATTGAGAATCTTTGTCTTTAAGAATATTAATTCTAACGTTAATAGTTTCAGAGTAATTAATTAATATTTGAAGAGTCGCATGCAACGTGAAAACTACTCGATTACTTTCATAATTAGATACTTCTTATGCGTTTTAAGATAAGATTTTCTTTAAACATGGCACGAAATGCATATTAATTGCTCATTTTATTACAAATCGTGACGAGATTTAATTCAGTTGGATTTGAATTTCACGAGGAAATTCAATCAATTTTGATTGAATTTATCAGCGACTTTAAACGGCTCGTAATTGACGTACCGATATTATTAGCTACGATTCGCTATCGCTTGTGATCGATCATTAAATTAATTACTATTGATTCTAACGAGTTTAAATCACACAACTATATTACCGTTAGCAAATTAATTTCAATTTTGAAACAAATTAAAAAAAAAATTCATTGTACTATAAATAATGATGACATGTGATGTTCGTGGAACGCTTGGTATGTCAGTGACGCAAATTGCGTAAAAACAACATGTGTGTTGTGCGCCGTGATTGCGAACATGCCTTTCGGATCAAGCATGCTGCATGCATATTCATTTCTGCGCTGCCGCCGCCGGACACTTGTTTGCATAGCATATAGCTGTATGGATATATTACCCATTTTGAGTTCTCCGTTTGAGTGATTTGCGTTTTAATGGATTCGGCGCGCGCGAATAACGCGAATATGCCGCTCGACGTGCGCGAAACACATTACAACCCGTTGTGTCGTTGTAGTCTCGAGTGTTTTTAATGTACGTACGTTATTTACGTTCGAATGTACTTAACATACATGTCACATTCAGCAAACAGCGTGCTTTTTCTTAGCGTTTAATTGCCTTTAATTTGATGTCGGACATGGGAATTTCAATAGTTTAATCATTTAAGTACATATTTAATCAGTTTAATGCATTAAATATTTATTTAAAAATTTAATTAACAGTTTTATGCTTATATTAAAGAAATATTTTGATAATTACTTAATTTTATTAGTAAATTATATATTTTATTGAATAGTTTTATTTTGTATCAGTAGATGACGCTCGGATGCAGTTATTCTTATTAAATTTCGTTTGTATCAGTGAGTGCAAACTTTTGTCCGTGTGAAATCACGCGATGCGTTCTTATCTTCTTCGCGCAGGTAGAGATAGATTGTGTTTGTTTTCATTCTTTTAAACTGAATTTCGTCGAATAATAACACAATCGGGAATTTATCATTTTTAAATCAATTCTATACTTTTATTCTTTACTTATCCAATGAATAAATCATTGTTAATTGCAAAAATAGTAATAAAATAATAACAAAACATTCAATTAATTAAATTTAATTAAATTCTGGTTGTTTTCTAAATTATCGGGGCTATCTTGTAAAAATTTATGTAGTTTTTCGTTTTAAATCGCGGTTTAAAGCACAGAAATCAACGTTTTTGTTCAAAAATATTATTTTAAATTTTTACACTTGTTTTCAATTAATACTTAATCTTACTTGAATATAACTTATCATTGTGACCATAGATGTCTCCAGAATGCTGATTTTGTATTAAATTAAATCAGGTGATGTTTCAAAGCATCTTTGTTTGTGTCAGTGAGTGCACACCGTGTTCGTGTGAGATCACTCAACGTGTTCTTATCTTCTTCGCGCAGGTAAAGATGGATTGTGTTTGTTTACATTCTTTTAAACTGAATTTCATCGAATAATAATACAAACGGGAATTTAACATTTTAAAATCAAATCTATACTTTTATTCTTTACTTATCCAATGAATAAATCATTAATAATTGCATAAATAGTAATAAAATAATAGCAAAACATTCAATTAATTAAATTTAATATGTTTTCTAAATTAAATAATCATTTATGTAGTTTTTCGTTTTAAATCGCGGTTAAATGCACAAAAATCAACGTTTTTATTCAAAAATATGCTTTTTTTAAATTTTTACATATATTTTCAATTAATACCTTATTCATTCTTAAATATAACTTTTCATTGTGACCATAGATGGCTCCACAATACTGATTTTGTAGTAAATTAGATCAGGTGATGTTTCAAAACATATTTGTTTGTATCTGTGAGTGCACATCGTGTTCATGTGAGATCCAAATCTAAAACGCGCACAAAACTATCGCAAGATAACGAAATAAGTTTGCCGAGATATTTTTATATCGTGGTGTTTCTAATAAAAATACAAAATTGTATTTTTAAATCAAATTCAACCACAAATTCTACATTTTAATGCATTTACTTTATTATATTTTATAATGATTTAATTGTATATTACTGTGAAAGTATAGACTTTGTTTCCATTCTCTATTTATTAAATTATTACATTATTACATTATACAGTTGAGTATATATCTATATAATTTGATCGCAATTATTATCTTTATTGTTGAGCCACTGATGCGATGTGAGTGATTGTGCGTGCACTTTACTTTTACTGCACGGACAGGTTAATCAGGTTAATATCCGTGCGCGAAACGAAAAAAGGAGCAATTTCAATTTCAGCCCGATACACACGATGGTAAAAGTTGCTCTCGTCTACAATTTGCCCTTTCGTTTATGATTGCGTCAAATGAATTAATCGCAAAAGTGCATTGCTTACAACTTACAACATAATTGTGATACTGTTGTAGGTAATTGTAAAAATCAACACACTATAATTCAACAAAAATGTTATATTGCGTGAATTTGAATCGTTGTTTGTTGTGTTTCTGAAGAAAATGTTTTCAAATTCTTGGAATTTGATTGTGTAAATTGTTTCTATTTGGATCGAATCATTTTCCATTGATTGCAACAAATCGCTGACAGATTTAATGCACAAATGCGTTGCAATTCTTGTAAACAGCGAATTCTTACTAGTTAATTAGTGTTAATTACTTACGCGTTGAGTTGAAAGCAGAGCGGTGTGTTTGTATTTGTAAAAAATGCGGTTTGTGTTGAATTTGCGAAATTTGTTTTTATTTATTTAATTGGATGATTCGATTCGGCGAAATGTTGTCTGTATCGGGCAGGAAATATAACTTTTCGATTTTAATTTGTCTAATTTGCGTTCCATTAATATAATTATTATAATTTCTCAATTATTCTAATATTTTTAAAGTGGCAAAAAACGTAACAACTAAAAACTTAAATTTTCCTCACAAATAAACATTTTATCTTTTTTTAAATCAACTCTCAAAAAAAAAAATTAAACAATCGGTGTTCACGTCGAGATTATTTGTGGCTTGATTATGATTATAAATAAACATGCTCCCGAAGGCGTTCTGTGTGTTAATAAACTCGTAATGCTAATTTTTGGTCTCGCAAACAAACAAACCAACAATTGATACTTGTTGGAATTCGTTATGCTTAGTTAAACCCTTCAGGCTGCAACATTTGCAAGATGGTGACATAGATGCCATTCATTTTGCGATACAATCGATACGTAGAAAAATTCCCGGCGGGTAATTTGTAATTTCTTCTCGCGGCACCGGCTCTTTATTTATCGTTTGATAAATGCTGTTCAAACATGATATCTTTATATTATGCTTAAGCTAATAATACTGTTCCATGGAACAGAGAGGAAAAAAAACACACGGCACGATTGTGGCCAATGGCGAGCAAGTTGATTGTTTGATTTGATTTTTGAGTGCGTGTTTGCATAACTCGCGGTGTTATTTATCAGCTTCCAGCTTCCTACTGTGTTTTTATATATTATCATATATGATTCTATTTCGTTATACGAAAATTCTTGGAACTTCAATGTTGATTCTTTTGATGTCTACCGCTGAACACAATAACTGTTCTCACGTTATACTGTAATTGTATTGCTGAGTGTAATGTGGGTTGCCTACGTTAAAGTTCAAGTTTAAAACTTTTCTGTTTCAAACGTAAAAAACTCTTGATTTGCGTCATGCAAGCGTCACGCTGTCAACACTCTGCTAGTAAAAAATGCGCTTCCGAATTTCCGAGCGTGTGTACGCTATGTTTGTGTAATAAATATTTTGATAAGGCTGTCTGTGCCTAACCAGCAGCTGGATTTTGTCTCCGGCGCGCGAACTTTGCCCGCCATCGATTCGGTAGTTTAAAATGACTTAAACAATAAAGTAAACAAACTGATGAAGTAATGTTATGAATAAAACACGCGATCAGCAAAAATTACAACCCACCAAACCATTCATTATGAGATTCGTGTTCGCGTGCGTGTGTGTGCTCAAGGATTCGCGATTCGCGCACAAAACGGAAATATTTTTGCACTAATTGCATCAGGAATCATGTGGCATGAAACAAACTGTGTTCGCTTTCAATGAATATAACCGTATTGTGGAATGTCGAATGTAAATTCACGATCGTTGGTTGTTATAGCTCGAGTTACAGTCGGCAATTGTGTGATTTATCGGATACGAATGTGTTTACGTGCTCGTTTCGAAGTGACGTAATGTCGCACATTACGAGACGGCGGCAGTAATGTACCTACATGTGTGTTTGCGCGCATCAATTAATAGCCATCATTCATCATGACGTCGCACGCGCGTCGCGGATCGCCGCCTTCGCAGCAGCCGCAGACGAATGCGGAGACCCTCGACGACCGCACGCCGCCAGACGCAGCAAATTGTGCCACGGACAAAACTAGTGATAACTCCGATAATAATAATGTGACTGTGAAGACGCTCGTGCACAAGTTGAGTGCGACCTGCCTGAATGCAAACCACACCGGAAGTAGTAGCAATCCGAATGTTTGTTATGGCACAACATGTGGGATTATTAACAATCGATCGAAATCTTTGATGGAGAGTCTGTTGGTGGCCAAAATGGAGCGCGCTGCTTCCGGGACGTCGGGGGTTTCCGGTGCGAAGGGACGAACTTTAGTACGCACGGATAGTGTTGATAGCGCGAGTTCAATGGGTTCGTTAAGCTCGTTATCAAGTGATGTTTGTCGGTGTGACGATTGCCTTCTTGGGATTGCTGATTTGTACGCGCAGACTTTTGATGATGATGTGAAACATAGGAAAAAGGTAATTGAAACTTGTTCGACAAACAAAAGAATCGATTTCAAATCGTTTAGACTCTGACGTCAAGAGGAAGTTATGCAATTATTCATTCGCACTCGCGTTAACTTTGAAATGCATTTAGTAACTTAAATAATTTCAACCGACATTTTATATATTTTATGTTTTTTTATGTATGCAACACATAACACTGCTAGTTATGTGGGTTGCCTATAGTAATAATGCATGTTGCTTTTTTTATACAGTTTAATTTCATACTTTCAACATAAACATAAACATAATGAAATACGCGTAGTAACTATTGTTTTTACTCTTAGAAAAACAAACAACAATGAACAGAATAACAATTTCGCACTCAATGTTTGCCCTTGTATCCCCATTTCTTGTGTTCGTCGTGGCCGCCCTTTTTGCCGTACTTCTCGCCGTGTCCGTAGTGTTCCTCGTGTCCCCCAGCTTTTTTGTGACCCTTATCGTCGTGGTAATGCGATCCATGCTCGTGATGTCCTTTCTTTCCATAGTGGTCTTCATGATGTGCGCCCTTTTTGTGTCCTCCCTTCTTGTGACCGCCCTTTTTGTATCCATCTTCATGTTTGAACCCGCCATGCTTCTCATGGTGACCCTCATCGTGGTCTTCATCGTAGAAGTGCTTCTCTTTTTTGAATTCGTCTAACTTGTGGATGTCATGACCACCTTTGGTGCTGTGTCCCTTTTTGTAACTACCCTTCTCGCCGTATTTGTGTCCTTTCTCACCCTTTTCACCTTTGTGATGCTCGGCGTGATAACCATCATCATGGTGGTACTTTTTCTTGTGTCCACCATGTTCTTCATGATGGCCCTTTTTACCTTCTTTATCATGGTGACCCTTTTTGCCTTCTTCATGAGAATGGTGACCTTTGTAGCCTTTGTCACCCTTTTCACCATGACTGGAGTGATGGTCTGAGTGGTGCTCCTTACCCCCACCATGTTTCCAGGATTTTCCCGACGCGGCTGTTTCGAGATCAGCCACAGGTTGGGGAATTTCACGCGTGTGCACTATCACGGCCAACGCCACCGCAAATAAACCCAGCACGAATATATTTCTAGCGCTCATCTTATCGCGCTTATTGCTTACACCTAAAGGATAAGAGAGCTTGAGTGATACTGACTTCCTCCACGCGATCACAACGTATTTATACCATTTTTATCTGATTTTTTCTACAACCCCCAAGTGAAACCAAGACAATGCGAGTCCAGTCAAGCGGAAAACTCATTTTGTTGTAATTTTATTGACAAACGTCGATTCTTTCCTAGGAACTTGTAATAAGTTGCAGTGTGGCATAATATATTTAACAAAAGCCGTGCAAATAGACGTAAACAATCGATGCGAGCAAGACAACTCGACAAGTTGGCAAAACTTCTGCGGTCTTTCGCTTTCTCCTCTCTTTTTTTTTTTATTTTTGTGCGCCGAATTGCATAATCTCAATAATTTCAATCCCAACTGCAATAGGAGTTTTTACCAAAAATGTCTTTTGTTAGAATTTAACAATAATTTGATTTTTTTGTTGATTTCAGGTACGTAATAGGTAGAAAAACGTTTCGTCCGGCCATTTTGTGATTGAGTAAGTACCGCTGAGCAAGTTTCATTTGATATTTGAATATTTTGACATTGATGCCAGTTTTATGATGAATTAATTTGAATCGTCGATTTCGGGCGCAAATTCGAGCGTCTTCGTCTTCGTTCTTTCGGCGGTGAGCCGGCCACAGAAAGAGGTTACTGTGGCAATGACCGTGCGACCCGAATAAAACACCCAGTGGCGCAACACAACTAGATTGAGACTTGCGTTTACCTCTGCGCTGGCCACAGATATTAAAAACGAAAAAGTTCTAGTGCTCAGTATTTGTACGGAAATTTAATTACATCCTTGTATAAGCTAGGTGCAGTTGCGCAGATGCTTTCGAAAGGGTTTCGTGCGTGCGTTGCTCGTTAACCCCGCGCGCCGCTCTGACTTAAGTCTCTTCGCTTGAGTACGTTACGCGTGCGTCGTACGCTCATGCACACACGCGTCGCGCGCACCGAAACACCTCTCGCATACACGAGGTGCGCGTGTTTCAAACCGGCGGCGGGCCGTCAGCGCTCGTCACACTTTTTTTTCGCTCTGCGTCTCGTCGTATCTGCCCGACGACTAGAAAACCTAATCAGATATTCATAAATGTAAATATTGTACGCGTACACGCGAGTTGAGTCAAATCCAAGCCCGGAATTTCGTCGGTTTTTGCGGTGCAGTGAACGTGTGGTGTGAAATGCTCGAGTTGCGAGCGTTAATTGATTTTCGTGCGGGCATGTAAGCTCGCGATAAGGTGTAATCTAATATTAATAGGCGACGGGTATATTTCCTTAATGACGCACTCGCCGCCGCGGCCGCCGAGTACACGATCCGTCAAAATGTGACGATGTCCCGCGCGCATCGCATCGACGGCCGTGTGCCTCAGATCGTCGTCATGAACAATAATAATAAATTAAACAGTGGTGTGTCCGGTGTGAGTGGTGCGCCATGCGAGAAGAAACTCGCCAAGTTAAAGATCACAGCACCCGGGGGCGGCGGTAGCATGATGAACTCGCCGGAGATCACGTGCTCGCCCTCACCGTGCGTGTTTGACGCACAGGACGCGAACGCGATGGCTTCGTGTCGGTATTTAAAGCGCAGTCCGTCGCCATCGCCGTCCCCAGGCGCGGATTGGCGACGGCGCCGGTCGCTCAGTCCTTTTGGACATTCGCCAACACGCCGCGGCAGTCTTACTCCCTCAGGATACGAACAATATCAGAAGAGTTTATTGGAGGTGCCGTTTTGTACGGACTTTGCTGATGCGTCCAGTGATGACCTCTCCTCCGAATGGGACTCGGACGTGCCGGACACGACACACAATAAAACTAAGGTCACTATATAATGTTGTAGTTTTTGTTATTCCAGCCACGCTGAGTGTATATTGCAAATATTATGTTTAATAACGATATTTAACACCTGCGTTAAGCAGTTGCATAATGTTATTATTTTTAGCGATAATTAAACCACATAGCGCGATAATTGCCACCTATGTGGCATGAAATTAAAAAATCATCGAACGTTGAAATTTTCCGCACAAAACGAGCCATGATGTGAAATAATTGCGCGTTCGGCGGCGACGCTGTTTGTTTGTTTTTCTTGTTAGTTCGTTCGACAGGTAAAACTATGCACGACGCGCATTCTTTGCTTTGATTTAAGGATTCAGTGTGTGTGTGTTTCAATTAGCGCAATATTATGAATGACGGTGCACGAATTTAGCAGCGGGCCGAAAGAGAAACGAGGGAAAAATCGAAGCCGAGGAGTAATGATGCGGTCGAGTATATAATTTCGTTTAATGTCGCCAGCGCCTGCATTCAACTTGCTTTAAAAGGATCATTCAAGAATAACAACAATTTGTTCGCAACTTTCAATCCCTGGCCAAATCAGTGAATCGAGAGAACACATGTTTTCGAAATAAAATGCAAAAAATGCAGCGCAATCTTATCTCGTGATGGACCTGTTTTTATCGTATTTATCTGATTGCTATTTAAATATTTATTTAGTAGATAATGATTAGTTGGATTATTGCGCCGCTGATTTGTTCTTATGTTGTCGCGTTATTGTTGCGCGCGTATAATACGCTTAAAGGCCGTCGGGTTTTGAAAACTGGTCGACTTGCGCATGTCGCAGCCTCTTTTGAAAGCTGCAGAATAAGAAAAATGCTGCTTGTTTTGCGTGCGCATTAATAATTTGACATTATTCAATCTTTTCTATTGTCTCGTTGCAAATTGCAATGAATCATTTGTTTGCGTTGTGATTTTTGTTTTGTGTGCAATGACAAGTTCTATTTTCGTCCCAAACAAGTTTGCAAAAGTTTTAGCAACATTCCGATGCATTCAAGCGAGAATGTGTTATGGTCTGCGATGTCGTTCGCTATTATTCTCATTATTTCATCGCGCACTCACCAGGTACACCTATTTTGCATGTGCGTCAGAGAATATACTCGTATCAGGCGGTTTCGTATCGTGCGCGCGCGCGTGAGCGCTTTGTACTTTTCATCTAATCGAGAGATGACGATGTGACTGCCAATGACTACCTGCTACTGTTATTATTTATTTATTACGCCGCGCTAAGTAGATTAAGTAAGCGGCTGGCGCGCGTAATCACAGCGGTGCCCGCAAATAATCGCTTCGCAACGGATGTTTTCGAGCGACAAAGTGGCGGCAACGAGCGCTCTGACCGATTGACGCCTTTCACGCGTTTTCGACGTTTTTTTTCTCTCTTTGGTAATACTTGCCAATAAAAATGAATTATGGCGATCATGAGTTTAGAGACTTTACAAAATGTCATGTAAATGTAAATGTCGTAAAAATTCCTCGACGAAGCGTTTTTGTTTAATCATCTCTTGAGACCTGCGCATCTAGTTTACTGAGATAATTCCCCATTCAATTAACTGGGTCATTCATTCTACACACAATCAAATGAAACTTGCGGTGTTAATGTTGACACATGTAGGAAAACACAATGGAAAGTGACGATGCTTCTACGTGTGAGTGTGTGTATCTGTTTTTTTTTTTGTTGCACCTGATTGACGTCAATGCGGTGCGTGTCGTGTTTGGTTTTGAATACACATATAATTGTGAATGCGTCCCTCGCTCCATATTGAATGCACGCCTGCGATCTTCGCGCTGACGTCAATGGCATGCGGCGACAAGTATGGCGGTGTATTAATCTGTTTTGTATTCATGTTTACGCAGCCCTCCGGTTGGCGCAAGTTGCGTAACATCGTGCAGTGGACGCCGTTCTTCCAGACGTATAAAAAGCAGCGATATCCGTGGGTGCAATTGGCCGGACATCAAGGCAATTTCAAAGCCGGCCCGGATCAGGGTACCATTTTGAAGAAGCTCTGCGAGAAAGAGGAAAAATGTTTTAAGGTGCGCTGTGAATTTGTTCTTTTATGCGGAATTTATAATTTGTTTATGTTTACAGCTTTTGATGAAAGATTTACTGAGACCATACGTGCCTGAATTTAAAGGACTCGTGACGAGCGACGACGGAGAATGTTCCTACTTGCAATTGCAGGACCTGCTTGGCGATTTTCAGTCGCCATGCGTTATGGACTGCAAGATTGGTGTGCGGACGTATCTGGAGGAGGAATTGGCGAAAGCAAAAGAAAAACCCAAGCTGAGAAAGGTAATTTTGGTGAATTTTTATTGTCATAAGTGTTTAATGATGTTTTTTTAGGATATGTATGAGAAAATGTGCCAAATTGATGCAGATGCTCCAACAGAAGAAGAACACCGATTGAAAGGTGTTACAAAACCACGGTATATGGTATGGCGCGAGACGATATCATCCACGGAAACATTAGGTTTTAGAATTGAAGGTATTCGCCGGGCTGAGGGCACATCGAGCAAAGACTTCAAAACCACCAAATCCAGAGATGCGGTTCTCAGAGCGTTTATGGATTTTACATCAGGATTTCCACATGCAGTGGTATGAAATAATCTTTTCTCTGAGATTGTGAAAATTAGTTAATTCATAATTTATTTAGCCCAAGTATATCCAGCGATTAAAGGCAATCAAAGCCACCCTGGAAGCATCGCCGTTTTTCTCCTCCCACGAAGTCATTGGCAGTTCATTGCTATTCGTCCATGACCGTTTCAACGCCAATGTGTGGCTGATTGACTTTGCGAAGACAGTGCGCCTGCCAGAGGACACACTCATCGACCACAAGTCCAAGTGGAAGGTGGGCAACCATGAGGATGGTTATCTGATTGGCATCGATAATATAATCGCGACTTTTGCGACGATTGTCGATCAGCAGCCGGTATGTGTTACGCCGCCTCCCTTGATGCTGCCTTCTGGTGACACCGAGTGTTGCGAGGCATGCAACGAGGAGGATGCGAATGCAAACATTACTTCCGACGCGAATAATTTTACCTACTGATTAACGAATACGTGACATAAACTTTGTATCCCAGTAAACTTGTACCTGCGATTGCTTGTCAGGCACGCCCTTTTGTAAATACGCCGATATTCTATTATTATTTATTTTCACATTAATTTATATGTACGTAATGAGATTCTCCTACAATGTTATACTTGCTAGCGAGTAGATTTTGTTTTATGTCTTACAGTAAGATATTGTTTCTCGTAACAATAATTTTTCGATGAACGTAAATTTATGACGAATAGTTTTTGTTAGATTTATATCTGACTCGTGTAAACTAGTTTTTATTTAAGGTATATTATACATAAAAATATTTTTAAAAGATGGTAAATATTGGTGTTGTCGGAATACTGACTAGCGCATTATAATAACTTTTGTAGTTCATTTTAAACAGCGCAGTTTAAATCGGTTTTTAACTTGGTAACCGTTTGTGAAATTTCAATGTTCTTTTATCTTTAGATTGGGGCATCGTTGCTCTCAAGGCTGTTTGTTTGCTGTTATTAAATGTTATCGCGTACCGTTGCGCCTGCGTTGTCCGTGAGCCTATCTGTCTCACTGCCAAAGCGACCTGCGCGCTCAGCTTAGCTCATAGCCTCAGTTTCATTTGTGCCTGCACGCGGTGCGGTACCCCGGGACTAAATCACATGCGGTTTATTTGGATTTTCTTATAATCGTCGTCATTTTGTGACAATAAAAGTGTTTGGTGTTCCGGTAATAACTCATCGTTCATGACGAGTTTGTAAAGTGCGTGTTTGTTTATTTGCTCGCGGGTGAGGTGATCATTGTTCAGCTTCTACTCTAAGACGGGGCACTACTATCTTTACTCATGTCCACAACAGCATTACAGATACACCTATACTGGTAAGTTTTCGTTGATTTTGAATTTCCTAGTGGATTTTTCATGTGAACCATCGGTATAATTACGCGCATTTTCTCTTAAAAGAATACTTGGGTTGTGGTGATAATGTTGAACATTTTTAACTTATAAATGTATTTTCACTGAAATCGGTTTTAGTCTATTTGCAACTTGATCTCTTAATTTTATAACTCTGTAGTCGCATTGACGTATTTTAGTAATTTCGCAAGTTATTATTGTATGTATGAGATGCTGTCAGCCGGAACACTTTGCCTTGTTACTAGCGCCGGAAAGAAAATTCAATACCGCAATAAGTTCAAAAATTGGGAGGCACCGTACGAGGGCAGCGGTATAAGTGGCTTCTAATCAATTTTTCCCTATGAATTATTTTTGATCCCTCTTATTTTGTTAATTTCAATATCTTATTCTTACTAGAACATCCCATACATGAAGAATATTCAATCCGTTCATCCCAAGATTCAGAATCGGATGTCAATATTACATTTTATTTAGATGCATATTAGAAATGTTTCGATTTCAACTCTACGTTATCGGGGTTTGTGCATAAACAACTTTTTTATCGCGGTGAACTGCTGCAATGCCTCGCTCGTGCTACGAATGTTTGAACATTTAGTCTGCTCTTATCTGCACGCGGCGCGACTCGTTTCTTTCAATCATTTCAATTAAATTAATTTTACGACTTATCGTTAAAAGTCGGCATAAATATCGACACTTAATGACAATAGACGTGTTTAGTGCTTTCCTGATGATGATTTGTGCGTGAAATGATTACAAAACTCGTGTTTTTATTTGTGCGTTGGGGATATTCCGATGCTTAGAATTGGAATTAGGGATATGTATCCGATAAGCTTGAGTAAGTGTAATTAACATTGTCTTCGGCAGTATTTCACGGGAATATTGTCGCTAAAACTACCTTTTGCAGTACAAGTCCATTATCCGACGGAACGGACTTATTAAGTGTGCAGCATTGTGCAAGTTTTAACACACGTGTTTGTTCTTCTGTTTCAGTACTTTCTTGAATTATCGGATACAATGGTAAGTTTATAAATAAAATTACATTATTAGTATATTTTTGTCTTGGCATGTGTACGTAGTATCGAAAATGACGCGTTGGTAGTTGGACGCGTTTTTTCGCGCCTTTACTGTAGGAAATATAATTATTTTATATTTTTATCTGATAGAGAATTTTCCAATCTTTCATAATCAACAATTCGTTGGTAGCTATCTCTTTTAGTTTAAGAGATATTAATTATTGAAAATCGTCGAAAAAAAGTATCAAGCACCCCCCCTTGGCAATTTTTTCTTAAGACTTAAAATTTCATCTCTCAGATTTCGGTTTTAACTATCCTATCTGATAGAGATTGGTCCGTAGATTAAGACGCTGCGATCGGATCTTAATTATCTCTTTTAGTTTACGAGATATTCGCGATTGAATAAAATGGGCAAAAATTGATAAATGTCACTTTTTAGCACTTTTAGTCGCGTTTTTCGACCTTTTGCTTTAGGAAATATAATAATTTTATATTTTTATCTGATAGACAATTTTCCAATCTTTCATAATCAACAATTCGTTGGTAGCTATCTCTTTTAGTTTAGGAGATATGAATTATTGAAAATCGTCGAAAAAAAGTATCAAGCACCCCCCCTTGGCAATTTTTTTCTTAAGAATGAAAATTTCATCCTCAGATTTCCGTTTAACTATTCCATCTTATAGAGTAGTCTGTGGTTAGATGCTGCGATCAGATCTTAATTATCTCTTTTGGTTACGAGATATTCGCGATTGAAGAAAATCGTCAAAATTGATAAATGTTACTTTTGGCACTTTTAATCGCGTTTTTCGACCTTTTACTGTTAGAAATATAATTTATTTTATATTTATCTGATACAGAAAATTTTCAATCTTTCATAATCAGCGATTCGTTGGTTGCTATCGCTTTTAGTTTAAGAGATATTAATTATCAAAATCGTCGAAAAAAGTATCAAGCACCCCCTTGACAATTTTCTTAAGAATGAAAATTTCATCTTTCAGATTTCCGTTTTAACTATTCCATCTTATAGAGAGTAGTGTAGATTAAAGATGCGATCAGATCTTAATTATCTCTTTTAGTTTACGAGATCAGTATTCGCGATTGAAGAAAATCGTCAAAAATTGAAAATGTCACTCTTTAGTACTTTTTAGTCGCGTTTTTGACATTTTACAGTTGGAAATATAATTATTTTTATATTTTTATCTGATAGACAATTTTCAATCTTTCATAATCAACAATAATTCGTTGGTAGCTATTTCTTTTAGTTTAGAGATATTAATTATTGAAAATCGTCGAAAAAAGTATCAAAACTTCCCGCCAGCAATTTTTTTCTTAAGACTTAACATTTGTCTCTCATATTTCCTTTTTAACTATCCTATCTGATAGAAAATAGTCCGTAGATTTAGACGCGCGATCGGATCTTATTTATCTCTCTTTTAGTTTGCAGGATATTCGCGATTGAATAAAATGGGCAAAATTGCAAAATGTCACTTTTACTTTTAGTCGCGTTTTCGACCTTTTACTGTAGAAATATAATTATTTATATTTTTGATCTGTTAGACAATTTTCAATCTTTCACAATCAACAATTCGTTGGTAGCTATTTCTTTTTAGTTTAAAAGAGATAGTAATTGGTGAAAATCGTCGAAAAAAGTATCAAGCACCCCTTGGCAATTTTTTCTTAAGACTTAAAATTTTTGTCTCATATTTCCCTTTTAACTATCCTATCTGATAGAAATATGGTCCGTAGATTAAGACGCTGCGATCAGATCTTATTTATCTCTTTTTGGTTACGAGATATTCGCGATTGAATAAAATGGGCAAAAATTGCAAAATGTCACTTTTTAGCACTTTTAGTCGCGTTTTCGACCTTTACTGTAGAAAATATAATTATTTCATATTTTTATCTGATGAAATTTTCAATCTTTCATAATCAACAATTCGTTGGTAGCGATCTCTTTTAGTTTAAGAGATATCAATTTTTGAAAATCGTCGAAAAAAGTATCAAGCACCTTGGCAATTTTTCTTAAGACTTAAAATTTCGTCTCTCAAGATTTTCCTTTTTAACTATCCTATCTAATAGAGATTGGTCCGTAGATTAAGACGCTGCGATCAGATCTTATTTATCTCTTTTAGTTTACGAGGATATTCGCGATTGAATAAAATGGGCAAACATTTAAAAATTTCACTTTTTAGCACTTTTAGTTGCATTTTTCGACCTTTACTGTAGGAAATATAATTATTTTATATTTTCATCTGATTGAAAATTTTCCAATCTTTCACAATCAACAATTCGTTGATAGCTATCTCTCTTTTAGTTTAAAGAGATATTAATTATGGAAAATCGTCGAAAAAAGTATCAAGACGACAATTTTTTTCTTAAGAATAGAAAATTACATGTGTCTTCGATTTCCATTTTAACTTGCCTATTTTATAAGTTATAGAGATATTAATTATCGCGAATTCTCTCGATAAAAGTTATCAAGGCAATTGGCAATTTTTAACGCTGCATCAATTTGCTACATCCAGCAAAGTCTAGTTTAGTTTTAGATCACAGGTAATTGCCTATTGCAAAACAAGCGAACAAGGTCGCAGTACTTTTGACGCGCGCCGTCTTTTGCGCACGTCTTGCTTCTTATCATATACTGTCCGTCGTTGTTTACGCAGTTTCGGCATACTATCGGTGGATTGCAGCCAGTTTCGTGCCGGTCGCTGGTTAATCAGTCGTGTTTGATAGACTTACTCGTATATCGTTTATTCGAACTTCAATATTAAATTTGTGTTATACTCGAGACCAATAGACTATTTATTTGTACTTTGCGACAATAATTTGTTTAATGTTCAGAAATACGGGTTATTATTGATCGCGTTTATTATGTATATTACAAGTCACGTGATAGTGGATTTGATAGCGCATTCCTCCTCGGCGTTGTGTTTGGTGTCGGTTACTAAATTAATCGGATATACGAGTATATCGCCCCCATTCAGAAGGATACATCAGGCTCGTGTAGAGTATTTTTTAACTAAAACAGCACAGATTGTTTTATTTTGAAAGATTGTTAATTATAACATAATTCAAATGTATGAAATATTTTTTGTTTTTAATTTATGTTTCGTTTGATTCACAGCACTCGTACCTGGCAGTCCGATAAGCTGTACACTGGTAAGTTATAATTCAATTATATTTTCGGTCAAATTTACATTTTGCTTAAAGTTGTGTGTGTGCGCCGTAGTACTCGTTGCGCCAGGAATTGTATTTTTTTGTTATAACACGCGAACGCGGTGTGACAATAAGTTCGGAATAATTTTCCCGGATGCGGAATTTAAATCTGTATCTCTCTGTATAGAAACTTTTTGCGAGAAAATTCCGTAACGCGAGTTATATTGAAAGTTGTGTGGGTGTGCCCCGTAGTACCCGTTGCGCCGGGAATTGTAGTTTTTTTGTTATAACACGCGAACGCGGTGTGACAATAAGTTCGGAATAATTTTCCCAGATGCGGAATTTAATTCTGTATCTCTCTGTATAGAAATTTATTGTAAGAAAATTCCGTAACGCGAGTTATATTGAACGTTGTGTGCGTGTGCCGCAATTTTAACCTGAATAGTGTATACTCGTAGTTCGCACTCTTGGCTCTTATCGGTGTTGGTGCACAAAAACTGTTTTTATTGTGTCGCAGCGCATCCGATGTGCTCAGCAGTGTTTGTTCCATTTGTTACTTAGTCGATCGTGCGCTGCGGCGCAATTGTGCACGCGTTTACTTACCGCCTAGCGGTCTTCATGGCGACTTATTGCGTTTCTTTTGAGTTTAAGTCGGTAGTTGAATTTCAAATCAGTCACCAAAAGATAAGATTTAGATTAAAACAGACAAGTGCGGCCTATAGTTGTGAGTTATCGCGAGTCGAACCAAACATTTCGATGTTTTACAACGTACGCACCACGTGTTTTCCGTCAGCCGTCGGATATCTTTTCGTCGGCTAAGAAATACTCAGGCTCGTTTCGTGTATCCATTTAATTATTAATTTGAATCATTTTGTGCATCATTATGGAATATTTCATCTGCAAAAACGTAAAAAAGTATGTATCATAAAAACTATATTCTATTACAGTCACCAGCCTTATAGGGAAAGCGATCAAAATATTAGTTAGCATAGTCGTCACATGGTTGCATATAATAACCTTTGCAATACAGAGTATTGGAATATTGTCGCGTTACGTCGGCTGCACATTCGCTCTCATTCAGGGGCTTTCGGGGCTCTTATTTGCTTTTGTATTCATAATTTTGTCTGTGCTAATTTGAGTGTTTAAGAGATCTGAATTTAATTATTTCTTTAAATGTGTTTAATAAATTTATAATTATTAACAATTGTATTATTTATTATGTTTCTATTCACATACTTATCACTTCCCATAGATAAACAGTAGAAAACAGGTAATAAAACATTCACTTTTTTGATTTTTGATTTTGTATCACCCTGTATACAAAATTTTTCTTAATGCTCTGCGAAAATAAAGCATAATTACTTATATTGTTATGGAACGATTTTTCATTTTCAAAATTAGAAGATTTTCTTTTGAAAACACCCTGTATGTAAATTTTCTTTATACCCAGCAAAAATTGACAATCTTTATTGTTTTTGGGGTGATTTTTTAAAATTTAAGATTTTCTTTTGATTTCACCCTGTATATAATTTTTCCACTGATGTCATGCGAAAACAGGGCGCAATTTGCTATTTTTAGTGTAATATTTTGTAATTTGATAGCAATTTGCATATGGTCGCTATGCAGATGATAAACATATTTTAAAATGACGTCACGTGTTTTACCTTGGGTATTGAAATTGCAAATTCTAAAGTTATATTGTACATGTAATTTGTTAATAAAGAAATGTTAAAGGCAATGTCTGTGTCTTATGACTTGTGCACCTTCCTTCTATCATTTCAGATTTTCAGGTCACAACGTAAAGTATTTCCTCCAGTGTTATGGTCGGCTCCTGAGAGCACGGCGGCA